CTAGAGCTAACATTAAATCGGTTACTCGACGGCTAATAAATTTCGTTATATAGTTTAATAAGGTGTTAGTGATATTAGGGAGGGATCTTAAATTACTTAAGATACTCTAGACTAGAGTTAGTCATTCGAGCACGGAGGCTTATCCTAAAGAATTCTTTATTACTATAGAAACGAGTTAGTACTTTAGTACTTCTTAGGATATTAAGCGATAAATCTTATACTTAGCGATCTCTAGAATAGCTTTTAATATATTAAAAAAGACCGCTAACTTTAGAGTTAAATATAAAGGTATCGATAAACTTACACGGTCTAAACGGATTTATTACGAAAAGGTAATATAAGATTTAGTCGACTACCTAATATCTATATCTTTATAGTAGGTTCTACTTACTACTATTTCTTACACTCTTATTATAATCTATCTATTTCCGTTATAGAAAAGATATGATTTCACTCCTACACTAGAGGCTCTTAGGTTTAGGTATATTCGAGAGATAAGAGTATAGCCCTTTATCTAACGAATTTCATCTTAAAAGATATAGGCCCTAAAGAAGTATATAACTATCTTATATTAAGAAATAAGGGCTACTCTATAGAGCGGGATAATAGCTAAGGAGGTTTTTACCTCGAAACGGGATAGACGTCCTAGATATATAGATATATCGTTTAAGGGTATATTAGAATGTTAGAAATATATTATAAAGGCCGAAGGTCATTTATATAAGCACTATACTAGATATATTCTAAGCCTTAAAGGATATAAATCACAATTTAGCTATAAATATTTGGATAGGCGGAATCTACTGTAAAGGTATACTGTTTTCAGGTGTAAGGCCTGTCAACCGGGTAAGATACTATGACTGAGAGGGGAACACAATGTATTGTAGAGTGTGCCAAGACTAATTCTTGCCAGAAAGCAAAGGATCCTTTGGGGGTCCTTGACTATAGGGAAACCAACATGATAGTGCTGACATTGATATCACCTGACGAACCCCTCTCAGATCGACATCGAATCGATGTCGATCTATTGATAGATCATTGATATGGCCCGCTCTGGGTATTCCAGTTGTAAGGATCTTTTATCCGTTACATCTACCTATAATATCAGCCTATAAAACGGTCATTCTAGTCTTATTAGAAAATAATAATCCGCCTAAGTCTTTTATAGGCGCCGATATATATATTTTCGGATTAGGCGAACTTAGTGGTATTCGAGATAACCACTCTATTACTTTAATGATTAAAGAAATAACACTACCTAAGTCCCTTATCTTCCACACTATTAAATCGAACCCTAAGCATTTTTAATACTACCTAGATAAGATTAAATGTAATTTGCCCCTACTATATCGTTCTATTTCCGATAAAGAAAGATTGCGAATCACGGACTAGGTTCTTAAATTAAGAGGTTATATCCGATCTTCTAGATAGGATATCCTATATTCTAAGTGGGAGTATAGCCAAAGATTTATATCCCTTTTAAGTATCGGCCACTTATAACACGAAGCTTCACTTATACTACAGCATAAGCCTTAGGGTAATTATCAAACCATATCTGATTTGTTGTTATTCCCTTGGTTCCTGGGAGGAAGGAACAAGGTTTCTATGGCGACAATACCCACGGCAAATCGAACATATTGCCTCGGTTAATCGTGCAGACCGAAGAAAGAACACACGGGAAGATTCTGACAGTGAGCTAGAGCAACAGTTGTCTGAAAGCAGGTAGAGAAATTTGTTGATTTAACTAGATGAAAATGCTGCTCAAGGTATGCAAACTCCGGAGGTTTTTGAGCTCTTATGCAAGACCTCACATTATATAGGGTAGCAAAGTCTGTTGACACTTGAAAATCGCCTTGTTTTAACAACCAATATTTTTGTCAGTTTAGTCCCGTACGGGGCCGTAGGGCTATATATAGAGGCTAACTATATAAATTATATAGGAAAAGGGGCTTCTAGGATCTTATCCTCCCCTATTAAGCGGGAATTAGTCCTCCGTCTCTCCTAGTGTTTCATATAAGGTAATCTTCGAGTCTTAGGAGTAAAATCTAATAAGCGGTCGTGTATAATCGAATCCGTTTAGAGATATATAGTCGTATATATATAAATAAAAGGGCTTCCTTACCAAGGCCTTCTAGGAATGGCTTTATAAGGACCTTTAAAGGGTTTTTCATCCTTTTAGAGCTTCGTTAGGTAATAAAGGGCTAAAATAGTGTAAAGAGGTATAAAAATAGCTTCTTTGAAAGGGGATAAAGAGTAAATAAAGGAGGTAAAGATATCATTTACATAAAGAAAGGCTCTTTAATAGGTTATAAGGATCGTTCTATAAAGCTAGAAGTCCTTTCTAGATCTATATAAGCTTTTACTACGGCCGTTTAGGGTTATTCTAAGCCTATCACTATAGCGGAGCCTATTTCGACTACTATATATGTACACTATAATACGGAGCCTGACCTATAGGATATGGAACTAGCTATAGCCGTATAGACTAAAGAATAGGCTATTAAGATACGTGCTATAATAGATAATCTAGACCTATCTCGACCGGTCGATATTTCCGTTATAAGCCTTATAATCGTATACTCCCTTATAGGAGGCGTATATAGTAAATCGTTTAAGGTTATAGCCTTATAAAACGCTTAGGAGATATTAGACGTATATAGTGACTTTCCTCTCCCCCTAAGTCCTCCCGCGCCTTTTAGTAAGGCTCCATTCAGTTGAACTCGCTGTCGGCATTTACTTTGGCCGCCACCATTAGGTATGATGCTGCATGCGCTTTATCTACTAGCACTCGGTTTCGAGCTAAGATATATCTAAAATGAAGCAAACTGCGAATAGTGTTTTTAGGCGCATTGATATCTAGCACTTGCAAATATAAAAAGGCCGCGTAGTGCGGGATGTCTCATTCCAGATCACTGCTGGTCTATTGCGACGAACATATATTAGTGGAATGGCCGGCTGCTACTATAGGTAGCATAGTTAGCAAGCTTGCGAGTTGCCTATGGAAATTTCGAAGTGTGTGTTAGGTTGTAATTCGCTTCAAGGAACTGAAAGCTCTCGATGTGACAGGTGGTATACGTGTTTCGCACGTCAAGATTCCAATTCCCGGGAGCCATTGACATATTTTTAGTAATAATTTGGGGGTTCCTAGGGTTTAAGGTCCAGAGATTTGAGGGTCTTACGTATACATAGAGGGGGACAGCTTCTTCCATATGGTTAATGGATTTTGAGAACAACTATAGTTGACCTTAGATACGAGACGTAGGGCAAGGAAGCAGAAGAAAGACGCCTTCTCGCGTTTAGGGGTTCTGAACCCTGCTGCATCATGTTGGTCCGTATAAGATTTCTCCTTGCATCGCGTATGCTTCATGTATAGCCTTAAAAATGCGACTAGAGCTCCCAGGAACCAACGTCTTCTTTTCCGGAACGGGACGAAAAACTTTGGTGGCCAACTAAGCCCAGACTTCATTGCTCAGGCATGTAATAGGGACCCAGCGAGATGAAATGCCTCACTGCCTGCTTTCTCAAGCATCTATATATTGCGATCTTCCTACATGATCACAGTTACCACTCAAGAATATATATCTTCAACTGGAAGACTAGACCCCGAATCTCGCATCACCCCGAACGCATTTATATTTAATTTCCTCATCATGGCCTGGAACCCTACTCACCTCCCACGAGTATTGGGCCAAGTGTTGGGCGATCCCCTGCACTGTGAGCTATTCTTCGAGCAGAATGCGGTGATGGGAAGCGCCGTGAGGCGTGAGCGCGACCACCGATCATGAGCGGGGCTTAAATGAGGGAAAGTAATTAGCCGGGGGCTGCAATTCTGATTTGAGCCACCAGCGGGATAATACGCAAAAGTGATTCTGTCAAAAGGGAAGCTAGCTATAGAATTTATTGGTTTTAGACTGCCGCGCAGCGCCATCGAGAGATGGCCGCATGTCGTAACCCGTGAGGGAGAAGTTTATCAATCCATCACTTCGGAATTTCGCACTTGGCTGATCACTCCTTATCTGACTATTTCCATATCAGCTTTAGCAGAGCAAGGGTCCACCTTCCGACTGTTCCGAAATTATTCGACCCTTAGCTTCTTTCGTAACGATCTTCCCAACTTTGCTCCAATATTAATTGAGTTCGGTTCCGGGAGAAGCCTTCCGGGTGTTCCAGGCCATCCTGCGGCTCAAAACTGTAGCTTTACTTCTTCGGATCATCAAAAGGAGGACAGAACCAGTATTACGCTGGCTAAGTCAAAACACGTCGAGCGAAAGCACATGTTTTTCGGTAATCAGACCTCGTAAAGAGGTATTTGAAAACAAATTACCCCCTAGACACTCTCGTTTTCTTTCTCAAAGACTCGGTAATGGGCCAGGTTGAAATCGCCAATGTTTTAAAATACAACACGGCCAATCATACATCTATATTGCCTCCAAAAGGAAACAATGTCTACTGGTATATAGCGTAGCGTTGCCATAGTGGGGCTATGAAATGACGTTAACTTGGGATCAGCAGCCATTTGCTCCCTGATTGGTGGGTCAACAGCCAAAGTACCTTATGTTTCAAGTTTCATGGGATCCATTGGTTACTAACAATGCACTTAAGAGTTCGCGGCCTTTTGTTACAGGGATGAAATGCACGCGCGCGAGCCAACTCGTGGGGGCTAAAAGTGGCCCAAGGGACCTACAAATCTATGGAACCGATTATAACATCTGTTCGCTATGCAAAATTACCAAAATAAATACGGCTGTCTGTTTTGATTATCTTAAGAAGGGCCCAAGTTCAAGTTCAAGTGAAGCCCTAGGCCTAAGGTAGCCAAATATTGTGATCCGCGACTAAAACAGTGCCAACCGAGGGCGCAGCATCGTGCATGAAGGGGGGGAGGGGGCGGGGCACCAGTGTTACAAGTGCTGGAAATAGGCGCCAGGGGATGCTAGCCTTATCACAAAGATTTCACTTAATAGACGGCAGGATCCCAAGAACGTAGTTGACAAGAGACTCAACCGATTTCAATCAAAATGAGTATCCCTTCATCGGGAGGCACCTTCTCTACTGCTTCTGAGTCGGGAAGAATACTCACACCCACCTCGTCTCAAGATGGCCGTGGCAGTGAGAGAGGTTTGCCAATTCGGCAAGCCTCGAGCGTACCCAGAACCTTGCCCATAGCTCAACCACCGATAAGTCTCTTTCAAAACCTGCAACCAGATCAAACATCATCAATCACTACCCCTCGACGAAGCTCACCAAATTCACAATTGAGTCCCGGTCGGTCGCCATCCACGTATGCTGATCAACACAATGCCTCCCCAAGTCCAAGGGCGAGACGCATACACCCTTGCCGTCCGAGGCGAAGAACCGGAGAAAACGCCTCTCGGTCATTAAGTACCAGCCAAGTCGGTAGGGGATTGAGTAGCTCAAGCCTACAATCTGTAGCTGCTTCTGTGCATACCGAAGACGTACAAGTTCCCAGAGCTTTTCCAGCAGGTAGTGGTAGTACTTCAGCGGTTACTTCATCTCATGAGAATGAGGACGAGAACGAGGTGATATCCAATGATATCCGGGACGAAACTCTCCCCCCAGCCCCAATCTACAATAATAGGCTTCAGGATGGACTGAAAGCCGTTAAGGGCCACCTGGCCAGTCTCGCCAGCGCAATGCGTCTTTCGGAATTGACACAAGATCAATCGACGAGCTTGTACACTCTGTATAAGCGTACTGAAAAGATGAGCAGATTCCAGTATCCGGTCACACGTACTGTGGGCTTTATTGGAGACTCTGGAGTTGGTATTGAATTTTTCCGGCATTCTCATATTTGGGTTCCGTCTCTAATGTTGTTATAGGCAAGAGTTCGCTGATCAACTCACTACTTGACCAGAAGATAGCACGATCCGTATGTGAATGCTCTCATTTCGGTTCTCCGTTTATCCTGAAATTCCTTTCACTGACACCTAATTTCAGAGCAGAGAGGGATCTGCCTGCACCTGTGTGGTGACGGAATTCCGTCACACCAATCAAGACCATACCGGTCCATTTAGCATCGAAGCAGAGTTCATGAACAGAGAGGAAAGGGGAAACTTACTTGAGCATCTCCTGCTAGACTTCCGAAAATACTACGTTAGTTCCATCTACAGGGAGCTTCAGACAATCGAGGAACAACGAAAATGCCAAGATGCAGCTGTTAAATCATGGGAAACACTTCACTCGCTTTTCAAGACTCAGCCAAGACTTACAATTGAGTTTTTATCAGATGAGTCTGAGGGTGCACACTCTGAGATCCTTGCGCTGCTGGAAGGCTGGGCATACGCCGGCTTAATAAACCGACAAGGTGGGTCTGATGCGCTCGAATACTCAGTCATTGCCGGTGACGTTGAAGAATGTAAATCTATTCTCGACCATCTTGCTGCTGATAACCCGGAGGGCGGTGGCCCTGCATTATGGCCTTTTATCAAGTTGATTAGGTTCGCTGAGCATTGTCTTCTATAACGAACTTTGATCTGATGCTTTTGCAGGGTATATCTCAGTTCACCTATCTTGAGGACTGGATTGGTTTTGACTGATCTGCCTGGTATGTATTGAAACTATATAGAGGTTCACACATTGGCCTTGACTAATGCGTTATAGGACTCCGAGATCTGAATTTTGCAAGAGTGCGAGCAACTGAGAGATACCTTGCTCATCAATGCGATGAGGTTTTTATTGTGGCAAACATCTCTCGAGCTGGGACTGACGAATCTGTTGGTGACATCATGAGAAGATGTAGACAGAATCAGCCTCGAAGAATTATTTGCACAAACTCAGAGGTGTGTATAGTTTCTCTAAGCTCACCCATTTATTCCGGCACAAGTCCTTCTGACTGTATTATAGGATGTTTCACCAGAAGAGGTCTCCCGTGAGCAAGGGCCAGACGGCCGACGCGTCCGGGAAATGAACAAAGAGCTCGAGAAGGTCAATGCCCAAAAGATGAAGGCTAAGTCGCAAAGAATAAAATCACAGGGAGATGATCGGCTCCAATGGTCACTGAACGAGTCAGAACTCAGGTGACTATCGCTTTCCCTTATTGCCATGACCCATGTTGACTCCAGGACAGTGACCAGGTTGACGAATTGGACTTTGAGTAAGTCAATGCCTTGATCATCAATTATACCAACTTTAACACTAACTTGTAACGCAGCATTACGCGCTTCCTCATCAACCGGCGAAACCTCAACGTTTCACGCGAGCTTCGCAGGAAATATGACGACATCCAGGTATTCTGTGTCAGCAACACACTATACTCTGAGCATCGGAACAGCGACCCAACCCAGGCAGATAGGTATCTCGAGCTGACTGGTATACGAGAGCTGCGCCGCTATTGCCAGCTAGTCCCAGCTGAAGCTCAATTGCGCGCAACAACAGCGTTCCTAGAAGATGAAGTCCCGGCAATGGTGGGCTCAATTCGTCAATGGGCGCTTTCTGGTACAGACCCGGTCACTGCAGAAAAGGCTGCCCAACTTCGCCGTGTTTTGGGTGATTCTCAAGATGCTCTTCGTCGGGTATGCCTAGAAACAAGAATGCTTTGAATGGCTCAGGCTTCTTTTTCTGATATTTAACAGGATTTTCAATCATCGGAAGACCATGTAGCTTGCATGTTTCGAGACTTGAGAGAGCGTTTTGACAATTCTATTATCTTCTGTATCGGTAAGCAGAATCACCTCGCCGTACCTTCGCTAGCTCTGACATCTTCATAAAACAGATACATCTCGAGCTCAGTGGAAACAAGAAAGCCTCAACACCAGTCAGCGCTGGGTAAAGGTAATTTTCACCTTTTGACAGATATTTTGAAAAATATTTCGCACATTACTGAATGATCTTTTAGTGGCACTTCAGCTCATATGCTGCATTCTGTCGACACTATGGTACGTGGAGCACGGAAGCACAACGAAATGAGCGGCCCTGGAATGAGCAATTCATGCAGCGAACCCGTGAAGCATTGGATCCCGCATGGGAAGACATAATGGATTGGCTGGAGTCAGGAATTGAAATTTTGACTGATGGGGTTGACCTGTCATTTCAATTGCTACGTTTCGAGATCCAAGGCAAGTCGTTATTCTCTTTTGAAAACACTCATTTTTTAATGTCTCGTTCTAATATCCTGCATATTTACAGAGCATCAGCATCTTGCACCCCACGCGCTGCAAAACATCATTGTCAACATGGGACATAGACGAGAGAATATCAATACACACATCAAGAATGAGATGAGAAACCTCATCCTAAAGACACAGTATGGCAAACCTCACCTGAACATAGAGTGAAGCAACGGGTCTAACAATCTCTCAGAATTACCAAGCGAGACATGCTAGAGCATCACACTGATTCATTTATCTCGATGCTCATGGAGCCATGTTATAATCATTGTAACAGTGAGGGAGGTACGCGAAAATTCACCTTGGCAACATCATCTTTAGTCATTAACCGTATATCAGGACCAGGTTGTGACAAACGACGAAAGAGTCACATGGAAGACCACTTGAGAAACTCCAGGTTATTTTCCAAATACTCTACACATGCCAAGAATGTCTACGGTGGAGTCATGGCCGAAAGCCTCAAATCACTACAAGAAGAAATTGATAACCAGATAGAAGGCATAGTGCTAGACTTCCACGCCGTGGTAGTCGATGAAGGAGAAATACCAGAGGCGGAGCGGGCACCTTCACTGGCGAATGAACTGAGATCCCTCATTCAGAGTGGACAGGCTACTATTGATGATACCAAGGGATTCGCCCAACAGCTCAATGGGCGCAGTGACTGAATAGTGGACCTTTTTCAACGGAAACTAGTGTTGCTTGGGGGAAATGCAGGTCAGATAAGCCTTCAAATTATAACTCGGCGAAATATATTCTGATTGAATCCAGTTTTTGGCTTCATGTACATGTAACGTAAAGACAGCCCACGATATACAATATTAAATACCAAATAGAGGAAGCTGTGCAACTAGAGCCACTAGTCGTCCTCGAACAGCCAGCAGGACAAGGATACTCCGAGTCATACTGCCACAAGAAACCACCCATAAGCCGCGACTGAGTCGGCAGATAATACGAAGCCTGAATGATACCATGGACGAGATACGGACATGTCCACAGCCCTTTTGGATGAGTGTGTCCATTGAGGTTCCGTAGATGGATTATCTGAATCCGGCCCATCGGATTGCGGAGGCGCACTTGTCATTGTTAGCTATGAACCAGCAAGGTATGTCTCACAATGTGACAATTGTTGTGTCCCACTTACCATCGGAGAACTCTCAGCATTAGTATACAACGTCAAATCAGTAAAAGCAGCCTGTGCCTCCGATGCCGTCATGCGGTATTTTCCATTTGGATCTGTTTAGATGGCGGTGCAATTCTTTATAGCAGCGATTTCGCATATACAATTCCCTCTCCCACGTTACCTCCTGTTCTTTGCAATTGCAGTGAATTTGTTGGATCGAACCTTGTAACGATGGATTCCCCGTCTTTCCACTCTCGTAAACCTCCAAACAAAAAGATCCCGGCGCTTCAATTAAACAAATCAAAGCACCCAGTTCAAACCCCCTCGATTCTCTTCAATATCTATGTACTTTCTGGGTTGATCATCTGCAGAGTGTGGAGGCTAGATATGAGCAAGTTGGTCTTTTCGACGATGGTGCCGTTTTACGAATTCTTACGGCAACATTTTCTCCACTGGATTGAGGCCTTGAGTCTTATGCAGGAATTTCATTTTGCCGGGCTCTCAATTAAGAAACTAATCAGTCTTTTATCGGTAAGTACTGCTCAATTTAATACGCCGTCCGCTCTGACTTTCGTTTAGGGCAAGCCTCCATCGCCATAATGACGATTTGTTGCACGCTTCTTTTCACTATTCCGCCTATCTGTGCCTGCCTCTAGGTCTGAAATTCTTCGACTTTTGCAGGACTTCCCTCGATTCATCCTGTCTAGCCGAAAAGGGTCATCGAAGACTACCCCTTGCAAATCTACTCCTCTGCGCTCGTATCTGCCCCTGCTCACTCTCTCACCCGGACACTCTTCATGCAGGAGGTGCCAAGATGGATTACTAAAGGTCCGGTGATTGAAAACGAGTGGAATGCCTGCGTACACACTTTTCCCTTGCCTTGCAGATTTGGGAATCCCACATCTGATGGCACGAAGGTGGCACTATCCCAAGGGGATGGCTCTATCGAGGTCTTCGATATGGATAGTGGTCGTCAACTAAAGATAATGGTTGAGCCAGTCGGCCGCGTCACATCTATTTAGCAAATAACCTTTCTTCTGGACGGGCTGATAGCATCTGCTTCTAACCATGGTATCATCCAAAAATGGGACACCAACAGCCAACAGCCGCGAGTGTGTCTCTACTACCTTGGAAGATGTAACCTTTCTCCTCGGTCTATTGGTATGGTTGGGACTATTGAATTGCCAGATTGCGAAAAAGCCCGGACGTTCAGGCGGCCAGAGTATACATAAAACAGTCGCCTTTCTTGCTCTGTCATAATTTTATTTTCTCCCTGGCACCATGGACACAGAAGCAGATGATAAATGAAAGGACTTTAAAAATTATTGAGGAACGCAAGAAGCTTGCTAGTTATATCACGTTCACTCTGGAGTACCAGAATACAACGAAAAAGAAGAGAACAAAATCTGCCATACCACATAAAGAGCTGGCACCTGCTATATACGTAAAATACAACAATGCGGCATTACTTGGGACACTGTAAGTCGGACGAAAGGCTCACTTCGTTTTGGATGTGAAACAAGTCGGTATGCCAATACGATACAGTGAAAGGTGCACTATAGTACATACGTCATCGCTATTCAGCAAGCATAGTCAGCAAATTATTAACTGGTCGCTAGACAGTCCAAATCCAGGATATTCTCTAGAGTCGGACTTGGCTCGGGTGGCAAGATTTCGATTCAGTGCAACTGGAAGTTTCGCACTTCCCTACCATATTGCCATGCAATGATAGGTATTCGCGCCAAAATAACCGATCGGCTCAAAAGTTTTCACGATTTTCACAATATCAGCCTGAATTAAATTGATGTATGGTCGACGCTGGACTCACTATAGCGGTTACTGACTATAAAATATACTCTATTCCTTTAGTGTAAATCTTGTTGCGTTTCACTTTGATCGCCGACAAACAAAGCTAATAACTATAGATCTACGGAGTATCCATATTTTAAATATCATCTCATGCAACTATTCAATAGTCCCAACCATGCCAATAGACTGCGGAGAAAGCGATTGACAAAGACTATTTTCACTAGCGAGCGGAACCCAAACACACTATCTAACAGAACTACACCCGACCCTGGCTTAAATCAAGTGGTTTGTTCCCTCCACTATGGACCCTGTCCAAGACTGCTATCAACCTGTTATATCGCGACATATCCTGTTGATTGTTCTTCCCAGCATTCAAGCTGGTTGTTCGGTTGAGACAATGTTGCATGATCTACTCAAACCCACAACTTGTAAAGCTGAAATTTCAATAGCCCAAAGATGTACTTTAATTATTTCCGTATTCTATATCATTGACCTACCATCTACCAAAACTTCCTTCAATATAGAGAACAAATTAATAAACCAGTTTGTAGTAGGAAATAAAGCCTTGCTATAAAGACCCGATCCCATCATCAGATATATCAACAATCCGCATCTGTTACATCCACCCTTCTACTTCATCAACATTTTCAAATCCAGATCTTATAACAACCACCATCATGCAGTTGCGATTCTTTTCCGCTTTTCTTCTTATATTCTCTGGCTTTTCAATGGGGATCGGTCTCCCGCACCCGACATGCCTGAATACTTTGGAGGGGCTCGGCGACAAGGCCGAGGCGGAATTATGGCCAGGCTTCAATCGCGATGTTTGTCTCAAGGGCAAGAATCCTGGCGCAGATGATTTTCCACTTGTGGAGAAGCACTTGCTCATTCCTCTATACGAAAAATCGCAGAAGATGGGGTTAAAATTACCACCTTACAAGACAATAAAGCCATTAGTGCATTCGATTGTGAAGGACTGTGCGAAGAAGCAGAAGATAAATTTCTGCAAGAAAGCCGACCTTGAGAAAATGAAGTCTTGTGCGGTCGGCAAATTGATGGAGTTCATTATGGGGCACTTGGACTTCGCGGACAAGTACGGGAACGAAGCCAATTGCAAAATGTTCAAGAAAATCGTGGAAGATGAAAAAATGTGGGATTGGGCGAAAAGAGTTGTCGGAAATATCGCAAAGACCATTACTTGAAAAAATCACATGCTGAAAAGTTTACGAGGTAAGAGAAGACTGTCTTCCAGATTATCCTCCAACGCAACGGCATATTAACTAGCATATGCACCAGGACCTCGATTGACCTTCTTTTTACTTCCAGACCATGGGTGATTGCGTGGGATTACGATGTAAGTGATTTACCTTGGCTCGTGGTATACCCAATATAATATGATGCTAACTAAGATCTGATCTCTAGTGAGAGCTATTTGATGTCCAGGCTGCAAAGTGGTAGCTTTGAAACATGAGACCAATATGAATGCTGTTTCTGATCTTATGGCAGCTATTGCACCGACGTCCACTTGATAGCGTGTTTTGTCTACAGCACATTGTCCTCTATTGCCGCAATATTTGCTTTTCCTGTTTTATCTGTCTTCGCATAGGTTCCCTTATTCAGGTTTTGCTATGTAGTTATGCAAATTCAAAGGCTCAATCTCTGACCATACTAGTGGATTCCCCGTTTTATCCACGTCGTATACTCGTAAAATCATTACAGGTAGTATGATATATTAAACACAGCGATTAGTACCACCAATCACCTTTGCACTTAGCGAATATCATGAAAAGTGTCTCAATTGATATATAAATTACTAGGCCTCGAGAAGAAGCACAAGAGCCGCGAACTGCACCGCACCGCCCCGCGGAGGGGCGGTTCGGTCTACCTGCCACTTGGAAGTCTCGGCTCCAGAATCCATCATTAGTCACAAAAGGAGAGCGAAGGAAGCCCCATGTCACTAGAGTGATTAATGACTGTGGCAAATTTGGAAGAGGAAGCAGGCCATGAGCCTGGACAGCTCCGCTTGGCCTCTATCTGAGACTATCTCCGTGGTGGCACTATGATTTGCTGTTTTAAAAACTTGATTCCGCGACCTAGTCATCAGGGATGTCAACAGAGCAACACCCCACAAGGGTCCCCAAATTTAATTAAGCTGCCTGGATCCCCGACCGATTAATACTATTTGAAAAATGGTTGTTTCCCAACTCCAAGGTCGGGCCGGTCCGGAGCACTATGATTGTCCTGTGAGAAAGGAGTTCTGGACCTTGTCTTTGTAATCCTGACATTACATTGATGAGCCCAGTCCTGCCATGCCCTTGCGAGTGGGCACTCTATTCTAATCAGATATGAAAATTTCCTATGTGCCTGCCTTCGTGGATAAGAGCGGTGATAGGGTGAGACCTCACTGACTGTGCTCCAAGACTTAACTCGAAGGCCTAGTGGTTAGATAGATCCTTACCTGGAAAGTGAGTGCCTTTGTCTATCAAGGTTGCCCTGTGACCAGGCAGCAAACAAGGGTACTGACCAATCGGGCTGCCCGGGGCGACTTTCGACCACGTCGCCTGTTCGCCTAACGTCGGCGGTCTTAGCTGTATAAAGAAGCAGGCTCCCCACCAGGCTAAGCGCTGAGATCTAGCACCGAACCTCACCACACCCCTGTTTAGCACGAGAGTCTTATATCCTTGCCCGCTAGTAGCAGCTAGGATCAAGCCCGCTGCTTCCCAACATATTAATATCTTCATTTCCTAGAGGATTAGCGCCTGCCACCTTCCCCTTTACACTCACCAAATACCCTTCTAGTATTATTCCTACGTGAGTTTTAAAGGTACGAAATCCCCTTCTTCCCATCTTTCTTTCTTGATCAGCCCTCTTTTGCTCTTCGTCTTCCTTTTTCTTTTTTTTTTTTTCTCTTAGGCTAACTACACCACTCTATAAGGTCATCGCCTGATCCAACTCCAATATGAAACCCCTCACCTACCTCTCCCTCCTCCTTAGCATCTCTGCAACCACTGCTCTTGCCGCTCTCCGCCCAGACGCAACCTCCGACGAGGTCGCCGCGGCGGAAGCTGAGTGCGGGTCCTTAGGCGTGATGAGGATCGACCCAGCAGAGCTGCCCGAGGGCGTTACGATGGCCGACGTCCGCATGTGCGCCGACCATCCGCTCGGCCCCGGGGCGTACCTGGGTCCGGGTCCTGGTGCTTTCGCCAGGTTCCGTCGGTTCTTGCCGAGTTGGGTATTTTGAGAGGACAGCCCAGGGGCTGGGTCGAGGCCCTGTAGGTAGTCCAGCATGCAGGCTTCTTCTGCTCACGCGCGGGCTAGTTTTTCATACCCAGACTGGTTGCCTACGCTGTGCGGTGGGAGCAGCTGTTTGGGAATGAAACTCGTGGAAATGTATGGTGTTGTCTAATATTGATTTTTGGAACAAGCTTGATTGATATAGTCTAGCTGGAGGATAGTATTCAGATATAACAACATATAAAATTCAATGATAATGACATTTTAGCAATTTCCATTAAGTAGTAGATTAACTATTTCCATATCGGCCTAGTAATCACTCACCCGCGCAGCGTATATAGAAGGGTTGGTCTGGTTTGGCCCCAATTGCGGTTTATGGCGAAGTCTAGCGGCGAGCCGCCCACGCCCAAACCGTGGGCGCTAGGTGACCACCACCTTAGACATGCTATTGTATGTTTTTACTTTTTTATAAAGTTATATAACTATATATCTTTTTAGTTAACTAACTAGTGTTGTTTGGTTCGTCGGAAAGTCCCTTTTGCCGCCCTACTACTCTTCAGCCCCATCAGCCCATTTACCTGAATGCCCTGACATCACTATTTTACACCTGAATATCCTACACGCCCCTGAACTGCTGACGTGTCCTTCCCCTCCCATGCTGGATTTTAAATCAATGATATTACCCTCTTTTTTTGAGACATCAACGTCCAGACTCCACAATAACTACACTATAGATTCAGGTCACAATATGAAGGGAATTTAACCCTATAGCTCATACGGAGGGAAGACAATTACAGATACTCAAAACCGCGTCCTTTGACCCCAGTGGCGCAAACTCGTGCGCCTTTCAGGGAGAAGATCAAAAGTCATGGGCAGTCTTCCGCACGTTGCTGGTAGGTAATCCTTTTTGGAGTTGTTTAGGCTATTTATCTCAGTCTGATGTCTGGGTAAATGGAATGGTAGGATTTGACTCTTTTCCCTTTGTACTGGAGTGCGAATTGATAGCAGTACTGGGGTGTATCCAAAATAGACATGATTCCATTGGTGATAATCAAACAATGATACCACTTTCACCGTTCCTTGAACACAGCAGGTTCCAATGGACAACATCAACGAAAATGGACAGAGTTCACTCTCTATTGCCCAAGCGGGTCAATCACCACTGATCAGGATCCGCATCGGCAAACGCAGTCCCAGTAGCAATCTCATCATACCAAACCGACCTAGTACCCTGAGTGCCCTTCATCCCCTTATCATCATGCCACCCATTAGCATAAAGGCCAACTCGGAACTGGAAAGCCCGATCATCATCAATGGTAGTCGCAAGGCCCGTCTTATCCAACATCTTATTTCCATCCAACCACAACTTATATTGGCCAGTGCCATCCGACTTCCAAGTAGCCTGGATCTCGACCTTATGCCAGACGCCCGCACTGATAGTTGCTAGGCTGGGGAAAGTCACAGTCTTCTGCGAGCAGATACTACCCTGCTTGACGCGCGTGTAGAGCTGGTCACCTACAAGCCATACCATGCTGGAGGGCATGTAATCGTCGCAGCCGGTATCGCTGAAGTCGGCGATGAATTGGGCGATGTTGTATGACTGGGCTGGGGAGAATTGCCAGTTATCTTGCAGGCGGAAGGCGAAGCCGTAGAAGCCTGTGTCGCCGCGTTTGTAGACGTTGTTCTTGACCACTTCCGAGTGGTACCGGCCTGTGTAGCTGGAGTCGTAGATTTGGGTCATTTTCAGGGCGGTTGGGCCTTGGTAGACTACGTTCGTCACTTGTTGCACGGTGCCGGAGTGCTCTTTGTTGGTGGAGTCCCAGCCGGAGGTTGTGCCTGTGTTGCTGAAGATTTGGGTGGCCTGGGCTGTTAGGCTGAGGGCCAGCAGCTCTGCTAAGGGGAGTCTGCCGAACATTTTGGTAGAAGATGGAGGGTTGATTATCGTGGTACTGATTTGCAGCGGATTGATGGGCTTTATAAACATATTGGACTTTCCGGGACTCCTTCCGTAAGCAATAAATTGAGCAAAACATGCCGATGCGCTGGTGAAGTTCATTGGACAATTGTTAGTGATGTTTTATGTTCGTAAGAATTCCCTAAAAGTGAATTCAGCTGGAGCAGCCATGATCTTGGTTCATGCTACCACGGCAAGGTTTTTCCGTAGTAGGTAGTAGTTAAGTAGCAGAAACTGGGCCCAGCTGAGTGTTATTGGGTAGAGCAACGGGGTTGACCTGCAGTTTGGAGACCTTGACCCGCAATTCTGCAGATCATGCAAGAGGAATTAGGTATTGATTGGCCAGCCCCCACAGCGTTACATTTCAAGTGCGGAGGCTGACAAAGGTGGGCTTGCGGCTAACTTTTATAGGAAAAGGCTTTGGGTTGTGATGGAAATACAAGTGTCAAGTAGATGAAAGTAGATGAAGGAGGTAGATACGGGAGGCCTAGCGTGACTTGCCTTTGTTCAGGCACGAGCTGTTTGCCTTCTTAGGGGAGCTTCTCCGCAACTTCGTCAACCGTGATCAAAAAAGATGATTTCGCGGATCAAGTCAGGTCATTCACGGTTCTGTCTACATGATAAGTTAATTACTAGCTCCCGTACACTCTTGCCCTTCCTTCTTCACTACAAAAAGTTGTTAATAATGTGGACATGGATTTAGGTGCCGGTAGGCTTGGCAGATATAGTGTGGCGGCTTTATAGAATATGATTCGCGGAATAATAGTCTATAGATATAATTTAACGTTTAGGCACGAGCTGTTTGCCTTCTTACTGGAGCTTCTCCGCAACTTCCTCAACCGTGATCAAAAAAGATGATTTCACGGATAAAGTCAGGTCATTCACGGTTCTGTCTTCATAATAAGTTAATTACCATCTCCCGTACACTCTTGCCCTTCCTTCTTCACTACAAAAAGTTGTTGATGATACTAACTCCCGTACACTCTTGTCCTTCCTTCTTCACTATAAAAATTGTTGATGATATAGATATTGGTTTAGGTGCCGGCAGGGTTAGCAGATATAGTGTGGCGGCTCTACAGAATGTGATTCGCGGAATAATAGTCTATAGATTTACTTCTCTACTTCTAGGGCTAAGTTTTACTTATCGAAAATAAATAACTTATAACCATAACTAGACTCTATTTTGTTTGAATCTCTCATGTCACATGACTCTCTCTCCATAGTAGTAGATTAGTATCTGCTTTCCTCCTATCTTCTAAGCGACAAGGCTATTAAGTGGGCTACCTGGAAATATAAACCAGGTTTCCGTCCTGAAAACTGTCACCAAATGGCGTCACCTCTTTACAGAGATATAACAAGCATACCCTTACAAAGAGAGAGTCTCGTCTCTACACGCCATTCACATGTTCCTTCATACTATGGGTAACAACACTGCCTACCAATACAAGCTGAATACGGTCTCAATTTGTGAGGACTGGTCTTACGACCGGAATTTACAACACATCTTCGGAGACTTCGTTACTTCTGAATGCCGTTGCATTGGCAATTATCGTAATAACCAGCAAGTTTCTTCCAATGCTGTCTCAGATAATAAGAAGAAGAAGAAGGACAACAACAAAGACAACAAGGATTCCAACAAGGACTCCAATCAGGAGAAGAAGCAATACCAGTCGTTCTGGTGCAAGAAGAAGCTTGGCCACAAGCCAGTTGAATGCTCTCTGAATCCTAAGAACAAGAAGGATGCCAAGCCAGCTTCTGCAGCTACGGCATCAACTAACAACCTCTAGGTATCTGCCACCTACATTGGTGCTAGCAAGAAGCGCTAGCGCAGCCGGCGTACCACCCTAAAGGCCTCCTTTAAATATTTCGACACCAACGGTGTTACTCACGATCTTCATGAATTTGATGACTTCTCAGTCGATGCAACTACTCCTGATATCTCGGTCAACGACCAAGACGATGCTCCACATCCAGACAAATAGATGATAGATTCTGGCTGCTCAGCCCATATGACCCTTGCCGCAGTGTTTTCCAAACTTTTACCGCTCATCGCCTACCAATTCACTCAGCTACAGGTGAAACCTTCTATGCAGAGGGTTATAGTGACGTTGTAATTGATATTGCTGAGTAATACCACAACGTTGATGATCAGGTTGGGGGTGTGCGGTTACTATATGCCTAAATATATTTAAGTTATGCCCCACGAACACCGAATGGGGTGATCTCACGGCTATTAACAATTGTGGTAGGTACATGTGTAAAAGTAACTAGTTACATATATAAAAAAGAAACAAGACCCAGGTCATAACATGGGTTAGCTAAAAACTAATCTAGTCCTCATGTTTGACATCCACGGCTGGGCCAGAATACTCTTTCCGTCCCTTGATGACATACATGATGAGACTAAGAATGAAAACCGCCCCAAAGATCACGACACTCCAGTTGAAATTTTCAGCGGTGACCGGCAGCTCACCTGGCCAGAATGACCAAAACATCGCGAAAACAGAGTAACACAGGCCAATGATGTTCACAGCCAACCCCCAGTTCCGCCCCATATCCCACCGACGAACAGGCAGGGTGTCGGGATGCCAGATCTTTCGCCAGATCACACAGGTGATTGAGATCACGTACGTGTACATCAAGGCAGCAGTGTTAAGAGAGATGATGGCGTTGAATGCAGTATCAGAGCCGATGTTGATCAGAGAAAGTAAGCAGCTGAACATGCAAGAGAGGGCGATAGCATTGACGGGGATCTTGCGCTTAGGATCAATTTTAGAAATCCATCGAGAACAGGGAAGACCCTTATCACGAGCAAAAGCCCAAGTTTGGCGAGAGGTGGAGGCATTAAACATAATGTTGCTGAAAATAACAGGTAATAAGATGATGGCTGTTAGCCCGTTAACTCCTGCCGTGTTGGTAGCCTGCTTGAACACGTAGAGGAATGGGAATCCGGTAGCGTCATTAAGAGAATCCTCGACGGATGGGGTGGCGAAGAGGTAGGCAATCAGCAAGATAGCAGCCATGATTCCATTAATAAAATACCCCCAGGCCATAGCCCGTGGTACGTTCCGGCCGGCGTCCTTTATTTCTTCCGACATATGCGCACACGCATCGGAACCTAAGGGCTAGTCAGTCTCTTTTCCACCGAATTTGCTTTGCATAAATAATTGCTAGGCCATCCCATAGATGGATGTTTGCTAGCAGACTGAGCGTGGTTGAGGTGGTTTTCCAGGGTATAAATACCCTGGCTTTGCTAGTTGAATAGATCATGTTTGTCCCCTCTCTCTCTTCTTTTGCCAGTTGTAGAAGAATAAGATTAGTGAAACTTACTAAGACAACCGTAGATAGCTGAGATTTGTCCAACCATCACACTCACTCCCATTGTAGGTAACCCTCCTAGATTTTTCCAATCCGAGACGAAAACAGCTTCAGCAGATCGGTGAGGAGACATAGCCCATAGGACGATCAAGATTACTGCCCAGGAAAGGACGTGAAGAATCATCAAGATGTTACTCAAGATTGGCATCAGGTCTGACGCATATACATTGAAAATGTATGTCACCAAAACCATTGAGAACACAAGTAGAGTGCCTTGCCAGCCTTTAGGATCGTAATCCGGATTGCGGACACTAATCAATCCCTGGATGATGGTGCCGGTGAGGAAGGATCCAGAAGCTGTTCCGGCTTGCCATGCTAGTACGGACATCCAGCCAGTGACGTAGCTGAGGAATTTCTGGTATCGAGGGGAGCAAAACTCCGACACCCAATGGTATTGGCCTCCATCGGTAGGTGCCATCGAAGCCATTTCCGACAAAGACACAATAATAAATCCGAATCCGATAAATGTCCAAATGTATGACCAGAACATGCCTGCTAGGCCTCCATTCTCCAATCCCTGGTAGTCCGAACTGGAAGGAGTTAATACCTATCGCTCGGAGAAAGGATATTTCAATTGCCTCACATGATCAGATATTCCCAAGTGGCTTGCAAGACTGATGCAAAGCTCAATGCCGCAAGAGGTCGCATGTTTCTCTATTTGAAGCAGAACATTAGCTGTGGATGTGATACCTACAAAAGGCGAACAAACCTTGAACTCTTGAACTTTTCCCATGCGATGCATTTCATCGTCGTCCAGTGCTGTCCCGCCTTGTCGGGAGGCCCCTGGATTCCTGCCATCTATACCCATGTCCAGCGTCTCCAGCGCGGTCGCTTTGATTGAGGTTTCCATGATCCGATGAATACCGATCCAGGCAAAAGAGTGACAGAGATGGAATTGGACTCACAAGGATTAAGGGGCCGTGGGAGTAAAGTATTAAATTCTGCTTCGATGGAGGGCCGGAATACCCGTGAAAGAATGGATCCCTTACAGTCCTCGTGCCCTGTGCTGCCCCACCGAGGGGAACGGGGAAAACAGGCAAAGCACTCTAAAGCTTCCATTTCGGCTAATTACTATTCAGTTGGCCGCGTGTTTCGCTTTAAAATCACAACATAATTTGAACCTCTTATCGGGGCCTAGAGCGGCTTCTGTTTCAAAAAAAGCATGTTTTTGCGGCACTAGGCCAGGGGCTGCATGGACCAATTCCTTAGCACCTTTACTAAGTGGGGAATATATGGCACAATGTAACAATGTTCGGAAGACAAAGTACATACATACCAAAAGCCGCCAAGACATTATTATGGGGTTATAGAATCTCGAACAACATATGTTGTAGAGTGATGTTCTCCACAGGCCACATGTTCATTGGTTTCACTCGTGCCGGGCCCGAGTCGTGCCCGGCCGGTGTATGACCCCCGATTGGACTTACTGGGACGGGAGCGGGAGGGTAGATAACCTTGAAAGTCCTTCCACTGTAACCATTGTCTATTTTCTACTCTGAACCGTGCATCTAGAAACAGTTCATCAAAGTGGCATGTCGAAACTCTTCAAAGCCAACTTGGAAGCTGCCTGAAGTGGAATGGGGGACGCCTCATCTAAAACGAGGAAATTGAAACCTAATTGACGGCGTTTACTCCTTTTCGCGTCCCCTGGCCTTGATCCCTGCAAACCCCTGCAACCCGGTTGGTTTACTACGTATAAACCCTGCTTTTTTCCATGAGAATCCCGGTCATGTTTGGTGCTACTGTGGCGCACTAGAGGCCCTCATATAGTCGCTTAATAACTCCTGCATTTCTAGCAAACATTAGGTGGGTTGATGGCCGTAGGAGTCTTTTTGGCCATTCGGCCCTAAGAACTTCCCATTTGACGATGTGTATTTCCCTCCCGATTCAATAATTGAAAATGCCTTTAACCATCCCTCTCATGTTTCAAATGTGAAAATTTTTGGTTCCAATTTCTTTTCCCGCTGGTGTTTACACGGCTCCTAGCTTGTCATGTCGACCATTTCGAAGCCATGGCCTTCGGGTGTGAGCCCTCCTCTTACGACGGATAATGACCATAACCATAGTGGACTGGTTGTGGTTATCACAGCGGTCAACTTGTGTCTGGTTTTACTTTCTCTCGCAGGGCGCACCTTCTCTTCGTACCACAGGAATAGCCTGCAGCGAGATGATTACACATTTGGGGCTCTCGTGGTACAGTACTATCCCCATTATAAACTGACAATGCTTGAGCTTCTTGCCTCAGGATTAACAAAGTAATAGCTTGCAGCAATTGTCCAGATTGCAATCGTGTTTTGCCAGGTCCACTATGGGTGGGGGACTCCGATCGACGACATCGAGACCACAAGCAAAGAGCAAATGTTGAAGGTAAGTCGTTGTGGAGGAATTTAAATCTTCTAGGATAGTTAACATTACGAAGATAGTATACGCTGCCGACATCTTCTCCATTATTGTGCTCGGCCTTTCAAAGATGACAGCCTGCATGTTCTATGCCGGCCTATTCTCCCAGATACAACGTCGAATTTCCTATGTTATTCTTCTGGTAATGGTCGCGTGGACAATAATATCCGCGTTCCTGTTGGGGATTCGGTGTTCTTCTAATCCCTGGTCCGAAATCAGTGCCGCTGAGTGCAGTGGATTGGTATGACTTGCCTCTACCGCAAATGAGTATAAGCACTGACTAGGCTACAGCGTTCCCGCTGGGAAGTCATCACAGCCCTCGACATTTCTACTGAGATTTTACTTCTTGTGTATGCGGCACTTGCAATCCATAAAGTTAGGATCTCGACAAAGAAAAAGATCGTCGTGTTTTGCGCTCTCGAGAGTCGGATATTGTAGGTCCCTTCACTAGACGATTGATTTAGGGACTTTTTTGTTGACACCATCATAATTGGACAGGCTCATCCCCATCGCGGCAGTTCGTCTGCACTTCATCCTGGTCCAACTCTCCTCGGAAGATCCATCTCTCCTCGGGTCCTTCGCCACGGTCTCAACGGAGATATACATAGGGCTAAGTGCCATCTGCCTCTTGACGGCCTTTCTCAAGTCTTTCGTTGCAGTCTACGAGGATGATATGGGGATAACATATACGTATCGGGGGGCGTTGAAGTCTGATTCTCGGTCGAGAACTGAGGATACACCGTCTCACGGGCTCTCCCGTAGTGTGAGAACAGAGCGAAGAATAAAGGGCTGGGAGCGAGAAGAAGACCCAATCATCGAATCACCTGAGCGTATTCAAGGGTTACAAATTATGAAAACTGTACAGTTAAGCATGCAAGACGAGTCTATAGAGCTATCAGAGCGAAGGGGAACTACAGGTGTCTAAAAAAACTCTTCTTCCGGTCTATCGCATTTGTAAAATTTGATCTCGGGAGTGAGGTTGAACCTTGGAAGGTCGAAGATAACGAGGAGTGTTCTACTCGGCTTAGCTCTAAAAGGAGATCTGTCTAGTAGTTATATAATCCTTGATGAGACCGATCAGGATCAGGATGAATTAACAAGATATCCCCAAGCTGCAAATTATCACTTCTACATTTTCAAAATCTCCTACCGCTATATCAATCTCTATCTCACCAATCCATTTACCTGGCCGCCTTAGTAGGCGCATTCATTTCGCATCCTGTTCCCCTTCCTACAGCTTACCTAAAATACGAATTGTAGAATTGTACGTGGTATTTCTGGATTCAACTAAGCAGACATCACACCTGCTTGTTTGACAACTTCACCAACAGCATGCACCACGTAATCGATATTACCCTCATTCAGTCCACACACACTCATCCGACCCGAGGGCAACAGATAGACATGAAACTCCCTTTGAAGTCGAGACACCTGCTTCTCAGTCAGCCCGGTATAGCTGAACATCCCAATTTGCATCTCAATATGTGACCAATCCCGCAACGTCTCCTTCTCCAGCCTTTGCCTCAGCAAGCGCCTCATCCTCTGGATCCGTGAGCTCATTGTATCCAAGTCTGCTTTCCACTGAGCCCTCAGGCCCTGATCTCCAAGGACAGTCTCAACAATACTCGCCCCAAACCGCGGCGGATTGGAGTATTCCGCCCTCGAAATCAACATCAGTTCAGATAGCGCACCCTTTGCCGAAAGATGCCGCGGTACAACCAGGTGTAGGGCACCCACACGCTCGCCGTACAGACCGAAGTTCTTCGAAAACGACTGCGCGACACACAGACCCGGATGCGTCTCAGATGCGAGGACACTTTCTACGAAATGGCGAACCGCCCACGCATCACCGTCGACGTCGCCCGTCGCAAAGCCCTGGTATGCACTGTCGAAGATGGCGAAGAGTTTTTTCCGCTGGACGAGGTCAGCGACCTCCGTCCACTGGGACTTTGACAAGTCCACGCCGGTGGGGTTGTGCGCGCAGGCTTGAAGGATGACGACGTCATTGGGTTCGGCGTTGTCCAGGGCGTCCAGCATCCCGGTTATATCTACTTCTCTCGTGTCACAGGAGTAGTACGGATACTCCACAACCGCAACGCCGGTCATCTCCCATATAGACTTGTGATTGATCCACGTTGGGGAGGGGATGAAGACGCGATTCGGGCGGAGGTGGCGGGCCAGGAAGGTGGCTGCGAGGTGGTTTGCGCCTGTACCGGAAACTGTTTGGATTGATACTGCGTTGTCTTGGAAGCTGGATGCAATGGGTCCGAAGATGAGGTCATTTGCCAGCTTGGTGAAGGTTGGCGAGCCTGCTATGCCTAGGTATTCGTGCGTGGTTTTGCTGAGGCGTTCCTTTGCCTAGACTAGTCGTTAATTGCTGTTTTACTCTGCAAAGCGATTTTGGAAGTACCTCTTTGACGCTTGGCAGGATCCAGGGCTCTCCATTCTCGTTGCGATATGCTCCGGCGATCAAGGAGACTTTCTTTGGGTGAGGGTCTGCTTCAAACTCGGCCATCAGACCGAACGCAATGTCCGCAGGGGCAATCGGGAGGTCAAGATATTGCTTTGCCATTGTTGAGCTTGGTCTTTGAGTTGGTGCCTTTTCAAGCGGTGGTCCCTGTTGAACGTGGGTTTGACTAGGTCGCACCTTATAGCCAAAAGATTGCGTTGGTAGTTCGGTGTAGTTCGGTGGACCTGGAGAGGATGATCTGTTTAAAATAATGAAGTTTGGACGCTAGACCATGTGCTGTCACCGTGTAATTGAGCAAGTATTATGACGTTGGGCGCAAAACGGCATAGTCGTCAGTTACCGAGTCATCAGGTCGGGATGGTGATATTTGACGTTGCCGTCCAACTCTGTCCAGCAACGAAACAATATGGGGGGAGATGTCGGCAAGTGCTCTTTACACCGATTTGGGTGTTCAAGATCGATATTACATCATGCCTATAGAATGGAAGAAACTGAAATGTGGATGCGCAAGTACATCCAAATCGGCGTAATAGTACCTTGCCGACATCCCTCGAGCGAACACCCAATCCCTCGCCTTGGAAATTTTTCTCAGTCCGGGGTACAAGCGGTGCATATTCATGACTTCGCATATTTGGCAGACAGTGCCTGATTACTGAGATGATCGGTGCAGCTCTGATTGCTTTCTTCTCCAAGCTGAATCGTATAACTCGATCACCTACATATAGCTGGTCGTGGGTTTTTTTTGCCCATTTCATTTCTATCTCTTCCTTTCATACGAGCCACTTACCTTCGACCATTTTTCAATATTTCAATTATCTACCTACTCATCACAATTTACACAATGAGCGAGTCCACCATTTTAGACCGGCTTTCGGCGCTCGACACCAATACAGTGTCTGATGCCTTGGACTTTCTCAGTCTCAAAGGAGCCACATACGGCTTACGACCACTCTGGGACTGCCCTAAGATTGTTGGACGCGCCAGCACAGTCAAAGTGGGCCCAAAGACTGATGCTGCTCCCACAGCCCATCTACTCACCCCGGTCATAGATGCGGTAACTACGGATGATCGCATTCTCGTCATCTCCGGCGGCATAGATGGCGTCTCATGCTGGGGCGATATCCTCGCCAATGCCTCGAAAATCACGCGAATTCGTGGAACCATCATCGATGGCATGAGTCGTGACATTGACGGGAGCCGCGAGGTCAGCTATCCCGTTTACGGCCGTGGCGTAACCATGATCAGCGCGCGTAACCGCGTGGTCCAAGTTGACTCCGGCACACCGTTACAGATGCAAGGCGTGACGGTCCATCAGGACGACTATGTTATTGCGGATCGCTGCGGGACAGTGTTCGTCCCAGCCAAGCACATTGAAGATGTCCTGGAATACGGCGAGCGCATCGACCGTCGTCAGGCCCTTATGGTACAGGCTGTTCGAGCTGGTCACCCGGTGTCGGAGGTTATGCACGACACGCAATTCGAAGCCATTCGCGAGGGTACACCGTCACAGACAGCTGCAAAAACCATAGCAGCTGAGCCATCCTTCAATAAAAATCCAAAGAAAGCTAGCACCGAGGACCAAGAGTTGGTGGCACTGTTTGCCGATTCAGACACTCCTGCTGTTTCTGACGCGCTTGATAAACTTGGCATTTCTGGACAGGCGTTCGGTATTATGCCTTTGACCAATTACAAGAAGACTACCGTCGGGCCAGCCTTCACTGTACGTTACGTACCCTCCAGCGACCCGCCAGGAAGTGTTGGTGATTTCATCGATGATGTTGCCGTAGGTGATGTCGTAGTCATCGACAATGGCGGTCGCACAGATTGTACCGTTTGGGGCGACATTATGACTCAATATGCCAGCTTACGGGGTATTGCTGGATCAGTTATAGACGGTGTGTGCCGCGATGTGAACCGTGCGATCAGCGATGACTACCCTCTCTTTACCGCTGGGCGTTGGATGCGAACCGGTAAGGATCGGGTTCAAGTGGGAGGCGTCAACCAGTCGATTGGTATTGGAAAGGTACTTGTCGAACCTCGCGACATTGTTGTTGCCGATGCAGATGGTGTCGTTGTTGTTCCTCGAGATCAAGCCCGTGAGGTGGCCGAAGTCGCGCGAAAGGTTGAGGAAAGCGAAGCTGGCATCCGGGAAATGATTGCTGGCGGAGCCACAATCGCTGAGGCGCGTGAGCAGCTCGGTTATCACACGCTACAGCGTAAGGGATAATGATTAGTTGAAGAATTTTCTTGTACACGGCGAAGTGATTTTGTTCCATAATCTGCCTCCCTGACTTAATCCAATTGCTTTATATTCTTGGGTGGCCTGAGGAATTCATCAAAGGCCCGTTTTTATTTTTTGCTGGGGTCTATCCTTATAATTTCACCATGTATATCGAGATACATTATTTGTAAGTTGGGCTGGATGATCAAATCCCCACTTTTGATGTTGATGAGCTACATCGTTTGTCAAAGGCTAAGCCCCGTGTGGCTGGCTCAATCCAAGCTGTATAGATGGATTCTATATGTAAGTTTTCCATAATCGATGTAGATATGTGTCAAGATATAAGCTATCATGAGCGCGCGATTTGCAACTCAGCTGTATACCAGTTTTGCATCGCCCGAATATCGTAACTCATCGCTACGGTATCGAACACTTTCAGATGTTCCTTGCACAAAGCCCCGTTGTTTGATAATCGACCGACCCATTTGCCATGTTTTCTGGCTGCGACCACGATCTTTTCGATTGCTTCAACAAAGTCAGGCTCGTTCCCTTTTGCGGGGAGATAGCCAAGGACCGATAGAGCAAGGTCGTTTGGCCCAATAAAAATCATATCTTGACGAATATTAGCAAAACCATTATTAGGATTGGGGTCAGTCACTTACCGATACCAGGTACAGCGCAGATAGCGTCAACGTTCTCGACTCCCGCTTTTGATTCAATTTGAATACAGGTGATAATCGTTTCGTTCGCTGTTTTTAGGTATGTCGGTATATCGATACCATGGGCGATGGCCGGAAACGCTGATCCTTGCCCTCGAAGCCCTTGTGGAGGGAATTTTGAATAGGACACAACGGTCCTGGCTTCTTCGGCAGTATTGATTTGAGGAACAACGATACCGCTTGTCACATGGTTAGTAAGAGAATGGTAGAATTGGTGTTTTCACTTACTGTGCACCAGCATCTAAAGCTCTTTTAATCAAATCCGGGTGGGTCATTCTAAGACGAACAAGCGGCGACACCCCCAAAGCAGCGATAGCGGCAGTCGAGTTGTGCATGGAATCATCGCTGATATTTCCATGCTCACAATCGATAATGATGCCCTTCATGACCATCAGTATGAAAATCCATCTATTGAAGCGGAGAAATGCTGACATCAACGCCGGTCTGAGCCACAACTTGGGCTGTGCGGAAGGACGGAAGGCCCAAAAATGTCATAATAGGTTTCGAGCCAGCTCGAAGAGCATTGAGCACGCGTAACTGGGGGTTTTGAATTAAGGTCGTCATGGCTGATGGGTATGACATCTTGGGATAAGAGTGTTCTTCAATAGTTTAACCAAAGCCTATAAAACCGTTGTCTTGACGTCGTCCAGAGAAGACAGCGATGAGATATAAAGAAAGAGGCACAATAGGCAGCTATATTGATATTGAGAATAGCGTGGAAATTAAATCTGGAAAAGTCGCAATGAAACAATAGGAGTCGTTGTTCAGTATCGGGAAATCAGATTTATCCCGAGCGGCGGACCTTAACGCTGACGGCGAAACCAGATCCAACCGAGCAACGTTCTAGCAGGGTCGCGGGCAAAATTGTTCCAAAAATTGTGGTTTTGAAGCTCAATTCATCATTCTCGGTGATACAGCAGCTACACCGAGCCGTCTACTCAAACTTGGTCAATAGCATCTAAAAACCACAACTACTATCATCACTCAGACAGACTGAAGCAAAAGTATTAAAAATGATCATAAAAACATACAACAGTGAGGATTCGCTGGTGGTCACCCACCCAACTACTAACTCACCGGCGTGTGGCTTAAGTACGGCTGAGCGGACGGGAAGCCCTGTTTTCCACACCCTATGGTCGTATGTAGTATTTTACAGGTGGCAGCAAATCATAACTAGCTAACTAGCACGCAGCTTATGATGATACCCGTATCTAATGACTTACTTCCCGAGGTCCATACCTGCTTTTAAATAGCTTCATCTACCATCCAGGTATCTATTTGGTTACCATATACAGTTTTGCTTAGGATCGGGCTGCGAACGGATTCTTGCAGGCGCCTTTGCAGCACTTGGAATTTTGCCCTTCTTCACAAAAAAAACGAGGTGACTCGGGAAGGAAAAAGAGACCGACAGCGTGGATAGTGGACTACAAGAATTGAATACCGATGGGGATGCGATAAGATCCTGTGTCATCGCGGTCTTTCGGGCGCGATCTCTGACACGTACAAGATGATAATTACGGAGATAAATCCGACCCCTAGACCAGCAATAAAACAGCCGGTAACCATGAGAGGCAATGCCGTGGAGGTGATTTCACAAACTGCTCCCACAGAAACGTGTTGGGCTACTAACTATGGGGGAGAGAGAAGAAGAAGAAGAAGAAGAAGAAGAGGAATCATGATCTATTCAATCTACCTGAGCAGGGGAGTTAGACCCTGCCAAACAAAGAAAGACAGGCTCATTCGGCAAACAAATGGAGGCATCAATGGGATGACCGACATTGTCCAACAAAAAGATACCACAGCCCAAAATAATTGTAGGTCGACGGCCATATTCATTGTCAGTAAACTAATTTATTTCGCTCTCACATTCCATTTGGTTAATATGCAGCTCCTGGCGCGCTATATGTAGCTGCAAGACAAAGACAAATCCAGGATTTACAGTATTTTATGCGTTTTTATCCTCTATTTTTCATTCCCGGCACAATATAACTTGAAGAAAGAATCGATAAGATGTATTTGAGAGGCTTACAAACGTGCCTGGGACTTGGTTTCAACAAAGCCACCAGCGCCAAAGACCTCCATCCTGATCTTGGATGACTTTACTCTTTTATTGAGTAAAGAGTTTTTAACCATTTCGAGGAATGGAGACGGACCGCATATGTAGTACTCCGTAAGCGGGTCACTCAAGAAAAGATCCCGATGCGCATCCAGGCGTTGCAGGTCGATGCGACCTAGGTGATGGTAGTCGCTACCAGCCTTGTCGCTAGCCTCGGGAAATTCGACAAAGAACGTCACTCTGGCTGTAGCATCGGAGCGACTGGCTTCAATTATTTCCTTGAAGAAGGCCCGTGCAGCCGTGGTTCTTGTAGCGTAGATGAGATGTACGGGACGCTGCACGGTGGATCCAGTTGACGTGAGGAACTTCAACATAGACAACAATGGGGTTATACCAACGCCACCTGCAATGAGAACAATTGGTGTGCGCTCACGGATGCTGTTCAAGAGAAAGTCACCTCCAGGATGTGAGACCTGCACGATTCCGCCTGGGGCATCAATGTCGTGGAGAGCATTTGACAGTACACCGGGGGCAAATTGCTGACCCCGTTCTTTCTTCACACTAATCCGATAGTATTTAGATGAGGGGATATCGCTCATTGAGTATTGTCGTGCCTGCATGTAGCCCATTTCCGGTATATAGACACGCACGGAGACGTATTGGCCAGGTACGAAGGTTGGAAGGGGTTTGCTATCAACAGGGAAGAGATAAAACGAGGAAATCTCCTCGGATTCATGGAAAATAGTGACGATGCGAAAGTCCCTCCAGTCTTTCCATTCCTCATGCTGGCCATAGAGCGAGCTCTCTTTCTGAATCATGAGGCTCGCGAGTTGGCCATAAGCGGAAGTCCAGGCATCTTGCACGTTTGGTGTGAAGTCGTCTCCTAAAACTTCTTTCATCGCCTTGATCAGATACAAGCCGACGATATCGTACTGATCCGCAGTGATTTGTAAAGATGCATGTTTGTGACAAATCAATTCTAGCATTGGACCTAGTGCGTCTAAGTTGTTGAGATTCGCTCCGTAAGCGTAGAGGGCTCCAGCAAGAACCTTTGCCTGGTGTCCAGTTTGCTGGTTTGTCATATTGAACACGCTCTTCAGCTCCGGGTGGGCGGCAAGCATATTCCTATAAAATGCTTTGGTGATACTCTCCCCGTATTGCTCCAGGAACGGAAGAGTTTGAGCTATCACGGCAATCTGTTCTGGAGTCATGTTTGAGTGCAGAGAAGAATGAAATGACAGGAGAAGGTCGTAGGGTAGGTATTCTTGATATTGGGACTTTAAGATAACCGGGTGAAAGGAATGGACAAGCCTCTTTAAGCAAGCCAGAAACTTCCGAAAGTATAGTGGGAAACATCAAAACCCTTCTGAAGTTTCGGCTGATTTTCCATGCGAAGGATTGACTATTAGGAGCTCTGCTACTCCTTCCGCAATACCCGCCCCGCCCCGCGATTCCTTCGGGTTAGCATTAAGGTTCTGCGGGCAAGAGGCCTCATCGCGACAAGACCTTTTTAAGTTGTGTTTCTCCGCGGATGTATGAACAGTAAGTTCTCCGCATGTTTCAAATCGCAGCCCTTCTCAGCCCCTTTGAAAGTGCCGAGCACTGCTAGGCTGCCTCGCACACGTATCTGTCGTTTACTAGTCTACTTCTCAAACCGATCGAACCAAGGACTCATATAATCAAAAGCTTCTATAATGAAGATTCTTGAGGTCGTTGAGAAGCTTGGGTGCATTGAATACTATGTAAGAGGATCTCTTTCTCAAAAATCAGAATGTATCCAATTTCCAGTCGGGATCTGTTCACTTTGTTGTGTATTAAGCCGGAGGGTCCATATTTTATAGCAGTATATATGAAAAGATATCAGAATTTAAAGTTGAGATATACTATCCCCAAACAACTACTCTGCCCTAAAGTTTGGATTGATGCTGCCCAGACAGAATGTTGCGAGCACCTTCACGCAAAGACTTGACGATGTCCCCGGCGGGGATTAGTTCCCTGATGAGCCCAACCCCGGTCCCGGCATATGTGGTAAGTCTCCCATTTGGTCTGTATCCCTCGTCTCCTCGATTCAACTCTTCACGGTAGAGTTCGCGATTTTTGACTTCACACATACCACCAAGATGATCAAGGAAGGTCTTGTTTATCAGACCACGGCCATCGTAGCCCTCTGGCCAGCCATGAATGTCGCGAACTTTGTCATAAATAGTTGTCCGAACGGTACTAATGCCTCCATCCGCGGCATCTATAATTGCCTTTTGATAGCCACGAGCGATCATGGATTCGGGACTCGCGAGAAAACGAGTTCCGAGAACACAACCCTGGGCACCAAGAGCCATAGCCGCGACGACACCTCGACTGTCACTGATTCCACCGGCAGCTAGAACATCAGCTCGCTTCTGAGGGTAAGGGCGAAGCTCCCGAAGTTTGTCGTTGATTTCTGGCAATAGAGAAATAATGCTGGCTCCTCGGGCTAGTGAATGCCCGCCAGCGTCAAGTCCCTGGACCACGATGACATCCGGATCGACTGCCTCGACTACCTCAACGGCATCGGACACAGAGCCGACTTGCACCCAGATCTTGGTCCTCGACGAGGTGGCCCCTCTGATTTTGGTGGCCCAGGGAATAAGGTCCTGAAAGCCGTTTGGTGGAGCAAATAGCCAAACAGCAGCAGGGCAGTATCTGGAAAAACAGGGGAGTGCCTTGTCTAAGGAGGCACTCCAAGTTATGAAACCCACTCCGATAGGTAGGAACTTCGGAATGGCTCTCTCACTCTCCACTCGAGCATCTGCGGCTTCTTCCTCGAGCAGATCTTCGGCTTCCTCCAGCAGGTCCTCAAGATGGTCGCTGTGATATCCTGCTGCAATAAACCCTAAACCCCCGACCTTGGAGACAGTCACGGCAAGTTTGGGCATGGCGACTTTGGCCATGGGTGCCGATACGATGAGCGGGGTCGCTGTCCAAGGATAGTCAGCACGCATGTTATTCGGCAAGCTGTCAAGGAGATGCATGTTGAGTATGATGCGAGGCAATATGGAGAAGGAGAAAGTATGTCAGCTCTTATGAGAATAGGAATGCAAGCAATAGTAAATAGGTGAACAAGTCTCGACGAGAAAACTATATATCTCAGCAAATGGCTATGATGAAGAGGCTAAGAACCGAACCCAGCCCGTTTTGAGACTGTTTTCCCCACAAATCATTTCCCCACAAATTCCCCGGATCTCGAATGTTTAGCTGGCGCAATAGGGGGCACGAGAACGAAACTGGCATCCTGCAATCCCGCAATACCCGAACTGTTTCCATGCCCGAATGGGCGTAATTGGACCGGGCTAAGGGAGCTTTTCCAAAGAGCCCGCAATATCCGTTTCACGAGCAACTCCTCGGGCAACCATTTAACCCACTCGCCGAGTATTGTCCTCCTATACCCTTTTAAACACTATATAGCGCTCAAGCACCACGTTCAAAAGTCTCATTGTCTGCTCAATTTGAAGGATAACTTCACCTGAACGTTCTGATACCTAATATATCATTGGCATTCTGTCGTTAAAAATGACTTCCAACACCGCCGGGACTGCCTCAACAGGCTTAACAGTGCGCATGTCACATGAACCCATCACTCGGCCCACCGACACACCCAATTTCATTGACAATAATTTCATAGCCTCCAAGGCAACTGAGTGGATTCCCCTCTTTGATCCAGCTACGAACAATCTTGTCACCCGTGTCCCTCAGTCCACCCCTGAGGAACTCTCTGCGGCAGTTTCCTCTGCTCAAAAGGCATTTCCGGCATGGCGGGGAATGAGTATCATTGCCCGACAGCAGATACTATTCCGCTTTACACATCTCATCAAAGAAAGCTGGGACCGCCTAGCTGCATCGATTACTTTGGAGCAAGGAAAAACGTTCAAAGACGCCAGAGGAGACGTCCTACGTGGACTACAGGTGGCTGAGACTGCCTGTGGTATCACTACTCAGCTTCCTGGGGAGGTTCTCGAAGTTGCTCGAGACATGGAAACAAGAAGCTATCGAGAGCCCCTTGGTGTTGTCGCTGCTATCTGTCCATTCAATTTTCCTGCGATGATTCCCCTCTGGTGTATTCCGATTGCGGTTGTTACTGGAAACACGATGGTTTTGAAGCCGTCCGAAAGAGATCCTGGCGCTGCTTTGATTCTTGCCGAACTTGCTCGAGAGGCAGGGTTCCCTAAAGGAGTCTTGAATATCATCCATGGTTCTGTTGACACTGTCAACTTCATCCTTGACGAGCCCGCAATTCGCGCAATCAGCTTCGTCGGTAGCAATCGCGCTGGAGAATATATCTACTCTAGGGGCTCGGCTAATGGGAAACGAGTCCAGGCGAATCTCGGCGCAAAGAACCATGCCGTCCTTCTCCCAGACGCAGACAAAAATGCCGCTCTCGATGCCATCGTTGGTGCTGCCTTTGGGGCTGCAGGGCAGCGTTGCATGGCATTGAGTGTACTTGTTACAGTTGGTGAGAGCTCCGGTTATATACCCGAACTTGTTGAGAAGGCTCGAGCGCTGGTTGTGTCTGCCGGCTTTGACAAAAACGCCGACGTTGGTCCCGTTATTAGTCCCGCAAGCATGGCTAGGATTGAGTCCATAGTCGCCAGTGCTGAACGTGACGGGGCGACAATCGTCCTGGATGGCAGAGGGTACAAACCACCGAATTTCCCCAATGGTAACTTTGTACGCGAAAGACCTATACTGATTATTCTCGTTCTTGCGTTGTTAACTGGCTTTAGGTGGCACCCACGGTTATTACAAACGTAAAAACGAACATGGAATGTTACAGGGAGGAGATATTCGGCCCCGTTTTGGTTTGTATTTCTGTACAGACACTCGAAGAAGCTATCAAACTTCTGAATTCGAATGAGTATGGCAACGGTGCATGTATTTTTACCAAGTCAGGCGTATCAGCTTCATATTTCCAAAAAAATATCGAAGCTGGACAAGTCGGCATCAATGTCCCACTCCCGGTCCCACTTCCCATGTTCTCCTTCACGGGGAATAAGAAGAGCATCGCAGGCGGGGGTGCAAGTACATTTTACGGAAAGCCTGGATTGATGTTCTACACCCAGCAGAAAACGGTCACTAGCCTTTGGCGCCGAGAGAATGTCGATGCGGGCAAACAGGTTGTCATGCCCTCTCACCTGTGAAATATTTCATTACATATACTGGGTACTGGGACGACAAGAGCATCCCTCGGAGAAGTTGGAGTATACCTTGGAAGGAGAGCCTACCCGACTTATTTGTTATTCAATTTAACGGTAGCGTCCAGTGGGTCAACATCTATTCTAAATAAAAGTTGTTGGATACCTGCATCATGGCAGGTTTCAATGTAGTTTCATCGATAGTGTTTTTGATAATAGGCGCATCAGTCTCTTAGACCCAGTTATCGTGAAGCCAGTGGTCTAGGTATTCCCTCGGGTATTACTTTGTTGTTTCGTAGATCAATATTACTTCAGTCCGCAGCCATGGTAACAGATCTAGACTACAGCCATTCATTCTTGACCGGCGCCCTTTGGGATGGGGGTACGGTTTCTGATTGAAAATAGCTTCACGTGGTCCAGCCACAGACACTGTCTCGGGCCTCTTCGGCCCATCCTGACTCCTTTGGCGCTCCTGCGCAGGCAAAACTCTTAACTGAATGCACCCATCATTTGCCCAGCTATCCAGCCGCTGGGTCAGTTCCCACGTTTCGGAATGGCGGGTATTGCGGAAATGGGTTTTGAATACAAAGGCTAGGAATGGTATCTCGCTCAAGGTGTGCGCCAACACGCCACCAGGTGTGAGAGCGAGAATGCAATATGAAATGAGCATTATTAATTAACCCTTTGGTGTATTTCCCCCGCCACCATCACAGGTAACGCGAAATTTGTGCTAGGACGCTGAAACTTGTGATAAATTATATTTCACTTATTGTTGCAAGTAGGGTCAAATTTAGCATACCATGGGCATCCTACTTGATCCAAACAATATATGCCGCCTAATAAGTCCCCATGAGGATGTTACGGAACCTATTTCTACTGCTACTCCATTGAGGCGCGTGGCGTTTACAAAAACCAGCTCCGCGGAGTTTGTCTGGTAAAATTTGGGCGCAACCCGGAGTATGGGGTATCAATAGATTCAATTGCGGGGTAGAGGAACCCTTTCCTCGTGTTCTCCATATATCTATGGCGTCGCCGAGCTCTGAACAGGGACACAAAAGGAATAGGCATTGAACCAACACTCATTCTCCCTCTACAACCCTCCAAACGTCAACTTTAAAATATGTCCGGTAAAGCTATGAATGAACACGTGGAAGGCAACACGGAGATACTGTCTCACATACGCACTGCAGAGAGTGTCATGCTGCCCATTCCCCGGGATACCTTTGAGAAGCTCTACCTGACCCCTAAGATGCCCATCGCAGGAAACTTGCGGCGCACTTTTGGTAACCCAACCCCTATATCATTGATGGGTTTCTTAGTGTCTGCCACACCCAATGCAATGCTTCATATGGGTTGGAGAGGTGCTGGCGGAGATGGAGGGGCCATCTTGTAAGATCAAACTCCGCCAAGAGGGTCCAAAACCAAGTACCAATCCAAACATAGCCCAGCATATATCTTTTTCGGTGGCATAGTCCAGATCATTGGCGCCTTGGGGGAATGGATTCTTGGGAATACCTTTTCCTGCGCTGTTTTCTTCACATATGGTCAAAATTCCTAATCATTTTAACTGGAATCAAGAAACTAATAAATAACAGGAGCTTTTTGGCTAGCAGAGGGGGCCTCCTTGATGCCATTTTTCGAAGTGGGTGCCAAATATTCCTCCACAGGTAACAGCTTTGAGGGTATGAAGACAGCTGGGTACCACGCAACTACAGGTAAGTCCAACATGGAGGATAGACCAAAGGTGCATTTCTAATAATCGAAAAGGTCTATATTACGTTGTCTTGGCTGTGGTCACTTTCATCTATCTTATTTGTTCCATCCGCACAAATGCGTGTCTGTTTCTTGCTCTCCTGTTCTTGGTGGCAGCATATAATCTCTATGCAGCTGTGCATTTCTATATTGCGCTAGGAAACGAAGCTCTGGCAGCTAAGATGGAAATGGTATGTGATGAAAATTTGAATTTGAAGTTTACTTTTGTATTATGTTGCTGTAGGAACGTTGCTAATTTCTAGCTTCAAGGCTGCGGGTGCCTGCAATTTTATACTTTGCATCCCGATATGGTACATCTTCGTGGCCCAAATGTTGGAGTCGATTGACTTCCCACTCGTCCTACCAGTTGGAGATTTGAGTGAGCTCATTCAAGGAAGGAATCGAAAGGCGCAGAAAAGGACGGAGAATGATGCATAGATCACGCTCTCCATGTCGTACCATCCGAACTTCTACCTGGCTTCTTCTCAAACTGTTCAGAAAGTTCTGATCTTGTTCGGCCTTCAGTTTCCTCTTCCCGTCTGCAAGTCTCATGATGTCTATACATACCTATGCATTCATGTACCCAAGAATGAACTTTTTTTTGTTTATAATTATCATGCGCATTTTGACTGTGGATTTGAGGGGATTAGAGGAAAACTAAAGTGTAATCGTCTCCAATCTTGCCGCCCTACCTCTTTGTGAGGACGCTAACCTACTGCGAAGTAAGTCGTGCGTAGAGCGAACACATAAAGACCTAATATTGTGCTCACCACTCCTCAAACACCGCATCATTTCATCAAAAACCTAACTCAATGACCACTATAAGGTCTCTTGCAAAGGCAGCCTTATTTGGGTGGACGAATTTGCAAGTATGCGAGGTTTCCCGCATTCGCCACTACCCTTAGCATGCGGGTATTGCGGAAAGGAAATCCCACTGGTGAGTGACTCTAGTTAGCTTTTGGCACACCAGTGCTTCTCGCTGTGTCCACTGCAAATTGGTCGCAAATCATTTGAAAATTCTAATTTGCGGGGTTCCAGAAACATCCAAAATCAGCCTAGTAAAAGGCACAAGTTCATATAAATAATCCGTTCTATATAGGTGGTGGACCCTCGCTATGCAAGACGCTCGCATAGCGAGGGTCTATAATTTTGGTAAAAAATTTAAAGGCCGGTTATATGGTAAAATAAAGCTTTTTGACACAATATAAATTCAAGTATCAACTTTTTGGGTGGTTTATAGGCTCTCTCTCGCCCTATATGAAAATGAAGCCTTTTGAGGTTATCCTAAAAAGTGGAGATGTAGGATTTTGATAGTTAGAGCCAAAAGCTTTATTGAGAGCTGTAAACCACCAAAAAGAATGGTAATACATCAATTTGTATGGGATAAAAAGCTTCATTTTCATATATAGGGAGAGAGCTTATAAACCACCCAAAAAGTTGATATATGAATTTGTATGGTGTCAAAAAGCTTTATTGAGGCCAGTAAACCACCCAAAAAAAATGGAGATACATTGATTTGTATGGTGCAAAAAGCGTCATATTAGAATGAATAATTTACATTACATTGTACCGAGCAGTGTACTAGGCCAAAATCAGGCATTAGAGCACCAACTCTAAGCCTAAATGGGGGTTTGACCCCTGGCGCCTATGGGACTGCGTACATAGTAGCGAAACCGGGCTGAAATACGATCTGACCACCTTGTACGCGCTATGAATGAGAGTAAATTCCAGAGACGCACACGATCCAATCGGTAAATAGCACATGAAGGAGGCCTGATAGTCAAAGAGGGGTTATAGCCTGTTCAGCAAGTCAGGTAGTTAATTACACCGTGCGCCTAAGGTACAGAAACTGCTGGTCAAACTAGTTAACAGCTCGGGGACCTGGAGAGCATCTGACGTCGGGCTTTGAATCCTAGGTTCTTTGGGTCGCGGTCGCCAGGGTCTAGCCGGCTTTACTGGTTAATCGGGATCTTGAAGATGATGTCTCATGGGGCGGATGTTGCGGAAGCTGCGGGCTTTTCTCCCGCACCACCCCGGTCGTCACCGATGGTTCTCGTTGGGTCAGTCATACTATTCGCACTAGGGCGGTCCTACTACTTACATATGCTGCTCGGTCACCCTTTGTGATCGGTTGAGCAGCCCTGTGTCCATATTAACATACGCACGAATCACACATTTACATCCAATTTTTCAAAACAACCCCAGCATGCCGCTTGTCAAAATTGATGTTATTCGAGGCGCGTGGTCCACCAACGAACTCAGATTGATCGCGGACGTCATCCAGCAGGTGATGATGACCCATTTTAATGCTCCTAAACGGGACAGATACCAGGTAAGATGTGAATATATAGCCCTCGAATATGTGTTACTCACATCACACCTAGATCATTACCCAGCACGAAGATTATGAGCTCATTTGCGAGGACACCAATCTGGGCTACACTCGAACCAAAAGAATAGTGATCATTCAGATCTTGCAACAAGGCCGGAATGCGGAGAAAAAACAGCAGGTCTTTAAAGCATTGTCTGAGAATCTGTGGGAAAAGTGCTCCGTGGCTGGTGAAGATTTGATTATCACCTGCGCTGAAAACACCCAGGCAGACTGGAGCTTCGGGATGGGCATCGCACAGTTTGTCACTGGACAGCTGTGAGGGTTTGATGTGATCTGAACACCGGTTCTCCTGACCGGTTACGATACTTTACGTACAGATATCGATAGCCGAAGATATGAGCGTACTTCACAAGTCGGAAATTCTACGCTATGCTTTTGAGGGGTCCAGGAAGATCTTTGTTGTACTCATGAGTACAAATGTCTATCACATATTTTGCGCCAAGGAAACATGTTGTGTTAGCAAGTAGGGTGGAAGATGAGCAACTAGCATTCGGAGTCTACATGTTCTATAGGGGAGCGGGGACACTACTCCTCCATCCTTGACATTCACACTTACCTAATTGGCTACCCACGTAAAGAGTACGAACTAGAACCTAGAACAAAACGTAGGAGTCACGCTCAGCGGATATTGGAACTCCCCACAAATAAATCCTCTTCGATAGTGATTTCCTCCAAACTCGGCAATCCACCCACAAAGTCCATCAACCACGAAACCTCTTCAATACAGTCTGCAAGGTAATCCTTGTGAACTGAAGCCTGTGCGAGAGCGTGAGCAGCAATGTCAGGCTGCTTGAACTCAATCCCAAACCCAAGATGAATGATAGGGTGAACAAGTCCTGCGAACATCCGAGAGAGGAGATATTTGGTTGGCTAGCTCGTCACCGCTGAAAAGATACTCATTCAGAACCACTGTGAGACGTCGTGGGTGAGGTCCAAAGCTAAATCCTGTATTATTGTATGCGGTATCTTGTATATCTTGGCCAGACTTATGTAAATCGTGAGCAGCTAAACGCCCAAGATAGAATGCTCGGTGCAAATGCTTCCAGTGGATCAAATACGTCGCAAAAGCCTGAAAGGATTCCCACTTTCCGGCCTTTATTGAGATTGGATCTTCCTGATTTCTGAGCAAGGGGTGAATCGGGTTTTTTTAAATCAATCTTGTGAGAATTCGGTGTATGACAAGGATCCGATGTACTTCAAAATGTATACATGTATTTAGAGCAGAATTTTTCGTCCGGCCTCGAGATCTTTAGTCTGCTTTTGCAATCTGTGACGCTTTCTCCGAACGGACAATTCCTCCCCCGCTATATGTTCCAATTGCTCATTAGAAAGGCAGTAGACCCAAGATGGTGAGAATATATTCATTGGGGCCTTAGGTCCAGTGACCAGATAAAAGTCCGCCGCTTGCATGCACATATTGTCAACGAATCATTTTCGTGCGACCTTGTAGTATGATTTCAAAATGTCATGGATGTCCTCGACCGTCTGCTTCGAATTACTCATGTGATGAATTCGTACGAGACCAGAAACCTGAAAACACTCTCGCTTTGAGCCATCAGGCATATCCACAGGGAATAAAGTCTTCTTAACAGCAGACGAAATACGTTCCTAGCGACTGAAATCCGAGTTGCTCAATAAGTTGCAATCAATATAGGGTTAGATAAAATACTCACCACTTTTGTGAATTACTATTTAAGTAATGGTTTTGACTTATCGGTGTTCCCTCTCTTTCGATTTTAAGGAGAAAGTCCGTCATTGAAAGAGATTTCCGATACCTCTCGATCAGCCCGTCTATTAAAAACGGGAGAATATTTGAGCGGAGTCTGTGATCACGACAGGATATTGTTAAGGCTATACTAATAAAATTGTGAACGATAGATATGATATCGCAGATATAACCTTCGGCCAGAGAAGGCCATTTGGCAGGTTGTTTCTTCAGGACGCTAGAAAGTATAGAAGAGCTGAATGTTCCTAGCTCAAATCCACGGGATTCTAGATAGAGATTCTAGATCTAAGGGAGGATACCTTATGCTCTTAAACACTCTATTTGGACACCATCATACAGAATGTCCTCAATATAGTGGCAAATGTTAAGTTTCCTGCTAGGTATAGTATTAAGCTCGTCGTTGTCTTCCTTCTCCTCATAATCATCTTCCCCAACATAGGCGCCGACAGAACTCGGTAGGGAGGTCACTAATATTTTAGGGTCCTTATCCGAATCGTCATTATAACCATACGCTTTAAAGCAGTAGACATGTCCTTAGGTGGAAAATTCGTCAGAAAATTGCGCATTGCGGTTAGCCACTAGAGTTGCCAGTCTTAAGCTAGGGTATTCATCAAAAGAATCCTAGGATCCGTAATTCGTATAGAGAGCATTCTCCGTGATACGCTAGAACTTAGACACAACTTCGAGCAGATATTTGCTTTACTGCTTAGGGGACTCGCGTTCTCCTCTAAGGCTTTCAAAGGCCTTTCTACATTCTTTAAGGCGCTTGGAGACTTCAGATCGTACCTATCATCCAATTAGCTCAGACGGATATAATAGGTCAATATTTGTCTCTATACGTGAAGCTCACCTTAAGGAATTCCCGCCGCACATTTGAGGCTAGAAGAGCTTAGAGTCGCTATCTAAGGGCTTCAATACTATAGTTATCCTTAGAGAGGCGGCTCCAAGGGGGTGAATTTCTGAATTTCTCTTCAGTGTCACGAATCTTAGACGTGCCCTAGAGATACTTTTGTCTAAGGTTCTTAACTACCACCCAACCTAGCTCTTGTGCCTCTAGTTTTTCCTCAACAAGATCAATGATTTTATCTTCTACTCCTTTATCGACAAGATCTAGCTTAGTGAGGATCCGCAATGTCCTCTATCCATCAGGGTCAAGCTCTCTAGCGATTTCAATAATTTCTTACGTTGTAATGTCCACATTTGCTGGAACAACTACAAGCATTATGGAGCGGGGATTGCGCATATAATTTAGCACTATATCTCTTACTAGGACAATGTCTGCTTTGGTGGTCAGTCTAGGGGTGGTCGTTTGAAGATTCCAGGAACATTAATAACACTGAGGTGATTCTCATGTGGTCTGTGGATCTCTAATTGAAAAATATCGTGGGAGAAAGTGGGTAGGCTATCGTCGAGTGAAGTTGATAAGCCCATTGCTTTATAAACCTTAAGCGAAGTCAGCACCATACTCATTACGCTTGAAGACTCGGTCTCACCTCATTCATCATATTCCCGAACTCTCCTTCACCCAATGCCTCGATGTCAGACATACTCCAATCAACAGTCTCATTTTCCTCCTCATGCGTTGTTGAAATGATCGAACCAGTTACTTTGCGTGTGGCCAAGTTGGGAGCCCTTCTGAAGATAATCTGAGTGGCGAATCGAGTACACAGACCACTATTCCTAGGAAATTTCAATTTCGTCAGGCCTTCCAAAAGGAGCTCTTTCCGCTAGACTGATCTCCGACGACGACCAATTGTGGTAAATTGATATTTTAACGGTGTCCGTATCTTTCAAGTGGATCGTTAAGCTTTATGTAGTTGACAAGTATGTTCTCGACGATACTATGCGGCGCTTTTCCGCCTTAATGGGTGTATAAGTCGGTTAAGGGTGTCCCAGCCCGGGGTAAGTTCATCGCTATGTTCGCTTCATCTGTTAACGGAGAATCGGTTGGTATGCCTCCTTCTAGAGGTGGTACGGTATCATTCATCCCTTGCGACATTTCTTTAAGAGTAGTCTTGTCTTTCGCCTTAACTTTGTTCTTCCTTTTCTTCTTATAAGACGGTATATCTAGCCCCGTGTAGTCCGCTCTACTCCGTTTTTCAGGTGTGGGGAGGAACCGATAAGAGCCTCGCTTTGCTTTAGGATCCGGACTAGCTATGGGAGTAGGAAGAGGTGGTAGATCTGTTATTCCTACCTGCTATCTTATTTGGCGGACTTTACGTGTCAGTGGAAATAGTTGCTCGAACAGCAGTCTGGGGGCTCACTGAAGTCAGAAATGCCAAGTATGTGTTGCTTGATAGGCTCATCGCTGTAGGTACTGATTCCGCAGATTACTAGCAGCTCCTGGATTCTCTCCGCTGTCAAAGACTGAAAGATTTCCTCCATGGTGTGTTGTGCTCTAGATGTAAGCTCCAACTAGGAGATTTGGGGAGAGAAGTCAGGCTGCCGCTATTTTCGGTCACATAGGTAACACTAATCTGTATTGGGAAATATGGGGTCTAGACCGTGGCTAGCAGAATGAGACGGAAAGAAAGGGAAACGAACTTTTCTAAGCAGACCATATTGTAACTAGTATCTTGCACTGTATCATCTCACTGCTGGTAATTTGTTTGCGTGCTCTTCCTGCCACAGCGTTGCTTTAGTGATGGCGCATCATGCAGGTTTCTTTGTGACGGATTGTGGAAGCGAGACAGATTGTTCCTGAGCTCTCTACGTTGGATCCTGGAGCCACACCCGTCCGTTCACGGGAGCGTTGATTACTTCGGGGAGCAACTGTTTTGCTGCCCGCAATTATTGCCTGCGTTTTAGATCCCACTTATTATCTCGAAGACCCACGTTTCTAGGATCATATCCGGCCCTAGGATCCATGTCAGGGATATACATGAAGCATACAGGATGTTTGGAGAAATGATCTGCGGGACCCACATGGTACATATGGGTTCCCCTGAACGCGAGGAAGCCCTACTCCAAGGTGGAGAAAGGAGTAACCGCGAGCCAATCATAAATTAGAAACGCTTTGCCCGAGCGGCCCAACTCCTCCGGGAGTTGGGCCGTGCGTTGGGCCGAGTGATATAAAGTTTAAATGTTGGAGACGGGGAATATTTAATCCGTTCCTGGCCACTTGGCTTAATTTGAAATCGTCACTTGTTCTGGGGACCAAGGTATGTAGCCGCTTTTTGGCCATTATATTCACATAAGCGGGCAGCAAAAAAATAAAGCGGACAGCCCTTGAGGAGGGATGTTATCCAGGCTTTCGTTTGGAAGAAGATGAACTCAAAAAATTTGAAGGCTCCGACTCTGATCATTTCGCGTTGGGTGGCGGTGGTTTGGGTGCTCCAGTTCCTGAGTTCCACGACTCACACCTTGGGAGGCTGAATTCTCGCCATGAGATCACCGTTGCCATAGCCAGCGATCGAGTACAGCAGACTCGTGATGACCGACCGTGGGTCGAAGAGCATCAAGCTTTCGAAAATATGTTTCATGAGGCAGTAAAAGACTCGCTAGATGTACCGAGTGATTCTAAGTGGATAGTAGTTTATAGCCAACTCGTTAAATCAACGGCTTCAAATCTTTCTTGCCCCCAAGTTGCTTGGCGATTCTAACCTAGACAAATATTAAGTGGTCATGTTTTCAGCATGCTGATCGACGTGCTGTTTTGAGCAGATGAACTTAGATCTCCTAGCTGAAGATCATCTCGATTACTTGGGTCACACCATGACAAGATACGTGAGGGCCGCTGGAGAAGACCTCTGATTGTATGCGGTATTCATAAACGGCCGCGGTCAACCAGCGACACGAGGCAACTGATATCCGCACGTTTCGCTGTTGCACTGCCGTTTGTATCACTAGGCAACGCCACATTAATCTTCTCATGGGCGAGCGAAACCCACTATTTGAGGGGGTAAAAAAGAAGAAAGAAAATTATCTTTTGAACACTCTTCCGCAACAATGCATCACAAGGGTGAGGTTGAAACTTGAGGGTCTAATACTGTATCAAACTACCAAAGCTGCTACATATTTTGTGTTGCAGTATTCCGTATTGTAAATGTAGGGGTCCAATCAATGGTATTTGTTGGGGCTGCTAACTATGGGGGGAGAGAGAGAAGAAGAAGAATCATGATCTATTCAATCTATCTAGAGCAGGGGATTTATACCCTGCCAAACAAAGAAAGGCTCAGTCTGCAAACAAATGGAGGCATCAATGGGATGACCGACATAGTCCAACAGTATTCAACTCTCTGTGTTGCTGTATCGGCTCTGCTAACAATTTATATGGAGCCTTGATTACATAAATCCTCTGGTATACCGGCGTCACTGCGCCGACATTTTGTTCCTGCCTAACATGCTCAAGGCTAGCCACCCCATCCAAGCAATGGAAGCCACTTCTGTTTAAGTGAGCAAAACGGAACTTAGTAGTATTTATAACTATTTGCTCGAAGCTAACGAAAATATATGATCAATAAATTGCAGCGCCAAGTCAAAGCACTTGGCATCACCCGGTGGCAGGAGTTGGCTAGCAAATATCCCGGCAACGCCGCGTTCTCTGTTGGCAAACCAGACCAGATTCGCCATTCCGCCCCAGACTAATGTGTTCTTCTTCATGACGCCGACATCTTCTGTCATGTACACGCTACCAAGGCTCCAGGTAACGCCAGCTGAGATATCCGAAATGCCGGTCATAGTGGCAATGACCTGTGAAACTGAGGGATCCTTCAACATTGCCGATTCCGCCGTGATTTGCGGGGTGCACATCAGGTCAACTGTTTCCTTCTTCAGGATAATAGGATTGTCGCTGATAAGATCAGCGAGGACTTTCATATAGTCTGGCACAGAGGAATAAATTCCCGCTCCTCCACTGTCTTCTTCAGCGTCGATTGGCCACGGGCTTTGTGCTGGTTGAAAGCTTCCATCTTCCTGTCTCTGCGACATGGCCGCTAAATGTGTCGTAATCTCAGTGTGCTTCGCGGCCCGAAATGTCGTTGTTTTCATGCCTAATGGCTGGAATAGGTGCTGCTGCATATACTCTTCCAGTGTGATGCCTCCGTTCAAACGACAAACTAGGACCCCTGCCCAGTCATATCCACCCCCCATATATCCATTTTTCACCTGGCTCGCATAGTAGCGGGACCGAGAATGCTTCTATCACCTTCCCACTCAAGCCCATAGGTGATTCTCCTCTGGATGCGCGCCATGCGAGCAGCTCTGGGTGAACCATGTCATAAGCAATACCACTTGTATTGGTGAGTAGATGCCAGAGCGTAATGTTCTTTGCTGCGGGTCTCAACATGAAGGAAATGCTCGTTTGGCTGGTTCCATCTCCGACCGATGAGATGATTTGGGGCTCAGCAAGTTCGGGAAGGACCTTGGAGACCGATTCATCCAAGGCGATTTGGCCGCGTTCCACGCATTGCAGAGCTGCAATGGTAGTTAGTAGTTTGGTGCAACTGGCTGCCCAGAAGGTTGCATTTGCCTCCATTGGAGTAGCATCCTCGGTGACGGAGCTGACTCCAGCAGCTTTGAGATAGAAAGGCTCTCCTAGATTGGTGTAAGACACGTGACCAACAAAAAGTGTAAGTACTGTACTGTACCGGATTTATCAACCGCTCCCAGGATGCAGCCAGGTACGATATTGGCCCCTCGGGCTGTGCTTGCCGCCACGATCTTATTGAAGTTCTCCATCGTCTGGATTTGACGACGAAAATCGAATTTGTAGATATACTGATATCATAACCTGTTAACTGGTGGCCCAAAAGAAATATACCATACGGGGCTATCAATATCATTACCGTGCTTAAGCCTTGTGAGTTTGTGAATAACAGAGAATGTGCTGCGATTTAGTGCCTCATACTGAAGCCTCTCCCCCTGGTAAAGTTGAAACCGGAACCTGTCCTATTTATGCCTCTTTGAATTACCTTGTCGCCCTTGCTCGTGAGGTGCTCTATCCAATATTCACTCTCTGATGCCTAACACGGCCGAGTTTCCAAGGCTGGTCCCGGGCTTGGCAACAACTAAACTACACGGAATACGGGCTCTCTTGAAGCAACTAGACAGAGGGTATCCACTCTTATGCGTAAATACATACTTTATGTGAACCGTGTCTCAGTTCACGAGCCCAAGACCCAAAATTTGTTGATTCTGTCAGTAGGTGATATCCGCGAATAGTTGATCCTCAAACCATACCTGGTGGTTGAAGGCATTCTGCACGGCGTTTCTTGCAAGAATCCTTACTTTGATTGGCTCTTTAGGATTTCCATATAACGTAATGTATATAAAATTATCAAATCTCTAACCAAATTTGGGTAGTAGAGCTTAATAGAGTTGTAGAAGTGGAGGGATGGTTGTACGTACGTCATCGCTAGGAATACGGTGTGGCGCATCACAACACGAAGTGTATTCCGTAGGTGCACCCGAACTGTCTTGCACCTCATTCATCTGTTGGCTTGCGAGTACCACACGGGGCGACCCCTTTTTCGTTTCCACACGGAACGATGTTACGCAACACGTTAGAGTGATTCGAAATCCACCAAGGTCAATATACTCTGGTCCATCCCGTCGATTTTACCCGTGGGTCGGGTTCTAGAATCGCGCTAAAATCCGACTAAATTCCTAATTAGGCAGGCGGTTTTGTTCACCGTGTTCCTATAACGTAATTCACCCCCCCGTTGCGTGGCAAAATGCCGGTGAAACGCAGCGATCGCGGACGGAACGCGTCCAACCACGCGTCTGATCTTCCCAGTCCCGACGCAGCACCCGCTCTACCCAACCACGAGGTCCGGCCTGGTTCGCCAGGTGCCAGGCCCTAGGGTACAACCCAGGGCCTAGCGCAACAGATCCTGAAATATCTTCAACCGATCCTACGAGCAAACACCGGAATTAGGGTGGAATGCAAACGCATCTCAGAACATCTCAGAAGCATATAAGAATGTGGAGGCCGTCGCGGCCGAAGTAGCGCTTTATCGCAAGGAACTGGAAGAATCGCAGAAAGAGGTCAATCAGCTCCACAAGAAGATCGCCGACCTAAAAGAACTCGTTCAGTCAGTTACCGTTAGGGATACCCACTACGTTGCCTAGCACGCGGGTCCATAGCCCAGGGAGGGCAAAGCTGGGCATCAATTTCACAGTCGTCCTTCGTGTCGTCTAATCCTTGCGCGACGCGCACCAGACTTGGCCTGCCTGCTGTGATATTGGACCTCCGTTCTGCTGGAGAGAAGACCAAGGCGCTAGTAGACAACCTCACGCAGATACGGGAGAAGACCCGTATCGTACTCCAAAGCGAGACGACAACTGCAAGCGCAGATTTTATGAGGATTAAGCTCACCTCTCGGACTAACAGTCCCGAAGAGTACTCACACCGCTCCTGCTGTTGGTCCTCCGGGGCCCAACGCGAATTTTGCCCCCAACGCAACATTTCAAGCTATTCATCTCTCTCAGCAGCCACATTATGGCTTTTGCATAGATACAGGGGTAATTATAGGCTGCAACTGCACTCTGATAGGTGTTTCTGGCATTGCATCATCCGAGGGCACAGCGACCGTAGAAGGTGCCTCTGAAGCTGCCACTCTCGCGATCTTCCGTGTAGCGGCAGCATTCTCTTTCTCTGCCCTATCCCCAATCCTTCGTTTTGCATCCTTTGTAGCAAGTGCCCCGAATTTACCGACTTGGCGCATTGATTTTCGAGCAGTTTGAGGGCATCGCAGGGAGTTGATGTTGAATTGTGGTGTTTAGAAGGCTAAAATCCTGGGTGAACTGGACACCTATTCGGCCAACCCGATTGAGCTGGTTGATTTAACGAGTTGGCTATAAAACACTATCCACTGGAAACGGAACATATAGCTAGCCAATGATATCTAGCATTTGCCACCCCTGCTTTGGGTTGGCAATCAAGGTCTCCGTAAATCTCCATATGTAGTCTTCTTCCTTACGAAGCCCTCTTCCATACGGAGCCCTCTTCCGTTTGGGGAACTACTGCGTATCGAAAATTAGTACGTATGGAAACCATCTTTGGACTGTCAACAGTTATTTTCTTAGTAAAGTCCGGGTGGGCGGCTTAAATAACTCAAGGCGACACAAGTATTAGTCATAGCAATTGGATGATTCCATAGAGATGCAGGCTATATTCCTAGGAACCAAATCTAAACAAATTCCATGTACTGTGGGTCCAAAACTATGTACTCGTCAGTTGGAGCTATAAGGCGCTTAAGCAAAGGAGAGAGAGAGCTATCAGACTAGGCTAGGCGAGGCCATAGGTGGCGCCACTGTCGGCGCAGTGACACCGGCATACTGGAGGATTTATTAATCCTACATGTTTTGTAATTTATGTTATGTAATCGAGGCTCCATGTTATAAATTGTTAGGAAAGTCGATACAGCAATACAGAGAGTTGAACACCATTGATTGGACCCTACATTTTGACAATACGGCCCACGCCGACAGTTATGAGCCCGGTTCGCACTGAATGAGACTACTATAGTTGGTATATAGTATCTAGCACGCAGCTAGAATTGTCTCGCAACCCCTGAAGCTATCTGAAGCTATACAAACCTACCCTTGAATCCAGCAATGGAGGCAGCATCAATTTTCTCCGCCATGAAGGGCGAAAAACTGAAGGACTCGCCGCAATGGGTCACCTGGTTTGCAAAGGTGCAGCTATACGCAATGCAAAAGAATGTATGGGATCTATGCAATCCAGACCTCACGACGACAACCGATACCTAGTTAATGAAACGACCTGATCCTCTACAAGAACCGGTGGAACCGGAATACCCCGAGGAAGGCGATGACAACGACCGAGGGATCTGGCGAGATCGGATGGATGTGTATAAGATGAAGTACACAAAATAGGAGAAACAGGCGAAAGGACTGAGTGATGTAAATGAGTATATCCTCACCTACCTTGATCCAATGCATCATTTTGCTTTGATCACATATCGTACACCGTATGATAGGCTTGTGTATCTGAAGACTCGATTTGCTCGGTCGACTGCGTACGAAGAGGAGATTCGTATGAATTGGAAGGTCTTTGCAATGCAGAAGCCGACGGGAGATATTGAGCAATGGCTTCAAAAGTGGAATTCACTAAGAGAGCAAGCAGTTAGTCTTGGTATCAATGATGGAGATGCTAATAGAGACTTCTTACATGCAGTGAAAGTGTTGCCAATCTGGTGGTAAGGGAAATATCAAGAGATTGTCATAGACAAAAAGACGCTCGATACTCGAGATCTTCTCGAATCGTTCCGCGCTATGAATCGTGAAATTGGCATTCAAACTGTGTGCTCGACGAATGCTCTAAAAAGCGCTTTCTCAACCTGGCAATGTCACTAAGAAGCGAAGCCGGAAGCAAGGCCGAAGCAAGAGAAGCTTCCATTTGAGAAGAGAGACTGCCCCTGCGGTAGGACTCACCCGAAGCATAAGGTTGCCACTTGCTATGTTATGAATGAAGCAATTCGACCGGAAGGATACGTTCTTAATGAGAGTACGCTGGAGAAAATAAAGAAGAAGCTAGCTAAGGATCAAGCCTGGAAGTAATGGGTGGACAAAGTGGTGGCGGAAGCGAAGCCTAAGCAGGCGGAGTACGCCAACCAAGTCAGCTTTGCAACCGCCTACCAAGCCTAAGGCAAGCCCTAAGGCAGGCCCTAGAGTGAAGCTATACATATTAGCAAGTATGTGCTATCTGTAGTAAAGGACGGCGAACTCTCTCTCTACGATTGATGGATTCTTGATACTGGATCAAGCTCCTATGTCTGCAACGATAGGAGCTTATTCATTGACTTCACTCCTGATATCATAGAATTGACAACTGGAGATAGCACTACGAAGGTGCTAGGAAGAGGTAAGGTTCAGCTTATAGGAAGACACCTAGAGAAAGGGAGGATGGAGATCACATTGAGTGATGCTCTATGCTCACCTAGCCTCCACACAAATCTAGTGTCGTACGCGATGCTAAGGAAGAGAGGTGGCATATGGTGCCAGAAGACAGACTGTATACGGGATCCTAATGATAGGCCTGTCGTCAATGTTCACCTATGGGATCAATGCAACCTTTGGATTTTTGATAAGCCTGATGAAGATCTACTACAGCAAGCATATGCCGTACAAAGGAGATCAATAAAGCCGTAGGAATCAAAGGCTTCTACCGAGATCTGGCACCGTCGTGTTGCTCATATTGAGCCACGTACTATAGCAAAGCTTGCTACAATAGTCGATGGTGTTACCATTAAAGATAGAGAGAAGCATGAACCTCTATGTCAAACCTGTTATCTTGGTAGAGCACCGAAGCAGATATCACGACGGCCAGTTGGACGTACCTTTGGACGATTTGGAAGGGTCCATTTCGATCTAATACAACTGCCACCGGCGTACAAAAAGCATCGATGGATTTCTCACTTCTATATAGAAGGACCAAGGTTCCATTGGATCATGACGCACGAATTGAAGCCTGAATGTCAAGCGGCAATCAATCAGTTCGTACGACTAGCAAGTAATCAGTGGAAGCTGCCGATCAAAGCCTTTCACTATGATAATGAAGCAGCAGCTGGCAAAGCAGCGGAGTACAGCTTGACAAGCGATGGTATCTTGATATATCATAGTCCCCCCGGGCACTCCGAGATGAATGGGTATGCCGAGAGATCGGGTGGTATGATTATCACTCGGATGCGTATGCTAGCGCTCGATGGGAAGCTCCCTAAGGATTTGTGGCCGGAATTTGCGAGTGCCGCGGTATGGTTATTGAATCGTACGCCGTCGTATATCGCTACCGAGAACCGCTGGGTGGTGCCGTAGGAGGAAGTACGAAAGGAATTCGTGGCCGGTACGACGATGCCAAGGATCAATCTGTCAAATGTTAAGCTGTATGGAAGCATGGCATACTGTAGGATTGATAAGCAAGTGCAGTCAGATAAGATGCATCCTCGAGCTGAAATTGGCTTCCTGGTTGGATACCAAGCCTCTAATATCTGGAAGATCTGGTTTCCACATTGTGGGAAGGTGAAGCATATCCGTGATGCGGTCATTGATGAAGGCCGGAAGTATGCACCAGGTTACGAACGATACCAACCGATCCCACTACCACTGGTGAAAGAGCCACAGGAACCCACCGATGAAGAGATCACCCAAGTGATCAACTATGAGATTGCTAGTCAAGAGCAGACTAGCATACCGGAGCAAGATGATCCCCAGGAGCAAGATGAACATGATCACCAAGATCAGCAGGATGACCAGCCCGAGGTCCAGGAAGAAGCTGAAGTCGTACGAGACACCACCCCATTTCAGGGGGTGAATAAGGAAGCATACTGGCCAACACCCGGTGCGCAGCACAATGAGAGTTTTCTTGATCACAGTGCTATCAGGGATGCGAAATACAAATTTAGCCTTCAGAATAGAGAAATGATAGTCAAAAGTTAATTTCATGCTTAGCTAGGAAGACTTCTGAGGTAGGATCTATGTACTGTATAACCTATTGAGAGACATTCTGGGATGCAACCGAAGATACAAACGAAAAAAAACCACCCGTAAGACCACAAAATAAACAGTGGCCCTTGAAGGCTCAAAAGGACTATTTACCGCTTTCCACTTTTGTAACTCTGGCAAATTGCTACAATCCGATAGTCACTAAGGCTTAACGCCACCCGATAGCCCAACGAAGGAGTTGACTATGCCTCCTACCACCTTGAAGGATCTGATGCTTCTCTTTGGTGTGTTTCTTAAGAACGCGCTACGCAATCTTACCCACCAAGAACCTCCAAACACTCCCGTCTCCCAGAACCAATCCCCACCAGGCCTCGATATAGTTCGACTGAAGCGGTTGATAGTCAAGCTCACCCACGATGAATATGCGTCAGCTGAACCCTCCTTAGCAACTAAGCCTGCTCGGTCTTCTTCTGCCAGCAATGAATAGGAAGAGAATTTTCAGGCGGTAGACGAGATTGATCTCGAAAGTCCGATCTGTACCACATCAGATGATTTCAAGTCGTTTGAGAAATGGGCATCAAAATCCCAATTCAAAATAGTTATGGAAACGTATGAGCCACCAGCCGCCAACCACCCCTTCCATTTTTTCAGATAACTGACACGGGTCTAGTAACCGGATCCCAGATCCTGACTGTATAATCATCCGACGCTGATGCAAGTCGACTGCCATCTTCCGCCTTGGCAATCGAACAGACCCTACCGCTTAGTGGCTCGAGGATCGACAAGCATTGCCCGGTGGCCGGATCCCGGATCCTAACTGTCTTCTTAGAGGACGCCGGTGCGAGTCGACTTCTATCTTGCGACTAGGCGATCGAGCTGACCTATCTCACAGGCGTGTTAAGGGATAATGTGCACTTACCGGTAGCCGGATCCCAGATCTTGACTGTCTTATCAAAAGACGTTGATACGAGTCGACTACCATCTTACGCCCAGGCAATCGAGTAGACCTAGCTACTATGTCCTCTACAAAGACGGACAAATTTCCACCTCCGCACCCGGACACTGAGACCGGGACAAAAGCTTCTAGCACCCCAGCCAGTGTTGTCATCATTCAGTGAATGATTCCAAAGCTCTGTCTTTTTTGGGGCCGCTGAGAAGTGAAGATGAGAAACCAGCAACATGAGGATACGCCCACTTTTAATAGCTCCGAGTGAGAAGAAAAGCAATATTGTCCCAGGTTCCCTCAGCTCTCCCATTGCAAGTGAATGAGAGAATGAGTGGGAGATAGTGAGGATTGAAGAGATGAATAATGGAAAACGCATCAAAGCTCAGCCAAAAGATAATTCTGGTTCAGGAACTAGCATGTCCCCCAGAAATCCAATTTCTCACACATTTTCACCAACTGGGCTTCTCAATTAATTACTAAGCCGGTGAAAGTTGTTGAAGCACCTCCCCCCCCCGGGGGGGGGGGGAAGAAGCGCTTCGCCCGCTTTCCAGCCACGTGTACGGGCTACACCAAGGTGTAGTGAGTGTAATAAAACAGGGCATACATTTAGTATGTGCCCAGATAGGGTATTCATTTTAGTGTATTTAATTTAATAAATGCATTTAAAAACTATACACTGGGGTAGGTGGCCCACTCGCTTATGAAATACGTTAGTCGGGACGCGCTCTATGCTGATTTAGCGATAGAGTCTATTATACAAGCGATTTCTCTTTATTTCTTTTTATTTTATCATTATTAGCGCGTGTTTCTGAGTGTGAAGTTGTTTTATTAAGTCGACGACGTAGAATTGTATGTGAGATATTAAAGACACGCGCAGCTTCACGAATTGAGTATATTTCTTGGTTTTCAATAGCAGATATTGCAAGTATAAGTCGCCCCTCTTCCTCAATTAATTCTTTTGAATTTTTAAGCGCTTTTGGTGGGATGGTTCGTGGTTGATTTAGGTGGACTTTTTGTCCATGGTCAAAAGGCGTGGGGTGCTATTAAAGTTTGTTAGATCCACTAGTGCGGCATTTCCTTTCGTACTTGCATATTCGGGTCGCTGATCCCCAACCTTCAAACTCTGTGCTTTTCCTGCTCACTTCTATTGCTCGGTATTACCCGGTTCTTGCCAAGCAACCCAACCCCTAACCTCCTTTCGGGGGTTGGGTTGCTTGGCAAGAACCGGGTAATTCAATACCACCCATTGAAAGACCCGGCTGGACGAGTTATACGGTATATGGTATATACCAAGGTATGCAATGGCCATTAGGTACCATGGCACCACCTCAGGGCTTCATTTCTGTTTGGTACGAAGCAAACATATCTAAGCATGAAGGTGATGTACTCGAGGACCTACTTTCTGAATATTCGTTGAATAATGGTTACAGAAGCTCGCCCCACTGAGCACTAGCGGCTACCCGACAGACCCACCACGTGACATGGTCTATAGATGGGTATATAGACTGGACTACGGTATACGGTATATGGTATATACCAAGGTATACAAGATAGTATAAGACCAAGGGATATATAGTTAAGGACACTCTTTCATATACTTAGTTTAGTTCTTTATAATCAATTTAAATTGTCACTACAGAGTTATCTTTAGTATCAATAGACCAGCATCAACTCGTTTGTACTCTTTTAACTATCCTGTAACATAGACCTTGCCTGACACAGAAGTGTTAAGGCGGTGATTCAGGCTAAGGGCTGGTATACTAAATACGCTTAGTTCTGCTGTTTTTGGTTTTTACATAATTATACTCTTCGGTTATTAGAATATCATATATTTCAATATTAGGCCCTTACTGCTAAAAACGCTGAAAACATATATATTTTAATATGGTAGGTAAAATAGGACAGGCTTCCGAAAACATGCCGAGTATACTCAGACTTATCGCCTAACTATAACTAGAATACGCTGATAATGCGCGTCCTTATATATCCGCGTCTATCATGTTTTTGCCACGATATTTAATGCCCATGACATCTCCTGATCACGTCATTATGTAATTACATTAATGAGTGTAGTTCCACATTAGCGTAATCTTCGTCGTTTGGTGCAATGTGGTAATACAATATCTATCTTTACTTGGTATTCAATAGTACGGAGTACCTCCAGAGAAACTCGCGAATCCCATTTCCTACAACTAGGAATATATTAAAGGGTTAAATTATGCAAATTCCTACACCGCTAGTTTTAGCGTTAGTGAATTTCATTAGGGTAGAGTGGACCAAAATACGAATCCGCACCCAGGGTAGTGGGTTGTGTTTTAGAATCGAACTCCCCCATAAACCATAAACGCTTGGCTGGGCGCACGTATGAAGCTCTGCTGCCTGGCTGTGTGGCCAATCATAGGCCGTCTTCTGGTGGCTCTGGGTGCTTAAGAACGCAAACTGTGAGGATCGACTACGCGCTCAGAGGTCGCGCAACCCGAGCTTCTGCTCGTAACCAGTTGATTTAACCACGAGACCAAAATACGAATCCGCACCCAGCCTAGTAGGTTGTGGTTTAGAATCCAACTTAGGAGGGGCCAGGGTAAGTGAATTATACACAGACACACACTGTACTACCGGTTTCCTGTCCACTTCATGTCAATTTTAAGAAGGTTAGGGAACAAAAATATCTTCTGGTCTAGAATTGATCATTTTGACTTTTCAAACTATTCACCAGTTCTGTCTCACATAGACTTTCTTGAAAGTTCTGGGTACTATAATTCAACTTTGTTTAGTCCAGATTTATAATTTTGTCTCAGTGTAATGGCCTTGGCTGCCACCTTAATGGAGCATAGCCACATGAGGATCTGAATCACAACAGAGATATTTCGGCGAGTGCAAAAATATACCGTTGCTGGCTAAATATAAAGCTGACACCACTTCCAGTTTACATTGACATTCTCTATAAGTCTCACACTTTTCTCAAGACATAAGAACTCCATTCTGCTACCTGCCTTTACGTACAACTTCTTTGTACATCTACCAAGATGATTCCCGGGCCTCTCGTTGCCGTCATCCTCTTTGCCGTGCACGCCTACAGCGCCGCAACAGATCTAAACAAGGTCGAACAGGATCCAGAAGTTTTGATTTTGCCAACCTTGACCAAGATCAAGGAAGGCTTCACAATCGACGCTAAGAATCCACCGTACCAGGACACAGAATGGTCGTGGGAAGCAACCTGCATTGAGCACTTCGGACAGTGCACCCAAGCTGCGTTCTTCCATCGCAATTTTCTGTCAGAGGGAACCCCGAACGTCACCTACACGAGGTTTGTCGAAACAGCCCAACTCAACTCGGTCAATGGCCAGTCCAAACTGTCTATGAAAACCTCGACGTCAGTGCTGGACTCCACGACTGAAGGCTGGACCATTGGTGCAAAGCTGTCTCTATCAGGCGGCTCTGATAAAGTGACGGGAGGAGCTGAGGTCTCAGCGACATATTCCAGCACCACCACCAAAAGCAAGACATTTGTAAAAGAGTTTTTACATGAGGCTCCCTGCGATCCTGGATACACCTGCAGCATTGAGACCTGGACATTCCATATTGAAGTTGATGGATTATGCAACCCCCACGGCATGATAAATTGCCGCGACCTTGGCACGTGGGATCAATGTGCTGATCAGGCCGGTCGCTGCGCACAGTTCAGCAACTTCTATGACTGGAATTGTGTCAATGTACCCAAGGCTGCGTGCAAGGTCAAGACCCCAGTCCTTGACGAGTCTGAGAAGCCGGTTAGCCAAGTCGTGCTCGTGGCTGAGCGTGATAACGCGACGACGAAGAGATCCGAGTCCGAGCCCAACATGCCCAAGATGATGTATAAGATTATCGGCTGAAGTTTTGGTCAGGAGAAAAGTTGCTGCGCATCTCATGACTGCGAGCTTTTTCTTCATTTTTGTCTGGTTCGAGTTATCAGATGTTCGACGAGTCTGACCTGATCTCTCTAAATCCAGTGCTTACCACGCTTGTATTTACATTTCCTATTCTTGTTTTTACTATACCGACCTCAATTCACTCCTTTGAAACATGTACTTAGTTGTTTTCGTTGATCTTAAGAGAGATAAATTCTGATTAATTCTGTTGGACTATGTCGGTCATCTCATTGATGCCTCCATTTGTTTGCAGACTGAGCCTTTCTTTGTTTGGCAGGGTATAAATCCCCTGCTCTAGATAGATTGAATAGATCATGATTCTTCCTCTTCTCTCTCTCTCTCCCCATAGTTAGCAGCCTCAACAAATTCTCTATATTGCTTTCAGAGCTCTAATTAAGACGGCTATCTAGAATAAAGAAATAAATCGCATGTGCGATTTCAAGGAAGGGGGGCAACCAGTTACGTTCTCTTGGAGGAATGCTGAAACCATAGGCCATTTTGCGACTTGCTGGAGGAGAGCAGTTTATATGTATGCAGCCCCCCTTAAGCCCCCCTTCACCCTAGGCTCGCAAACCCCATTGTGTCGGACGAATAACACAAATAATGCGATGTAGAACTTCATTCCGCCGAGACTAAGGCGGAGTACGCTATCACGGCGGAGTATTGTAATTCTGGAATAGGACTGGGGGTGATCTTAGCGCCCTTTTGGTTTAAATGTTACTAAGGCTTTATAAGGTACGGTCACGATACTTAATCCCGCCGCCTCTCCGGAGCTCTAACTATGTATTTATACTATTAACTTACTGTTACGCACTGCAAACTGGTCACAGTTAGGTTAGATGGGTTCCGGGTATACTTGCCTTAATACTCCTCAGTATCCAACGTTAACGATCTGTTCTCTCAACCGTACTGTTGCCTAACAGGCCTTACTGTAGGATAGGTCCTTTTGAGGTATCGAGGAACGATGCCAAGTAGAGCGCCGAGTAGATCTATACCGAAGCATTGGTCTGCTCGTGAGTGTTGTTAAGTTATAATTAGGCTTCCGCAAAACTCATTTTGGGTCGAAGGTCTCGACCCAAAACCCAGTCGTATCAAAATATATAACCCAGTTTTAGGCATAAAAATACATAAAACCGCCAAGACCTTCTTAATTAGGCCTACTTATGTATATTTATGCATGAAACTGAGTCGAAACTGGGATACTGGGTTCTTGGCAATGCTAAGAACTGGGTCGAAAACTGGGTTCTGCGGAAGTCTAGTTATAATCAAGTAAAGAGTCATAGTAATCCAAAGGTAAACACAAGTAACAATATATGATTGAAGACGAAGAACTAAACTAAGTATATGAGGGAGTGTCCTTATATATCCTTCGTAGACTGCGCCAAAAACCGCAATTGGGGGCAAAACCTCACCCCAACCCCCAAACCGCACCCAAACCATAAACCGCACTGGGTCCCCATTGGGGCCCCAAGAAAAACCATCATTGCATAAATGTAGGTCTTGGCATTGATAAAACAGCTGATTTATCATATTAGATTACTGTTATTTACCGCTGTTCCAGTCACCATTCTACTCGACATGATAATTCTGCTATAAAACAGACGAAATCAATTGAAATTTAATTGTATACTTAATAATTGACTAAGGTAATAACTTATTTCTTACCTCTTTACTACTCCTAGCCGTAGGGTAGATTATTCTCTGATTTGGTGTGAAAATATATTTTTGACATAGTATCTAAGGTGGACATCTTTCAAAAAATATCATATTTATTTACAGGTGTGCAGCTTTTATAGCTACGAGGTCATAATTGATAGCAAGCCTATCCTGCGAGACACAGTTGATAACGCAGAGCCCATCCTGTGAGGTACAGTTGTTATCGCAGAGCCTATCCTGCGAGACAAATTTTTACAGTCACAGGGCTCATTGACTGTGAGGGAGCGCAAATCTTACATCGCTGGGCTTGTGGCAGCGACAGCCGTGGTCACGGAAGCTCTGAAGTCCTTGGTTGCGCAGCTCTTCCCTGCGAGGGTTGTTGTTCACGCAGACCTATCCTGCGAAGCACCTTTTTACACTCGCGGGGCTCGTGGCAGCGACAGCCGTGGTCACGAAAGCTCTCAAGCCCGCAGGCAAAAGAGGGACACTATGACGCATCAAAGTGTGAGGACCGAAGTCCTGATTTTTTTGGGCTACGTCTCTTCCAAGCAACCAGTTGCGTAGATGGTAGCGAGAATCACTGTCTTGCGAGCTTCACATTGCCGATCCCTTCTATTATATAGAAATATATGTAGGCCATACAAGGTTGATCACACCCTTCACAATTCACGTCGAGCTATCCTTCATAGCTATTTTTCAAAAAGCTCCATCCTAAGCGTGCAGTCCTTGATTCAAAGCAAAGTCGACAAGCTTGCTGGAAGGCTTAGCCTGGCTTATTATCATCAAGGCACAGTCGTACAACTTGATTCTGCATTGTCTGCTTCCGCTACGAATATTATATCCGAGTCTCTCCCGGCCCTGATTTTCAAAGACAAGGATTATCATCATACTCTCTACAGAGTGAAGACATAAGTTTCTAAAATATAATTAAAAAATTAAAAAAACATACAACAGTGAGGATTCGCTGGTGGTCACCCACCCAACTACTAACTCACCGGCGTGTGGCTTAAGTACGGCTGAGCGGACGGGAAGCCCTGTTTTCCACACCCTATGGTCGTATGTATCAATTTGCGTGTGAATGGGAGCAAATGATAGCATGCAGCTTATAATGATACCCGTACCTTGACCTAGTTCCCGAGGTCCATACCTGCTTCTAAATAGCTTCATCTACCATCCAGGTATCTACTTGGTTACCATACAGTGTCTTTTAGGATCGAAGAGGATACGATAGTGGAGCGAGATTGCATTGATCTGCCGCGAAAAGATTGACCATATTGAAGGTCTTCGAATAAAAAAAATCCAGTATCCATCTGAAATAAAGGTCAGACAAAAAGTTACTGCGAGGGCAGGTTCTCTTGAATCCACTCCAGCTCCTCCTTGGCGTCATCAAAAGTCCGAGTGAGAGTGTTGAGCGCGGAATTAATGCGGTTGGCAGAGCTCACCATCGCATTGATACTGTCCTGGATATGAATAACATCAATCCTACGAATTGGGAGGCTACCGTTAGCCCGGACCTGAGCTACGTTAAACTCACGAGCGATGGTGGCAGTCGCAGTCATATGCTCTTCCACATATGTCTTAAAGTGGTTCTCTCTAAATTCACTTCTTGGGCGGACGTCTGAGTCCACTTTGCATGTCTTGGTGGGTACGACTTTGAATTCTCCTCTTAATATATAACTAGGATATCAATTCCTCGGGACACATCTTCTTGGGCACTACGCTATGTAGGGGCCAAAGGAGAGGAGGGAGAGAGTTGTTCCTAAGGGAAGAAGCGAGCTTCCAACTATCTATCTAGCTAGCAAACGAGGGTTTGATGCCTGAGGCCACCACAACACATCTTATCCTTCTTGTTGGAATTTCTTGTTGTAACGTTGCACCTCCCTTACATGGGCGTAATGGGAGCATATTGAGACAGAACTTTATACCCAGTCTTCTTTCAAAAAAAACTGCTTTTAAAATGCTACCTGTCACCGCAGTGTTCCAACCTTGATATCGCCCACGTTTAATTTTTCATTCTTCTGAGTAAGACCCTCGCATTCTTGAGATCATATCCGGGCCCAGGATCCATAGCATGGTTCCTAGGCACGCTCTTTGCCGTCCTAGCAGCGTGACATGACGATGTCGACGATGTTGATGACGCGGACGACAGCGAGGGCACAGAAGATGCAGAGTCATTCGATAGAAGAGTGAGGTAGGGTTGGAGTAATAGCGTTTGGTAGAGACGTAGTACTTCAGGGCTGGATGGAATAGTAAATTTGCGAGAACGTACAATCATGGGACCAATATATTTCTTTTGTAGTCTATTGGCATAGCTGTATTCTTCAATGTTCTCATAATTTGACTATCGAGGTACTCGTCCCCAAGGTCCTTGGGGCATGACACCATATAGGGACAGCTTCATGGTCCACAGTTAACATGACGGATTTGATGGGTTATTAAAGTCGATCTCTGAGGACTTTAGGGATGTTGGACCCTTTTGGATCTAATATTTGAACATTTCTGTTGCAATTTTGCTGAGATTTACGATGCAGGCTTGACGAGATTTTAATTATATGTTTGATTTCTGGGATATATATCTTGGTAGCTACATAGGTTCAACTCAGTATGACAACACTGTACATCACAGGAAGAACTAAAAAGATACAAAGACATTTCAAGTAGATTAGCCAAAAAATAAAAACCAAAGTAAACCATTTTAACCCCCACTCTCCTATATACACTTTAGAAGACTTTTTTCTCCTTTTCCCTGAATCGTGCACGATGCGTTTATCTGACTCCCAGAAAGCCAAGTACTGTCATATTAATGAGTTCTTCTAACCCCTTTAATGGGTTCTTCTTGAATTTCATTTGTGAGGCGTAGCCGAACGAGAGAAAAAAGTGCGAATCAGAGCCGACACACATCCTTAATGTTGCTGATTTTGCTCAGCCTCTCGTTCAGACCTTCGCCCAGTTTAGATACATCATCCGCAGACATGGAACGGCGAGCACTGGCAGCTCGGCCGATGGCCACTGCATCTGTAAGAGCCAATGGGGAGAGAATAAGGCCAAACATAGCCAATGGTGCGTTATCGGGGTCGCTAACGATGGTGTAAATGTCCAGGGCGACATTACCGACTTCACCCAACAGCGCGACAATTCGGCCTATAGCTACCATGGAACTGACAGCACCAGCAACTTCACCAATGACTGGAATAAAGAAGAAGATGGCAGTCAGGAAAGCCATTAGAATCGCCTCCTGCTTGGCCTCCTCTATTTCCTCTCCAATTTCCTTGACCTTCTCCATGCTATCAACGGCATCCGCAACCATAGAGATTGGAAGCGACAATGCGTCTACCAAATCATCAGCATCGAGTGAGAAAGACCCCTTAGTCATAAGATCCAGAGCCCTAGTCATCTCAGAGCTGAGAAGTGTGACATTCTTGTGAGCGTCTGACACAACGTCTTTCGGGTTGAGTACGTCTTCCTTGTCATACCCGTCGGGCACAGGGAAGTTATAATCCCAGTCTCGGTATGCACATGTATCGTCGGTAGGCGCACACTCCCAATGATGGACATTTTTCCATTTAATATTCTCCTGATCAATGCCTTTCGTGGTGTACAAGTCTGCCCAGAAACCCTTGGCCTTGGAGGCCACTAGATGCCAGTACACCGACTGTGACCAGCGCGAATCTTGTGGAGGTGTCTGCGCGCGCAATGAGTAATCGGGCGGACATGGCTCCGTCACGTTCTTGTACCTGTCCTCTACACCGTCACAGAAGACCTCGGGCTCGTCACAAATTGGGTCCCAGCCATTGTCGTAATCCTCGCAGTAACGACAGTAGACGTCACTGTCTTTCCCCCACTGGTCTTCGCAAAAGCCACAGGCGGGAACCATCTCGGTCACAATGCAGGTGAAGTAGTTCGATCCATTCTGGTACATGAAGCTTTCGACCTGATCCCGTCCACTGTCGACCACGGCTTGGGCGTAGTAGTCGAAGTCTTTGTCATAGTCGTCTGCTATCATGCTGTCGTAACGTTTCAAGGCGTCATCAAGAGTGCCTTTCAAGACCTTAAGTATGTATTGGGACACACAGTCTCTGGGTATTTTGGCTATTTCTGCTTGAATGGCATCCATAGTAGTGTATAACCCTTTGCATTCAGGTAAGTCCGGCATTGGGAAGCCATCGTTCATATTATCGCCATCGGGGCCTGCGAAGTCATCGTCTGTGTATTTCCTGCAGATCGACTGCCCAATCAATGGTACCGGCAAAGTTCATGCCTTCCCAGTAAGAGCGACGGCTGCCTTTGGTGGCTGGGGACATATATGCGACCCATTCAGTGTCTAATCCGATCAGTAAGGGCCAAGACAATCATGAAGGAAAACGTACTGCGAAGACAATTTCCCTCAGAACAACCCTCTGTGGTCCACTGGTTACCAGCATCCCATTGTCCTGCATAGATTAGCCCTGTTCCTCGACTGAAGAAAGAATCCGACATACCGTGCAAGTCGTACGTCATGTAAACAATGTAGTCAAGCTGCTTGGCCATGTTCTTGATGGGAAATGATTTGAGATACCAGTAGGATGCAGGAGCAGCAATAGACAAGCAACCCCGTGTAAATGTTTTATTAGTTACTAATATATGTTTATGTTGGACTATGTCGGTCATCCCATTGATGCCTTTGTCTAGCCATCTCATTGATGCCTTTGTCTAGCCATCTCATTGATGCCTTTGTCTAGCCATCTCATTGATGCCTCCATTTGTTTGCAGACTGAGCCTGTCTTTCTTTGTTTGGCAGGGTATAAATCCCCTGCTTCAGATAGATTGAATAGATCATGATTCTTCTTCTTCCTCTCTCTCTCCCCATAGTTAGCAGCCCCAACAGTTTACAGTGCTTTTTACTTTTCGACATACGTGTCAGAGGAAATATTTACGGACGCAAGCAAGCGCACTGTCGCCACAGGCTGCGAGGGGACCCGGAAAGGGCTACGTGATCAGCCAAAGCGCTGTACTTTCATGGAATTTTGTGATCATCTTTGGCATAAAACTGAAATCAACCCAACAACTCATGAAATGGACAAAAGGCCCGATATTACGAAGACGTATATGGGAACGGCTATGGACAAGAATAAGCTCAGTCTCAACAACTACGACCCAGTAAAAATGCGTGACGGCATCATGAACCTGCGAATGAATCTTGACGATGGCAAAACCATAAATGTCCCAAAATGGGGATACTCCGGAGATCTGAACATTGCGAATCTCGTTGCGGGGGGTACAGCAGAAAATTATTTCGACAAAGTGGGCGAGGAGTTCGCCGAGCGCTATTGGAAGGCCAAGCTGGAGTTTGATGAAGTCTCTAAGCTCACGGGTGACGATAAGCTGAGTGATGACCAAACGAAGTTGTTCAAGGCTTGGAACAATCATGCGGTGGAATCGTCTAAGATGTCCTACGCTTATCGGGAAAAAGAACTTCGAATGCAAGAGCCAGCAGCCATAAAATCAGCTCTCAAAACGAAATATACCGACCCGGAGAAGAAAAAGCTGATCAAAGTTGAAACCAGGATGCTTGACAAAAGCGAGGTGGTGTGGGGAGAGCCTTACAAAGTGTATGACAAGGATGCTACGGCCACCTAGTTGGCAGGCGCAGGGCTGAGGTTGACCAAAGCAGAGGCTCTCACTCTGCTCACGAATGTTTACAATGAACTTCAAGAAACGAATAGAGTCAAGGAGCATCAAAGGGCACTGGCGGGAGCCAAAAAGGCAATGAATGTGGCGAAAAACGGATGTATCTAGACCTGAAACCAATTTTTGGTAATAAGTTATCAAAATGATTAGTATGAGTTTTATCTTTTATTGAGAAAACGGAGTACATTCCGAGCTTATAGGAGTAGGAGTTAGTCCGATGAGGTTAGGGCTATGTCCGACTATTTTACCACATGATCAAGCGACTTTGTTAATATTGGTAATATTATCTGGCCACTTGTTTTTTTACAGCCTATCTATTTCCATTAATCATTCAAAACATCATGGATACACTAGCACGGCTAGACACACTTCCCGCTGAGCTTCTAGATGCGCTCACATCGCACTTGAGAGATCGTGATTTGGCATCTCTATTAGCCACAAACAGACAGCTATATCTCCAGCTTGGCCCAATATTCTACGGCAGAGAGCATGTCATGGACCTCGCAATGGGCTGGGCGTGCTCGCGTGGAAATTCCCAAGCCATTGGTCGCCTAGTCTCCTTAGGTGCATCCCCTAGTGTGGTTCACGTGAGCACTAGTTCTTCGGAGTGTTACATCAAAACATCCACGTTACATCTGGCAGCCACCAAAAAGCAAGTTGAGGCTTTCCGGTACCTGCTTGATATTGGCGCACGGCTCGATCATCCTGATGTGGACAACGGGGCCATCCGTCATTTCGTCAGCCGCATTTGCAGCCCCGCACATGATTGGGCTCTGCTGCACCTCTACCTGGATGCCGGCCTCGACCATCAGCTTCGTATGGGACACTATCGACACCATCCCCCCTCTACCATACCTTTGCTAGGGGTAATCTCCCAATCGGCATCGGCCTCTCTGCTAGGTCCGGTGCGCCTTTTACTGGACCGCGGTGGCAACCCCAATGAGATATTCTCCTTCTATGGCAACCGACTAGTGACTCCCCTGACTGTGGCAATTCGGAAGGCCCACACTGCAGTTCTGGACCTCCTGATCGAGAAAGGAGGAATCATTCATGGACCCCATGTTACTCGTCCTGTCCGTCAGCCTTGGCATATTCCCATCATGGCCGCTGCGGCATGCATGTCAAGCCAGGGGACAGCCGTGATTGAGCGATGCTTACACCATGGCGCAGACATCAACCATCCAGCACCGAAGATATCCGAAGAAGACTGCCAAGGATGCAGACCCTACCGATACATGAGTCCTGCGCTTGTCTATGTTGATTCCATTCACAACTGGGACGAACCGAGGCATGCCATGCACCCAGTGGATGGACTCGTATTTCTGGCTAGCCGAGGGGCACTCCTTCAACAGCCCATTCCCATTCCAGATCGTGGAGACCTCGAGCGAATACACCGTGCGCCTTGGGTGCGGTGCCATTGGAGCCCTTCCCCAATGTGTCTGGACTTTATCCTCGAGAAGTGGGGACTAATCAAATTTACCACGAGTCCAGGTCTTCTCCTGACTGTGCAGTATCTGATCCGGCACGCGGTCAGTATTGGCACGCTTGCTGAGTCCCTCGCTTCCTACGACTCTAAAATTTCAGTTTTTGGGGATCCACCAGTCCAAGTTTCAGCGGCATGGCAAGGTCTCTTGACGTATGTACTGGAGGATTTGAAGGTGAACCCTACCATACTATTGAGCCAGTACATCCTACAAAAGGGCTTATGCATATGGAATAAGCCCCTACAGAAAATTGGCCGCGCCACAATTGAGAGGCTTTTGGCGTCGGGGGCCAACATCAATGCCCGCATGGGGACCGAGGACGGACCAACGGCTTTGCATGCGGTATGCGAAGCATTTAGCAAAGAGCTCCTGAAATTGGAAGGAAGATTTCACTCTTATCATTGGAGGGAGAAGCTCGATATACAGGCCACGTATCTTGAGTACTTAGCAAGTCGAGGAGCTGATTCTTCCATCCGCATTGGTGGTCAAACAGCCAGTGAGACTCTCCTAGTGAATCAGGCGGATATGCCATTGGCGGTTCGGCAAAACATGCTGTCTGTGTCCAAAATTATGCAGGAGGGCAATGTAATTTAAAATGCTAGGCTAGGGAAAAGTTAAACGATTGGCATTTCGTCCACTTCTGCAATGTACATCCGGAACGGGCCGAACAATGTCATTTTAATAAAAACTTTGAAAGGGTCACTGCGTAAGGTTCCGAGATCCCGAGGTCGTTAAGAGGCTTAAACCACGGACCCGGTGGCCAGGGGCTGCCAAGCCATCTTTCTGGCATCGCAGGGCTTGGCATGGGGGCGCTCTCTTCTCTTTCTTATAATCTCTCGGCTCATCTAACCTCCGTGTTCTTCTTGGCCAAAGGCGGAATCCATTTCTCTCAAAGGATGGTTACATCGTCCCTATTGGCGCCGGCGTTAGATGTCAGGTCTCACTCTCTTTATTGTTATCTCAATTCTTTACTTCGTACTCCGTACACAAAAGACATCTAGCTCTGTAATTGACGGCACTAACCTCATTAAAGGAAATTAATCAATAGTTCAGCCATGTGTGATTCAGTGGAGAAGACTTGGACAACGGCGATGTCCATAAGCGTTGTCCATAAGCGTATAAATCACAGCAGGCGACCATGACAGAAGAATTTCCCTACAGGATAATCACTCAGAGCATCAACCATTATGCTTTCGTCTAACCTGTATCTTCTGGCCACGGGCTTGACTCTGTCAACAGCCTTTGCCAGGCCAAATGTGGTCCGCCGCGACGAGACTCCCCAACTACCCTATGATCCAAACACTACTCCATACTGCACATGGTGGGTAGACGATGATGGTTCAAGCTACGATGATGGTTCAAGCTACGATGATGGTTCAAGCTACGATGATGGTTCAAGCAAGTGCGCTGGTATCCCTGCCTATTGGGCTATATTGATGGAAGACTTTGTCCGATGGGTAAGTTCCTTCCTCCGAACTATCTTTTTCTAATGACTGATCTCTCCAGAACCCATCCGTCGGTAGCGACTGCGCAGGATATGTTTCCGGCAAGTCTTACTGTGTTGAAGCATACGGAGAACCAACTCCTGGTACTGGCACAACTACTACTAAAGTCACGACCACTTCAAGTGCCACCACTCCAAGCACCACTACAACTGGTGGTGCCCCGGGACCTACCCAGTCAGGACAAGTGACCAACTGCAACAAATGGGATCTCGTTCAATCCGGAGACACATGCAGCGTCTACCTGGCCAAGTATCCCGGCCTGACCTTGGCCAACCTCGTCGCATGGAATCCCGCCATTGGGTCCCAGCGCCAGTCTCTTTGGGTAGACACATATGTAAGACCGGCGAGTTCAATTTGCACGGAGTAATGTTAACCATTCGAGCAGATATGCACCGGTGTAACCGGCTGGACCCCTAGCCCGACCACTACCAAGGCTACCAGGAATTAGACCACCTATATAAAGTTTATCCCGATTGGCTTCCAAATTGGAAAGTCTTGGCTCTCTGTACAATTCATGGAGTCTTTTTCTTGTAGACACAGAAATGAAGAAAAAGAAATTATAATATATGAAAGACAGAATATTTGCAAGGGGGAATAACAAATCACCAAAAGCCGCCGAAAAAAAAAAAAAAGTAAAGCAAGAGAAACATAACGAAATATACTCCAAACGCAGAGTCAAACAACCTCCAAACCTACGCCTAACACGAAAACACTTATTTATGCCATTTCTTCGTCTTCGTCCCAGGCTTCGCCCTTCACGCACGCCACATCCAATGATCGGTTCTCACCCAGATTCTCACACTGTCTCTAGCGCACTCACCCTTCTCACCCTCCAGTGGAATAGAATAGCTTTGGATTCCCCCGCAGAGCAGCTAACTGTCTTGAACCCTTGATACCTCCAGACTCATGGTTTTTGAATTACTCTGATGTACCACCACTTGGTTCTCTGCGATCCCAGAGCTCTCTTCATCCAACCTAGCTGGAATATTGGACGGTGCGTCGTATCCGTATCTAGCCAGTTGGGTGTTTCGTCGTCCCCACCAAAGCATACCAAGTTGAACAAAGATAGACGAGAAAATAAAGGCAGTCGCGAGAGGGAATCCGATCGGATAACGAGGCGAGTCACTCGTCCTCCAAACGCGGATCGGAATTGTGGCATGGCCAATGTATACAATTGTCACCGTCAGTGCAACAATGATAGACCGCGCTTCCGGTTCTTTTTTGAGGAGTTCAGCCATCCAAGCCAAAAGTGATGGACTTCCTGCATTTGTCGCATATGTAAGGAAATAAAAGGTGATAATGACCTTCCAATCTGAGGGCCAGGCGCTCAATACACTGAGCACAATGCCGAGCAGAAAGGCCGGCGCAACACTGATCTGCCAGCGCCAGTGCTTCCAATCAGATAGCGAATTCACACCCAAATTAATGAGGATCTGGAGAGCATAGCCGCCCATAGGAATAACGTTGACTTGGTATGTACTGAAACGAAGGTGTCCTGACGAGTCTTCCAGTGCCTTGAGATAAAGAGTAAAATAAGAATTTGCTCGGTTTGCCCAGGCCTGCAAAGCAAAAGCAGCCAAGAAGAAGTATGTCACAGGGTGTAAGATGAGTTTCCGCAACTTCTGCACGACAACCTTGGTAGGAATCATGTTTGAGGTATTGGCGCCAAAGTCAGCCATACGCTTTCGTGCAAGGCGTTTTTCCGTATCGGTAAGCCAGATAGCGCGAGTTAGAACTGGTGAGTCTGGGATAATAACGAGGCCGAGTAGTCCTTGCCCAATAGTTACTGTACCCGAGACAATGAATAGCCATTGCCATCCGGTGATACCATGCACGCCATTCATGTTGGTGTAAAGGGCGGCTTGAAGCGCGCTTAAGAACATACCACCTGCTGCATCTGATACGTTGAAGAAGGCGATTCTTTTGGCTAGCTCCGCTGGTGTGTACCAGTTGAAGATCATAGATACAGCGGTAGGCCAGAAGACCGCAGAAAATAATCCAAGCAGGACTCGCAATGCGTATATTGTTTTGGCGTTTGGTGCCTGGGCAATACTATTCAAAGTCGTCAGTATGTGTTGAATAGTAATTTGACTTCTCTCTACTTACCAAGTGACCAGGATTCCCCATGATATCTCACAGAATGGAAGAAAAATAGATGGGCGAACCTTGAAAATGGTTAGTGTGTGAGTTAATTTGTCGAAATTCCGAGACTACTCACCTTGGTCTGGATAAGTTGACCTGGAATCAAACCGATAGCATATCCAACAGAGAAGAATGTATTGAAGTTGATCAATTCATTTCCATATAAATTCAACGACTCCTTCATCCCAGAAACGTAAGCTTGAGCAGTCGCACTTTGGTCCATTTCTTTCAAAATTCCAGCAATAAAAGTCCATGCCAACAACAAGCAGTCAAGCTTAAAAACCAAGACATGTTGCGGGTTGCGAAAGTAGGGCACATAGCGCGCCAATACCTTAAACAGCCCTGCTTGAGGAGGTTGTTGATCCTCATCGAACCCCGGGCTGGGTTCACCTTTGGATAAATGTTCCATATTTATTTTCTTGATTCTATAAGTCGCGTATGCTCTTCATTAAATAATTGAAGGTACTTTTTCAACAATCGCTTCGTGCCTACATCATCGTGAGGGGCGATCACGAAATTTACTTGGCACTGTATGGCGAAACTTTCTAAATCCCCGTGATCGTCAAAATAGCTGTTAGAGGTTGCGATGCTTAACATTTGAAATGGGCATCATACTGACCTAAGGGAGAGAATTCACCTTGGCTAAGAAGAGCAAGATGCCGATTCCAAAATAGGCAAATTCGGTCGGCCAGGCTCCAACAAATCAGACGAAGTGAAACCTGTATATTAATTGCGCCATTTGAAATCAAAGCAACCAAGAAACCGTGCCAAGTGTCCAGCACACACGCCTCAGTAGATCCCCAATTCTCGCCAGATACCCAATCTACAAATTATGTATCTTTTGTATGACTTGCCCATACAAAATATACTTAAGATGGGCCATCAGCCTGGAATGCCCGCTTATGACCCGGAACGACAATAGTCGGGTTCAAGGCAGCAATCAAATATCACGGTTGATTCGACACGAAACAGCCGCGCCGCGCGCCGCAATGGTACTACGAAGAAATCGCAGGGTGTCAACTCCTTCTGCATCTGGCAGTGGCTTCTCATTGTTGTAGCTCTTCCACGCCACAGATCTAACGCAGTAGGGCTGGTTGATATACAAAAAAATGGTTTCCTTAAATTAAAGAGACCCCTCCTTCCTCATTCCCTCGACCTTTCCTGCTAGGTTGGGATCCTTCTTTTGAGAAATTCCACAAAGCTATCCATCATATGGGTCTTGATGGCATTTCTCTCCTTCCACGGCTCAACTTGACTGGGCACCGTCGGCCCCGTATATACCTTCAACGGATGGTCCCGCGCCTGCAGCCAGAGATGCTGTAGTCCCACAGACTGCAGCATGAGCATAGGATAGAGCTCGCTCCAGACGAGGTTACCCAGGATGCGCATCTGGCCCTGGTATGGGAGGGCTTCCTCCTGGGGGTCTTCCTTGGCCGTGCCGTCTGCACTTTCGCTTGCAGTGGCACTCTCATCGAAGTCTGGGTCGACGGCTAGGACGAGGCCTTGGAAGTCGCCTTTGAGGAGGCCTTTGTCCTTTGTGTAGGAGGTGGTGAATGCGTCGTCGGTATATGAGCCCACGCCCATGTGATCGATGAGAAGGAAAACAGATGGTGCTAGTTTATGGCTCCACTCCTCCGAGGACCGGATTTCTTGGTAGTGTCTATGAGAAGCATTAGTCTCTGGTTCATGTGAATCTTGGAATGGAGAATTCAGGGCCCACGAACCTCCTTGCTGCTGGGACGGGTTTTGTTGCGTCGAAGCCTAGTTCCTTGCCGTCAAACCAATGCAGTTTGAGTAGTGGTTTCAGCTCGTCAGCGCGCTGGACGCCGTCACTCCATGTCGAGAAGTGAGCTTCCACGTCCCGTTGTAGCCTTTCCCACTTCTCATCGGAGACGTTGTGCGCTGCGCGGTAGATTGCCAATCCGAAGCCATAGTCTTGTCTCTCCGACGGGTCCAAGCTCAGGGTCGCCTCTTGCGCCCGAAGGAGTTGCTGGATCCAGGGCTGCGCAGGTGGCTGCGGCGATGGCGTACGGCCGCGTATCTTTTCACGCAGTTCATCCTGTACTACTGTGCTAATAGAAACGCGCTCGCGGCGGGCCGCGTCACTCTCCGTCGCGCTTGGTCCTTGAACCTTCGCAGCCTCGTTCTGAGCCTCGACACATTTTGTGAGTCGGTCCATCAGGAGCTTGGAAAATCCAGAGTTCATGTCTTGGTTCTTTAGGTCAGGATTGTGTAGCCCAGCGACGATGTCGGAGGGCGCATGGTAGCCGTTGTACCCGTCCATGGACATCCAAATGTTGAAATCTGCCATCGAAGTGACGTTAATGAGGTCAGTCCACCGCTGCGTGAAAAGTTCCATCTCTGGGGTTTTTGCTTCCTCCACCTGGATCGCAGTGAAGCTGTCCAATGTCCGTTCACGCAATTCGGCAACGTGGGCCAGGACCCAGGAATGGGCGGTGCTGGTCATGACTTCGTACTGTGCGCGAATGAATTGTTCCCAAAGAGCAGTAAGGTCGACCTCGGCAGAAAGGCCCCGGGTTTTGCGCCGGGCATTCAGCGCGTCCTGCATTTCTCCAAAGTCACCAGATATCTTGTTGAAGGTGTCGCACATGTTAGTCCGGATCTGAGGAAGATTGAGATACTCGAAGACGGCAATCACGGAGGTCAGGTATTCATAGGCGATCGCGAAATGCTCCGGGTTGTTGAGATCTTTTTCGCGCCATCGCGATGCGGGCACGGGGGCAAGGCCTCCCCAGAGGCGCCGTTTGAGGAAGTGAATATTATGCCCAACTCGGCACAATCCGCTCAAATCCTCCGGGCCGGTGATCCGCTGGATTGCCTTTTGCACAATTGGGATATCGGCCGTGTTGAACGGCGCAGGCGCCCACTGTGAACTCGGGGCCATGAATAGTGCGAATTCATCTGCATTGAGCAAAGTTAAATCGGTCTTCTTCCCGTTCGGCAGGATGCCAGATGTGATGAATTCGACGAAATGCAAGACAGCTTGCGGTTCAATCAATGCGTCCACTGGTCTGGTTAGCGAGGCCACAATAACACATTGACAACTAGGACCGCACCAGCTCCTACTTCGTGGTCCATCCAATGTTTCTCCGTAACGCTCGATCCCTTGTAACCGGTAGCGTCGAGAATGCCAACCTCTGGTTCCACCGATGAGCCAGAATCTGTATGGGAAAATCGCGCGATATTGGCCTGTTTTACGCGGCAGGTCCAAGGCGCGACGTTCCGGGTATTGCGATGTGCTACCAAGCCAGCACGGGCACTAAGGTTCGCAACGCGAGGTATCGCGCGGGACGATAACCTAGTGAAAACATGGCGATTGACCTGTGGCAGGCTTCGGGAAAGCCTGGCTGCCATGATGCGTTGGTTGTGATAGGCTTGCAGGTGGCGATCTCCGTAGATAAACTCGGGAGCTCGGGAGTCCGGGATAGCTCTGGAGCCCCTTTTTTTAATCAGCAACAGAAATAGAACACTTTAGTGCTAGCCGATCAACGTTAGCCACTTTCTCCAATCTCTACTTGTTCTGGCGATATCAATTTCAAAATCCCAATACCTAGTATATTAACTAGAAAGGGATTGATCTAGAAATTGAATATCAAGATTATCAAAAAGCTTACCAAATTACAGTTGCACGCGACCTGCTGGTACTTGGCGGTTGGTTTGGCGCGCGATTATATTACTAAGCCACTCGCTGGCCCGTGGACCCGTGGACCCGGGGGCGGCCCCCGGGGGCCAATAAGACTTCCAAGGTTCGGATCAACTCCTCGACAGTGCCATTAAAACATCGTATATTCTATAGAGCAGAGAAAAAAAAACTAGGGGGAAAGAGACAATGGCTAACTTTAGATCTTTGCACCTTTGGCAGGAACTCGCAAAATTGACTGCTGTGTCATGGAAGCCACCAGGTTCCCTCCCTCATCCCACAATTTACTCTCACTGTATGTGCGGCCGTTGCCAGCATGGTGATTGATTATCTCTCTCAAGTGCCACTCATCCAATTTGGGCCGCGGCGTAAAGATACGCAGAGCGAAATCCAAGCTCGAACACGCACCAGCGTCCTCGAAAAACATGTGGTTATGTGCCAAAGGCAAAAATGCCAGAACGCCATCCATAACGAACCCCAAGCTAGCCATTTGTTCTCCTTCTGTTTGTAGAGGGTGTTTGACTCGAAGCCAGTCCCCTGACGACTTCGCTGTCGGAGACAATTCCTCCTGGGTGGTTTTGACGGTCTTAGCCATCCCCATCAGATTTTGGGCGGTGACTCCTTCCGGACAGAGGCGACCTTCATAGACGTCCCGGGATAGCCCGAATAAAGTGTTGAAAGCTTTGAACTGTAACTCTGATATTTTCCCAGCTTTGGCCCAATCCTCCACAAGCCGGTCCGAGGGCACACAGTCCCGCCAGTGACTATAACTCTTAGTGGGTTCACTCGAGAATGTGAGGAGAGACGGCTCATCCCTGTGAAAGTCGGCTAGGAGTTCCATACACAGGTGCAGCCGGCCAGTCGATGGGTCCTTCTGTTCGACGGCAACGCGATATGTTACGAAACTCTTCGATTGGCGGAGTTTGACAGGCGTGCATATCAAATTGGCTTCAGTGCTTGCCGGTCGGAGGTAATGTCCAAACACCGAGTACAAGTGAAATCCATCAGGGGTGGTATTACACGCAGCGTGTATCGCGAAAGCGATAGCGTAGCCTCCGTACGCGATGGGTGCCAAATTCCCCATCTTTTGGGGAAGGTGCGCGGAGACATAATGATCATGAACCTTTTGCAGCGATACATGCTCAGCTAAAGTGGTCGCCATGGTTGTGACCGAAGTATTTCAAGACACTGTTAATGCGCGAAGAAGACATGGTAGGTGGTGGTAATTCAGAATTAAATATATTATTATACAAATGGGAACAGAAACTTAGCCTGCAATTTCCCCCGGGGGCAGTGATACCTCGGTTCAATAGCTCGAAGGCCGAGGCCGTCTGTGGGTAACTATTAACGGGCAATGATGGCAGGAAAATTGAGATTTGATTTGCATATGGGAATCCTGGAGCATGTGGGCGAATTTTGTTTGGTGATCTTAGATCCACTATATCCACTTTGCTTTCAACCGGAATGCCGATAGGAAAAAATTTGTGTCTGAGGAACGGATACTCGACAGAAAACCGGCATCTTATTCGCATATTATGCCGGGGACATTGGTATATCAGCCAAAACGTACATGTAGACGAAAGAGATGGGTACAATGTAAGGATTCGTAGCGTATGGCTCTTAACAATTAGTATATCCCTCTGTATCAATTTCAACCACTTGTATATCCTAACCGCCAAGCAAATTCTGGAAGTCTTTAGGCATGTCACAAATGTTGTTTCTTTTACATATATGTTTAGTGAAAAGATATCCTGCGCATCACGCAATTCCATGCATCACTGTGCGAAATATTTAGCGCCTTTTTCTGTCTAACTTGTTCATATGGTCCAGGTGAAGTACCTTGAGTTCTCCCAGGCTCGATATTTGTAGTTTCTAGCCAAATTATGCTGTTCCCACCAAATACGCGTGTTTTCTCGTAACCCTCAGATATTGGCTGCAGACTGTGTGATCCCGAAGGAAACGACGAATTGACGTTCGAGGAGGGGGTGGAAACTGAAAGTGAAGGTTTGTGCAACATCGATGCTCTTGTGTCAATATATATTAAGTACTAAAAATATTGAGGTGGTTTTCTAGCCGGACAATAACTAGAGGCTGTGGTAATTGCGGAGGGCTAATTATTAATGATGCACTTCCTTGAGGTATACAGAGTAGGTATTTGGTAAAAGAAGAAACCGAACACATTTATTGAATGGAGAAACTGATATATAGGCTTCCTTCCAGGACTCTTTCCACAACCCATTCCTGCTTACCATCGTTCCGCGTGTGCCACGCAGGTGAACCCTGGCGTGTCCGATCGCAAACCGATCTTGCCCGATACCTCCTTTCCACTTGTTGTGCAAAATAATAAAGGGCCACTTCTAACAACCGCCATGGCGCTTTTCGGCGAAGCATCTTTCATACCTATTCGTTTGGCGAATCCAAATGGCTACCCGTACAACTTAAGCGAGTCAGTCAAGACAAATGTCACCTACTGCATCGAACAAATTCCTCTAGGATTTTTTATGATGGATTAACATGCCAATGCTAAGCCACGTGATGCCGTCTGCACACTAAATACTAGAGTCCGGGGGATACATTCCACACCACATGGCCATCGAGTTTCTTCTACTAGAAGCGCGAGAAAGCCCTAGCTATACTCCGGTCGTATAGAGTGGTCTACAGCGATAGTGAGTGGCGTAATATATTATAAGATGACCTGGGTAGTAGTTTGGTTATTATTGACTTAGAGGACGTGAAATAGCTAAAGCGCCCTCGGGCTCTTAAGCCAACCTCTGGCAACACGCGGCGTGGTCATTACGTCGGGGCATGGAAAAGCAGATAAAGGCTCCTATCCAGCTCAATTGCTATCTATATATAACGGCCACCAGACCTATAGACGACTACGTCAGTTGATAGCTAACGTCTACACCTTCAGGTCACGTCATATGCTCGTGATATCTTAGGGGAGGGAAGTATAGCATCGATAGAGGTAACGCCTTATTTTCGCCAAGCAATTCATAGATCGAATAAGGAAACCAAAGCCTTAGGGATCATCTACAAAGACCTTCCGCGTGACAATACTCTTTAGAATTCAGAGCTAGGAGGGGCGTTGATTATCGACTTCATTATAACATCGGCCAAGTTCAAAGCGGCTATAAACAGCGAAAATACAACCGTATCGGATAGAATCAGGAGATATAAAACGTTTACACGTTTTATAAAAGTATGTTTGATTAATTTTGTTCGATCAGCGATTGCATATATAATACATGATAATAATAAAGCGTTCTTACAATAGAGCGAAGGCAAAAAAAGAGAGAACAAATAACTTCACGGATCGTCCGGTCTCAAATTAGTAACCAGATTAGCTGACGCTGCCGAAACGGACGGCCTCAAATTTCTTAAGAAATATTCCTCTTTCCTTTCATTCTATCGACCCTCTGCTTAACTTTTTCGCTTCTTTATATCCCGCTTTGACTTTATCGCTTCCTCTTCGATAACCAGGGACCGCTTGATACTGTAGCTCAATAAGCACCTAGCTACATTGGCTGTTACTCAAGCTATTGTCCACCTCGATTATAGACAGGGCTTGATTTCCAACAACAAGATAATTGACTGCGTCTTGGCCTGTTGGCAGGTTTTGGATCTCCCAGATCAACGATGATATCTCCTCCGGCGTTCCAGAGCGCAGCTTGGCAGCCATTCGGCAAAAGGCGACACGGAAGTTTAACAGATCGGCGGTATGAGCCTTACGTCTCCGATCACGGGCTGGATCACTTAAACCCCTTCTGACTGTTAAGTCGACGCTAGACCCACCTTAGTCCCATTTCGAGATCTTAACGTCATTGAAAGGCTCTCCTCCCACTCCCCCGGATCACGACTCTCGAGCTTACGGAATCGCTGCGCCAGCCGGACGGTCACGTATCCAGCCTCTGCCAAAGCATACTGCTGGCCCAGGCAGATTCGCGGACCACCATTGAAAGGAAGATAGCCCCATCCCGGCTGAATGGAGTCCCACCGCTCAGGCCAGAATTCATTGGAATTGGGCCCGTATAGATCATCTCGTCGATGCATTGAATACACGCTGTATATGACCATGGTGTCTTTGGGAACAAATACCGGTGATTTTGCATCGGGGCCACCGCCGACTGGGAGACATGTATCGATTTTTGCGAGCCTGCCGTTAATTGGCACCACGGGATATAGTCGGAGAGCTATAGTGAGATGTTAACTTTTATACGTGTAGCTACTGGGCATGGGAGAGCAAAAACGGACCCTCATTCAAGCAATATCGGAGAAATTTCATCTGGCGCAGATCTTCATAGCTCGGAAGACGGCCATTGAGTGTCCTGTTGACCTCATCCTGCAGTTTAGTCCATGCCTCTTGGTGTTTGGCTAGCAAAAAAAATAGATTGCTCAGGAGACCGGCGGTGGTGTCTCTACCGGCAATTAGGCCATTGATTAGCTCATCCCGGATTTGACGCCTGTTGTTGGTCTGGCGCACCAGCTCGTCGACGACCCGATACTTTTGTTTCTGTCCAGAGTCACCGGTAGCAATGGGAATTGCGTCTCTCCGTTGCACTGCAGAATCAATGATCCTCTCGGCAAACTGATGACAGATCTTAAAGCTTCGCGTTGCTTTACGATCAAAATGGAGGACACGCAGGGAACCCAACCGGGACCGCATGGTAATTGCCTCCATGGCATAGTTGAACGCCTTCCCAACCTCAAACCCCGACTCGCTATCAGGGTGTGATCTTCTTAGTGTATGAAGGGAATGTCCGAACAAGAACTCCGTCGCAGAGTCCAAGGTATACGAGAAAAAAAGCTCTTGTAGGTCAACCGTGGCACCATTTGGGGGGATGAGGGCGAAAAGGTCTTGTATCTTCTCCTCGAATAGGGTAAGGTCCGATACCTGGGCGCGCGTGAAATTAGGTCGGAGTAGAGCACGAGAACGAGCCCACCGGTCGCCATCCGATGTGAAAATGCCATTCCCGAGGAGTGGCCCTTGTGCGTGAATACGATGTCCAACTGTGAAGTCCTGAAACTGTTGCGAAACGATGGTCTTCACATTCTCAGGCTCGCAGGTGATGATGGCCGGGCGTCCAAGTCGTTTGTCAGCTACGGTGTTGCCGAAACGTTGGAAGGTGCTTTGGTTTGTTTCAAGGATTCGGTGTTGCTTGGCCGTTCGAACGTTGGAGAGAATTCGCCTAAGGTTGCTGAATCTGCCCTTTGAGGGAACCTTAGCTGCTGGTTGACAGCCATGAAGACTTATAAAACGGCGTTGAGTGAGATTGCGTTGGATGAGTCTATATGCACTATGAATAACTAGTGATATCGCAACCCCAACAAGGAAGACGAGATAATTGGGGTATTGCATGGTCTTAACAAGACGATGACAATGACCACACAACGACGGGATCTAGTATGAGGAACCATTAGCCAACATACTATGTTAAGGGGTGCTAGGATTTCCCCTAAGACCAGACAAATTCTCACAAGTCTAGCAGGTTGGTGTCATTGGCCACGTACACTAATAGCCTAGTGTGAAGTGTTTGCAAAGAAACCAAGATATACTAAATCAATTTATGCTTCCCGTGGAGAAAGAATGTCAACCTATGATGCTATTGACCCGCCAATAATCGTATGGCACATTTATGCCTCAATCAGCATCGTACATATGAAATGAAGCAAGGGTTATTTAGTACCCCGTCCGCTTACAGGCCAGGAAATACTCCTTATATTAAATACAAGACGATACAGCCGTTTTCATACAGTAACAGAGTGACTTTGTACTGAGCCTGTACTGACAGCCAAATAGGATTCAGGATGATTCAATTACAATGTGATATGTCGACTGGTTTCAATCGACTTCGTAAAACTCAAACACAATATACCACTTCCACAAAAGTAATTTGAAATAATATAATAACCTGGAGCTAATATTGGGGGGTTCCGAGATTACTATCAACTTAATCCTTCAATCTGCCCTCGCATAGACTGTCAACACATAGTAGGACATTTACCTATAACAAGCAAAGGCAAGGCAAACTCAATCTTTCAAACTAGGTCAGACGGATTTCGGGTTCGAAATTAACAATGTTCTACCGCATAATTAAGGTGTAACATGCTGAGAGCAAGCGCAGGTGTATAGTCTGTTAGGAGACATGATCTTGGGCAAGTGGGAATCGAAAGCCTGAACATCTGCCGGAAATGCATTATCTGGCGTGATTAGTAAAAGCGAAAAGTATTTTTGAGCATGTCGGACATGATCATTCACCGGAGGGCATTCGTGAGATCCTCATCAATGCACAGAAGAAATAGGATCTCTTGATCTCGTTTCGCCATTTAAAACGTCAGGTGGAAGAAACTGACATAGATACTGCCGAAACAAAGACACATCTTGCAATAGCTGGCTGTAGGGCATGAAGAACGGTACCTGCTTTTCTGTAAATGAGGAGGCCTCTGATGTGACCTGCCTGCAGGCTAGATATGGAAATGGGGACGGCACAATGGCGGTCTGGCAAAATAGACAGGTCGAAATCAATGAAGCGAGCACACAAACAACCACTCTCATGGCACATAGTAGAGTGTAAGAGTGGTCCCCGAAGGCGTAGATCGTACTGCTCTTAATGATAAATCATGAATGAAAGAATTTGGCGAGTGGGAGAATTGCTGATTTTTTTTCTAATTTCCGTTATGTAGCTACTAGCAATATAGGTGCCTAGGTGCCTCTGGATGCGGTATAAATGCCGTATGTAGAGTCCTAAACTTCTGCAGGGCCTTGAAGGCTGGAAAGGAAAGGGCGGTCTAGGCTTGGCAATAATCCATTTCTCCTTAGCCCTAGTAGGGCCATACTGCTGAAGCTGAACTCTATTCCTGCCGCAATATGCTAGCCTATCACATTTATTGTATTGTTCAAGTATTTAAGTTTTGTTAGGCCGGGTGTACCCAACAATGGCCTTTACGTGCACATATGATGGGTACCAGGGAATTCGCCACGTGGATGCTGCTGTATCTTAAGAATTATAGTATAAGAATCGCGTACTCATTGTGGCTTACAGATCTCACGCTTTCCAGCCAATTGAACTCTCCATTCGTTAGGCTGCCATTGAACTTCAACCAATTCCGTCTTTTTATATTTTTATCAAATTGTACACTGTCATGGGAGCCTCGAATGAATATAAACCACCAACTCAAGGCATCTTCGCTCTTCTGCCCTCCGCATTGACTCCGTACGCTGAGCTTATGCGACTGCATCGACTGGCCGGATGTTATTTCTACTACTGCCACTATGTTATCGGGCTGAGCTTTGCTGCCTGTGTGGCCCCATCCCCTCCGAAACCATGGCTACTCATCGTCCAGGCCTCATACTTCATGGCCTGGGTATTGATTTTGCGTGGGGCTATGTGCACTTGGAACGACAATGTTGATCACGACCTTGATCGTCAGGTTGCTCGAACTCGGCTGCGACCTATTGCCCGAGGTTCAGTGAGCCCCGTTCAAGGTCATGTCTTCCTTCTACTGCAGCTCGTCGTTGGCGCCATAATACTCCAAGTTCTGCCCACGTCCTGCCTCTTCTACGCAGCCATCACCACATTAGCAGCACTTTTCTATCCGTTTTGCAAACGTGTAACACATTTACCGCAAGTATTTCTGGGCCTTGGCTTCGGCCTAGCTATCTTTATGACCGGCGCAGCCCTCAACGTGGACTTCATTCTACAGCATTCATCCAATGACGGCGATGGCCATCACCGTCTACTCGCAGCTCTGTGTCTCTATGCTGCCAGCGTCCTATACACCGTTATTGTGGATACTCTGTATGCTTACCAAGACATGGAGGATGACATCAAGGCTGGCGTAGGCTCGCTAGCGGTTCGCCTTGGAAGAACTCCGAAATTGGTTTTTTCGTTCATGGCGGCCGCGCAAGTCGTATTTCTAGTCGTTGTTGGTATTCTCAGCCAGTTTTCAGTCATTTACTTTGTGGGATCATGTGGCACAACGGCTCTTGTTCTGGTTTCTATGGTCTCTCTGGTCAATTTGACCGACCCTGCCAGTTGTGCTTGGTGGTTTGGTCCGGGTTCTTGCATTTTAGGGGCTTCGATGGCGATAGGCATGATTGGGGAGTATGCTAAACGACAAGTATCAAGTGCGTACTTATGAGTCAATATTGGCGAGCAAGCATGTTTGCCCTGTGTTTCATACCTCTTCTTTGAGTTCTTCCTATAAGCTCTCTCTCTTATATAGAAAGAATTCATCGTCCTCATACATCTCTTTATGTGCTGTATTAAATATGTGAGTTCTCAAAAGAGATAAGTTAACTTTCAGGATATATTACTCAGGGTCTGCTTTCCCTCAAAACTCGGCGCCTACCAGTATCAATCTGAAAAATATGAAACAATTAATGTAATAACGTAAAGACCCAAGTTACATCCTAATATGCAATTCTGTTGAGATAGCGTACCCACTCGGGTCATGTGCCCTGATAAATCTGAGCCCTAGTGGCATGGAAACAGCATGAAGCGCTTCCTCCTCTCCCTCTCTCTCGTCCGACCGAATATCAATTTATTGGCATACATTCCTCTTCTTCCCCCCTCTAGAAATTTTCATATCGCTGTCTTTCCGCTTGCCTCAAAGCATGTATTTAACAGTCTGATGTTTTCTCTCCTTGCTCCTGTGCCAGTCTAACCTTGACTCTCAGCGGGCACCGATCCCAGACAATGTAGGTGCGTTGCGCTTCCCACTCCTCGTGGTTAGTGAGAAGTTCCATATCGAACTTCCACAACAAACGCGCAAATATCATACGGAGCTCAACCTTGGCAAAGCTAGACCAGATTTAATAAGTGAAAAATTAGTCATCAAACTACAGGTTTTACGCACCTCATCCCAAGACAGTTCCGCGGGCCCACATTAAACGGCTGAAACGCGGCTTTTTTGTCATCCTTGAACTGCTGATTCTCTCCTTCCAGCCATCTTTCTGGCAGGAACTCCTCTGGGCGGGTGAAATTCAGCTCTGACCGATATGACGACCACTGGTGCACTCCGACTTTGGTTCCATTAGGAACCCAGTTTCCATCGATAAAGCAGCCGTGGCTTATGCGTGGAAGGCTCGATGGGATTGCTGGCCAGATTCGCATTGTTTCTTGTAGTACGGCAATCATGTACTTGCAGTTGTTGACCGCTATGATGTTGATGTCCTCTTCTCTTTCGAAGCTCGCTCTCACCTCTTCTTTCAACCGGGCGTATATCTGTGGGTGGGAAAGAACAAAGTAATTGGCGGATGTCAGGACACTGGCAGTAGTTTCGGATCCGGCAATCATGAGTGATCCCACTGTTGAGCGAAGCTGCCCTATTGAGAAGCCTTGGGGTCCACCTAAATGAGGCATTACGAGAGTGAGAAGATCAGGTCGCTTGTCATCAGCACTCGAATCGAGACGGCGGTCCAATGCAGCGATGTTGCTCTGGTGGAATTTCACTGTAGCACTCGGGAATAACACCGGGAATAGCGAACTGATTGTGGTCACGAAGAAAGAGACCTGTTATATCTATCAATGAATGCCTTGTTTGCTTACTGAAGAGCCGGCTGACTTACATATTTAGTGACAACGCGGGAAGTAATGCGTGCTTTTACCATGGGCATAACGAAACCAATCCAGTCGGTCTCCTGCTCAAGCGTGTTGGCACTCTCTCCGAAGGTCAGATCAGTTATGATATCATAGGTTGTAGCGTTCAACAGGAGTGACATATTGGCCTCTCTAGTTCCTGGACCCTCTTTCTGAGTATCAAGGACCCGCTCCCTGAGCCTTACCACCAGTTGGCTGATATGTCGTGTCAAAAGGTTCTCTTGCGCCCTGACACTTCTCTCACTGAAGCCTGAAACCAGCTCGCGCCTCATCCGGGCATGGTCCGTATCACTAGGGGTGTTGGCCATCCCGTTCACACCCCCTGCAGGGCTCGCAGTAATTTCAGGGTGCTTCTTCAGCTGAGGATTCCTGCAAGCGTATATATCATCCCACGCCTGGGCGCTGATGTACGAGAGCTGGTCTGGTGACACTCGGACTACTGGTCCATAGCGGCGATGAAACTCGGCATGCCAGAGATGGGTTGTTCCCTTCATAAGAGCAATTTTGTAAGGAATAAAAGTTGAGGTCCAGATAATTGGGCCAGGGTAACGAGCCAGTGGATGGAAAATTGCGTTGTAAATGGATCGTAGAATCGTGAGGATGAAAACCTAGTTAGTTGCGTCTAATGAGCTTCGATGGCAACACTATTAATCGAATCGAATCGCTTTCACTTACACTTCCTAGAAGCACAAAGCCCATGAACCCCCAGGAAAGACCCAAAAAAACCACAAATGTTTCTTCAAGAGACTTCATATCGAACGTCCAAGAAGCCATTGTCATGCTGGTTTGATTTAGTCCGGGGGTTGCGTTGATGGAAAACTTCCAATTTGAGCACGGGCTAGAATGTGACCTGGCAAGTTTCTGACACGTGCTTTATAGTCGAACAAGCTGAACACCTAATTTCGAAAAATTACAGTCGTAATATGTTTTTGAAAAGGACCCATTCTTGATCACATTTTGCATGGAGTCAAAGCGTTTCTTTTTGCTGTGGGTCCATACAATAGTGACTGATCATATAGATCTTCCCTGGCAATACACAATACATCGTTCTGGTTCCTGTATGCAGCATGGTATTGTGTAATATCTTATCTTTCTGTGAGCTGTGTACAACCAACCAGGAGTCGGCTGCAATGTACTTAATAGGAAGAGATTATCCCTCAGGTTTGCTGTGTGTGCCACGAATCGATACGTTACCGGCGAAAGACTCCTCAAGCATATTTAATCCCTGATTATTGGCCGTCAGTCAATATATCGAATCTTGCAGCGAAACTCGTTAGGATGTCTGACCACTGGCAAAGCACCGTCTTTCCCAACGAGCCAATTTTCAAATTGTTGCTAGAAGCTGCGCGGGAGAACCGACATGTCGCAGTTTCCGATTCTATTCGGGGAGTGAATGCCAGCTATGCTCAGCTCCTGGTCGATATTTGCACCATGCACGAGGAGATTAGAAAGCGGATCCCACAGTCCATGTTTGACGCACGAGGACTGATGCCACTCGAAGCAACGTGCATTTTCATCCTTGGTCCAGCGAGCTATGTTTTTATTTTGGCTTCCTTCACCGCTCTCTCTCTAGGCGGTGCAATTTGTCCACTGGGTAGGTCCAACAAAGGGGCGCTGTCTACTACTAGCATTAACGCATCTCCGTGTGTACAGGTACGGGAGCAAGTCCGTCAGATGCGTACCGACTCTTACAAAAAACGCAATCTTCAATAATCTTAGCAGACCCACTTTACCTAAATCATGCTCTAGAGATCAAAAAATACGCCGATGGGGAAGGGACTGATCTCTATGTAGTACCGACCACCTTCAATATTGCCTCCTCAGAAAGTCCTTTGAACTTCAATGTCGAGATCAATCAGGACTTGGTGGTCGAACAGACTCGGCCTGGGTTATTTATCTCTACTTCTGGCACAACAGGACCCCCTAAGCTGGTCATACATGGACGAGGTGTCTTTGTACCTGGCGCAGGTTACCAGAGTGGTGATGTCTTTTTGTGTCATCGCTCTCCAGTATGGTTTGGTGGGTTGAGGCCGCTCATCTCCGTTGTTCTCGCTCGGGCAAAGCTGAGAATCGTGGCAAGAGATGCGTCCGTTATTTGGGAATCCCTTCGCAGTGACCAAATTACTTTCCTGAGTACAGTCCCGGCCGTTTGGACACAACTTATGGAATACTATCAGAGTCATATCAGCAAGTTAGCGCGCGAACAAGCGGAAACCTACCGGCAAGGAGTTCAAAACTTGCGCAGGGCTATTGTCAGCTCAAGCTCGCTGCTGCCGTCTGTTCAGACATTTTGGGTAGACAAGATGCAAAGGCCACTGATGGTCGTTTATGGGGCAACAGAGCTAGGTGGTGCCGCACTTGTGAGGGCTTCAGCTCCGTTCCCAGACGAAGCGGTGAGCTGCAGTTCTTTTCCTTGTGTTATTGTGGTGGCATACTAATGATCTATTGTGGTAGCGCCGCATTGGGAAGCCGTCGCCTGGGGTTTTAGTGAAGTTGTCGGAAGGAGACCATGGCCAGCTGCTAATCAAGAGTCCATTGGCTTTTCTACGGTATGCTTCGAGGGGATGCCGTATACTCTAGGACTAAATTAACTTCGCTAGATATCATGGGAATCCAGAAGCAACAGAAAATGCTTTTGACAAGGACGGTTACTACAAATCTGACGACTTTGCGCATCGAGAGGGGGATGAATACATACTCGACGGTAGGATGATTGACTGTAAGTGATGGTAGTGCACGTGATAGTTTCTTCATTCTCAACCTATAGGTTCAAAGATGGGTGGGGACCTGACAAACATGACGATACAGATATACGATACTACGGGTATAAGATAATGACCCACGAAGTTGAAGCCCCCATGGCTGTCCTCCCGTATATTTCCGAGGCATGCGTTCTAGCAGTTCCCGTTGCCAATAATGCGTTTACCACAGAAAGAGTTGGAGCTCTTGTGCGCCTTCAATCTTCTCATCTGATACCTTCCAATTCCCCGTGTTGGGATTGTCGTTCGACACTGGAGAGGTTGAGAACAGACCTCTCTAGAGATTTGGCATTCCATATGCTTCCCACCGTGGTTCACCTGCTCCATGATGGTGAACAGATCCCGAGGACAGTGTCTGAGAAGGTCAATAGACGAGAGGTTGTGGAGAAATACTTCAAGCCAGGAAGTTTTAACCTACTGCAGGACGTAAAGGTGTGGGATTTCAAGTGCCAGAATTCTTAGATTCCTATGGTTGGGGAACGTTCTGCATTATGTCCTATAAATACATAGCTTTAGGTCTATAGGAATTCAAACAAAACTTCCTCAGTAAACAAGTCTTTTACAGCAAAAAGTGTGATCTTTGTGCGTTATGTATATGAGCCGCTGAGTAAAATAGTTTCAAAATCAACTCTCTAGATTCGTGGTACTAAAGTAAACCCAGCTCCTATTCTGTACCACCGTGCTGTCTCCATTCCTCTCCTTTAAAATACACAACCCACAGCATTGATGATGACATAGACCATAAACCTGCAATGATCGTTCCTAGCCAGCCAAATCCAATAGTTTGAATAAGGAGCGGTACGATGGCAACAACCCCAGCCCCAGGAAGGAATCCACATAACGACATGGCTGCTCGTGCCATCCCTGGCCGGGTTGCGTTAAGGTCCATGATCAATGCCGCGGCCATGTTGGTTACACCGGCGGCTGCGTTCCCCAGAAAGAATAGCATGATTAGAGGTCCCGACGGATGGACGTTGTACGTCAACACCCAGCTGTACCCCAGAAGAAACAGCGACGCGCAATATATTGCTGGCAAGGCTATTTGCAATCGAACCTTCTCCAGTGGCATCAGAGAAAGCTGTTCCTTCGATTGCTGATTTCGTTCGATATTCACGCCCATCTGGCGACCATGGCGTCTGAAGTTCCAGTCTGCTAGTAATCCCACAGTCCAGCGAGCTGTTATGCTGCCAAAAGCGTATGGGACATAGCATAGGCCAATTTCCAAGGTGTTGAATTGGTATTTCTCTTCCATAAGCATCGGAATACTGATCATCACAGCCGCGATACCCCACTTCATGAGAGAGATGAACAAGATCAGTTGTCCAATCTGCTTATCAAGCAAAATCCTGAGACTGTCAAGGATACTAGGCCTCTTAGAGAACCTTGTTCGCGTCTCCACTTCCGGGGGGCATGTTTGTCGTGGGCGTAGGAGCGGCTGGTTCCACGGCTGAGGAGGGAGACTGCCATTTCCGACGACTGCGCGGCAGGTTTCAGGTTGGAATATGATAATAATAGCGACCATTATGCCTGCCAATATGGCAAGAAACCAAAAGATGCTTCGCCAGCCAAGAAAATGGGTCAGTACTCCACCTAGAACTGGGCCTATAGAGGCTCCAATAGTGGTACCGATGGAGGTATAGGCCATATATTTCCCACGTTCGGATCGGGTGATAACATCCACGACGGTACCCCCAGTGACTGAGGCAACGCCGCTGCTGCCAAGGCTCTGTAAACATCGCAACGTCGTCAGAGCGACGAAGTTAGTTTGACACGCAAGTCCCACGTTCACGCCAATTGAGGCAAGCAGGCAGATTAAAAAGACGGGCCGACGCCCGTATTGGTCTGAGAGGTTCCCGGTCAATAACGGAGTGAGACCCTGTGCGAGCTATTCGACGATTAGCGTTTCATTTTACTTGGCTCGGTGATACAGGCTCGTCGTACCATATAAGAGGTAACAGTCAGATTAATCTTGACTTTGGACACATGCAAGGCCTCCGACAAAGGAATCATGGCTGGGTAATAGAGTCCTCCCGCAAAAAATGCGATCATTCTCATGGATGAAGCAGTGATGATCGTAAAGATCTTCTTTTTCTCGCTCATTACTGTATACATCCGCGTTGGCTCACTTGCTAAACAAGAAGCCATGCCATTTGTTTCAACAGCCGCATCATGGGTAGTAGATGCATTAGTGTCCAACCCAGCACAATTGCTTGTCTTTGTCTGTGGGAACATAATATTGCAACGTATCATTTGCTGGTGTGTGAGCCCAGTTGCCACTCAATTCGGTGAGTATTGCAGAGATACATACCTATACGGTAGTCATTGGGGGATTGATGCCCTCTTACCATCCCATGTGTTGACAAAACAGATCGCTGTCTCGTGCTTATATGGGTCACAAACAAGGGATGAGAAGTAAAATAATGTAGATCACAAGCAAGGGGTGGGATGATATCCCAGGCCAAAAGGTAATCCCTATTGAAGAAGCTTTCTCATAGGCTGAATCTTTGTCTAGATAAAACTGCCATTATGAGCACTACCCGTAACCACTTACCATGCACCACACTTACTCTGGTTGTGTTTTCCCGAAGAATATAAAGCTGTCAAGGAGACCCCAAAGGAGGTGTAAACGGTGGTAATTGCTTCCATTTTACATACGAGTTCTGCTTCAGCCTTTAAAGTAGAGCCAGGGAAAAGTAATAGATGCAAATATTATCCGTTCGTGGTGGATTGTATTAGCTGATCTGTCTGTCAGAATGGGCTGCAAGGGATAATGGCCACCCAAAAGCAGCAGGCGTTTTGGTCACACTTATCAGGGGAAAGAAAAAAGAAAGAAAAAGAAAAAGACATGGAAATGAGAACAAAAGTGCTAATATCATGCCGATCAATCGGCCTAACTCAAGGTTCCGCTGGTGACGGCGTTCTTGGCTCGTACAAAAGTGGTTAATGAGCAACACATGTGAGAAGGCAATGATAGTATTAATGTGTAACGCATTGAATTGAATTAAGGGGGCATAAAAATTCTCGGAGGGACCTCGATTGTCGTGATGAATTGTCTATTTAAAGCTCTTTCAATGGGTATACTGTATATGGTGGGGGAATTGCTTACTGCATGAACCAGCGGTGTATCGGGTCCCTCCTTGGAGTTCCCCTTTTCCATAGTGTACATGAGTCTTTCTCTTAATCAACCCACTTGACTATCCCTCTCCCTCCCTAATTATGGAGATTAAAAACACAAAATTACCAAACGAGCCTGCATTCGTCCATCTTCTCAAAGTCGCTCGGGAAGTTAAAGATGTCATCTTCCATGATCCAACTCATGGGGTCGAGTCGGACTTCGATCAGCTTCTTACCGACATAGTGCGAACCCGAAACTTGCTGCTAGAATCTATTCCAAGCTTGATGTTTGATCAGAGACACATTCTTCGGGGCCAAAACCCATATATCTTTCTTTTGACAGATATGAAGTACGACTACACCGTCGGCGCCCTTGCTATCCTCTCCATCGGGGGTGCATTCATACCATTGCGTACGTTATTTTTAGAAGACTACTAATGCAGTGAGTTGCTAAATTCAGGATTTTATCGACAGCAAACAATGTTATGCCGGAGGAGGTATTAGAGCACATCCGTCGCAGCAAATCCAAAGTCATCCTTGCCAGCGACACTTGCATGTCACTTGTAGAAAACATTCAGAGACATGGATGCCTTCATGACTTGCAGGTGATTTCGTCTCCGATTTGCGTCAAGATTTCCCCCATATTGGACGGAGGTGTAACCTCTATTGGGATTGATGAAAAAGCAATAGTCCCCCTGGAGCGCCCAAGCATGGTACTATTCACATCGGGCACCAGCGGGCCACCAAAAGGTGTTGTGCATACTCGAAAGCTGTTCAATGGCTTCCCTTCTCTCATTGGTCCTGGGGATGTCGTTCTACATCATCAGCACCCAAGTTGGGTTGCCGGTGCATTACCCTTAATCAGACATCCCTTATCAGGGGCACGACTAGAAGTTATATCTTCTGATCCGGCAGTAATATGGAAACGCCTTCACCAAGGGGGAGTAACCATTCTGACAGGTAACCCACGTATTTGGAATGGTCTAATGAGATACTTCAAACGTCACCTCTGCTCTTTACCATCCAAAGAATTGAATCAGTATATCGCCGCAGCTCAAAAAATCCGACTAGCACAAAGTGGTGGGATGGTACCCTCTTCTTCGTTGATGAAGTTTTGGCGAGAGGAAATCGATCTAGCTCTAAGGAACTCCTATGGAGCGACAGAGCTCGGAGGACGAGGGCTGTGTACGTCGCCTGACACGGACGTAGAACTTCAGGTGTGTCCCTTAAGACTTAGAGCCCCTTTGTGAACTTGATATTCCTAATCCCTTCACTTGCTTCTTTTCTTCAACTCCCTCCATTTACTTACTCCATATAACAGTTCTGCATCGGGCGGCCTCGCCGAACTGTAGAAGTTAAGCTCTCGGATGGAGATCATGGAGAGATCCTGATTAAAAACCCGGTTATGTTCTCTCAGTAAGTTATTTCGTTGTTCATCCTCGTGCATTATGCGTTGGCTAATTACTAGATCATACTAGTTACCTGGGTGATGAGTCTGCAACTGAAGCTGCGTTCACCGAAGACAGATTCTTTCGAACGGGGGACATCGCTCGTAAAGTCGGGGAAGATTATGTTCTCGAGGGACGGGGGGAAAGAGACAGTAAGATCTGACTCTCAGCTCTTTGCCCCATCTCAAGCAATTATACTAACACTGTACTCTTTGTCAGTCATAAAAAATGGCACTTATAAAGTTTCTCTGCTGGAGGTAGAGCAGCAGCTGCTCAATCTTCCCTTTATCCAAGAAGGGTGCATCGTATCTGTGATGGATTCCCACAATGTTTCCCGAGTGGCCGCTCTCGTGCGCTTCGAAAAGCCCAACAAATGCCGTGAAATTGAATTCCATCGCCCGGATGAGCCATCGCTGGACTTCATCAGAGACCAGCTGGCGACCAATCTCCCAGTTTATATGTTGCCGACTGCTTTGCGAATCTTACGTGAGGGAGAGTACATACCACAAACTGCAAGTCACAAAGTCATCAAAGCTCAGGCTGTACAGCAATACTTCCAGCTCTCGGATGATTCTGAGCTTTTTAGTAGCGTTGAACTGTGTGATATCGACGCATGCAAACCTACAGTAAGATCCCGGGCTTGGGATGCAGCCGGCAAGTAGTGCCGAGAACATGAAACTATTCGTGATGGGAACCAGAAATGCACATCGTTTAACACCCTGTTGAAGCGACAAAGACTAAATGAGACAGGAAGAAGGTGTCCGTAGATTTTTGCACGATAGATTTACCTACCAAGATAATGTTTAAAATCTATCTGGTCATCCAGCATGACACAGTTTAGGTTTTGCAACCATGGAGCTTAGGGCTTCTCCCACTGCTTGCAAGTGGCAGTGCTCCGCCACATAGCTCCTATAAAAGTAGAACCATAGAATATGAAAGTTTTGTGCCTGATATAATATAGAATCATACCCAGCAGCAAGCTTGTAGTTAAGTACATGAAACATGTACATTATCTACTATATATATATAGATACTTGACAGAGGTCGGCCTGTTCTGGGTTTAGCGCGACCCGCTCTGCGTCAGTTCCTGGCCCTCCCATTCGTTGGTCTGCTCTGTTTGTCGCTTTACCATTGGTTATGGGAAAAACTGCATACGCATCTTCGTTGGCCTATTTGATGGAGAATCTACGATGTGATGATCCAGAGATGGAGAAACAGAGCAGTAGATTCAACTGGGAACAAAAGGGACGGACAGGAAGAGGAGAGAGAGAGAGAGAGAGAGAGCTATCTGGCTATCTACTACTATCGGGATCTGTCCATGTGGGACCTGCTGCCTGAGGCAGAATCAGGCACCCAACACTATTCCAATCTTGCCCATCTTGCCAAATAGTCCTTCTTGGTTTGCATCTATAGAGTATATCGCATGCTGTGCCTTTGTTGAGATGTTGATTTGATATGCTGCCAGCTTTCTTCACTTGTCTTCCAGCATCTTCAGCCTCCTATGGCGCTTCATATATGTCGAATCTCGCCCATCCGATGCCACCCCGTGAACATTCTGCCGCTGATTTGAACTCCCGTCCGTCTACTAAGTGCTGTAGCCGCTGCCATAACATTCGGCCGTTGACTACGTTCATCAACGACAGAAATATCGAGCTTAAAACCTGCCACAGATGCTGTCGTCCCCAACCGCGACAGGTCGAGTGCGAGACTACTTCGTCTGCCACTGCCGGCGATACAGATGATTCTTTGGTCCGCTGCAGTCGGTGCATGTGCTATCTTCCGCGTTCTATGTTTCTATCTGCCGCCGGTAGGCGCTCCAAGATAAGCTTTAATTGCCGAGTGTGTTCTCTATCAGGCCCGCTATTTGAATATACTAACCGCAATAGGAGAGACAACGTGCTGTGCCGATGATATCGATCTATCCGGATACCCCGGCCCTGGCCCAACGCCTAACAAACTCAATAAACACCCCTGCTTTTGCGACTATACCTACGGGTGCCGTTAGTACTGCACAACATGACGTGATACCGGAGGTGGCCCAGACTCACCAGTGCACTTGCTGCGGCGGCATATACCCATTATCAGTTTTCATGGATCAGTCGCGCCGCCCTGAGCCCTTCACCAATTGCGCTACATGCAGACTGGAGATTGGCCGAGTCCCCCCACCAGGCCGCACCGGTATGAAATCATGTTCACGATGTGGTGATCTGCTCCCTCTAGCCCAGTTTATCGACCTAGGGTGATTCTCACCCGCTTGTCACCCCGATTCTCACCCTGTCTATAGCTCACTCACCCTTCTCACTGTTAGGATGGATGCCTTGTTTGCCAGGCTTCAACCAGCTACATAAGTAGCTCTCTGTTTGTTTGTAGAGAAATCAATCCTTCTTCTCTCTCTTTCCGCTCCCAGTAGCTAGATCACTCACCCCTGGTCGCGCGACCGTAAAGCGGCGCTCACCCATTTCTCACCCAGGCGACACCCACCCGACTAATGACTGCACATAAGCCACACGCCGGTGAGTTAGTAGTTGGGTGGGTGACTACCAGCGAATCCTCACTGTTGTATGTTTTTGTATCTTTTTTTGTTGACTATATATCATCTACTTATATAGTATTCGGCATTCCTAACTAATTACGATATCCCTAATATACAAGGAAAGCACTAAAAGTCAAACTAGTGGCCTAATTTTTTTCCAAAATTTAGCCTCCACCACGAGCTCCAACAACCATGTCAAAGCAATACTATCCATGCCAGTCAATTCACAATTGTCCACAGATCAAATGTGATAAGGAATAGGATTACCTAGTAGTATCTTGGTTTATGGAAAATACGGGTTGGAGACAATTATGAAAATCATGACAAGATGTACGCTTCTCCCAAGAACACATCTGCCTCATCCAGAAATTTTAGTTATTGAGCGCCCGCTGTTTGCCGGGAAGTCTGCTCTCTGTTACCCGGGCCTCTTTCCCTCATAGTCTTCATCGTAACAAACATATTGACGGCTCTACGTGAGTCGCACCAAGCCCAATCATGCCGACTGGGCAAAAAAACACAGTATCGCCTAGTGTGAGTTTGAAACACCACATTAGAGCTCTAGATGATGCTTAACTAAAGCAAGAAGAGGTCGTGGGGTGTTCTCGTTCTTACTAGGAGATACCGCTTCCTAGTCCTGCCCTTATTCATTAGGCCTCACCATTCTCACACTTGCCCACTTACTACATGCAGGCATAATTGTTAAAGATGTCCAAGAAGTCCCAGCTAGAGGTTTCTACACAATTGTTACAGATTTCGGTTCTCATATCACTGTATCAACCAAGATGGCAGCAGTTGAGCCGGGGTCAGTCTCAACCTCCTATTGTTGATTGTGTCGCTGAGAGTTTTGGGTAGCGACTGAGTCAATAAGATAATCTTAACGATGTGCAGATCCATGAGCTGGGCGAACGAGGGGTTGAACCCAATGCCACACGTGGTAAAAGTTGGGAGAACGTTTAAACTTAAGATATTATTTTTAGTCCCCACCCCATCCGCGCGCTAGGCCGCCAAGCGCCGCCAAAGTCCAGACTGATGTGCCGGTCGATCACGCTCATCTCTACGACCTCTACTTTCACTCTTTTATAAATGTCACTTAACCGGATTGAATAATCAGTCAACGTGGTCCGAACTTCCATACACCAGCAATGGGCCATTCCGAGGCCAATATTAGCCCAAGGACCGAGATCTCTCCGGCAGTCATCCCAAACCTAGGAGAACCGGACCTGGAACGAAACCCAGAAAAGCCGAAGACATATATACGGCAACTGAGGAACTACACACCCCGCAAGAGCGAGATGTAGTTAACAACACAGCAAAAAAATCACTCTCCTTCAAACTCGCCTTCGCAGGGCTTGCGGCCAGCCTTTTTGTTTTTCAGCTGGATGCAACCTGCCTAGGTATTGCCCTTCCAGTGAGCCATAACACCCTCTATAGTCTGTATCCCACTTGCATCAATGACTAATTTCCACCACTAGACTATAGCTGGCGACCTGAAGGGCTCAAGTTTAGAGTCATTCTGGGCGAATCTGGCTTACACCCTATGTGGACTAGTCACGCAACCAGTATGGGGCCAGTATCTCCAACGCGTTCGGTCGAAAGCCACCTCTATACGTATCTATGTGTCTATTCTCTATCGGTTCCATCGTTTTCGCTATGGCACAAAACATGAATACTATAATTGTCGGACGGGTCCTCCAAGGTCTCGGTGGTGGAGGAATTGACCTTTTGGCGATGGTGATTCTCGCGGATATGACGGCGCTAGAAGAACGCTCGAAATATCTCGGCTTAATGGCCATTCCCTCGGCCATTGGCAATATCATGGGGCCCGTCGTCGGTGCGCTTTTCTCGACATATGCTACATGGAGATGGATTGGATGGATCAATTTACCATTGTTAGGAATTGGCACACCATTAGTGTTTTTCTTCCTCAAACTTCGACCCGTCCCGCTCGATGCAACGCTCTCTAGGAACTTGAACCGCCTCGACTGGATCGGTATGGCGCTTGTCGTTATTGGCATTACAATTTTCGTCGTACCTCTCAGTTGGGCGGGCTCCTTATTTCCATGGGCCTCTTGGCAGACTCTCGTTCCACTGTTATTGGGAGTTGCGGTGCTTGTCACCTTTGCCTTCTACGAGGCGAAGCCCGCGGCACCTATCATTCCTCATCGAATTTTCCACTCCAAGACAGGAAACGTAACGCTGCTAGGAGCCTTCATCCACGGCATGGTTTTAGTATCCCTATTACAGTACTTGCCCTTGCTATACCAAGCCGTGGAGCTCGAGACTGCTATTTCATCAGCTCTCTCCCTGCTGCCCACTGTCATTATAAGCGTCGTAGCCGCAGCCGTCTCAATGATGATGGTCCCATTGTTCGGAGGATACGTATGGATTCTAAGAATTTCATGGGTTGTTCTTACGCTGGGAACCGGCTTGCTGGCCCTCTTCGGCGTAGGGTCCTCGACATCTATGCGTTACGGGCTTCCTATTCTCTGGGGGCAAGGTGTCGCGCTACTACGTCTCAATATTCTTCCCATGCAAGCAAGTGTCAAGAATGTTGACGACACCAGCCTAGCTATTGGACAGTTTCTTGCTATTCGCTTATTTGGAGGCCTTGTTGGCCTTACTATCTCTTCGGCTATTTTTAACAATGTTTTCTCGGCGTCCATTTCTAATACTACCATTCAGCTAACTGGAGCTTTGGCGCCTCTGAAAGACGCCTCCAATGCTGTGAACTTTATTGGCGAGTTAAGATCACTGGAAGTATCTTTTACGACGCTAGATCGGGTTTTGGGAGTCTATCTGAAGTGCTTCCACACAATCTTTTATATAATGACCGGCCTCAGTGCATTGGGCTTGGTGACTTCATTGTTTCTGGATGAGATTGATCTAACGGGGCAGGATCTTGGGAATCAGGGCTTCGAGGAATAGTCACAGTCGGGGGAGAATCATTCTCCCTCGGTATTCACTTGTACACTAATATATAATAGAGATAGTAACTGTAATTGACTTGCGAACAATTTATTCTTACCATTTTCGAGTCATCATGGTGATTTTATTGCCTATAGGCCGCAGCAGTAAGTCCGCATTTATGGGAAGTGAGTGTCAGAAATATGGCTCTGGTGTAATCATTTTCTTCAGCCTCTACAGATTCAACAATGCATGCAGTAGTAGTCAAAGTTGAGGATCCATTTATCAAACATTCATGCTAAATACCAAGCAGACATAGGACAACGGTATTTAAAAAGAAGGCTAATATGATAAGCCTGGCATATGTCAGTCTTAGTTCCCTCAAGATAGCCTGATATCATACCTCTTCACTGTTGTTGCCTGTTCAATGAATTCTCTGCTTTCTTTGGTTTGGCGAGTTGCTAACGCTTCTTGTTTCTTGCTGTTCTTCATATCGAGTAAATGCTGGGTTTCAGAGAGAAGATTGCCCATCTGCGATCGTATGTAGATGTACTTCTCCATCGTCTCATCTAATGTTCGAACAGAGTCGAGACCCTTGGTGGAGGATCCTATTTTCGCCGCCCGCAAATCAAGTTTCAACCGCTGGCATTCACCATCCAATGACGAGATATAGCGAAGAATAGCACTTTTTATCCCTTCTTCATCGATCAGTCCATCGACTGTGTGGTTTTCCTCATCTGAATCCTGTGGATCTTCATTGTGTGTCGTGCCTCGATGGAATAAGCTTTGAAGACTGAGGTCTTCAAGCTGGTCTTTCAATGTCTGCAGACGATCAAACCACGCATTTAAAGCATAAGATCGTATAAGGTGGATAGTCTCTGCTGGGTTTCTGGGTGTACCGGGTTGATTCCCAATGACAATATCTTTGGCAAAGATTTCAACATCTTGAGACGTAGCCCGTCGAGATGCCGTAGATCCTTCAGCGGGTGCATGGTCCTTTTTCTCCCGATTTCGACAGAAATCCTTGAATGATTTGGTAATTTCTTGCTTGGTCAGAGGATCAAGAAAAACATGAGGATCGTTGTCTGTATTGTCTCCATCAAGGTTCGGACAGGGTGGAAATAAAACCAAGACTACCAACATTAGTAAATTACTAGATTTTGCACTCTCTATAATATGTTGCACACAGAGTCATCCATCCATACCTTGTTGAAGTTCGGGATTGAGACTGTCGTTTATGACATGAATGGTAATGTTCTGTAGAATGTCCAGGCCGTTTTGTGAATATCGTTCCCCTTGGTCGCAGAACATACTATCATCCACAAATCGCTCCCGAGCAATGCGACGGTTCAACACTCGGTCTTGTAGCGCCAACACTCTTGCACGTAGGCTTCTTCCAGTAGTCTGTGTTCTGTCGTCCTCGGATTGATATCCTTGCACATATATCGTTCGTGGTACATCCACAGAAAATGTGATTGGTTGACCTTGAAGATGGTAGATAGACTTGACAATCGAGTCCCGAGTCGTGAGATCTTTTGCATGCTCCACATTGGCAATGGAAAGTCGCCCTAGGTGCCCTTTGAGGATTTGTAGATTTTTCTCGTACTCAAAGGTACCAACAGATGAAGGGATCTGTTCGATCTTTGTGTTGCAGAGCTTATAGATACCCGTGCTCTTTTCAATGTCCTTGAATGATGTCCCGATATGGTGGCTGAAGACATTAGGGTCTAAAGAAAGCCCGGTGCCCAACGCCTCCATGCTCAAGCAAGTGATATGTTGTGCACAGATAATGCGAAAGCGCTGGCGATCTTCGGAATCGGTATCCGCGTTGGAAAGATGTGATTCTAGCTCTCTCATGGATTCAGGGTCCGTTCCATCATAGTGGCTATGATCCGTAACTCGATCGTTCTCGCCGATATCCATCACTATCACGGGAGAGGACATAAGAGAAATCTCAGAATGGTACGACAGGCTATGAGGGGTATGTTCAGAAAAACGCCAGATCCGGTCGTATCGGGAATATGTCAACAAATGATCATAAGCGGGAGAGAGCGTTTGCAAATATTGATCGTAAAGCCCCGTGGGGGTACTAGGAAGCCATGCTGAAATAACTTCTCCCAACCTTTGTGCGGTGGGATTCTGAGGCTTTGACCCATTGGGGAATTGAGAATCGGCCATGGAAACGGGGTGTCCAAATTTCGGTCGAGCGAAAGTGCGGGTAGAGGTTGAGAATGAACGGAGGCTCCATTTAAACAAACAACCTTTAGGCCGCGCGCCTAAAGATATAACATTTGGACAGCACACCATGGTGATGATACAAGGTATATGCAGATGTTAAAAGACGGTGTGTTTCAGAAAGTGTTGTATCCAAAGGGCTCGAATCATTGACCAGTTGAAGGGTCAGTGCGGCGGCAGTCGTGTTACTTGGTGCTTTCCACCTGGCTTTTTCCACACCCTATTTATACGGATATCGAATAGACCACGCTTTTTTTGTCACCTACCTTACATCTAAACTGCAGCATTGTGTTATCCCCGGTTGTCAGAATCTGTCAAGATTATGCGGTCCCAACTGAAACCGGAGCTACCTTACAGTGTATATCATTGTTTCTCAGATGCATGTTTGCGGATATAGAGTTTATTTTTCTCTAAATAATTCAAGATAACTTTCCACGGAGGACCTTCGAATGGATTCCTTCCATACGAGATATATAGATCTAATAGTGCCTCAGCTTTACTATTTGTAGAACCAATCCTGTGCATTTCATTTTCTCAAACAAACACAAAATTACTGCTTGAGGGTGGTTATAGTATTTCCTTGTATTCAAAAAGATATAATGAGGATACCTATACTGCTATATAGTTTTGTCAATAATTGATATTTTCAAAGTTTGCCAGTTGTTACTGCGACCAGGGGACGCAACCTTCGAGTTCCGTGGTTTCAACCTGAGGTTAATTGTTGATTAGGTAATACATAACGCCAAGACTCCACCAAGGTTTCGCCGGAGCCGGCAGCCCTAAGTGGATCTTGAAAACCCATCAATCCCATGCAAAAAAAATTTGAAAAGAGCAAAAAAGAAATCTCAGGTTTGGTTTTTAGGAATAGCCGAACGCGGGGGTCGAACCCGCAGCCTTAAGATTAAGAGTCTTACGCTCTACCGATTGAGCTAGCCCGGCTGGGCTGTTGAAAGACGACAGTTTCAGTGATACTTAGCTGGTTCTGCCAAGATACAAAAATCACACTGCTAATTTGCTAGTGTCTATGAACTCAAATTGTATACCACATTTGCCCTGCCCCTTCGCATTGCGAATTATACCACTCGCTTGTCTATTAGTATCACTTCTGAGGTCACTCGGGTAATTGTATGTTATTGTCTGTCGTAGAATGTAAAATTCGGCTTATTCTCCGATTCTTAACCTCGAATATATATAGTGTGACCCTAACACATCCTCTCCAATTTATCTATATCATCTGATGATCCAGAATGTATAATATCATAAACCATGGTATTGCTACGTGTAGCATCATAAACGGAAACAGAAGAATCATAGGACGAGGGTTCATTTGCTTCCAGGTAGAAATTGTGTTGTCGTGGCGGTCCCCCAACGCCGCCGTAGTTCTCACCACCCTTGCTCTCACTGCGGCCCTTACTCCCCCAATATCGGGCCAGTAGAATACTAAAAAGTGCAATATTCGTACTAAGATAGTTGTTTGAGGCGCAAATATATAAATAGGGAAGCCGAGGAGAAACCACACCGGACAGAAAGAAGACAAGGGCTTGGCGATCAGCACAGTGACATTTCTAGTAAATCGAACGTCCAGTCTTCAACTTTGCAGGAAGACCTGCAGCTTCCATGCCCCTTTCAACTATATCTGCAAGAATTAGATCGGTTCCTATAATGCCAATGTTAACTCAAGGCGGGCGTTAAAGACAGAGAACAACATACCCGGCGGTCCCAGCACCGATGCTGCAATTGGCAATGGCTCTTCTCGGTCAGTCACGTTAGAGTTGTATGGAACATGACCAACTATGAGACTTGTGATTAGGGCGGTAATAATAACTTTGAGACTGCCCACCTATGGTCGTGAGCTTAGGTCCTCGATAGAGAAGTTTTTGGAAACTTCCCTAGCCCAAGAATGTTAGCAATTTGGCTATCTACTCTTTGAGAGAAAGTGGATTTAGCTTACCACTGCTAATGCATAGCTCTATGTGCTAGTTATGATGCCCCTTAGTGGAGAAAGGTGCGCTAGTACAGTTGCGGCCCGTAGTGGAGCCATCGGTTATACTTCGAAGGTTATCAGTGGATATTCTAATATTGGATTACTGAATTAGGGTAATTCCATGATCCATCTTTATTTCTCTGACAGCAATTAAGAAACCAAAGTGTATCTTTTAGTACAGAAGTCTTCAATCACTTCAACACAGAATAGGATGACCAGTCATTGAGCAAATGAAAGCAAATAGATACCAGCCACGTACATTCCAACTCAAGCCAGAGTGGATTCGGAGTCTTTTGTTGATGTCGACTCATTATCCTCTTCGTCCACACTCGATGACTCGGCTTTCCTACTACCAAACAACGGAAAGACTGGCGATTCGTCGATCATATCGAATGGGCTTTCACAGCTATCCGCGAGTAGCCCCCAGAACGCAGCCAATTCAATCCGTGCATAAGAGTTCCGTGGCCCGCGATAATCGTAATAACTCTGCATAAGGTATTGCTATTCCTTCGAGAGGTCAAAACCCCGAGCTTTACGACAACATCCGCACGCAAGAGTACAATGTCCAACTCCAATACTACGCGTCGGATCGATTGGACGGTTAACACAACACCCACAATCTCGAGAACAACATCCTTGCTTTGCAACACAATCTTCAACAAGAACTTGATGTATATACCATCTAGGATGTGAGCGCCATAGATCGAATGCCCTCTTTACGACTCCTCCCCCAAATTCATTCTTCAGCATCCACCATTCTCGCGATGCCATCCAAAGAAGCTTGCCCTGAGTTCTAAGCTCCTCCTGTACCTCTTCTGACTGGTCGCTTCTTTCACGTAGGGATAACTCTAGCTGAAAGTGATGTCGGAAATCTTCTTCTGCCTCGAGAAGCTGCGTTATTGGAGGCTGATGCTCGTATGTGGTTCCGTGGTGGAATTCATATCGATATCGCTGGAGCGCGTTTAAATCGCCGGCCTCTTCGAGCGCAATTTCCTCTGCGCTCTTCTCGCCATCGATGGGATTTTTCGGTATCCGGGATTTGGGGATTTGGGATTTGGGGCTTGGTCGATGATAGGGTGACCAACGCGTGGTAAAGTTGGCAGAAGCAGATGAAGACATTCTGCGCCTAGTTCATAGGTGGTGGTGTGAGTTAATACATTCAAGGGATATATGAAGTATTTGTTTTAAGTCAACGATTCATCCTGATGTCAGTCGTCGACGGGGAAACTGTCAGCCATATGGTCAACCTTTTGTCCATATACTTCCCTGGTTATACATAGAAAAGTCTACAGTTTATGCTTTTTACGTATATTGTACATCATAAGCCCAGTGTCTACTCCGCGCTATTATCCGTATTTATATCCCCATATACAGCAGTATTTCTACTTATAACTATTTATTATTTTTCTAGCTATGACACCGCGAAGACAAAAGACCTTACAAAAGACACCTAGAATGACAACTAAAATGATATCCAAGAAAGATATCCATGGATGCACCTACCTACCCTATGTATCTTCATCACATGCAATGATGTCCAAGGCCAAAAATGCCCGACATGTCTGCGCCTATCAAGGTCTCCCAAACTAATCCCGAGATATGTTTTTCCAGGTCCGCCGTATGCAAGTTATTAATCACAAATCAAATCATCGAGGTTGGCTTCTCAAGCTCAGTAGCATCTTCAGTTCTCCAAAGCGACGTGACAGTCTTCCACTGTGTATAGAATCGGATACCATCCTTGCCGTAGAAGTTGAGCAGTCCCGTTCCTGCCACACTTCGCTTATTACCGGTGAAGGAGAACATGGGAAGAGGAACGGGGATGGGAACGTTAATTCCAACCTGTCCGGACTCAACGCGCTTCTGGAAGTGTGTGGCGCTAGATCCCGACTGGGTGAAGATGACTGCGCCGTTGCCCCATTCGTTGCTATTGATTATGTCAATCGCGCTGTTGATTGTATCGGCTTCAATGCAAAGTAGCACAGGGCCGAATATCTCCTCTCGGTAGCATCTCATCTCGGGTTTTACTCCGGTGATAATAGTCGGGCCGACCTATTAAATTAACATGTTAGCAGGAGAGTTCATAGGAGTTGAAGTCAACACGGGGACTCGGGACTTCCATACCCAGTTTCCATTAGGGAAACCCTCAGGTTTCTGGCCACGACCATCCAAGGCGATAGTAGCACCCTCCTTCTCCGCACTGGAGATGAGGTCTACAACGCGATCCCGGCTTTGGGGTGTAATCAATGGACCCAGGTCAGATCGCGCGTTGAACCCACTTCCAGCCTGGTATCCCTTGGCGGTCTCAATCAATTCCGGGAGCCATTCGCGCGCCTTACCAACAGTGATCAAGACGCTTAGCGCCATGCAACGCTGACCGGCCGCTCCAAACGCAGCACCGGCGATGGCGTTCAAAGCATGCTTCTTATTACTATCCGGCAGAAGTGCTGCGTGATTTTTGGCTCCCAGATTCGCCTGCACACGCTTCCCGTTCGCGGTGCCACGGTTGTAGATATATTCGCCAACCTTATTCGAGCCGACGAAGGAAATAGCCTTGATCTCTGGTGCGTCCAAGATAAAGTCAACAGCTGGCTTTGATCCATGAATAACGTTCACAACACCCGGTGGAAATCCCGCTTTCTTGCATAGTTCAGCGATGATCATAGAAGCACCTGGTGCGCGCTCGGTCGGCTTCAGAATCAGGCAGTTACCAGTCACGATGGCAATCGGGAGACTCCAAAGGGGGATCATGGCGGGGAAGTTGAATGGGCAGATGGCTGCGACGACTCCGAGGGGGAGACGGTAGGAACGGGTTTCCATATCCTTGGCTACCTCGAGGACCTCGCCGGGAAGCTGTGTGGTGATTCCGCAGGCGGTTTCGCAGACTTGTAATCCTCGGAGAACGTCGCCCTTTGCGTCGGCGAAGGTCTTGCCTTGTTCTGTGACAATGGAAATTGCTAGGGAATCCATGTTCTCGCGAACCAAGTTGGTTAGCTTGAAGATCATTTCCTGTCGCTTCATGATGCTGGTGTCTCGCCAGGCGGGGAATGCGGTTTGGGCTGAGATTACGGCGGCTTTGCATTCCTCGAGGGTTGTTTCTGGGACTCGAGAGACTACATTGTTTGTTGCGGGGTCGTGGATTTCGATCCATGTGGTTGTTTTGGAGCCAATGAATTCATTGTCGATGAAGTTTTGGGTGTCATGGATGGTATCAGGCTTGTTGTGGTCACCTTTATAGTTTAAAGTAAGGAGGTTAGTTTGGGCCATGATTGCGAGTATAGAGAGAGAGAGAGAGAGAGAGAGAGATGAATCTCCAGGTAAGGAAATGGGGGGTTCCAAGGTTATGTAAATCGGTGAAGTGCGGGGAAAGGCCGATTGTAGTGGTCACCTGGATAAAGCCCCGCATTCAACACATTCCGATATCTCGATGGAATTGAATATGAGGATTCCAAGTTTATTACCTACTATAGTCCTTATCTGTTTGGTAAATCCCAGAGTTATCTAGAAACATTTGAACCTGGGATGATTCCCATATCATCTATATGCTAGCTATATGACCAATTCTAAGGCAACATATCGACCTAGGGGGTATTCCGTGAACACAGAGACATATCTACTACTAGTAGCAATATCCTTGGAGATGGCCTTTTACCCTTTTCAGCAAGATAATCATACGGCACCTCCCGAGGTGGGCATTTGTCGACCCCAGGCATGTTCTCTAATTTCTATTGGCTGAGGTTATACTCCACTATCCCACCCCCGTAGACTACTTGTCCGTGCACTGTGCCGCAGTGGAGCTGATAGAACTTCCTTTGATGTACAATAGAGTACATGACTCGGGGTGGTTTAGACATGTAATTTGTTGAGACCACTATGTAGTAGAGGGTTCAGAAAGAGAGGGTGAGAGTTGATTCCAATGGGAAGCAAGCTTCCCGACTATCTATACATGGAGGGAATGGATGTCTGAGGCAACAATACTGACGGCCTAAGGCCGCACCACCACATAATTGATTTGAAGAACCTCATTTTTCATCCCTATCCTGAACATCGCACTCCCATCAACTTCATAGTGTATGCACAATTTGACTGATGGACTCAGCTTGAATTTTCACCCGTTCGTTGATTTACCCACATATCTATTAGCGCAGTACAGCGTTAGGAGGGCATATGGTGAGATCATAGCAGGTAGGGACAATCGTCAAAATGCAATTAGCTCCATCCCAAGTTGACCCCTGCGGGCAGATCTTGTGGTTGACATAAACACAGCCTCCATCATGGTAGGCAAACGGCGGCGGGCAACCTGGCTGTGAGGCCGACGTGCACTTTCCGTTCTCCAAACGCATGCCCAACGGGCATCTCGGGGGGTCGATGGCGATGCAAATCTGACCGTTCCACTTGGTACCAGATGGGCATTCTGGTGCTGTCTTGGAGACACACTTGTCACCGACAAGGACCGTGTAATCCGGACACTTGGGGCTGTGATTTGTGAGGCAGATCTTTCCGTCCCAGACGCCTGGGGCCGGGCACCTGATAGTTTCGAAATTGACACAGTTGGTTCCATCAAAGACCATTCCTGGTGGACACTGGACCGCCCTAAAGAGAAGACATTTGTTTCCCTGGCGGGTGTATGGGGGTAGACATTCGGGCTGGCGTTCGATCTTGCACCGGGATCCGTCCCAGATTGTGTTGGGGGGGCATCTTAGCCCATCGTTGCCGAGGCATCTGTTGCCTTGTTGAACATATCCCTTCGGACAAAGAGGGGGGGTTTCGAGTACGCAGTCTTTCCCGTTGAATGTTCCCTTTTGGCAACGTGGAGTTTCCTTGAGCACGCAAAGGTCTCCGCTTAGCGTTGAGCCTTCAGGGCAACCAGGACGGCCAGTGACACAGAGTCGACCGTTGAATTTTGTATCAAATGGACAGAATGGGTTGGAGTTGATGACACAGAAGCCATCCTGAAGAACGGAGTTTTCAGGACAAATGAGCTGGCCCTGGAGGACACAAACAGAGCCGCTGAGCACTGTAGTCTCAGGGCATTTGGGAGCCTCATTCAAAATGCAGCCACCTTTGCCATCGTAAATTCCACCCTGGCAGATAGGCTTGATTTCCAACACGCAGTGGCCGGAGGTCAAGACACCCTGGTCACACTTTGGCTTCAGGTCAAAGAAGCAGCGCTTTCCGTCGAAGATATCATCGGGATCACATTGGGGGGTGTGGTCCGGGGTAAAAACACACTCGTTACCTTGGAGTTGGGCCCCGGAGGGGCATGCGCCGTTTGTGTTGGGCGTAGACTTGCAGAGGCCACCGGAGAGCGTCGAGTCAAACGGACAGCAGGCCAGATTACCACTCACGTTGTCGGTCGCAAGGTTGTAGCCGGCCTCACAGGCTGCAGGCTTTTCATTGACGCACAAGTCGCCCTCAACATTGTAACCCATTGAACAAAACGGCTTTGAAGTCGAGATACAGAAGCCATCTTTATAGACGCCCGTCGTGCATTGCGGAGAGATCGTTAACCGACAGACCTTGCCGTCAAAGTTTGCATTTGGACCACAGTCGGGCTTGATGGTGCTCACGCAGGAGTTGTCCTGGAAGATAAAGTTTGATGGGCACTCAGGCTTCTCGCTGGTGACGCATACCCCATTTTTGAATATTCCCTTCTCGCACGTTGGCTCCTGCTTGTGGACGCACAGCTGGGAAGCATTTTCGAAGTAAGTATTCGCCGGACACTGAAGCTGGCTTTGGGAGCTGCAGACACTTCCACTGAACGAATACCCCGTAGGACATTGAGGGTCTTGTTGAGTAACGCAGTTGACGCCATTAAACCATCCTTCATCACAAGTAGGCTCTTGTTTGTGAATGCAAGTGCTGGTTGCAGCGTCCCACTGAGAAGGGGACGGGCAGAGCGCACCTGTGTTGTCGACGCAGGATCCATCGAACAACTCCGAACCCGGAGGACAATCAATGGGCTTCTCGAAGATGCAAACACCGTCCTGCAATGAAAACCCTGGAGGACATGCGCCCTGATTAGGGAAGACGCAGTTTTTTCCGTCGAAGAGGGTTCCGATAGGACAGCACTTTATCAGACCGGTGCTTTCATCTGTCTGAGGGGTAATGTCGTTCAAAGTGATTCTCGACGAGGTTTTGTTGGATTGGTAGGAGAGTGGATTGACAGCATCCTGGGCGAGCGTGAATGCCGCCAAGGTAAGAGCACCCAGAGGAAGGAGGAACATCTTCGTTGTCGTATGGCAAAGCCAAGTGAGTTCAGCGAGTGGAATATCCGTTTATATATCTTTACTGAATATCCTCACCAAGCCTACAGGTTCCGGTGGCTAGCTGAGAATCCTACTGCTGCGTCATATGGCTGCCACCAACTGATGATCGCCTTCTTCTCAAGTTAGTGGCGTAAAAATCGGGCAATTTCATTGATGGCTTATCAAACTTAATTTTGCATGAATTAGCGGCGGTTCTTCCGAAAAGTTCCCCCTTGTCCATCCAGACAACCCTAAGAAGACATTGGTTCCAAGATTTCAGCTCTCCAGCAATACGGGATGGGATCAACACTAACAAGAATAGCGGATATTACTCGACCAACATGACGTTCCACTTTTGCGAGATTGACATGCCCTAATCTATGTATCTAGTACGGTCTAAGACAAAATCCCCACACCCTTCGTAGGCTTCATCTCTAGTTCAGCTGAGCTGCCTGACCGGGTCTCGGTCTAATGAATCCCGTCTTCATCTTCAGCGAACTGAGCCCATATGTACTCCATATAGCACTCCCCATTCCAGAACGGTGTTTATTAATTGATAGGGGATCAAAAGTGTTGATAATATCTCAGAGAACCAGACTGCAATGTCGCGAATACGTAGTGTGAAAACAGAGTTATTCCGAACATATACGGTGGAACATTGCACAGTACTTTGTACAAGGTGCGAAACCGGATTATTCTGCAGATCTAGTGGTTCGTGTTGCCTTCGGGCCTGTGGGTAAGGTTGCGGGGAAGAGGTGGCCATAGTGGTTCGGAAGGGAGGCTTCCCGCAAGGTCCATATCATTGCCTATTGCAGTGTTAAGCAGGCATTATCATTGGTGATCGGCGACTTAAATCTGACTTAGGGTTTCCATTCGATGCAGTGTGATATGTGATTCAAAGGTGCAGTTGAAATGTGGCGGCCGAAGAACTCCACAGACCCACTCTCTTGCATCGAGTTCGATTGCTGACGTGTAAACATTACCTACAACATACCTACAACACAGGTAGGAAGCTAGTAACCTTGGAAGTAAAATGAGGGCACGGTAAGTCTGAATTTACCAATGCAGTTTAGCCACGTTCTCGGTAGGTATCTCGGTAGGTATCTCGGTAGCTCTATAGAGTTAGTGTGGATGACCCCTAGTACTAGACTCTTAACTGTATGGAGTAATTGTCCGACCTTCCTTCAATACGGTTAGTCGAGCTGGAATATGAAATCCTATGGGGAACAATATCTTGACGATAATTACTTTATGCTAACTCTATTATTACTTTGTATATCTACCAAATAGCAAAAATACCTCATCACACTCATCACACTACTCCGTAAGGGAATTGAGATCAGCAACATTGCTTCTGTTTCAGCTCCCTTAGAAAATAATCAGCTTTGGCCTCATGAGATCAACATCGCTACGTCATAACCCTGCAGTAGCTGAGGATTGAGGACACAGAATTCTGGAATCGAGGCATCTTCAGCTAAGCCCTCGTGGATGTAGAGTGATGTCTTCTTAGTAGATGAATAATGAGGGTCTCTGCCAAGTTTCTGTCCAAAGTCATATAAGGACACTCGTCAACCCGCCAAAATCGAATCATTATCAACTCAATCACTCCCAATCAATCACTCCCAATCAATCACTCCCAATCAATCACTCCCAATCAATCACTCCCAATCAATCACTCCCAATCAATCACTCCCAATCAATCACTCCCAATCAATCACTCCCAATCAATCACTCCCAATCAATCACTCCCAATCAATCACTCCCAATCAATCACTCCCAATCAATCACTCCCAATCAATCACTCCCAATCAATCACTCCCAATCAATCACTCCCAATCAATCACTCTCAATCAATCAACTCGTCCAGAATGGTTTTTCACGCACAGATTATCTCCGTACGTTTCATTACTTTTACTAGAAAACGCCTCAACATCAAGATACTGACAATGATGGACCTGTTCAGACCGATAGATTCGACCACTGGCGTGTTTTGCTGGTTGCCCCCTCGCTGGAGGTCCTGGATGAATGGTGGCGTCTTACCGACGACTCAAAGAAATATAAAAGCGTCAAGCGAATCACACCCGAGTGGTATACGTACGCGCGCTCAGAACTCGATGTGTACTACACCATCCAGAAAGGCGGACCCGCCGAAAGCCTCGCCAGTCTGGTCGTGCCCATGCTCCAGGCTGACTGGGGTGGCCGTCAGTGGAACATGATCGACTCCCAGCAGCGCGCAACCGACCAGCGCAGCGGCAATGTGTGAGTAAATCTTAATCCTGACCTCGGGAGTACTTGCTCTTTAAACGATTACACGTTCTAACCTTAACGCAGTTTCTACATCCGTTCCAGCGCAGACCCCCGTCTGTTCTGGTACCACTCCGAGCGTGACAACACCATCCAGCTATTCGAAGGTCGTGGAACTCCCTTTAAGATCAGCATCGCTAAGTCTGGCGACGAGGGCAAGGTCATGATCGACTCAGACCCAATCAACATCTCCGTTTTGACCAAGGGTTCCAATGAAAACGGAAATGCCGTTTCGGCCGGTGACGATGGCGTCTTGCATGTAGGCACCAAGCCGGATACTTTCCACTTCTCGGATCTTAGGGGTGGATTCCTGGCTCCTAGTTCATCGGACAAGCGTATTAGCAAGGTCTCAGTTGGACAGAACTTTGAGTTGGTCCAGTAAGCTTGAGAGGGCGTTGTCTCTATTTGCTATGAATTGCTATGAAAGCTAGTTACAGGAAATTCACCAGTGGATATCATAGATTGGAGCTTCGTCTACTTTCCCAATACTATTCTCTCCCTTGTCTCCCTTTAGTCCGTCAGTTTCCTCTGCTTCCGCTGCTCGCTTAGTATATCATCGCTCGCTATATACATTTCTTGGTTGTTACCTAGGAAATTCTCCTGATCATGGACCCCGCTTGAGCTCTAAGACCTGATGGACAGAGAATCGTCTAGATCAAACAAAGAAACGTAGTCGGTAGACCCACCTTCGGGTAATACTTCCAAGGTTACCCGAACCCATTCCGAGGTTAGTCCAATCAGAGCCGATCTCATCAGAACCTTGGATGGACCTCATCAATTGATCCTTTCACATGAAATATATTTACAATTCATCAGAGAAATAGGTCACGTTTGAATCATCTAGACAGAGCTTTGCACAGAAGGGTGTTGGGGTATGTATGCTACATGGTCATCATCGAATTATGCTAAAAGAAGGGAAAAAAACAGAAGCTATACAAGATCTATGATGTCTAAACTCATGTTCAAATAACACGAGAACCAGACCAGAACAATCAAGCACCAAGATCATACGTCACTTGCATTTATGATGCATAGCTCCTTCGCATGCCAAATGCGTCGGCGCCGCACGACATCCGCACCAAAGGTATCCATGATACCATCGTCGTTGTAGCGAGCAGCGGAATCACCATCACCATCGAAAGACGGACGTAAAAGTCGGGCTTCCTCGACGCTTGCGCCGAACTCGTATTCGCCGCGGCAGAGGACCGTGACGCCGATGGAGGCATGGGTGGACTCACCACTTGCCAGGATAGGGAGTGCTTGTTGCAGCATCCCAGTCCACACGAGACGACGGGTTAGATCTAGGGCGATGTTGTTTGCTTGGTGGCGGAGGCTGGGTTGGAGACGGAGGAGGGGGTGGATGGGGCGGGAGGAGCGGTTGTGAACGGTGACATTTAAGGTGAGGAGGTCGTCTGTCTTGACGCGGAAGCGTGAGCGACCCGTTTGTTCCACTGCGTCGGAAGTCTCGGGTGAAGATGATGGCGAGGTCAGAGAGAATTTCATTTCGACGTCTTCGAGGCGCATGGCTTCGACCATACGGTTGTTCAGTCGGACATTTCGGAGATCAATGGATCCCTCACGGCCTGTGGCGGGTTCCTTCCAGCCTCCGAGGACTCTCTTGAGGAGCTCTTCCCGGAACCAGAAGGCTTCGCGCGAGGCCGCCTCGGCTTCGAATGATAGTTTGTTGGCGCTGACGACGAATTGTCTCCGGGTGCCGGTGTTGACGACGGGGATAGAGGCATGGGGGTTGTCTAAGTAGACACGAGGCAGAACTAGAACAAATCGACAAACCTGCCCGGGTTGGAGCTCTCCGTCGACAGAGTACTTGCCCTCAGGATCATCTTTGGTTGTCGCATTCAGTGGGAGAGTTGCCATTGTTTGCTCACTTACGCGCAACCACACTGACAGAGGACTCGGCCAGGCGTTGCGCAGGTCAAGTAATACGATGCAGTGATCAGGTCCGTAAGCCCCGTTGCCGAGACGCCCGAGGACTTCTGAAAAGGGGTCGTTGTCAGAGGTGGAGAGCAACGCATCTGGCTTTTGTATAGAGTCGACGGGTGGTTCAATATGGTTCTTCCAGGCGAAGTCACCGCTAAATGGAAGAATGTCACAGCGGGCGACCTCCACGCTCGCATTAACCGTGACCGTCAACGGCACAAATAGTTGTCTGGTATAGAATATATCAGGTAATTCACCCGGAGCTGCCCCAACGCAGGAATAGTCGATCTGGACTGTTGTGTCCTGCAAACCAGGCTTTCCGAGAACGTCGACAGTAAAAGTTGCCTTCTGGCCTGCTGCAATCGAACAATCACTAGGGTCCTCGCCCTGCCGGCGCCAACGCAAAGCGGGCTTGCTTGCTAATTTGAGTTCCAGCTCGTAGATCTCGACTGGCAATAGATCCCTGTTGCTCAGTGCAGACTGTAGCTGTTTGGTGGTTGAATCTTGGAAAGTGAATAGGACAAAGTCCACGGGGCACGAAGAGGCGTTTTGAAGTGTAATGGTGAAGGTTTTGACTTCACCCTCAAGGACCATCATGGCCGACTGCGATAGAGACATGGATTCGATGACAAGTGACGGTTGTTTGGCGATGACCTTGACTTCACATGTTGATGTTTCAGGACCTTTCTTGACATCAACCTTGCCATCCTTTGAGGTCGTTGAGCTCCAGGAAACCGGGCGCTCTGTAAGAGGCTTCTTTGCCCCCAGACCTGTTCGCTTAAACTTGACCTCAGGCTCAGGTTTCCAGAATGACTTGAAGATGGGGAATCTTCGCGTTCGACAGTGTCGCACTTTCACGATACATCCCGTGATCTGAAGGCTGCCTTCCCCATAAGCGACACCAAGAACAGTGATATCCTGCACAGAGAGGGGAGCGATGACAAAATTCTCTGCCACTGCATCAAACGACACACCACTGCTCTCTAAGCGCAGATGTTCAATCTCAATCTCAAATTCGTATGGGTTTTGCAGAGTTACTTGGAACGGCGCAGGTTCATCAGCGACAGTGAGCATTTCCAATGCCTTGCTGGTAGGCTTGGCGAAGGGGTTGTACAAGAACGGGTCCTTTTTCGCTTTGTCCGAACTGGTGGTAACTGCATCCAGTTCTGTTTTGGACCGCCGAACAGGTCTTTTAGGATCTGGCAATGACAATAACTGGATATCACGTACTAAGAAGTCATCCCAGTACTCTGCCACCATATCAGAAATACCTAGTCTGGTCCCTGCGCCCACGGTGCGCTTAATGTTGTTCAAAAGACGGACTTGTTCGTCTTGTGGTAGGTACGGCGGGGATCTGTATGCTTCACCCAGCATCATATCTCCTCGAATGGTCTGCAAAAGCTCAACTGTGAAACGGAGAACTCCATTGAAATCCGGAAGGGCTTCGCAGCAGTTGATGCAGGCTTTCAAGACATCAATTTTCAAGTTCAGATCACCGTAACGATCAAGAACTACATGTCGGAATGCCCGCTCGGCAATACTAGCAACCGAATCATATTCAGCGCCTTCATGAAGCCCGCTCACTCGAGATGATTGGCTTTTTCTCTTCTCCCATTCGTAGAACGATGAAGGTTGAACACCGTAGATTTCTCCAATGGTCGCAAGAAGGAGACGCACACTTGATTCCATATTCCCGGGACCTGTGTCCAAGGCGTTGACGTCAAATGCAGTGTCGCTGAGAGATGCCAACCCGGCGGCGGGATGAATGCCTACCTCCGCGGCACCAATTTTGCGTGCTTGCACTAGACTTGGTACCATTACTGAAAGAAGCTCACGCAGAATGAATGCTTTCTTGCGAGGCAGCTCAAGAATATTAAGGACAGCAACAACACCAACGATGATGGGAACAGCGTCAGTCGCAGGTAGGTCCGCACCAGGAGCAAGCGGCAAAGCCCGGTATAAGAAGTTGGCAATCTCGGACTTTCGGAGCAAAACAGTCCCCCGAGGAAGCTCTAGCTGGAGCAATGGAACCAAGTGTTCATTCATCACGATGTGCTTCAAAGCATTGTCATCCAAAGCTCCATCACGAACGCGAGCTGACACCATCAGCCGCGCCAATCGAATCACCGTCTCCGAGAACACCAGCTGCGGAAGAGGTTCATCTGTGATATTGGCGGCGCGGGTATAAAGATTTAAGATGTTGTTTGAGAGATCTGGAAGGAGATTGGCCAGGTTGTGTAGAGAGATGATCCTGTTCCCGGCGCTACTAGGGGTCGTTGAGTCGCGGGAAGGTTTGGAAGATTTGTCTGCAGCAGGGTACAGAACTGATGGAATCTAGTAAGCAAGTAAGCGATCTGGCACAAGTACCCAGGGTATTCGATGGCGTTGTTAGCCATTCACATACCTGGAAGTCCATGCCTGCCCAGCCAAACATCAGGAGACAAAGAAGAATCGTTTCGAGCGCTTTTGCGTGCCAGATATAGTCGCTGCTTGCTCGGGCATTATTAACTGCTTCGGTCAGTTCCTTGAGGGCATCGGGCCACCTTCCCGCCTGCAGGAAAAGAGTTCCAATGATAACCCCGGCACGACCCTTGATCCGGTTCTTAGTTCTGTCAGTAGCACTCATACCACTGACAGACATCCGGTCGCGGCTATGCTCCTTCGGCGATGCTACTGAAGGTGTTCTGCTGCCCGAGTTTGTACGACTGGATAGGTGAATTGCCCGAGTGATCTCATCGAAAGTTGTAGGAGTCTCATGGTCGCTAGGAGCTGGGGAGCTGGCATTGGAGCTCAATGGAGTACCATCATGTGTGCCGTGTGGACTCGATGGTAGCTGTGCAGGCAGAGTCATACGATTCAAAAGTCGGTCTACTGGCCGCGGCCGTAGTTCTGGGTTCCGGTGCGGGCCCCATGAAGATGCTTTAGGTGACTCGATTGACGGTATGCTTTGAATAGTCTTTGCAAATCCATCCAATTCGGAGAGTAAAACAGACGTAATATCGCATAGAACTGTCTTCATTGTCGTGGCCTTGGAGACCTGGGGCGGAGGAACCCAAAGGACATTATCCGGTCCATTCGCGATCTTATCCAAGCCATGATGATCAAAGACCAAGAGTTGGTTTACCAAAGCCCGTGGGTTCCTCTCCTTCACCCCTTCGAGCTCTTCCAATAATTGATCTAGTCCCTCCGGAGTGGGGTGCTTCTGCTCGTCGCCAGTGCTCTCGGGCAGTTCGGACCCATCTGCGACCGCAATGATCACCAATGGTTCTCTGTATAGTTCAAAAGGAAATAGTTCAAGATGCGAAGTTGGGGGGACCGAGAAGGAAAGGTCATAAAGAATCAATCCGGTAGGAAATGCCAGCGGTGAGAACATATCTAAACAACAGCGGGTTAGAATATATGGTAGCAATATCCACAAGCTTCTCGCGATCATGAGTAGGTCATACTTCTGTTTGGCCGCGCATCGGGACTAATATCCCCTAGTCGAACTACATTTTCAGCTTGTAGTCGAGCAGCGAAGCTCAAAAAGCGCGAACGCTTGATCTTGCCGATGGGAAGGAGGAGCGCCCTGAGGCGCACGGGCGCAATTGGGGACAGAGGGTCAACACCCATCCTGTCAGTTGAGAGCGATTGATGGTATTAAGCCCACATCCACACAATTACCTATGCAAGCTTCCGGGCGGCATGCGATAGGGGAGAATGCGAGGGACTGAACGAGAAGCGGGTCCGGGGTCTCCTATGAATGTGTACACATGGAGATGGGACGAAGGCGGAGAGTGGTGGCAATTATATAGCTGATAAGATAAGCCCGACGTAAACTCCGCGGTCTCCAAATATTTGCCCTCTTTCCACCCATTAATCTTCCTTTGTTTTGTTGTTTCTTTGTCTTTGCCGAATTCTAAACTCTGCTGCTCAGCGTTCTATCATTTTGCTTTCTCGGCCTCGATCGCGCCCCTCACGATCTATGCGAACAGTGCGCCCGAGTCCACAACCTCCACGGCAGCCTAGACGACCTTCGATATTATTTGTCAATACTCATCTGCTTTCATACGGACGCGTATATGAACTTTTCTACCTGATCCAGATAAAAGGCCTGAACATAACCAGATAAAAGGCCTGGGCATAACTAGATAAAAGAATACATCCACGGCAAGATGGCTATGAATGTGGATTTCAACGCGTTGAAGGCGCGGACCATGGGGTCTGGTGCCGATGAGGAAGCTGTGACTGTCGATACAAGAGGATTGATTTCGAAAGTGCTTGCTCGATATTCCGGAAAATGGTAAGGACTGGGTGCTCTTATATCTTGAGATTCAAATATTAACCTACTTATGTTGTGAACAGGACGGTCCTCCGAGAAATGATTCAAAATGCCGCCGATGCCTCTGCAACGAAGGTAACGATCAAGTTTGAGACCCTTCCATCGACCACAATACCGTCACCTTCATCGAATGATCCCACCGCACATCTGAAACATACCATCACCAACCACACCCTTCGACGTGTTCTGATCTCCAACAACGGCGCTCCATTCAGTGAAAAGGATTGGGCAAGATTGAAGCGGATCGCAGACGGAAATCCAGATGAAACCAAGATCGGCGCATTTGGAGTGGGATTTTATAGTGTTTTCGATGATTGCGAGGAGCCTTTTGTGTCTTCTGGTAGCCAAGCTATGGCCTTCTACTGGAAGGGGAATGCGTTGTTTACCCGCCGACTGGACCTCGGCGAAGCCGCAAGTCAAGACACCACTTTTGTCTTGGACTACCGCAATGATTCCTCCCCAGTACCATCGTTGCTGCAGCTCTGTCAATTTCTGTCGAGCAGTTTGACGTTTGTCTCATTACAAGAGATTGAACTTTGGTTGGATGATTGGAACCTTCTAAGGCTATCAAAAAAGACGGCTCCCAGTGTCGATGTCCCGATTCCGAGAGACATTGACACCAAAACTGCAGAAGGTTTGATGAAAATTGTCAATGTCACTCGGGAAATTGCCCAGGTAGACGCTTCATGGATGCGAATTGTGGAATGGAATCCCAATGCAAGCTTGTTCCGCCTTGATAATCTTCGAGATACAACCAGTTCGCTGAGGAGTTTCTTCTCTAAGTTCACGCAAGGTACACCCGAGAAACAATCCAATGCCCAGAACCCGGAACCCGAACGCCGGGAAGACTCGGGCAACATGAATACTATGCTTTCAGCGTCGGTCTTTTTGCATATCAACACCGCATCGCTCCAGCCATCTATTAGTAGAGATCTGAGCAAAGAATTGGAACGGGCCACACGGAAGCCTCCACCCAAGAGAGCAACCCTCGCAATTCTGACACCTTCTTACGATGCCAACATGGCGACTGGAGCGTCCTCATCGCAGTCAGAAGTTCTTTCATCGATCTTACCTTCGAAAGGTGGAAGAGTCTTTATTGGGTTCCCTACACAGCAGACGACTGGCTTGAATGCCCATGTCTCTGCTCCATCAGTCATTCCTACTGTGGAGCGAGAGAGCATAGATTTAAACACTCGGTACATCAGCAAATGGAATCTCGAGATGTTGCGTGCAGTTGGTATTGTTTGTCGAATTGCGTGGTCTGCCGAGATGGCTACCATAAAATCGAAACTCGCATCCAGAGTTGGACCATCACGCTCGTCTAAGATTCGGAAAGAAGACATTGTGGATGTACTACCAGAGGCTATTCATACTGCAAATCAATTTGCATTCCGTGAATCTACCCCATCTTCTGTTCTGGGACAGACAATCGAAGATGCATTCTGGATGTGCAACAAAAATGCATCTATTGAGGTCCTTTCCACCTGCGGTGTCATCCCCAGTCATCAAACGCGCATCGCACCCAAAGATCTCAGCTTCATGGATACAATTCCTGCATTGCCTGAAGACTTTGTGCAGGGCGCTAAAGATTTTGTCAAACGGCTGACAGATTTCGGGTTGGTCACGGAAGTAACGGTATCAGACATCAAACGTGAATTAGAGTCTAATACTTTGCGATCTAACCAAATTTTGGAATTCATTTCATGGCTTGGCCGTAAAACAGTCGCTGGCCAACTTGATAGGTCTTCAGTCCAGAGTCTACTACGCGTAGCAGTGGCTAATGATGATGACAAAGAAGGGGTTCCAACTCGTTTGATCATCTTTGCGGACATCACCTGTTTTTTGAACCCTCAGCGCATTCCAGCGGACCTGCCCGTACCACCTAGCGTGGTACCTTTCAGGTTCACCAAGTCTTTAGACAAGTATGAACTGGAAGCACTTGGCTGGGTCGAGCTGCAAATCGTTCCTTGGCTTGGCTGGATTGTCAATAATTGCGGAGATCGCAATATTTTCTCAATAGATCAAGATATCACGCAGTCGGCAACCTTTGCGGGCCAGGTATTGCCTGTTTTGTCAAAGCAGTGGGAGACTCTGAGTCAAACTTCAAAGCAAAGTGTTGTCGCAAAGCTTCAACCCCAGACTGTGATCCCCACGAAACTTGGAATGAAGCAACCTGGGCAGACATATTTTGCTTCTGTGCGTCTCTTTGACGACCTCCCTGTGGTTCATGGCCTGAATGGCGTCAAAGAGAAAATCTTGGTCCAACTTGGAGTTCGCAAAACCGTGGAGCTTGGTGTGATCTTTGATCGTCTGATCAACACCCCAATCTCTAGTGATGTGAAAGGTCCGGCGTCCAGGAAATGGAGCCACGTTGATCTCATCCGATACCTCGCCTCTGTACGAGAGGACATCCCTGCGAGCGACATCCAGAGACTAAAGGGGACGAGCATCTGTACTGCCGAAAGTGGGAGCGGCACCGAGGGCACACGTCACAAGATTTCCGAGCTTTATGAGCCTAAGGATGCGCTCCGAGCTCTCGGCTTACCGATTATTGAATGGCCGGGAATTTATAGCAGCAACAGCAATGAGGGTAAATTCCTTACGATGATGGGGCTCAAGAGTTACCCACCAGCTTCTGAACTCGTTATGCTCATGTCAGCCGGGAGCACAGAGAAAGATAGTCGAGCAAGCAAGGCTCTGTCATATTTCCTCGGCGAGTATTACACAAATGAGTATGCTTCGTTTGAGATCAGTGCGGTGACAGTGCCATTCCTCCCCATTGAAGGATCTGATAGCTTAAGCGTTCCGAAGAAGTGCTTTACCGATGAAGGTGCTGCCTTGTTTGGTTTCAAACTTCTCAGAAACAATCTCCACCGCCATGCCTCCAGACTGGGAGTCAAGCCTCATCCTCCCATGACGGACTGTCTTCAAATACTCGCAACGCAGCCCCCAAACACCCAGAGAGATGCGCGGATTGTGTTTAAATACCTGGCAGGCAGGGTGGCCGATTTAAGACAGCAAGATATAAACCGCATTAGCCAAGCTCCTATCATCCCAATCCCCATCCGCGATCAATCAGAGAAGAAAGCCAGACACCGGTTTGTGGCCCCTAGGCTGTGCTATCTTGGAGATGGGGAGGACTACAAGGACATATTTGACTTTGTCGATTTTGGACAGGAGGCGAATCTCTTCCTCATGGCCATCGGCTCAAAACGAGAACCAACTAAGATCGAGATTGCACGCATTCTGGTCCACGAGCCCGCACGCATATCTGCTGCATTCCAAAGTTCCGAGAAATACCTCATGCTTCTCAGGACTCTCGCGGAGGTGCTCCCGGTGCTGAAGAAGGATAAGGATCTTTTCGCTGAGATGCGGAGAGCAAAATTCCTTCTCGCCAGTCGAGATATCCCGCCCACTACGTCACGTCCTGGTGGCAAAGAAAAGTCGTCTGTGAAAGAATTCCACGACGAGGAGGATGATATGGACATCAAAGAATGGAGCCTCGCCTCTGCCAAGGACATTGTCGTGGTTGATGATTTCCAAAGTTTCAACCTCTTCAAAGAACACATCTTTGCTGCCCCACAAGAAGAGGCACTGGAGGACTTCTACGCTGCTCTTGGGGCTATACCCTTAAGTGGACTCGTTGAAGAGCAATCACGAATTGGCAATATCACCTCTGATCAAACCGCTGCATACAAACTGGAGAAATTGATCCTAGAACGTGCGCGGCTTTTCTTGCATGATCAGCCCGCAGACTATATTCTGCATGGAGCCCGATGGCTGGAGCAATCCTTCAAAGTCCATGTTGTGACGTCGATCAGTCTTACGAGATCGCTGAAGGGACGACGGGTGTCGCAAACGCAGAAAAAAATGCGATTGTCGCACAGCTGGCCTCGGGCGTGAGCATGTGCATCTGTCCGGATCGATACGACCTGTATGAGATCAGCCAGTCCTTGGTGCAGTTGATTTTGAAGCGACCGAAGCTGCACTCGACCCTCACATTGGAAATGCTGTTGAAGACCGATCTCTTAGAACTCCGGGCTCGAGGTTACAACGTGGAACGTATTCTAAGACAAAAAGCCCAAGAAGCTCGGATCGCGGAAGATAAGCGCCAAAAACAGGTCGAGGAGGAGAGGCGTGTCTTGCAGGAGAGAGAAGCTGCCTGGGCGGCGGGTCAAGCCCAGCGTGACTCTCAGCGGGCCGACGAAGAGAGGGCCGAAGCACAGGCGCAGAATGCGATGCCTGGCGTTTTCCCGGAGTCGCCGGAAAGTAACAAGAGCTTGTCGGAAGAAGCACCTGCCGTTCCTCCACAGAAACCACCGGTGCGACCCAGTGGAAGCATGTTTGTCAACCTGTCGAAACGGTTTGGCTTAAATGGTAAAAAGTCTAGCTCAAACTCCGGCACTGAAGAACAATCCCGGTCTCTTCTTCCCGAGTCTTCCACACCTCCGCCACCGCCTTACTCCCCCAATGACCCCCAAAGTCAACAAAAGCGCCCAGAGCAATCTGTAAATGCCAATTCACCTCACCGATTGAACTCTGAGCTTCTTTCCGCTGTCCAAGCGTGCCGACCTCACGGATCTTCCGACGTGTACAGTCGGCCAGAGACAAACGAAATCCAAGAAAGCAAGTCCTACTGTGACGAGCGCCCCAGCCACGACCTGGAATTCGTCGCGACGCTGCCTAGCAGTGGCGTGAACGTCCTCTTCACGAAGGCAGTCACTGAACGATCCGCCTTCCTCTCGAAAAACCGCGTTGGGTTTAACCTCTTTGCTTCTATTCTCCTTGATTGTGGCACGATCTTCTCGATGCGAGCTGATAGCCTGACCATCTTCTATGACCCGGGCGGCAAGACGATCGCATTCAACCGCGCGGGCAGTATTTTCTGCAACTACTTTTACTTCCAGTCTTTGCAGGAGCAGGAGCTGCTCAAGAGCGCGAGCCCAAATCGCGCTGATGCTATTGTTTATTGGTGGGTGATTTTGTGCCATGAGCTGGCGCACAACTTGGTCGGAGATCACAGCTCTGCGCACAGTTACTACACGGAGGGCTTTGTGGCGCAGTATTTCCCTAAGGTTGTTGTCAAACTCGCTTCGCTGCAGGTCCCAGCTCCAGTTCCTCAACCTGGACAGTCTTGATGTTTTGCCATGTTGAATACCCTCTAGTCTCTCTGTTCGGATGTACAGTGCATTACATTAGCCTTGCTAGCAATTTCGGTTCTTTTCTTTGAGTCCGTTCAATGATATGTCCTGTAAAAAGAAATTTCAGTAAAAAGAAATATATGTTGTAGGATTTTCATACTCGTCTACAAAATACGGTTGACTAGTGCGTGCCATGTGGTTATATTGCTACGGGTAGGGCCGCAACTTGACAGGTATCATGCACTCTTTGGTCATTTATTCCTCATTCTCTATCGTCTGACGTTTACTAGCTCTTTCTGGCTAGCGTTATGCGATGGTGTGTATACAGGTAGGATGAGACGACCCAGTAATAATGTTTATCTATAGGTCTAACTTCGGGGCTATATATACATCTTCTGTCATTAAGGGACCTATAAAAAGTACTATATGATATATGATATATTACATTATTCTTCTCACCGACATTTTAGTATTCAAGAGCTTCAAGTTAAATAATCTAGATCTTGTTCTCATAAAAAGTTCCAATATCAAAATCCATTGCCCTCCATTGCCACATCGGTGAAACTTCCGTCGATACCCGCTTTTGACCTTTCAATTTATCTCCAACCTTAATTTTTTTTTTTTCTCCTTTGCGTCAACGACAATGCATTGTTAGCTCACTTACATCCCTGGTTGCAGGTTCAAAATCATCATTTGAAAGATATACTTTTGAAGGTCTTTTTTTATTTTCTTCATTGGGGCATATTCTGAACATATTGCCACTCTCCGATCTCGTCCGTCAGATAAGCGGCGAACTCGTTCCGAGCGGCTAATTCAAGGCTAAGAATTGAAGATCTACTATGCATATGAGCTTTGATCTCTTGGATTTCATTTGATCACAAGGCTTGTTCCAGGACCGTCGGAATTCTCCGGTACATCCCGCCATCAAATTCAAACGTCAGCATGGCACCAATGCTAGGTGATTGGGATGCCCCAAACAATGAAAAGACAGTGCCACAACTTGATCCCAGCTCCTCGACTAAGAGCGTCCTTTATGTCGATGCCTATGACTCATTCTCTTACAATGTTGTTGCCATGCTGGAGGAGACTCTGGGGGTCAAAGTCACAGTAATGACCATCGACTCAAAATGGCCCGATTCCAATATGAACGAGTTTCTCCAGCACTACGAGGCTGTCGTTCTTGGACCAGGACCAGGAGATCCCAACGTCCCTACTGATGTCGGTATCATGAGAGACATCTGGAACCTTCACGACTCAGAGCTCCTTCCCGTTCTTGGTATCTGTCTGGGTTTTCAAAGCCTTTGCCTTCATCACGGCGTTCCTATCGAGCGACTCCCGTACCCGATTCATGGCCAGATCCACAAAATTTCCACGTCAGCGAAGGATATCTTTGAACAGATACCGGAGGTAGAGGTGACGCTTTACCACTCGCTCTATGCCAACTCGGCTTCTTCAACATCGACCGATTTGGAATATTTGGCTTGGTTGTCTCTGAAGGACCGCCCGAAAGTACAGATACCAATGGCAGTTCGCCATCTTAAGAAGCCATTCTGGGGTGTTCAGTTCCACCCGGAGTCCTGCAAATCAGAAATCAATGCCTGCAAGGCACTGCTCCGAAATTGGTGGAAGATGGCTCTTGGATACAATAAGATTGTTGGACGCGGGGGATATTGTTCCCTTCCCAGCACAGTCATCAGCCCCCTGACAGCCCCCAGTCCATTCTCTGATGCTGCTTATGAAATGCTCAACTGGAGCAAGTCAACTTCGAAAATTTCGGCTTTCCGGTCCCTTGACCGGCCCGACTTGACCGCAGAGGCTATAAGTGAATTGTTCAACAAAGCAGGTTCACCATCAGTCCTTTTCCAATCCAATGGCCAATACAGCATCGCTTCGGTGCCGAGCCCTGGCTCATGGCGGTTCGAATACAATGTTGAGACCCATAAACTTCGATTGCTCCAGCTGTATGGCGACTGCAAAGAGGTTGAGAGTTATCTTACCGTTATTCAATTGTGGGATGCCTTGCGGTATTTGATGGAAATGAAGAAAGTTGATTCAGGGAACTCTCAGGTGCCATTTTGGGGTGGCTTCTTGGGTTATCTCTCCTTCGAACTGGGTCTCACTTGTCTTCCCCACCCAAGCCACGCGCAAGCTTCCGAGTCACCAAAGCCCTCCAGCACTGGGAAATCTTCATCTGATTCTTCCTTTGCGGATCCACCCGATGTCAGCTTTTTGTGGTGTGAAAGAAGTATCGTGGTTGACAATACTACTGGCGCCGTTGTTATTCAATCCACTCGCGATGCTGATGCGGGTTGGCTTGACGAGACACTGCAGCAGCTGCAAAACTTCTCGGACGGTGGCAATGATACATCTGCGGATCGGGGCTTGGATTCAATTCTCCGGGAAAGCAAAATTAAGTTCCCTGAGGAAATGGAGTACAAACGGAAAATCGAGTCATGCAAAGCAGAGCTGGAAGCCGGTGAATCTTATGAACTATGCCTAACCTCTGAGACGTCAATTACCCTACCAGTTCCAGAAACGGAGTCGGATCGCGTGACATTCCCCTGGAAGCTGTACAAGCGACTAAAATCATACAACCCTGCTGCATTCAGCGCTTTCGCAGATTTGGGAGATACAAAGATCGCCAGCAGCAGCCCAGAGTGTTTTCTCAATTGGGACCGTGAATCGACATTGGAGATGAAGCCAATGAAAGGGACAGTCCGAAAATCACCAGGCATGACCATGGAGAAGGCATGTGAGATCCTCGGCTCCACGAAAGAGATGGCGGAAAACCTGATGATCGCGGATTTGATCCGGCATGATCTGTACGGCATCTGTGGATCAGGTGGCGTCCATGTCGAGAAGCTGCTCGAAGTCGCAGATTATGGCCGAGTCTACTCGATGATCACTCACATCAAGGGCAAGATCCGCCCCAACCACCCTGGTTTTGCTGTGCGACATATGTCTCAGCTGAATACCCCCAACATGTCTGTTCACGGCCTGACCACCCTCCAGCGGTGCCTCCCACCGGGTTCCATGACTGGTGCGCCCAAGGAACGCTCTTGCATGCATCTTCGCACGATTGAGAATCGCAAGCGTAGCATTTACTCCGGTGTGATGGGTTTCTTGGACCTTGGCGGAGGTGGAAGCTTCTCGGTTCTGATTCGTTCGGCATTCGCTTGTTATGGTGGTCGAGATTACACCGAGAATAAGCAGCAGACCTGGCGAATCGGCGCCGGGGGTGCCATCACCACACTCAGCACAGCGGAGGGCGAATGGGATGAGATGTTGACCAAACTGCGTGTAGTTTGCAACGTTTTCACGCCACTTGATGCAGGCGAGAAATCAGCTCCGACCTCTTAACTACTCGGTACAGTTTTGATCATTGGCCACTATGACAGTTATGCGTGATGGCCTCATGATCGATGCTTTTCCTTGCTTTCAACATCTGGATCCATGCGTTGGGATAGAGATTCGATTCAACATTCAGCGCCGGCGTTTTGGTTTGCCTTTTGCCTTTGTACAATTACCTTTCATTTTGTCTATAAACCCCATTCAACAACTATAGAAACTAGAAATGAAAATATTCCACTCTCTCAACTATTTCTTCCCCGTCGTCATCGTTTATTGTCAAGATGCAAACAAAGCAAACATCATTTTCTCCGCAGCTTCAACTTCCGAGCTGCGTCTTTCCTTCAAACCTCTTTCGCAATTTTCAAAAATAAAAGCTTGTCACGAGCTTCGATAGACCGGAGTCGACTCGGTCTATCATTCCAGAGTCGCAAATGGCGAGCCAAGATGCCTCAATGGAGGAGATCCTCTGGCGGTCTCCCCCGCACGTCCAGATGATGGGGGGTTTCCTTCATTCCAACAACAGTGAGTTGCACACCTTGCCACGCCTGGACGTGAGATTGATTATCTGGTCAATTAGTTTTGTTTTACTTTGCCGAATCCCCCTTCTTTGATTCGACCTCCAACAACGCCTCGCTAGCCATCCAAGCCAACTACAACGATGCCTTCCGGCATTTCGTCGAGACGCGCGAAGCATTCGAAGCCCGACTGAAAACAATGCAGGGTCTGGAGTTTATTGTGTCATATGACCCCCTCCAAGCAGCGGCGCAGACAGACAACCGCTTCGCGCACGAGCCATCCAACATCTGGGTGATCCGCAAGCAGAACCGGCGGAAGAGGAGCGGCATGGACGACGAGGTGACCGTGATATCTACGTACTTCATAGTCGGCGACTGCATCTACATGGCTCCTTCAGTGGCGAGTGTCGTAGGCAATCGAATTGTATGTATTATCTCGGAACTCATCAACCACTCCGAGACAATCATTCTAATGAATCCTCCCCCCACAGCTATCAGCCGTCACATCCCTAACCCAACTCATGAAATCTGCCGCGACATTACCAACATTCACCGCCTCCCACGGACACACCTACTTGCCACCGGGAGTTCGCAGCAAAGAAACCCCCGGAACCAGCCAAGCCTCCCAGAGCAAAGAAGCAACACCCATGCCAGACGTATCCTTCCCAACGACCGAATCCTCACAATCAACCAGTAAATCAAGCCTGGGCGGCTCAACTACAAGCTCCAAATATCAAGATACGCGCAGTCTAGCCGAATCATTCAGCCTGCTCACGCGCTACGGCAACGAATTCATGGACGAGAGTCCCCTCGTCGGCGAACCAGGCTCGTTCATCCTATCCCGGACTGGCGCCGAGACTACCGGCTCAGCTATTAAGGGTGCGCCAAAAATCGCTGCTAATGCGGCGACGACTGGTACGCCTGCTGCCTTGCCTGTCAGGGCGTCGACACCGCAGGTCCGCGTCGAGACGCCCGGTAAGGCTTCTGAGAAGAGTTCGCCGCCTAGCTCTGCTGGTGATAAGGGGAAGAGGAAGAAAAGCCGGATCGTTAGCTGAGTTGCTTTCTTGATACCCTTTTTTTTTTGGTTGCATCTCTGGGCGTTTGGGGGATTGGGCATAGCGTTTACGGGGACTACTCTGTTGGTATCTAGGAGCTGGCTATCGGCTGAGTTTGGCATGTACGTCTTGGCCTGATTGCTGAGTTCTGACTCAATATTTCTGAGACTACCTAGGTATGTAAACACTGTAGCTCATATTTTTCTTTTTGCAACTCTATGTGGGGAGGGGGTGATTCTCATTGATTCTCGACATTTACATGAGAGCACCCACCACATCCTGATGTTATAAAGATATGCCTATTACACTGCCGTAATTTGCTTCGGCCTTTTTTTTGGAAAATGCCTTCACATAAGAAGTACATTCATCATCTCGATATCCTTTTTACAAGCACAGGATCATGTCAAACATCTTCATCAGACACGAATCGCTATGGATCGTTATAGGCCGCAATGGGATAACAGTGTGAACCAGGGTCCAACTGTTGGCACATCAGCACACTTCCAGGGAATGTGTGTGGTGAGAGAGAACGATTGATTTGACAACCATTATCTATAAATTAGTCAACCCGCAATATTAATCTGGATTTGGAAGATTCCGTAGGAGGATCGAGGGTCATGGAGGGGATAAAAAGGACATTTGACATACTCGAAGCGCGCGTCCTGCTGAGCTTCTTGGCTCCAGCTCCTACCTGGCAAAGTGAGAATAACACAGTTGCAAGCTTTGTGCAAATTGAGTCTGAGCCAACATCATATGTGGTAATCAGCACTTTCAAATCACCTGGATCATTGAATTTCTTGACCAACTGATCCCGCTCGTGTTGGTCAAGTGATGAATGTAATGTTTGTGCATCAAAAAGAGCAGCCCGAAGGACCTTCTCGATATACCAAGCATTGATTGGGACTGAGTCCACGATCAAAACCTTTTGATGATGGCCATGTCGCTTTTTAATCAAGAGGTTGCATAACCTTGGAACCACCAGTTAGTATCAGAATAACCTGCCAAGAACCTATGAGTACTCACGGCTCGAGACACCACTTCACAAGAGGAATTATCACCCTTAGGGCTAGAAGACATGGAGAAGGGTGAGAAACCTCGGCTTCATCGGCTCTAGGCCTCGTGGTCTCCGGTGATATCACAGCCGAGTTCTCGGGCTGGTTTAGCTAGCCAACATCTTGCAAAAACAGTTGCATTTCTTCCTTCATCGGAGCAGTTCCGTCGGTTTGATAATTGTGCCGGTGTAAGTATAATTTGTAGTGTAATCAGAACAGTCGTTATTGTCAGGAGATGCGAAGTTTGTCTCTTCCTTGGCCCACTAGTCGCCGCAAACAACCCAACTCGCTCTGGGTTTCTTTGTGCCTCGTTGGGTATAGCTGCAAGCGTACCTTCTCTGTGATCATGGTTAGAGATAACCAGAGATGATTTTGGGCAAATAACCAACCAGATCCTCGGCTTCTTCGCCACTTAGCGGAACACATGGAGGTATTCGACATAGAGAAGAGTGGAAATGAAAGAAGGGAGAGGTAGCCATAGCAAAAGATAGAAAGAGGAGTATCGAAATCAAGAAAGGGCGTATTAGGGCCTTGTGAACAAACTGACTCCACTCTACTATTTGATCACCGTCTTTGTGGGCTCCGTATTGCGATAGAGCCCCATTTGATAATATCAAGAGAGGAGAATGGGCACCGACATCAAGATATCCCGTGTGAAGATACTGGCTAATATGAATGCCTTCCATGAGTGGACCTTAAGGAACAGTGCTCATGGTTAAGAGCTCCAAGAGGTTGGAGCTAGGAAGACAAGCTTTTTTCTTCCTACAATTTCCATGTCCGAATCATCAGGTTCTGAAACTGTGTCGAAATAGACACATACCCGAAGGATGAGAGACAGAAGGAGCCATAGCGTTCGCAGACGCAGCAAACCCAGGGGATGGGGGACTCAGCATCGGTCCACCGGGCCAGTCAGGAAGCTGCGAAGAAGAAGGCATGTTCAAATACCTGTCACACATTGCATAGTTGTCAGTTATTGTTTGCGAAATAAAAGAGAGATCACTGATCAGGCATCCATATTCACCTTTCTGGTGTCCATACCACCCATATTCTGCACCCGGACAGCTTCATGTTCTCACTCTTCACCAATCGATGTGGGGATCCATCAATTGCACATTGAAAGACAGAGGTTGGGAACAAGAAGATTCTGGAAGAAACTCTGTAGATGTATGGAGAGAAGAGGAGCTATCTATAGAGGTGAGAGGACCCTATAGCCTGAGACAAATATATATAAGGGTAATAAATGACTTTTGGCAGTACTTCGAGATAATAGAAATTTAAATAATCAACATATCGTGAGAAGTTAGCAAGAAAGAGAAATAACCGCAAGTGACTAGCTATATATAGACCCTAGGAGACAACAATAAATCCATCGATAAGGGAAAACACTTCTAGAGGTTTCCATGCATGATGCATGATGCTCAATACATACATACTGGACAGCCTTTGTTCAAAGCTATGCCAAATGAAGTCAACCAAACCATTTAACTCAATAACCTCTTCTTTCTTGCTTTGAGCGCATTCCAGTCTTTCCACCCATGTAACGAACATTCCTTACAGGCCGGTGATGAGAAAGCTGCTTTGGACCATGTCCACAATGTTATATCTAAAGCCAGCCAGCAAAGTATCTTTAGAGATTCCGACACAACCGAAACAGATGACCATCTTTCTTGGATGCCGGCCATTTTATGGAAAGCCACCTGGCTGGACATGCCTCGCCTTGTCGGTGTTCTTCTAGAGAACAAGACATCAGCCGATATCTCAGAAAACAACCCATCCCGTTTCCCCTCTCCATTATATCTGGCATCCTATCTGGGTCACACGCGCGTTGTTCGTGTCTTGCTGCAGCACGGGGCAGACAGTCGCGTTCGCCGGGAAGGAAAGTACGAGGTATGTTGGGTCGTGCTGGTCGAGGATCGACTCCGCAACAATTTGACAGAAACAGGTTTAAACTCCTGCCCGCCACTGTCTATAGGAGCTGTGGCACTAGCATGATGGTGACGCAACTCCCTGAAGGAACGGAAGTTCCGCGCCAGGAAGTCACTGTTTCTGGTAAAGACGACCACCCCAACGAACAAAATCAGTGGGACTCGGGCTCCAACATCAGGAAGGAAGAGTATCTATCATTGCGAGTGTTATGGTCATACAAAGAGAGACTCGACCCCAACTCCCGAACGATACTGGGCTTGGATACGCCCTTCAAAATGGCGACTCAATGGCTACAACGGTTCCCTCCTTTTAGTGCATACCCTTCATTACATTCTCCCGAGCGTCCTCAAAGTTTAGAAAGTTCGTTTGCGCAGACTATTGCGGATCTTGGAAACTTGAAGTCGACATGGTTGTATCCGTGGGGGCTTATGACTTTAGAAAATATTCTTATGCCGCCTATCGATGATTAGGCATGAAAAGGAAAGTCAAGTTCTTTTTTATTCTGTTACTTTTGTTTTGGCTACAAGATGTGTTCCTACTACAATATCAATCTTTTTTTTAGCCCTAGTTGGCCTGGTTTCATTTACTTTCCAATCGCAAGAAACGCGTTGGCAGACTTTTGTGGTGTAGTGTAGCTTAAGAATTAAATTGTAGTCTTTTTATATATCTTTTTAGATGTATTTTTTGGTAGTCTCCTCAGGTAGTCTTTTTATTGTCTTCTGCGTGAAGATTAAGGTACTTCATCTGAATTTTCTCTTCTTGTGTCTGATTTCTCAGACGCCTCCAAATTCAAGTACACGGTCATGATATAGATGATCAATGGTATTGGGGTTTCTTTTTTTTGGATTTCTTATGTCACATTTTTCTATAGAAGAGCAAAATGGCATCCTTCCGACAAATATTTGAAGAACAAAGTGAAAATATGGCAATATCAGCCAGTTCGATGGTCTGCGAAAAAGCTACTAAGATGGTAAGCTTCAAGTTTGTACTTTGTACCTACATAGAGCTGTTGTCGGTTCGTCATTACTCGTCACTACTTAATTGATACGTCAAGGTTGAAGGATATATTAGCTTTTCATACAATACAATATTGAAGCGGTGCCTCATATATTTTCTCCGGGTATCTCTTCAAATTAAGTCGAGTGTAGTCGGAATCTACATAAATTTGGCCTTTTAGGGACAACCTAACAGTATAAATCTGTACAAAAGTTTGTGTAGGAAATAGTACTCAAAATAAGCTATGATCACATACTATGTAACAGTGAATGCTTGGTTTTCCTGCAAAAAGCCCGATTGTTGTCTACACCACGAAAAGCTGCTGTACACAAGCCCTAATCAGTCCGAATTCTCGAGTTGTTCTAATTTAAATTAGCTGATTGAGGTATTTATTTGTAAAATCTTAGCTACGTGACGAAAAAGTACTTCGGAGAGGAAAGTTGGAGTCGGCCCTCACAGCCCTGACGTTATACTCCGCTATCTCTTATCGGAGTGGGGGGTTTACCTGTTCGGTCCCACGTTCCCTCCTGCGTCAAGCCCCCTTTCTTCATTCTCCTCTGATCAAGATCCTTTCAAGACTTCTTATCTGTTCATACACTCAACCCTAAATTACATACCAACATGGCAGACTCGGAGACCAAACCCGCCGTCGTCTGTGTATTGTGAGTCATACCCCTCCCTCACCACCACTTTCAAGGTCACAACCACACCATATCGTCTATTGATGTGGCGTGTATATGCCCAGAGTCTATATATTCCACCTACCACCTCCTTCCTTGAACCATTGAACTAACAATCTCCCCCTCGGGTCCCCAGCTGCGGCTCCGTCCCAGGCAACAGCCCAGTCCACATGGAAGCAGCCCGAGCCCTGGCCGAAGAATTCCACAAGCACAACGTGCAACTTGTCTACGGCGGCGGCACAACGGGCCTGATGGGCGAAGTAGCACGCGCACTGGTCTCTCTTTCCGGCCCGAAAGCCGTGCACGGCATCATCCCACGCGCACTAGTCAAGGTCGCAACAGTCAACGGAATGCGCGAGCACACCCCGGTGGGTGATGCCAGTGCCAAAGTAGCCGGAAAAGCCGCCGAGCGGGTTGTTAGCTCTGTTGATGCTATTAGTGCCAATGGAATCCCCGAGTCGGAGTACGGCGTTACAACCATTGTCGCTGATATGCATACGCGCAAGCGTCTGATGGCGGAGAAGGTCCTTGAGGGTGGGCCTGGGTCTGGGTTTGTTTCGCTGGCTGGTGGGTTTGGAACTATTGAGGAGGTTATGGAGATGACGACGTGGAATCAGTTGGGGATTCATAAGGTTGCTGTTGTGTTGTTGAATATCAATGGGTACTGGGATGGATTGTTGGCTTGGGTGCGCAATGCTGTCAAGGAGGGGTATATCAGTGCTAGTAATGGGGAGATTCTTGCGGAGGCTAAGGATGTTTCTGAGGTCTGGCCGAAGTTGCGGGCCTATCAGGTCAGTAATGGGCGGATGCAGTTGAACTGGGGAGAGGAGTGAAGCTGCGTTGTTTGATCATCAAACAAATGGGATACGAGTATATAGATGTCGTTGCGTTTGTTTGAGGTTTGTTTCGGGTCTGCTCGGGTTTCGGCAGTGGAAAACTTCAGGCATATAAACGTACACAAGTAGATTACTTCGTTAGAAGAGCCTTATGAATTGATGACTGAATAACTGAGATCATTGGACGCAAACACAAGACAAAGCATAATCAGGATTTCATGTCTATGCGAATCATTAAACCAAACTAGACGATTATGAATCAACCTCCATGGACTCGCCCTCCGCACCAGCGGACTCACGCTGCTCCAGCACCTCAAGCAGCGCAGCCGTGTCCTGACCCTCGTACAGCTTGAAGCTCTCCTTCTTGCCATTAGTCACACCGACAACACCAACAGAAGTATTGTCCACCGTAAGCTCCTTATCCTGAGACAGTGTCTCCTTTAGCGCGCTCAACCCATGCTGGATCAGCTCGTCACGACTGCAGTCCTCGAACTTGTCAAGGTTTCGCTCCAAATACGTACGTGCCATCTGCGAACGGGCACCGATGGCACAAGCAACCATCTCGTGTGTCAGTCCGGAGGGCTGGAACTCGAACAGGTGCGGGCCAGCCTCGTCAACACCGGCAACCAACAGACCCACACCGTACGGCCGTTTCCCGTAGTGCTGGGTGTTGGTCTGCGCGCGGTCGCCGATCTGGGCAACGATTCGGTCCAGGGGGATGGGCCGGCCGTAGGTCATCTTTGAGCCGAGGGATTGCTGCTTCATGAAGTTTGAGAGGACGCGGGCGTCTGATGCGAGGCCGGCGATGGCGATCGCCATGTGCGAGTCGATCTCGATGATCTTCTTCTGGTACGAGGAGAGCTCTTCTGCGTTGCGCTAGAGGGTGTTCAAATGTTAGTTTTGACGGTTTGATCTGTTCGTTTTCTGTTGTAGGTCTGCGAACCTTGAGTCCAACTAGCACGGCATGTGTCTTATTCACCAATCCCACGACGACGGATCCTTGCTTCACTGCTTCCTGTGCATATTCCACTTGAAATATCCGACCCTGTGGAGAGCTGAGTACCTTCGAGTTAGCAACTGATGAATCCGAGGGAGGTCGGGGACCTGGTCTTACAAGGTGACGGCATCGTTGTCGTAATTGTTTCTGAACATCGCGGCGGAAAGGGTGGGATAGATATCAAAGCAAACAGAGAAATTGGATTCTTGTTGATAAATAGAGATTCAGGAACAGCAACTCAAGAATCCGAGGGATAATCCGGTGATGGAGGGAGAATGGGGGAGCTGGAGTAGGCAGTAAAGTGACGCGGTGTGAAGCATGAGCTGTTGGTGCCTGAGGCCCCAATATCCAGTGACCTTCAGGCGCCAACGTCACTCGTTCTCGAGCTCATCTCCAGCTTGTCGCTCTACTGTCCTTCTTTGATTTCCTGCACTCGGCCAATGGGGCTGTCATTATTGATCTGCTCTTGATATTGTCTCCTGGTTTCACCCAGTTCAACAACTCCTACCCCTCCCACCTTTAGTCTCATCGACCGGCATTCGGCGTCTCCGCAATCATGGCCGCTGGACTCAAGACCATCATTGCCCTCTCCTTTGTACGCTTCGTTTCGCTGTTCGCCTGACTTCTAATTATTTGCTAACATATGACCAGGTTCTCGCAATTGGCTTCCTCCTCGTTATCCTCTCTTCCGCGCTATGGCACAGATACTGGCCGCTGCTGGTGGTCGGCATCTACGTTGTTGCGCCGCTTCCCAACTGGATCTGCCAACGATGCGCAAACCCAGATGATTTCATGGACAGCTCGAGCAACTCCGCGATGGACTTTGGACGGTTCATGACCGGATTTTTGGTTCTTACTGGCATCGGTACGTCGTTGGTTCAACAACAACAACCCCTCTTGTGGGACATATCATCCCTCGACCGGTCGGCTCTTGGTGTCTAGACCACACTATGTCTAAACTACTTGCCTCATCATTGCGCCATTGATGATTATTCAACTGACCTGTCCCCTAGCACTTCCTATCGTCCTCGCCCGCAGCGGCGCAATCGAGATCCCAGCAATGATCATGTCGATTATCGGAGGCCTATTGATTTATGGCACCATTATTAGTTTCTCAATGTTCTTCCAGGAACAGGAGGAGTTCTGATCGCCCAGACTGGATGAGGCGCGGGGTTGCCAAGGACTATACCTATACTGTAGGCCAGTGGGCCTCGCGACATCCGGCCTTCATGATGATATCTGTTTTTCTACTGCTTCTTTTGATTTCAGCGTATGCTTGATATGCTATGTATGAGTGATTTGGTGCGGGGTGTGCCTCACTTTAAATGGCGATGGCTCCAATACCTGGTTGTGCTACTCTAGGTGTACTATAACCCAATGGATATAGAGATTTCTTCCGAAAATTGAGGAATCCGAATATACATAGCTTTTAAAATTATTCACAATCATTCCCTATTAACTGGTGCATTTAGTCTGATCTATGGTCCACGTGACCGCGCGCGGATTCGGCGCGTGCAGAGATTCGGAGATAACAGCAGATCAGCTTGGACACAACACAACTATACAAATTGATTCACTATGCTGAACCCATGAAAGGTCTTTCCGGGACCCAGATAACAAGATGAATGTCTGGTCAGGATCCATTCCTCTCAGCTCGGGCTCCAAGTTAGAAGGTAAGCCATACGCGTATCGCATCTTATTCCTCGCTGACCACTTGACCAGGGATTCGACTGGTCGATCCGCATTCCTACTGGCAGTCCGAGCTATCCAAAGAGTCCCAGCTCAGTCTCCGCAGCTTTGTCAACCCAGCACTCATCCCACTGCATGCACGCGCCGGTCCCAACCTCGAGCTACACACATCCCACGCGGAGACATCAAAATGGCTCCAGAGGAAGCTAACAGGCGCCCTCTGGCTAAATGAAGAAGATCCAGCACTCCAACAATCCTTCCAATGCCCAGTCGGTCTGCTAGTCAGCGTCGAAGGCAACACTAAATCAGGCAACGCAACCACAACAAGCCTATTAGTCTACGGCGTGTTATCGAGCGCAGCATCATGCACACGACCACCCACCCCACCACATTCATCCCCCTCCGAGATACCCGGTCACAGCAATACATCACAGCGTGCTCCCTATGAACTCAGAATCTACGCCGCACCACTATCAACTTCAAGACTCACCCAAGCCCAAGCCTACCCATCTCCACCACCCTCCAACCCAGACCAACCCGTCACCAATCCGCGCTGCGCAGAGTTCCTACCAGACATAAGCTCACCCAGCCCCAAACGCAAAAGAGTAGCAACACTCTTCGAAGTAGCCGCACAGCACCACCGCCGCGTCCGCCAACGAGGCGGCGAAGCCGTCTCACAACTAATGGCATCTTCACGACCTCTCTCCTCATCCCAGAACCTTCAAACACTCCGCATCAAGCGCGAGCCCGAAGAAGATGGTCCCACCCTCCCATCCCTCGACCGGATCGTCTCTCACCGCTCCCGATCCGTCTCTATCGGAACAGGTCTTCATCGCCCAGGAAGCGTACGCGGCCGCGCAACGCCAGCCCTGAACGCCGATCCACAAAAGCGCGCACCAACACCGAACCCGTTCTTAGATTCCGGCCCGCGCCGTGGAGCCCAGATTCAGGGCCAGGGCCCGTCGTCTCTTTCGGTCTCCGAGGAGAAACCGGTGTCTGCGCCCGGCTCACCGGCTAAGGATCCTGATACAGTCATTGCGGAGAACAAGAACCTCATCACGCGCACGATCTTGACTTGTATGCGTCTGTATGGATTCCACCGTGCGAATATGCGCTCTGCGTCGATGATCAAGCCGCCAGGTGGTGCTGCTGCGGAGAATGAACCTGATGTCTCGGGCACGACGCCAGCGCCGGAAGCTTTGCGTGCTGAAACGCCTGCGCCGGGGAGCACTGCCGATGATGATGAGTTCAAGGCTATGTACCATGCGACGTACAAGGCGGCTGCTTTTGCCCTCCGCAGGTATTTGAAGCAGGCGCCGGGGTTGGCGCCTTCAGTCTTGGAGAAGGAGAAGGCTATGACTTGTATTGATGAGTTATTGAGGTTGTTCTGCGAGGAACACTGAGGGGTTTGGAGGTAATGTGGATAATGGGGATTTTTACGATTTTATGAATGCATATCTGGGGTTTGGTGTTCAAGGAGCGGTTCTGCTTAGGGCATTTGTTTTTCTGTGCATAGCTGCAATGATACTTTTCTCTCGATAATGTTTACTTCTAACATTTACTTAAATACCTATGGTATTCCAGGCATCTCAAAGGTTGTCCAGATTGATATTCCTAATTCGAGACCACGCGAAACGTAAGAGAAATGTAAATGAATTCATGCTAAAGCGCCAATCCCAGCCAAAGATGCGGATGCAATAATGCATCCTGGCAAAAAGTCATCAGAGCAAGGAAATCGAGTAGAATACAGAAAGACGAGTTATAGATTGAAACAGCCTGCCTCACAGTGCCAGATTGTAGGTGTAGTCATCTTCGATGTTCTGAGAGACCCAGAGTACGATCGAGCTAAAATGGGAATAGCATTGTTAGCACGCAAGCACAACTTCACGCCGAATGAAATCGAATCAGACAAGTAAAACACATACCTGAGCATAACAAGACCATTCGCCACAATATTCGCAATTCCAAAGTAAAGCGTCTGGATAGGATAATCCTTGATGAGATACTTCAGGACCATAACCGTCTGCGGAGAAGCGAGTCAGTAAACCAACCCCCAATACCTACACCCTACCTACCCCACAGGGGCAGAGGTAGTAGAATAAAAAAAGGATACATATACATACCACACTCCCAGCTAAACCACCAGCAAGCAGCGCAAAACCCAAAAACAGCACGAATCTCGCCTTCCACGCAACCCCACTCCCGCTGTAACTAAAGCTATCAGCCTGCAGGCGGCTCTTCTCAATCGAGTTGATAACCAGCATCCCCAGCGCGGAGCAGATACCGGGGATCCAGTCGACGAATTTGATATGCACGTCTGAGCCGTTGCGCGGGCTGCGCGAGAATGAGGCGACATCGACTAGGAAGAAGAAGCCTGCTGCGAACTATTGTAAGGGTGGTTTTGTTAGCTTTTGATTCTGAGGATCTTTTGGGTTTGGTTTGAGGTAGAGCTGAGATTCAATTCCATTTCATTTTGCTTTGGCTTCGAGCTTGGGGTATCGCGACGAGCGAGTTGGTCTCGGGTGGAGGTGGAGGAGGGTGGATCGGATGCTTACCAGGGCGCCTGCGACGTAGACGCCGCCATTGCGGACGGCGGAGTTATTCAGCCATTCTGGCTTGGGGAAGCGGAAGAGTCGGTTGCTTGAGCTGTCCATTTTTGGGATGTGTGGGGGATGGGGGCTTGGTTGAGGGGATGTTGCTGGTGAGAGCTGGAGTCTAATGACGATGTCTGGGTGGAGAAATGTTGTTCCGGGATATCTATGGATATCGTCAAGCAAGGGCAATATGAGTTCTAATCTGTAGTAAATTGATTTCTGTTTCTGCTTTTCTTGAGATCTCTCATTAATAAGCTACGGTATAGTATGTATTTGTGTTCTCTAGGGTATACTGTCATAGCAGCAACATAGTCTAAGTTAGGTAGCATAGGGACCGAACGTAGATACATAGATTTAGGAATTGGGATTTCAGATTGATAGTCGACAAGAATAGTCGGCCGCTTATGCAGCCTCTGTCCTTGACGACCTAAGACTTTAATAGTCTGATGTATTTGGACCAAGATGATATTAGGGATGTTATATGTAAGGACTCTCCGATTTGTTAATGTCTTTTTGGTATCTTTTCTGAGGTGTATACGAAGGCGCCGACTTTTCTATGTTAATCTTTGAAACTCATGATTGCATTTAATGTAGGACAAAAGCCTATGGGTATGTACAATTAAATATATGCTTAGACCACAAAAAATCAGGTTGTTCGATCATGCTGATGCAACCCTAAGGCAACCAAGTAACCAGGGACCAGTGCAGAACCATTTCGGGCATCCGCGCATCAAATGATAGCCGGTATTCACCAGCAGTGAAGCCTAGCGTCGTCATCACAGTGCTCAACGCAGATGCAGTAACAGCCTAGGTGCCTGTCGCACTGCGAGCGCCGCCCTTGGCACGACACAAGGCCAGTCCCAAAGGACGGACTCGTGTTCAGTGGGTATCTTGCTGCCCCTGTGTCTTTGTGTATTCTGACTCTTACAGTCCAGTCACCACTCACTCCATTCATGCAGAGACATCGATCTGGTGGGACCGCAGCTTATCCATGATAACATCAATGCCGTCCATGTCCGCGGCGTCGGTCTTATCGGTGGGATAGCCGTCAGGCAGGCTCTTGTTCAGCGCATCCAAGGCGGGCTGGTGGTTACGGACTGCGGAGGAGATGGCATAAATGGCCTTCTTGCGGGCTGCGGGGTTGGATTCTGTAGTGGCGAGGTTGACAAGAGTAGGGATTTCGTTTAGTTCGACGAGCTGGCGAATGTGTTAGTCATTGTGATTGTCATGCTTGGTGGGTCAATGGGAGTGTTTCATACCTTGTCCTGCGCCTTGGGGTTGTTCTGCACGGCTGTTCCCACACACCAGGCCGCCATGCGTCTGATCTCGGCCTCGTCGTGCTTAAGCAGCTCGACAAGCGGCTTCCATAGATTGAGCGGGACGAGATTGTTCGCATTGTCAATTCCCTCAATCATCTGTTCGAAGTTGTCAAATGCGATCAACTTGTTCTCCAGGTCGGACTCGTTGTCGTGCACGACCTCCATCGCGGCCCGCATCAGGTCAGCCTCGGAGGGGCCGCCAAAGAGTGTGTTAACCATTTGCGGGGTCAGGTTTGACGCAGATGCCGGGAGATTCTGGGCACTGCCCTCGCCATCGGCGCCTGCAGATGCCTGAGAGTTGGCGACACTCCATTTGAGGAGCTTGTTCATTTCGGGGTCCATGGTGGGCTGGCGGGGTAATTGGTTGCTGGCGTGTAGGGTGTATTGCTTTTGGGGGAGGTTGAAGAAGAAGAGATTAGGAATAGAGTGTATGTAGGGTCGAAGGTCAGGAATTGATTTGTTGTATATCACACAGTATTCTTGCAGTGGCGATCTTCTATCAATACTTTTCTACAGTTGGAAAAAAAACCAGCTGACATAATCTGACATCTCGGCCAGGGAGGGAGTGCTCTGGGCGATTCGCGCAGCGACCAGCGGATTCGATCATGTGACCCTACTAAAACCTTGGAAAAGGAACTTGGACTGCATAGTAGACTACAATATAGAAGATGATATTCCCACATGAAGAAGCCTTACATCACAAAGGCGAGATCCATAGTTTCCATCCCAAATTGTTGAGCTACAAACACTATCAACCATATGTGATTCGAGTCTTGGCCTATGTAATGCCACTGATATTTGATCCATATTCGGATGTCACTGGAAACCTGAAGCAGAGACAGACGCCTTCTAGTCCATTCATGGCAATGACCGAAATAAGAGGATCTAAAAGAATGCTACCACCAAATTTTGTTTCGGTTTGAATAGTGCTAGCATGAGTGTGATTGCCAATGGCTTATCGGTAGTTTGCTGAACCGTTGGAACGGATAGCTTGGTGGGCCTAGCTATCTCAGACTCGAAACTAGGCAAGTGACTATGGTATTTTCATTTTAAGGATGTAGAATCAAAGCCAAGTTGACTGCTGCTTGTCTTTTCCGGTAGTTTATCAAAGTAGGGAGTACCTTGGAATGTACTAGAATCTGGTTATCAACGCCGAGTCTCTCTGCCAAGATATATTTTCCAAGGGGCTTAAAGTTCAAATTCGAAGAACTTTGTTGCCAATGGAGGGGTCAAATGGCAATATTTTCTGCCAGGGAGGTGGTTAAAGTGGGCTGACTTATTGGGCTGACTTATGAATACCATTCTAATATATGTATAATCAGGAGATGCATAGAATAAGACAAAGTCAGGGGTACTTTGTCGTGGTCAGGTTAGAAAAGAGAATGTACAATTCGTACTTCCCAAGATGTCACGTGACACTAACTCACCGCCTCACCGTCACAAGAGGCTTAGCTGTTCTCCTAAGGCCCCCGGGGGCCCTAGAGGGAAATGGCGGTAACAAGCTGGATAAATTGTCTGACAGTCTGACGGTCTGAGACTCTCCGGCCGTATTATCCCTTATAGGCCTTATATATGTGTGTGCGTGTCCACTTCCAATAACCTTGGAACGGGTGTCTACCCCAAGGGCTGAAGTCTGGGTCTGTCCTATACTTAGAACACCTACGCCACGGGGAATCCAGCAGCCTACATAGGCATTTGGACTACAATTGTAATGCCTTTTGTATGCCTTGACATGGTCATTGTAATAACTGTAATACAAGTAAACACTCTAAAGTGCCTTAACCCGGTCAAGGTACGTGTCCCCCGTACCCAGAAAGGTCTGGAGGCTCACGCCCCCCCAAGATCGTCCACGCAATGCTTTAGGTAGACAAGATTGAAGGAATCAAAGAGACAAATTCGAATGAAAAATAGTTCTGCCTTATTTCTTATTAACTTACTTTGTATATAAAAAAGGAAGAAAATAGCCCAAAAGGTAGATCGGAGGGGGTCAAAATCGAAGGCCTCAGGCAGCGCACAATCCCAGCCATCACAAACCCCCTCTCCACTCTTCTCTCTCACTCTCTTCCTTCTTCCCTTCTCCCCTAATCCCAACTATATCTCCCTCTAACCTCATTCCATCTTTCTTTTCTTTTTCCCCCCTTCTCCCCCAGGTTCCTTGTTTAATCTGTCACAATGGAGGGTATGTTATTATTGATGTGGCCACATCAGCAGCTTCCCCGGAAGCTGCCCCCCCTGTTGCCACAGCTTTGAAACCATATTTGCGAATGACAACTAACCGGTATATCTCATTATAGAAGAAGTTGCTGCTCTCGTCATCGACAATGGGTATGTGCTATGCTTTTCCCCCGGAGCTTCTGCCTTGTGTTTGGGGCTGGTCGCCAAACCAGCCCGGTCGCGGTCGTCGCCACCCCTAATCCGCCCACGACCGCAGATGAAATCCATCCCAATGGCTTTCAATCTCCATCCACAACTACCAGATGGCGCTCCAAAAACTACAAGAACTATGATACTGATGATTTGCGATGTAGTTCGGGTATGTGTAAGGCCGGTTTCGCCGGTGACGACGCACCACGAGCTGTCTTCCGTAAGTCCAACCCCACAGAATATGACACCCCTCCTTTGCGAAGGCCGCCATCCCACCAACCCTTGCGTCGGATGGCTTCCCCTCTTTGCTCGGCTGGGAAGAACCTTGAATCCGAGAATCAAATAACTGACAAAATTCAACAGCCTCCATTGTCGGTCGTCCCCGTCACCATGGGTAAATAATCCCCCCCTTTTTGGCTCGTTTTGGACGTATGCGCCATATACAGCCAATTCGATCACCAAATGAAGCAAAACATACTAACATGGGCGCAGTATCATGATTGGTATGGGTCAGAAGGACTCCTACGTTGGTGATGAGGCACAGTCCAAGCGTGGTATCCTCACACTCCGTTACCCCATTGAGCACGGTGTTGTCACCAACTGGGACGACATGGAGAAGATCTGGCACCACACCTTCTACAACGAGCTCCGTGTTGCCCCCGAAGAGCACCCCATTCTCTTGACCGAAGCTCCCATCAACCCCAAGTCCAACCGTGAGAAGATGACCCAGATCGTGTTCGAGACCTTCAACGCACCCGCCTTCTACGTCTCCATCCAGGCCGTTCTGTCCCTGTACGCCTCGGGTCGTACCACTGGTATCGTTCTCGACTCCGGTGACGGTGTCACCCACGTTGTCCCCATCTACGAGGGTTTCTCTCTGCCCCACGCTATCTCGCGTGTCGACATGGCTGGCCGTGATTTGACCGACTACCTGATGAAGATCCTCGCTGAGCGTGGTTACACTTTCTCCACCACCGCCGAGCGTGAAATCGTCCGTGACATCAAGGAGAAGCTTTGCTACGTCGCTCTCGACTTCGAGCAGGAGATCCAGACCGCTTCCCAGAGCTCCAGCCTCGAGAAGTCCTACGAGCTTCCCGATGGACAGGTCATCACTATTGGCAACGAGCGCTTCCGTGCTCCCGAGGCTCTGTTCCAGCCAAACGTTCTTGGCCTTGAGTCTGGCGGTATCCACGTCACCACCTTCAACTCCATCATGAAGTGTGATGTTGATGTCCGTAAGGATCTGTACGGCAACATTGTCATGGTAAGAAAACCCTCCAGTCACAAACTTTACAGGGTTCCCATTAACAATATATCACTTTTTAGTCTGGTGGTACCACCATGTACCCCGGTATCTCCGACCGTATGCAGAAGGAGATCACTGCTCTTGCTCCTTCTTCCATGAAGGTCAAGATCATCGCTCCCCCCGAGCGCAAGTACTCCGTCTGGATCGGTGGATCCATCCTGGCCTCCCTGTCGACCTTCCAGCAGATGTGGATCTCGAAGCAGGAGTACGACGAGAGCGGTCCTTCCATCGTTCACCGCAAGTGCTTCTAAGCTTCTTGCAACACTTTTCTACTCGTATTCGCTCGTACTTTCCTGGTGTATCAAAAAGCAGGATGGAGGCACTGGTGGATTGCAAGCGTTGTTGGACTCGCATTATCAAGCGGATAGCCTGAAAATGGAATCTCGATTTTAGTGGAATAGAGTCGGTCGTTTTCTTTTTGTTACTCTTTACCTTACTCTTTACCTCGATCTCTCTATCCATCCATCTCTGCTTTGAACCATTTTACCTTTACCCTTCCATTTTTTTTTCTTCCCACTCAAATCCGCTGTCCCGTCCACCTCTCTGATTGTTTTGTCTGGACGGGTCTCTGGCGCTGCGGCGAGAACAGTGTACCTGTAGGGCGAGGATGTATATGGAGTTGGTTGGCTATAGGGATTAGGTTGTCTTTTTCCTTTTCTCGACGTCTTCGACGTCTGTCTTTGTTCTAGCCCCTTGCCTTGTTTTCAACTAAATTGCCCGACTTTGTAGTTTTTAACGTGACTTTGACCTTCAAATCTTCCTTGCACTGCTTTCTTGTATTCAACACGTTTCTACGATTGGAATGTAAATGGAATCAGGCCGACGGCTAAAAAAAAAAATTTGATATTGTAGTATGAACACATCCTGCAGCCAAAACAAAAGTAACAGAATAAAAAAAAGAATACTCCGTACTGACTTGCCTTTTCATCCCTGAACTATAAGAATATTTCCAAAAGTTATGAGCCCCCACGGATACCAATCATGTTAGCTTCAAGTACCCTTGGGCATTTTTCAAAATCTGTTTTCCAATGTTCGTAAGAACCTGTTTAAGAGAACTTGAGTAGACAGGCCTTGATCTTGTTGGAGGGGTGTCTGCAATTGTTGCAGAAAGTTCTCGACTTGGGGCTAGCAAGGCTTCTTCAATGCCTCCCCATACGTTTCCTCATCCTCGCACTCGTTTGCCCTGAGGGTAACGTCCAATCTGAAGTGGGAAATCGAAGGGCCCATCATTGTGGACGTGGTCAAATCCCATTCATCCCTCAAAATATTGCAGGGCAAATCCTCGTCATGGATGGGAGACGTGTATCTCATCATCACCGAGTGCAAATTGAGTCCCAGCTCACGGCAATTGTACATGGCGCGAATGTAATCGCGGAACATTGCCACCGTAGTGAATGCACATGGTTCCTTGTTCATTTTCCGTACTTCGGAGGGGATGGCTAACCCCTTCTCCTCAGCCTCTATAGGAGCTGACTCAAGGCCCTACAGTCCAGGGAACCGCTTGCTACGGTGCCAATGCACGGTGGTTTCGATAGGATGGTATGCGTCGTGTGTCTGATGGGGGCCGAGCACTGATTTCACAACGTCCTTCGGGGCTCTCATCCATGGCGGCAGGTGTGCGTCATATACGACGGCAGCCTTCTTCATTGCTTCAACGCTCTCGACATGACTCCATACGTTTGCCGTGTGAATGAGTCAGGAGAAATCATATTGTGGCCAGTGATGATACGAGGAACAGACATTTGAAGCAGTTCGTTTGGAGGATCAACGCCTCGGGCTTAAAACGGTAGTATTAGTATCTAAAAGCTCGAGATTCACTGTGTATAGGTGTTTGTCTTACTTGGATTGTGGCGTGAGCGCAAGTAATCAAATGCGAACGTTGTGTTGGGAGAATGGGCCATTTCACCTAGGTTCTCATCGGATGGTTTTCTATATAGAGACCCCAAGATTAGTATAAAGAAGATCTTGTTATGGTTATCCAGGCTCAACTTACTGCTTTGCTTTATATCGCAGCCGAAAGATATAACCGACGATGCCGGCAATGACAAGCAAAACAAAGCCAGCAACAGCCAGGAACTGCTTTATGGCAGCAGAAGGGAGGTTAGGAGGAGTGGTGTGAGAGGAGGGGTTGGAAAGGATTCAGTGAAGTTTTGAATGAGAGTATAGGTGGTTAGAGAAAAAGCTAGGTGAGAGTAGAGTGAGGGGAAAGTGAGAAGGGCTAGGAAGGAGAAGGGGTGAGGAAGGGAAGGTGGCAGGTGTAGACTCAATGAGCTAAGTTTCTGCTTTGGGGAGTTGCTCTGATTGATATAATAGGAGCAAGTTGGAGTATCAACTCAGCGTTATAGCACACCGGTACATCAAAGATTATGCATAGAAAAGTGCTTTTTACACCTTCATATACACCTAAGAGGACATCAAAAAAGACATATAAGAAGAGCATCCAAACACAACACTGGAAGGTTCTTACATAAAACATCCCTAATATCACCTTGGTTCAAATAATCAGACTGTTAAATTTTTAGGTCGTCAAGGACAGACAGAGGCCGCATAAGCGGCCGACTATTCTTGTATGTAGATCAATGGAATTCTTTCCAAACAGTATATACATATGTATAATTTCATGCATCATGTAGAAAAACTGGCGTTAGTTCGGGACGCATCCAAAAGCCCTATATTATGATGGGCAGCCAGGGAAGAAAGACGGGGAATACGAAGAACCAGAAAAAAAGAAGCAGTAAACAAAAAAATCTATAATATAGATAACCCAGGCAAATCATTTTCTCCATCCATATATAAAAAGCATCACGCATCAACATCACCATCAACATCAAATTTTAACGTCAATATCGTAGATATTACGCAGACCAAGACTCAAGTCCAGACAGCACACAACCCTCTTCACCCTCGGCGCGAGCACGCAGTTCACCAACCCGGTAAACAGACTCACCAGCAGCCTCGAAGGTCTGACGGATAGCGGCCTCATGGGCTGGGTCAACGGCAATGATCATACCAACACCGCAGTTGAAGGCACGAGCCATCTCAACAGAGGAGACGTTACCGGCACGCTGGAGCCAAGTGAAGACGGAAGGCTGGGCCCAGGTGCTAACGTCAACCTGAGCGGTGAGGGTATCGGGGAGCATGCGGGGGATGTTCTCAGTGAGACCACCGCCGGTGATATGGGCGAGACCCTTGATGGCAGAGCCGTGAGTGTTCAGTGCGCCGAGGATGGACTTGACGTAGATGCGGGTAGGGGTGAGGAGGGCACGGCCAACGGAGACGCCGGCGTCAAGACCGGGCATGGAGAAAGGTGCAGTGTCGGTGTAGCTCAGGCCGGCACGCTCGACAATCTTCCGGACGAGAGAGTAGCCGTTGGAGTGGGGGCCGGACGAGCCGAGGGCGAGAAGGACATCGCCGGAGCGCATGTTTTCTGTGTGGGGGAGGATGGCGCGAGCGTTGTCGCCAGTGGTGTTGATAGCACCGACGGCGGCACCGACGGCGTCGTAGGAGTCGTCAACGAAGAGGCCGGGCATCTCGGCGGTCTCACCGCCGATCAGGGCGCAACCGGCTTGGACACAGCCCTCGGCAACACCGGTGACGAAGGCTGCAGCAGTGGGCACGTCAAGGTGACCGCAGGAGTAGCAGTCCAGGAAGAAGAGGGGCTCGGCACCTTGGACGACGAGATCGTTGACGTTCATGGCGACGAGATCGATACCGACGGTGTCGTGGATGCCGATTGAGTGGGCGATCTTGAGCTTGGTGCCGACTCCGTCAATGGCTCCGATTAGGGTTGGCGAGTGAGGGTGGTAGACGGAGTTGGCAGCAGGCAGAGAGAAGAGGCCGCCGAAGCCGCCGATGACGGCGTCAGTGCCGGGGCGCTTGGTGCGGCGGACGGAGCTCTTGATCTGGTTGACGAGCTCGTTACCGGCGTCGATGGAAACACCGGCCTGGGCGTAGGTGAGCGAGGTGTTGGCGGTCTGGCGGAACGCGCGGTGGGCAATGTCCTTGCGGTAGAACATGTCCTCAAAGCTGATGGTCTTGATGCCCTCATAACTCTTAGCAACGGCCTCCTCAAGGGTTGGGGCGGTGGCCGTGGAGGCGATAACACGGCCTCCAGAGGTTTGCAACTCGTTTCCAGACAGAGTTGTGCCAGCGTGGAAGATGAGGGTTCCAGCAGGTTCGGGAGCCAGAGTGATGGTCTTGCCCTTGGCGTAAGCGTTGGGGTAGCCGCCAGCAACAGCAATGACGGTGGTGGAGAAGTTGGGCTCGATCTTGATCGAGACACCGTCCAGCCAGTGGTCGGCACAGGCCACCATGATCTGTGCAAGATCGGTGTCCTTGCTGAGCAGGGGCAGCAGAGTCTGGGTCTCTGGGTCTCCACCGCGGACGTTGTATTCAAGGACCTTAGGTCCGTTCTTGGTCATCATGAGACCGGTGAACAAGATACCAACGAAGGGGAAGCCTAGACAAAATTAGCAACATGCTTTGGGAATGCATATTTTAATCAAACGTACCATCCTTTCGCATTCCGTCAACGGAAGGCTGGATGATGGTCCGGTCAATCTCATCCACAACCTCCTTTGGCGCAATGCGCGTAGGCGCATAGCAGCCCATGCCACCAGTGTTAGGGCCCTGGTCTCCATCGAAGATGCGCTTGTGGTCCTGCGCTGGAGGAAGCGAGCGAATAGTATAACCGTCACTGAAAGTGAGGATACTCAGCTCATCACCCTCCAAGCACTCCTCGATCACGACCTCGTTGCCAGCCTCGCCGAACTGGTGGTCCACCATCATTTCCTTCAAGGCCTTGTGGGCCTCCTCTTTGGTAGTGGGCATGATCACACCCTTACCACCAGCCAGACCGTCAGCCTTGATCACCACATTGTGCGACACAGAGTCGAGGTAGCGACGTGCGGACTCGTAGTCAGAGAAGTTTCCGAATTCGGCGGTGGGGATCTGGTGACGCTGCATGAAGTCCTTGGAGAAGGTCTTGGAGCCCTCCATGCGGGCAGCAGCCTTGGAGGGACCGAAGCATCGAATGCCGACTGTTTTTGAAAGCCATTGTTAGAATTATTCAAAGCAATTGGTACAATGGAGGAAAAAAAAAGATCGAAAAAAAAAGAAAAAGGTGGCATGCGTGACTCACCAGCCTGGAAATAACCCTGGATGCCATCAACGAGAGGTGCCTCGGGGCCTGGTACCACGAGGTTCACCTGGTTCTTCTGTGCGAATGCCACGAGGCCGGGGTAGTCGTCGCCCTTGACATTGGCATTGGTGATCTTGCTGTTGGTACCCATGCCTGTGCCACCGTTTCCGGGAGCGACATAGACAATGTCGACCAAGGGGGACTCGCTCAGCTTCCAGGCGTAGGCATGCTCACGGCCACCATTGCCGACAATGAGGATGCGCAATTGTTCGGAGGCCATGGTTGGAGAAGCGTCTCGACTATGGTAGTGTTAGTATTTAGTATGTAGAGAACCTCCGCGGGGTATGTAGTGCCCCTCCATTAAGGAAAGTGAGTCTTGGAGCAATGGAACTGGGCCAACAATTGGGAAAGACTTGAGAATAAGAAAATCCACACTTTACTCACCTCACAGAGACCTGAGAAGCAACTTCCAAGGTTGTATGGGGGAATGGGAAGATCGAAGATGTTAAACTTTCAACTTTTTTTCTGCCCTCCGGCTGGGTGTTTCTCCGACCCCAGAAATTCTAGCGATCTCGGGCAAATATTTTATAGTTATAATTAAAGGTGGATATTAAATGGATCGAATGTATTTGAATGCATTTGAATGGATCTGACAGTTTAGGACAGATTTTATATGTTTTATATTATAGTATTAAGACTAGATAATTATCAAGTGCAGGATTCTATACAATTGCAAATGAATAACTCTTGTACAATATAAGTCTAAGAGATGTCGTATTTGTAGTCATTTCATAGCACTATAGTACACTTGAGCTCAATTGAAATATGAAATATACACATATATCAACAAAAACCCAATATCCAATCCTCCTACCGTCGTCTCATCATTTCCACTTTACAAAGTATTTTCTCTCCGATATCAAATATTGACACCTCAGGCATTCAGGCACCAAGATAACAAAGCGGTGACCCTAATCTTCCGGCAGAAAAAAAAACCGGAGAGGCAATTCCCAAGGTTCGCCCGGCGGCCTATTGACGGCGTTCTTGAATTCTCGAATTCTCGATTCGACTACATTTCGGGGACTTCTACATTTATACCCTTTCCCAAACTATCCGTCGACAGTTGACCTGAATGCTTCGGACCTCTTTGCGGTCTGTGTCAGGCCCTTCAAGCCGACATGTTCGTCTCTCCTGTCTAGCGCGCCCTGGCGCGCTCAATTTGCGCCAGTTTCACCGCATACCTGCACTCCGTACCGATTCAGGCGAACTCAAGCCGGAAACCAATTCATTTGACGCGTTGACCGAGCCTTCAGTGCCACTGCCGCCCAAGGTATGTTCTCCGATCCAAAGTACAACGTGAGATCCTGACAGTGTGTGCTATAGGGTCGGATTCCAGAGACAGAAGATGCCGCCTCTTCTAAACCCCAGAAACCCCAGCTGTTGCCACGTAAAGCAAGACAGCTCACTGCTTCTGTATGGGCTGGGATGACTACCTCACAAAAAAATAATTACAAACAACGGCATACCTCAGAATTTCGCAAGTTCAGGAAGTCAATGATAGCCGACAGAAATATTACACTCACCCAAGCAATAAAGTTGGAACTGGAGCGGGTCAAATCAATACAGTCAGAGGCAACACCGTCAGAGACTGCCCTATCAGACGCCGCATCGTTAGAGACCGCACCGTCAGAGGCCGCACCGTCAGAGGCTGCCCCGTCAGAAGCAGCACGGGTGGAAGCAGAAAAAATCAAGGCCTTGCAACGAAAGGTTATGGCAACGGATATGGAAGCCAAGCGGGAAAGAAAGGCCAAAATTAAGGAGGAAAAACGGCTGGCTAATGCCAAAATTGAGGCTACAGACGGCCCAGCAGATACGCCAGCAGTCAGTGCACCCAAGAAGAGCACACTCAACTTGAAGTCCACTAGCAATGTTGTGGCTCAAATATTGGAAACCAGCTCCAAGAACGTACCCAAGGAGGAGAACGAGAGGGAAATTCTTGATTTTATCAAAGCCCACATTACGTCTAAGGACCGCGGGTATCTTTCCTCAATGGACCCTGACCTGAACTTAAAAAGTGAGTTTTGTGCTCTGACATAACTGTTGAATGTGGGCTAATCTTGTACTCAAGAGGTGCCTGTCCCCATGTCTCCTGTCCCACGCGTCGCCTTTGGTCTCGACCGAGTGCTTTTCAAGTGAGTTATTGAGTCTACCCTATTACTGATCGATATACTAACAGCGGACAGTCCCGGTGTCTACCAGCTACGTGACCCTCGGTCTCTTGTCTACAATTTCGACCCCTACCTGGATCAGATCATGCCCGTGACGGAATTTGACTTCGATACCTTGAAGCCGTACGTCACCTCCTCTCAAGATGTGACGGCTTGCGAAATGACCAAGAAAAATGAAAAGAAGTACTACGGCTCCTCGTCGAGCATGACTTCAGTTCTCGCTCATTTCCATTATCTTCTGTCCGCGTGGCGGCCCGTCGACACTAGCAAAATTTCTCGGGGTTTCGAGGACAAGCAGCAGACCTTCACCCGTCTCCTTCGAGCGCCGACTGCAATGTTCCTCCGTTATAAGGAAAAGGAGGATGTCTACGCCATTGACGCGGACAAGGAATACGACTACGCTAATATTCTTATGAATCTGGGCAAGTCAATGGAGAAGCAACTCACACTGCCAAAGGATCAGTTTGAGCGCTACCGCCGCAGTGATGCAAACAAGATCACTGCTGAGGAAGAAGCAAGCATCCCGGAGTCATACCACTACAGCACCTCAGGCAAGTTCCTCTTGCGGTCGCAACTCGACGCATACGATCCCAGACTGCCAGGTACTGGCATGTTCGACTTGAAAACACGTGCGGTGGTTTCGATCCGCATGGAAGCCACGGAGCATACGCGTGGGATGGGCTACGAGATCAGACGCCGCTTTGGCAAGTGGGAGTCCTACGAACGCGAATACTTCGACATGATCCGCGCCGCCTTCCTCAAGTATTCCCTGCAGGTGCGCGTTGGCCGCATGGACGGCATCTTTGTCGCGTATCACAACATTGAGCGCATCTTCGGTTTCCAATACATCCCTCTCGACGAAATGGATCAGGCTTTGCACGGCACGAGCAACACCTCACTCGGAGACAGAGAATTCGAACTGAGTCTCGGCCTGTGGGAGAAGATCCTAGACAAAGCAACGCAGAAGTTCCCCAAGAAGTCTCTCCGTTTCCACTTTGAGACCCGCGAGGGTGCCACACCCTACATGTACATCGTGGCGGAGCCCGTCACGGAGGAGCAGATTGATGCCATCCAGACATCGAACAAAGCCCACATCGATGCCATCCAGGACCGCCTCCTCAACCCGAATCACTTCGTCGACAAGAGCGCAGAAGCAGCCGTGGGGTCAGCCGAGGAGCTAGTCGATGATCCAGAGGAGCTAGCCGAAGACGAATCCCTCTATCCAGACGAGGACTTAGCCGAACCCGAATCCCTCTATACAGAGGAGTCATCACCACCCGAACCCATCTATCTAAAGGAGGATCCCTCAGCCCCATCCCTGGCGGACACGCTCTTCCCCAAAGAGGAAGGCGAGGAAGAATCCGAAGCCGAAGCGTCAGAACACGACCCCTCCCTCGAGCACCCGGAAGCCGAGACGGACCCCTTGGACAACACCAAGACCATACCCCTGCGCCCTGAATTCGACGAGAACGACCACGGCGAGAACATACTCGGGATGACACTCGTCGTGCGTAGCAAGGTGAACGGACAACCCGTGGAGCGGCCGACGCGGTTCACTGCGTCAGATAATTGGACGATTGACTACGAGCTTAACGAGCTTGATGTGGAGGAGACTGAAAATGTTCTGCGGGGGTGCAAGAAGCGTCGCAATAACGCATTGAGAAAGAACGTGCAAGATCATGAGGCTAGTTTCTTCACGGTTTTGAAAAGGGTGACTCAAAGAGGGCGTGCCTGGCGGAAGCGTATGGACGAGAAGGACCGTGAGCGTGGGATTCTTGTTTATAAGAGTGCTAGTGAGTCGTGATTTCTATAACTAGGTGCACAGACTTGTGCCTAGGAGAGGATTGGGAGTGAGATGGGAATCCCTTTTGTAAAGTATTAGATTAATTCCTCTCCCATTGTACTATATATGAGTTGGCTTAGATATACATTCATGGCGTTGGTTTTCCTACATTGTGAGACTGAATGCTTTTTGGTTGGATCTTTTTTGTTCTTGTTCAACTATGTACAGATATCGGTGCCTGTTGGGGATCTGAAATATATATGGGATTGATATTATATATTAACCATTGGGCTTTTCCATTCTTTTCTTGTGGACTTAAGATGTACAAATATAAGACGTATAAATATGAAGGTTGTGTTTTATAGCATCTATCTACCATGCAACTCTCCAGACAAAATACGCCCAAACTACTCAGTCTCACCCGAGACCAGGAAACCAAATAGAAAGGAACAATGGTGTTTTAATGTCTATCCAAACAGTATCCAAGCCAGAGCGAGGAACAAGCACGAGAAAACACCCCCACAATGAATATCAAACAGCCTCAGCCCCAGTCCCAATTAACATTAGCCATGCACGCACAGGCGCCACGAACTCGCAAAACGAGGACAGTTTCCAATAAGAGTAAGAGAGCAAAGAACAACAGGCCGAGCGATAAAACTGATTGGAGGATATTGATTGGAGGATATCGATTTCGTTTGTAAGAGAGATATTGGCAAATGGAATTGGAAATTGAAAATGAGTAAGTATGGAACGCCAGGAGAATGCGGTGTCTCTGTAAAACGAAATTGGAACGCCAGGGTATCAGTGCCGACTGGCCGGTTTCGAGAAATGGGAATTTGGATGGGGTTGGTGGGATATGAGTTATGAGTTAATGGGTAAAATAAAATATGCTTCACAGGAAGAAAAAGAACAAGGGTATGCAATCGAAACCTGGTTCGTCGTATATATGTACTGCAAGAGCCAGACTTTGTTTCGTGTTGGGTTGAGGTGTGGAGGATGCTGTACAAGGTGGAAGAGGAGGTATTTTGATGGGTTGATGGGGTGTAAGGAAGGCTACTGGAGCCCTCCCAAGTCAAGCTTTGGTGGTGCCCAGTCTAGCTGAGGCGGCTTGTCATTGTTGACGCACACAGGCGAGGGACGCACTGCATCTGCACGGCGACGTTCCCTCAACGCGGTCCCGCTGAGAAAGCCTCTAAGTGTAGATGAGGCGACGCCGTAGGCGCTTCGAGTACTGCCAGCGCCTATTGAGGCATTGCTGGAAGAACTGCGTGCACTGCGGACGCTCTCTGCCTTTCCGACTGCCGGGGGCACGGCTGGAACCGGGAGAGCTAGGCGAGAGGTTGAGGTCGAAGAACCATGACTGGATGGAGCGAATTGTGTAGGGGCGGCGGTTTGAGGGCGGCGGGTATTGGATGGAAGGCGTTTTGGTTGGATGGAGGTGGGCTCGATGTTCGACGAGGACTGGGATCGGGTGTCGGATGCCTCTGAGAGTCGGATGACAGCAGGAGACTCGTCTGGTGGCGATGATGTTCGGATCTCATCTGCCGACACGGACACGTCGAATTTGAGATTGTCAAGCATCGTACCCAGGCTCGCTGCTGTTCCGGGTCGTCCATCGCTGGCAGCATCATCAATTTCCTCAATCCCATGGGTAATGTTGTAATTGCGGAGGAGGTATCGATTAAGCCGGGACACCTCAGCGTCCCATTTCTCGTTCAGAGACTGCAAGACTAGTTCAACGTTGTGGTTGGCGAATGGAGAGTTTTCCAAGGCTGAGGCGACACTAGGCGGCGGTGCTTTGCTCAGTCTGTGCCCTTGCCCTCCTTGACCAACGCTCATCGCTGCATATAGAGAGCGACGGACCGAGTTCGCAGTGGAAGATTGATTGCTGTTGCTAGCCTCCCACCGAACATTATCAACCTCTCGGCGTACTTTGTCCAGTGACAGGACTCGATCCCGGTCCATGCAGGAGAGAGTGAGAAGGGAGCGGTTGCACCGAAGGCCGTTGACCAACACCGTAAAGGATTGCAGGTTGATATCGTTGTTCTCACAGTGTACTTCACGTAGCGAATCATTCTCCTCTAAGACCGAGGCAAGCGTATTGGCACCCTGGAGACCGAGTTTCTGGTGTTCAATTCTCAGGACCTTGAGAGATGTGTTTCTCTTAAGGCCAGTCAGTGCAAGATTAAGACCAATGCCGAAGCGTGCAACATCAAGGTGCGCATTATCACCGCTAATATCCAAAGCCTCAAGAGTCTCATTCTCCTCGAGCATCACCTGCAACGATCGGCAAGTCTCAGGGCTAGCATCGTATGGGAGGGAAGCCTTCGAAATATCCAGGAACTTGAGGGTGCTGTTCTGCCGAACCGAGTCCACCAGCTGACGGAAATGGTCCTCTTTCTTGAAATCGATCATGCGCATTGACAGATGCGAGGGGGTCTGATTCTTCGCAATAGCGTTGAAAACGTGAGAGCAGCCGTTGTCAATGCGGTTCTCATTAACATGCAGATGCAGACTGCGCGGGGAATCAGGTCCAACGGACATCGAGTGCATGAACATAGCTACGTCTTCTCCGGTCAAACCACACTGATCAAGACGAAGCACACGAAGGTTTCGAGAGCGATCGCTAGCCAGGTAAGTAGCAATGGCATCCACGGTCTCGCGGTTGACAACCGTCCGACTGAGAGCCAGCTCTTCGAGTCGCCAGTTGAACAGCATTTCGGCCGTGATGAGCGGGTCGGTACCAGACGTCCGTGAGATGCGAGATAAGTTGATTTTGCGGATTTGTCCAAAGTAGCCGATGTATTGCTGGAGTACATCGGGATTCAATCGGCCCTGCACGCCTGAGATGTTGATTGCCTCGAGTGTTGATTCTTGTGCGACGATAGTCGACAGAAGAAGGTCTAGGTCATGCACGGATAATCCACAGTCCCCGACCTCCAGAGCTCGCAGGTGACTACGTCTTTGTGACGCCGCATCGACAAGATAGTCCAGATCCGACTCACCCAGCTTGATGCCGTTGAGCACAACCCAGTCTACGCTTGTCAATTCTCCTCGGCGGCACACGGGGAAGATCGCTTCTGGAATCCCACAACCTGGGTCACGAGTACCCTTGTCGAGAGTTGGTGTCGGTATCCGTGTAAGGCAGTAAGAGAAGTCGAGTCGGCGCAGCCATTTGCTCTTGAGAGCTAAAGCTCGAACCTCTTGCGAGAGAACAGTCAGATTCGCCTGGCCTGGAATGTGCACGGAGGCGCCCCCTCGGTCGAGATGGACGTCGGAATCCACACCATGAACATCACGAAGGCCCTGCAATGCATCGAGATTGACTCCGCGGAACGAGATTGACCGGAAGAATTCATTATAGCGAAGTGTGCGCATGACCGCAATGAGTTCTAAAGCGTTGTACCGCGGAGTTTTTGGGGAAGCAGGCTTCAGGAGACGGAAGCATGGAGCGTCCTCGCATTCCTGGTCGATTGTGTATCGAATATTCGATGTGTCGATGTCATAACTGGCGGAGTAGGCGACCAACGTTCTATCGAAGCATCCATAATCTTCATCTAAAGCAACAGGCGGGAAGTTGTCGTCATTTTGCAGTTCTTTCGGAACAACGAATTCGTACGGCTGTCTGATCCACAATGGACGGAGATATTCAGTATGTTGTCTGATCCAACAAGCGACTTCAACGGAATGGACAGAGGCCAAGAACACATTGAATGATTTCTTGAGAGGAACCCTAAAGGTCAGATGCAGGCTGTCGTCACCGTACTCCATGGACAAACCAGTCAGGTTCATCAGACCAAACGAAGTACCGGCCTCCCAGTCTGACAAGGATACGACCGATGATCGATTGGTTGTCTTCTGCATGGGCAGCAGATGAAGCTTGTGTGCGCCAATGGCAAGATAACAGCCCGTGGGCGACAGCTTGGTCAGGTCCTCAGAGGAAGAGCGGGTGATTGACTTGCTGGACGCGATTTGAATGACCCGGAACATGCGGAACACCTCCGGGTCGTAATCTCGCTCGTGTTCTAGCATACGAGTTACATACTCAATTGATCCCCTGCCAAATGGCATTGGAGAATTTGCTCTAGCCATCTGGGCGGCTTGGCGAATGCCCACCATCCAAAGGTTCAATTCCTGCAGATCAGATGTCTGCATTTGAACCAACGTGGCTTTGTTCGTGCGCTCATCGAGATAGGCCACTTCAACCGATGGGGATAATCGTGCATCCTCCAACATGTAGACCGCAATTATGCTGTTTAATGGGATTCCGGCCGATGCATCTCCAGACGCCATGAATTGCATGTCCTGCAGAGAACTGACTGAAGCCACTGATTGACGATGGGAAGCTGGAGCCCGGGTATAAGAAGCAGGAATAGAACCAAAGACATCGGCGGCTTTGCCTTGGTTCTTAAAGCGAATGAGGTGGGTATCCGTAAGGACCAAATATTGACTCTTTTTCCTCCACATGCCTCCAGTCGTCTGAACTTCCCCGTGGTGGAGGATTGCAGATGACCAGATCCCATTTCGGGGACTGGCCATGGTTTGCTCATCTGTCACCGAGCCGACGGAGGCACTCAGAGGTTCATCATCTTCCCATGAGTGCAATGACCTCAGGGATCCAAAAACCGAGGTTCTCTTTTTCTGCAGCGACTTCCTCCGCGGGCGAGGTGTTGTTTCATTGACGGGTGTGGATGCTGACCAGCCAGCGGTGTCGGAGCCTGCCGTCCCAGGGCGGCGGTTATTCGATCCATCGGACCCTATATTAGGACTGTGAGACCGGCCGAAGAAGCCAGAATTCCGTCGGGTTTTCTTGTTTCGGGTCAAGATATCATCCGAGGGTGTTCGGTCATGGAGTGGAGGCCGGAGGGAGGTCGATACTGTGAGAGATGGACTGAACACGCTCAGGCTCTTTCTTCGTTGTCGTTTGCCGATGATTTCAGCCATGTCTGGTTCGGTGGGGGGAACTAGTGGTACAGAAGCAGGGGCGAGTTGTGTAAGGTGTTGGGAGAGTAGCGGCGCGAGTGTACTGAGAAAGGAAGCTTATCTCATCGACGACCTCAACGTCGTTCGTACTAATTCAATTAGCAGTTTGAAATGTCATGACAGGCAATATCGAAAGTGTGAGAGGGAGGAAGAATGGAGCGGAGAAAGAATGAGGGGAAGGTAGCACATACTGCAGACTGTCACAGCGCCATGAGAAGCAATTAGCATGCAATTGCTAGAAAAATTATTCCCTATATCTATGATAGGTCTTTCCCCAGACAACAGGGAGCTGTCAACAATGCGATGAAGTGATGGTTGCGGAAGGGGAAAATCCACAAATATTGTTGATATCAGGCAAATCAGTGATCTTGATGTGATTTGATAGGGTACTATTCCCGGTATGAGAACAGTACAGGGGAAGATAAGAGGGAATCAGATTGAATGCGTAAAACGAAAACGGCAAAATGAATTCATAGGCATCAGAAAAAGAGAGAGAGGAAAGGAGGAAATAGAGGAATGGACGGATGCAGTCAGGTCCAAATGTAACGATCAACTGGAGATGTTTCAGCTGTGTTTTTTTTTTTTTAACTACATGTAATTTTCTAGTTTGTCCGGTCTTTTTTAAATTATTTTTTAAATTTCTATTCGTCTTTAACGGTTAAACTTACATTTGTAACATATATCGCTTATTTACACCCCAAAAGTGACCAAAAACGAGAAAAACCTAAGACATGCGTTCACGACTCGTATATCTCTAGTACATTTCTAGTACGAAGAGTACCACGTAAGAGGCGCTCCACTAGACTTGATAGTGCCGCTATAGTTGGGATTACAAGCATTAGTGCATTAGAAACTAAATTGGACTCCTCTTTGGTAACCATCTTCGGCATATCAATGGTGATCATTGATCTTTCTTTGTACTCCAGAACAACCTTAGAAGCAACTTCATACATACGATGTATCCATACATCGTTAATCTCCTGTATACGATCTACACTCCAAATTGACAACAGAGCATCATAGGTCCAATCCTAGGATCCACCCCCAAAGGATGATCGGCGTTTACGGCACTCCAGGATGCTGCTTTCGTAGGGGTTGATGTCTTGGGCCCACGCGAAAAGGAGATCATAATAGATCAGCATGGCAATCAGGGGGGATATCCCCAGGAACCTGGCGTCATCGGTGACGAAGTTTCATTCGGGATCAGCAGTTGACAGGGACAGCTACAAATTATTCGCCTCAACTCTGCGCCTTGCAGGAATGGGAAATTACTGAGAAATGAGACTCAACCCATCCGGTGTTCCGACGATGCGGCGGATATATTGCGTCCGGTGGCGGAAAGTTTAAGTTCCAAGCTCACATCGTTCAAAACCAGTGGGCGATTATCTCTTGAAGCTCTTCATTATCGACGATTCCCCTCCGCCCTTTCAGCCTCCAGTCGCTCCGTTCGTTTGATCCGTCTCACCAGCTCGATATATTCCGTCACGCGTTTCTCTTGCCAGATACAACCACCCAGAGTCATAGCCGCAACTTGTAGGAAGACCTTGAACTGTGGCGTCAGACCGCGGTAGACACGGGAACCGGGCGATATCCAGCTTGAGAAACCCTCCAGGGGACGGTGGAAGAGTCGTGAGCGGAGATAGTCGCGGGAGAAGATTGATGGGCGTGGACGGGGTTGTGTCGCGGGATACGCGGGCGGACTTGGTGCGGAGAAGACAAAGGGGTGGGGCATGGCAAGAATCATATGAGCCAAGATGGACACAGAGCCAAACTTGAGGATATTAGCGATTGCACTGGACTTTACGGATTGCAGGTCCGGTTGCTTACCCGGAACACGCCGGTCATGAAGCCTTGGGCGGCTACCCAGGTGATTTCCTCCGGGGGTTCGACATCACCCCTGTGGTTGGATGGTGCTGGCATTCTGGGATGTATATGTACAGTCGTAATGGTATGGCGAACAAGAGGGGCAAGTTTTGGCTTGGGAAAGGTATTGAGATGGATGTCGGTCCTTATCGAAGCCGAGTTCGCCGAGACGATAAACAAAGTAAAGACAAAAGGAAGACGTCTGTTTCAGACTCCAATGGCAATATCAAAGACAATATTGATATCAAGGATGTTGAGAACAAAAGCATGGACCAGCCAGTGTCTTAAAGCCTGCTAACCTTAACTCTTAACTAAGTGTAACTATCTTCCAAGGTTATGTCCTCCATACCATAGTACGGATCAACGATTCTCCAGCGGACGAGTCATACAAAAAAGAACTCCGATTATCAACCCTCTACCCCGTATAAACACCGCTCAATTCAATTGCCAATTCGACCTACACCATATCCCTAAACTCACAATGTCCCTCACCGCACGCACAGCGACCCTCTCCCGGTCCACCAACGAGACCAAAATCCAAATCTCCCTCTCCCTAGACGGCGGCGTCCTCCCACCCTATGAACCCTCAACCCACTTCCCCGCGCCAACAGACCCCAAAGAGCTCGAAGCCTCCAAGAAAGGCATTGTGCCACCCAAGGAGGCCAGCCATGCAACACAATTCACCCCGACGCAGCAAATCACCATCAGCACCGGTATCGGGTTCCTAGACCACATGCTGCACGCGCTTGCCAAGCACGGCGGGATGAGTCTTGCGGTTCGGGCGAAGGGTGATTTGTACAGTGAGTTTCTCCCTGAACACCATACACATAGGATAAACCCTACAATATGGAACACCAATGCCAATGTCAATGCCAATACTAATCCCACCAGTCGACGACCACCACACAACAGAAGACACCTTCCTCGCGCTAGGCGAAGCCTTCACAGCAGCACTTGGCGCACGACAATCCCTCGAGCGATTCGGTCGGGGCGATGCACCTCTCGACGAGGCTCTCTCATGGGCCGTGATTGACCTCTCAAGCCGGCCGTGGGCGGTTATCAACCTTGGCTTCAAGCGCGAGAAGATCGGCGACTTGAGTACGGAGATGATCACGCATGGATTGCAGAGCTTTGCGCAGGCGGCGGGCGTTACGTTGCATGTTGGTTGCACTTATGGTGATAATGACCACCACCGCGCGGAGAGTGCGTTTAAGGCGCTTGCGGTTGCTATTCGCAATGCTTGTAAGCGTAGGGTTGCGGGTGATGTTGGTGCGGGTGATGTTGTTAGTACTAAGGGTGTTTTGTAAGGGTTGGTGTGTTAGATATATAAAATTGTGTTATGGATGACATGAGATGGATGTACAGTGTGGTCTATACCCATTACAGAGCGGTGCAGTCGTATGGCTGGCTATGAAATGAAATGTAATAAGATTGGGTATTTCGAATAAATTCCATTTCTGTTGTACCTAGGTATACTAATCCTACACCATAATCCATAATCCATCAATCATCAAATATCAAATATCAAATACCCAACCTGGCAAACAAAAGAACCAACACTGACATCGAAGAACCAGCTCCGAGAACCCAACGGAGCAATCCCAATTCCCAAAACACAATAATCATAAACCCCAAATCCCTAACCCTTCCCAATCTAAACACCAATAGCCTTCACAGCCCTCTCCCAATACTCCCTCCGTTCATCCGTAACAGAAGTCCCCACACAATCCGAGATATACCGCTGCCACCCAGTCTCGGAACCATCAGCAAGCGCACTCCGCACCTCCTTCGAGCACTGCGTAGTAAGGAACCAAGCACCAGAACCAAAGTCCGTAGCGCCGTCGCTGCGCAGGAGGTCGAGTAGATCTGCCGGGCTGTTGCTCACGCCGGCGAGTTTGTCTTTTAGTTCGGGTAGGGACGAGGCGTATTTTTTGTTGAAGGATGGGGATTGCATGTTTCGTGCTGGAAGATTTGGTTAGTATATATATATAGAGGGGGAAAAAAAGGATTTGTATGCATGTATGGAAGATGGATGTGGATATTGCGGGAATAATTAGGGTTAGGTGAACTCACTACCCTGCCCAGCAACGCCTGGGAAATGATTCTTGTTATACTTGAAATCATCAGTTTCGAAAGCCATCAAACTGATTATGGCAGCCTGCTCTGCTTTCGAGGTGACTTCGTATTTATCGAAAGATTGGGATGTGAATTTGGCTGCTTGTTTTGCTGTTGCACATTCGCCTTCTGCTGGGGCGTCTGTGCAGGATTCGGATGTGGGGGCGATGGTGATGAGTTGGGATTCTGTCAGAGCTGCGTCGCGGGTGAAGAGGGAGATTGGGAGTGGTGTTGCGGTTGTTTGGATTGTGAGGGTTAGGGTTAGGGAGAGGAGGAGGGTTTGGAGGTGCATTTTGTAGATTATGGATTGAGTAGATATAGGTAGTATGTAAGAATGGGTGATGAGTGAACGGGTAACTATGTCACGTAGGAATCAATAGTCAAAAGGTTGAATGGTTGTTATAGATGGATAGTATCGAAAGTGTTCTTGGTTGTGTGGGACCAAAGAGCAGCACTGTAGATCGTCTTTATAAGTCCTCGAACATGTCTGTAAGAGGCAGAAGGGGCATGAAACAGGGGGTTGCATTGTCCAAGGCAGCTGGGACATACAAAGGGGAGGCGTACCCCGTTGTCAGTATGTACATTGTAGGCTAGACGCGGAGAATGCTAGTGGACTGAAGTATGTCAGATGACGGATGCCAATATCAGGGAAGAACACCCAATGATGAGATGACCTATTTACTTCAACAAAGGACATGCTACACAAGGTACTATATTTTTTTAAAAAAGACCAGGGCTCCAGACTTGATAGGACGACTTGGAAAGCTTGTCATGTGGCGATGCAAGGCACAGTGTTGTCATTGGAGGGAGAACTTAGGGTTTCAGGATTGCTGTTTGAGGTTGGCGTTTCAGATTTTAGGGGTTTCAGACATGATTGCACGGACTATCTGACTAGTTATCTACCTTAGATTTTATATTTGGCAAAGTTTCAAGGCATTATTGATTCATCATTCCCCCCGGAGATATCTGATCCGAGTGCATAGAGGCATGTCCATATAATTCCACTGTCTCCCGAGAAGCGAAATCTAACTTGTTTACAAATCAATAGACAAAAAATAATAAAAATGGGGAACAGTGAAACAGGATCACACACAAAGGTCTGCGCATATGTCCAAAAGCAAACCCAATTGCTCCAGGTGAGCATTCAATCCAGGATCCCGTCACAGGATTGAGACACCATGCATAATGCGCTCCTAAACACAGAAAGAAAAGAGCAAAAGTTGTACAATAAATGCTGATGCAGAGATCATGTCCGAGGCCGTATCGTTACAGACAAATACACAAGCTGTAAAATGGCGAAGTTGCGAGTCGAGAAGTCAATCTCTAGATCTCTAGTCATCGCGACGTCCAAGTTCGTACGAGGTCTCTGTGACACCACCTGCCTCTTCGTCTTCTTTGAAGCTGACGCGTCGCAGGAGTGTCGGGACTGAGAGTCGCGAGCGTCGTGTTGGCGACGTCGAGAGTCGCGATGGGTTGGGCACTTTGGAGTAGCGGTAGCGGTACTTGGCCCCCAGGAGCATGACACGTCCATAGCTCCACCAGAGGCAGAATCCAACGACTCCGGCGAGGAGGAAGCCGCAGACAGTGAGGAAGACCCAATGTTGACCCATCTGTGAGATATTAGCGTTGATTCAGTATTTCGATACCAGACTTTGTTACTTACCCAGAAGATCAAGTGCGCATCCTTGCCGTGCCAGCTGTTACCCCGGTGGTGGGTGAAGAAGCTCCAAGAGAACTTGTTGTACTCGTCCTGCATGAGGATGCGCACGCGCCCAGCCTCGCTCGGTCCATCGCGCATGTACTCTTTCCAGATGACAGACAGGAACAGCGGTCCGGTCGAGTACATGACCGTGATGTATGGGAGGAGCCAGTGACGATCGTACTGTTGCAGCACTTCGATGGTACGGAGGAAGAATGGGTGCTGCGGTACGGAACCCATAGCGTCATTGGAGATACCGGTAGGTGCAGTGCGGCGTACCCAGGCAGGATAAGCCAGGAGAGGATCCAAGCGACGGTTGCAGCCCTAATTGATGGCGTTAGAAACGAAACACCATGGTCTCTCGGGGGTATACTCACGTCGTCGAGGTCAATGTATGTTCCACCGAAGTGCGCGAGAATGAAGTATCGAATAGTATCCGCGCGCTGAATAGGATAACTGTAGCCATCGAAGGTGTCCAAGAACCAAGGGTATTCGGCGGCGATAAAGTCTCGCGATTTCTCGTTTGTCCAGAGCTAATGACACACGTTAGTCACCTTGAATTGGGCAGATCGGGTGGGGGCCATGGATGTACAATATATTCATAATCCGGGTGCAAGTCAATGCAACTCTGTTGAGCTTCTACCCAGACCTCTGGGATGGTCTCATTCTTGTATGTCTGGTGAATGATCTTTGGAATAATCTGGGGGCGTTGTTCGATCAGGCTCGAATTCGGCGAGGGTAGCTCCGCGCGGTGTATAGCGTCGGCAGCGGCATCTTCGACTAGTAGTGCCAGAAGCGTCGAGACACTACGGATGAGCAAGGAGAGAATGATGAGGTTGACGAGGAGGAAGATGAAGAGACCGCGCCGCATGATGAAGGCGAAGGCGAAAGCCAAGGACCAAATAGGAGCGTGATAACCAATTGAAACCCCAACAATTCGTTTTATGTCGTAAAAATCGTATTAAGAATTGATTCACGGACCCTCAGGCCGTAGATAGGTTAAAAGTACGGAAATGCAACGGTTCATAAGAATCGGATAATAGACGATAAAAGGGAGAAAAGAGTATTTAAAAAGGGGAGACTTCACGATAATAAGGAGTGACGGGAGTGGGGAGACTAAAGCTAAAGAAGGAAAGGGGAGACCTCGGGAGCGTTAAAAAATGGAAAATGAGGCAAAAAAAAAAAGGGAAAGTAAAAGAAAAGTAGTATAATACAACCTTGGGAAGGGACCAGAGGTTGAGAACATTTACGGAGGCTGAGCAGAGGGGTGGCTGTGGTTCGGCTTGGTCGGCTTGGTCGGTTTGTGATTGGTGGGTTGACAGTGGGGCAACTAAGGGGAATTCTTTTAACCTTTTTCTTTTTCAACAAAAAAACCACATTGTATGGATGAAGGTGCTGGATTTTGGCTTAGATTTAGTACTATTAGAATTACCTCTTCAAAATTGTTATTCGTATAATATAACATTCACTACTCCGTACATACATAGCTACTGGAAATATCTACGAGTGTATAGCTCTCAACGTCGCTAAAATAATCTAAGTTTGGCGCAAGGACTCGTCATCGTATTGTAAATATAGCGCCGTGGGGAAAAAACCCCAACGTGAGCACCGTGTATTGAACTAGTCCTATTTAGGCATGTACTCTACCGTACCTTTCTTGGCCTCGGGAGGCTAGTGGTAGTTTGCATCTGCTAGTCCCGAGGTCTGTTACCAAGGTAATTAATTTACTAGTTAAAAATTAAAGGAGCACGGAAGGACTATAATGATACCGTGTATAACTAACTATAACTAATAATAATGTACATTGTATATTTATTATACGTGTATTTCGCTACCGCCACATGTGTGGCGTGGACTGTACACGTAGGCCTTTGATAAGAGCAGTTTAGTTATGACACTATATGTTACAGAATATATTTTTTATGAATCCAATCCCACGCGTAAAAAGAAAGAACCAAGCCTTGGACACTTTGGCCACAGACTTGGCCAAGGTTATTCCAGCCCGAGAGGTAGGAATAGGCACCGATTTGCCAGGTGAACCGCCACCGCGTGCCACGGGATGGGGCGTGCACGGTACAATTACTCGATTCGAGGTTTCCATTGCCTCCATTATTGCCCCCATTATTGGCCTTATTAATCGTATTCGTACTCCGTATATTGTAAGTATTTTGCTTGTACTCCGTAGTGTATGGAATGAATATCGAGAAGTGCAACATGGGAATATTTCTGACCAATGAAACCTTTGAATAGTTTTCATCAACTGTGCACAAGTACAATTAGTTATGTATAACCCATTACCATGGGAACTGTCACAGAACACCCCACTAGACCCCCCATAATCGCCAAGCAATGGTACGCCAAAACTCCCATCCATAAACCCACGGTTCACCACGTTGGATGTTGGTACTATCTCGATTCAACACTTATTAAACGCGGGTGCCTATCACTCGTCATAGCATACCATCAGAAGATCGGTACTCTGAAGCTTCTCCAGTTTTTGATTCTAAGATCAGCATCGGATGTGACGTGGGTGGTTCTTGCCCCAACCATTAATCTCAATATACATAGGGGATTGGCATAGGGAACCCCCCTTCCTGTAATGGGACCCCCCTGTCTGATTTCTTAGGCTTAATACTTACCGCCTTCCAATTTCATACACCGCCTTCATGTTAAACTCGCTATACAATTGTACTAATCAGACGGCAGCTACCTGCAATTTGTATATAAACCCCTAACAAAATTAAGTCACTCTTGTCACATAAACTAGATCAAACAAATTGATACTCCAATTCTGGTTTACATACATTAACCTGCCTTCTTCCTGCCCATTTTTCCATCACTTTCTTCGTCAATTTCATCGATTTCATCGCCAAAACCGTCAATATGGCCTCCCTAGGCCTTGATTATCTAGACTCAGATCCAGATTCCGACTCTAAGGTTGTTCCAGAGTCCCCACCCTACTAATGCTAAGCACCCAGAATACCCAGTCTTCCCCCGATCTATTAACACAAGATAGCTCTATTCACCGGGATCCATCATCATAGGAAGCAAGCCGAGGCCGGGTGCGTGGTAGAGGACGGGGACGGAGACGGGGACGGGGACGGAGACGGCGCGCGGGGAGGGGTGCGTAAGAAGCAGGATACCTAATTTGTAGAGTAGATCAATGCAGAGATCAATGAAATGTACGATTTTTTCTCATTAAAATGCAGGGCTTTTTACTATGTAAACCAGAATTATATGGTGGTGGCAGAATATATAGCAGAATTCAGTATCGCACCCGATAGGGAAGGCGGTAGTGAATATGCCCCTAAAATTTCAGGGAGGGGGTCCCTATAACTAGTTAGTTACCAATCCCCTATACATACGTACCTCTCTATAACTAATATACCAGTACAGCCTACGATATATGTATATTGTATGTTATAAACCCCTTTCAAACATCCTATTAAACCCACTTATCACTTCTAAAGTACTCCGTACAAGCATTGCGCAGATCGCTTGCCGTGTCATGCTTATCAGCGGGACGTGGGCGCGAAAAACGGCTACGAATTACTCCTTTGGTACAAATCTGATATTAACTCGCAATGCGCGCCTAACGCACCTTCATACTTTATCCTCTATTATCAAGGTAATATGTGCGTAGCAAGTATACATATACGGAGTATGGAGTCCTGTACTGCCATTTACTAATCCTGGGATATACGTAGCTCTTGCTCAGCTAGGAAGCTCGCGCCCGGGGCCCTAATTAAAAGCGCTGCATAGCACCATATTGGTTTTACTGAAATATGGGGCAAATACATGAAATGCACGGGGCGCTGGGCACTGGGCACTGGGCACTGTACGCTGTACGCTGTACGATGTACGATTATATTGCCTCGTGGCATCCTTGGTCTGACGTCGTCCTCCACATCGTGGTACAACACCTCTTTCTAATAATAATCGAGCACTTGTGATGTGAGATGACTAGGCTGACTATATTGTATGATGCTGCCTGTTGATACTACCTATGCATATGCAAGATCGAGGCTGTACAGCCCGGTACTTGACTTGGCATACCTAAACATAGCATGATCATGCATGGCTGCCTTCTGTAAGGAGTTTTGAGGCTGGTACGGAGTAATGCATGCGGTATCATTTTACTTTATTTTACTTTAACGCATGTGAAAGTAAACAAACATGGGGTGCGTTTGAGTTTACGAGGGACGGAGCGAAGTCAAATTGCTCTCGGACTTGGTCCTGGAGGTCATGGCGAGGGTTTGATACCCCGTACATTTCGTCATCTTAAGGTCTGTGTCTGCATGCAGCTCTAAGCGGTATAGCAGTAAAATGAAAAATAATTCGGGTATCTGTGGCTATTCCAATGTAAAAAAATATGCACGCTCTTGTAAACACAAAAAACCGAGTCCTAGTCCTTGCTTCTTTGGGATAGATCACATTGAGCGGACTGTGCCGGGCAACGTCCCACATCAGATAAAAGTGAGCGCTAGTCTCCCTCGTACCACTTTTGGACACAGCTCTGACGTGGCCACCAGTCTCCATGTTCAACCAGTATCTCATCAAAACTCGCGGAATAATGTTGAATGCTCTCATCCGGCGTGATTTAGATGAAAAGCGTCACCAAGAGACTCGGTGTCCAGCTTCCTCCTCACTTGAGCAGATATCAAGGCTAGAATCGGACCCATCGCACCCTGGGCTCTACTTATACTAGTGAGACCTGTCGTTTGTTGACTGCGGTCTAGTTTCAATTTCCGATCGATGCCACAAACGACCTCGATATTCCGTTCGGAAAAGCGACGCTTGATCAATAAAAGAGTACAGCTCACCGAACCTCGGGCGCCGCCGCAGCCACAAACTCGCGGTTCACATTAGCCGCACCGGTTGCACGCTCGTTTGGCCCAGGCGCAGGCTCAAACAGTCGCCGCCACCAGCGAGGCGGGTCAAACGGACGGTGGCCACCATGTAGAGGCGGGTAGACATCGTTGAAGAAGTACCAGATATGACCGACGACAACACCGAGCATCTCATCCTTCGGCACGATCTTATGCACAATCACACTGAATCCCATCAGCACCCAGGGTAAGTAGGGAGCGGTGAAGACAAGCAGGCCCAACAAACTGAGGCGGGTGTCTGGGTTGCGCCGGGCCCAGATGTAGACTAGGCTTGATGAAAGCGCGCTTCCCAGGAAGGGTATTGAGAGGAAAGGCGAGATGATGAGGAGAGTTGTCATGGCGTAGAAGATCAGCCATGCGAAGTGGGCCGGGGAGCGGCCGGATGTTTCTTCCAGAAGACGTGAGTAGCGCTGCAGGAAGAAGACGTGGAATAATAGGTCGAGATTGAGGGGCCCGAAATAGAGGAATGTCGAGAGTAGTCGCCAGTACTGCGATTTAACGTAGACAGAGCGGAAGCTGTAGAACAGCTGGAATGGGGTCACGATGTTGCACTGCACCAAGACTGAGGTTGCGACGGTGGCTACTGTCCACCATCGGGTGACGGGTGGCATCTCATAGAACCATTGCTCGAGGGGAAACTGGCCTGGTTGCCCATTGTTCTCCCAGAGGGCGGCCATGATGTGTGGTAGTTGTGACTTCTGATAAGGATGGAAATCAGAGAGAAGCGGGAGTGAGGGCGGATGATCACCACGAGCACAGAGAGCTCTCCAAAGTGCCTCCGGGGTATATTCAACGTATGACGGAGATAAGAACAGGTAGGCCAGTTTATCGTCACGTGCCAGACACGAGACGCGTGTTTACGTGAGAATCACGGGGGGCTGGGACGCTAAGGCCCGAATAGTTCATATTGACAGCTCCCCAGCCTTCCCTTCGCAACAAAGACTGTCTAATTATTAGCAGATAGGATTTAATCCCAATCCCTTCGGTTGAACCTCGTGTGCAAGCTGTGCAAGCCTAAGTCTCCTCGATACTCGAACACGGTTCCTGCAAGGGGCAATCTCGACACAAACGCGGAAATTCGCAGAACGCTGGTTGCTAGGCGATAAACCTCCCAATTGATCGCTTTCCAACACCCCACTACCCAAAAAAATCACACAGCGCGTTTCTCCTCTCCCACAATGCCACCCAAGCAAGCCCGCAAGACAGTACCAGGCAGCGCACAAAAAGGCAAAGGGCGCAAGACAGCCGCCGCGCCCGCCGCCGATGGAGATGGAACACCAACCAAAGCACGCAAGACGAAGGGAGGAAAGCAATCAAAAGTCGCAAAGACCACTGCCAACGTCCAACGTACGTTCTACCTTTTTCCTACCACCACCACAATGAGCGCCTTACATTACTCTACATGCGCAATTCCCCAACCATCTCCCCACAAACTCAATCTCTCAATCTAACAATCCCCTAGCCGGAGACCCAACCCCCACAGGCCGCCGCCGCCGCTACAAGCCCGGCACCGTCGCATTGAAAGAAATCCGCCGCTACCAACGCTCCTACGACCTCCTCATCGCAAAACTGCCCTTTGCGCGCTTAGTCCGCGAAGTCGCGCTCGATCTCCTCCCCGCCGACGTCGGCGCCGAGTTGCGCTGGCAGTCGCATGCTATCCAAGCTCTGCAGGAGGCCGCTGAGGCTTTTCTCGTCCACCTATTCGAGGATACGAATCTCTGCGCGCTGCACGCGAAGCGCGTTACTATTATGCAGAAAGATATCCAGCTTGCGCGGAGAATTCGCGGTGTCTGGGCTGGGCTTGGTTGAGCTGTTCCATTGACTGTTTCGACTATTTCGATTTTTGCGAGTTTAATATTAATTTCGCGGTGTGAAGGGGGCTTTTCTTCTCCTGCGCATGAGAAGGGAGACCTTAGCGGACATTGCTGGCGTACTGTGGGGCATGGAGTTGACTTCGGCGGGTGCTGTTGTCCTTGTTCCTTTTTTTTCGATGTTTCGTCCAGCGGGATTCCGCTGGTGGAGCTTGTGCCTGAGCCTGTGACGGCAGGCTGGTTTATACCATAGTGTTTGTACATTACGCATGGATGTCGGGTGTTCATGTTCTTTTTTATAGGGAGCGAACCAACTCATGATCTTCCTAGGGTGGTGTGATATACACGCCCGGAGCTGAATCCTATCAATGTTTTCAAGTCAACGATTCCTACGCTACATATATCACTAGGCAAATTTCCGTGCTTAGGGTATCGAAAAGGTATTTCTTGATTCGCCAATAACATCATTTACCGGCTCGCATCACTGTCAATAACCGCAGGAGATATCAAACGCCTTCCCTGGTAGCCATCAAATGGTATCATAAACGAGCGCCTCCCTAGGAACACTTTTGAAACAAACGCCAAGGGGAAAGACGTAAAAAAAAACAAAAAGGTATATCATGTTGATAGCAATAGACAAAAGCCAATCAGACCGAACGTCTCAGACGGGGCGGAAGACCCGAGACCAAGCGTTGACCTTCCTCACGGACGCTCTGCGCTTCCTCGCCCTTGCCCTGTCGCTCCAGAGTCTCAGCCAGCATGTCGTCGGTGACGCTCGCCCACATACGGTCATTAGCTCGTTTAGCCATTGCACGGCCGGCTCGAGCGCTTTTCTCGGCTTGCTCGCCGACCACCCCGCGGAAATACTTCCAGCTCATGAATGTTAGGGTCATGCAGGTGATTTGGCTGTTGCTGATTGCGGTGGCGGATTGCAGAGCTTGCTGGAGGTACTGTTTTGTTTGGATCGTTGACTCGGAGTGAACGGTTGCACAGACTAGGAAGTAGGCAGCTTGTATGTACTTGTTTGGACTGCTTTGGCAGAAGGGTTCGAGGGTTGCTAGAACGCCACTGAGCAGGGAGTGCGACGGGTGGCTTGGGTCACGGAGAATGAGGACTGTGTTGAGACCGGCGAGAATCCGCGTATCACGACAGGGGTCATTGCGTCCTGTCTTGCTGGTAGCGGGATCTAGTGTCAGAACTACTGATTGGAATATGTTCAGCGCGGCCTTGAGATCGCCAGTTGCCTGTGCGATGGTTCCGGCGGCATATTCCATCAGACATTCGATGGTGTCCGGAAGGTTGGAACCAAGCTCCTGGAAGACTTGTCGGAGGTCGTTGAGAGTCTGGCTGGCAAGATCCCAATCAGTGCGAGCGCAGGCCAGGAAGACTCGTTGGAGGAGAAGATTGCAGTAGAGGGACTGACGCCACTGAACCCGACGGTTGGCATTGACCATGGATTCTGAAATTTCTTGAGGGGCCTTGAAATTGCCTTGAACCATTCGAAGCCCTTCCTCGAGATATTTCTCTGCTTTCCGGCCATCATATGAGTTCTTGGCACTGAGCGTGATTGAGCTTAGGAAATAGCAAAGCGCATAAAGATCGTGCTGAGGAAGCCAGTTGAAGCTTAACAGCAACGTTCCATTATGAACCTGCAAGATGTCACCTGTGTCAATAGATGACGGCCCGGCGGATTTACCATTGAGTGGGACCGAAAATGACCCATCGGGACGCCAGTTGCTGTCGCTCAGAGTTTCGTCCATCAAAGCCTGCATGACCTTCAACTTCTGTCCAGATTGGTTGACGTCGTACTCTAGAAGACTGCAGCAGATATCGACCATTTGAATCAAGGTTGTAAGTTGAGGTATATGGCGAAGTTCATCGTTCAGTTGATGGCTTCGCGCGGCAGCCACGGCGCGCTGCGCCTGCTCGATAGAATCGGAATTTGTCGCTTGTTGCAAGTGTGTAAGTGATTCGATGACAGCGGCCATTGCTGAAACAGCCTTATCCCCGTTACGACTAGCCATAGCCGTGATTTTGTGGAGATGCTGTAACGCTTGCACGGAGTCTTGGTGTGACGGAGATGACAACGAGAGTGATACTCGAAGGAAACGAAATGCGTACTCCCATGCGGCATGACGGTACCTATAGCTATTAGTATTCCGTGGTCAAAGGGATTGGTATGGTACATACGCTTCCACATCCTGAATCATCCCATCGACCGCTTTTAAGGAAGCTTTAGGGTTCCTCTTGTGGAGCATTCGTGCCAAGAGGTGCTGCATGCTGTATTTCAAGTCAAGCATACGGTTCTATAACAGTCAGAGATCGAAACAAATTCACTATCAAGGTTTGGTTGACTGACTCTTTCACAAAGATCGATCTGCTCAAGTTAGTGACTTTTTCTGGAATAGAGGGGGAAGACAAATACACACCCCTTTACTCAATGCTGTTTCCGCTTCGATGTCATTGTCGGTTTCCTCGAACAATGTACGCGCATAGCGAAGTCTAACAAGAGCTTCTTTGCGAGGTTGCAATCGCCAGTTCTACCATATCATTTGCTTAGCATGAGTGCGGAATTTCTCCAACGGAGCAGTTCACCAACCTTCAAGACAGCCTCCAAACAGCCCAATCCGGTAGCAACCAGCTTGTAATATTCCTCAACGTCTGTCTCGCCAGCAGTCAATGAGGTGGTTGTTCCACGAGCATGAGCTGCATTTAGATATTCATCAGCCAGGGACAACAGCAGAACCTGATAGTCGACTGGAGGCTTCGTAGATTTGGCAGGCATGGGCTTCCCATGCTTTTCGGCATTTGGTTGACTCGGCTGTCTCTTCTTTTCAATATGTTGTGGTTGAGGTTGCTTCTTCGGAGTCTGGTTTTGAATTCTTGCCTGAATAAGTGGGGAAGGAGCTGGGATCATAATTTGCGGAGTAGAGTGTGTCACTGGCGATGGAGCAGGCTGGGGTCGTTTCGGCGTCGCAATAGGTGTAGAAGGCTTTTTCTGAGGCTCTACTTTAGGAGAGATCTTGGATGGCGTGGGTTCGGTTTTGATTATAGGGTGTGCTTGTGGTGTATGAATATTGGCTTGTGCTTTGTTGCTTTGGGTGTTTGGTTTAGGAGTAATAGGAGACGGGGCAGGAGCAACGTGAACAGGCTTGACTTGCGGCGGAGCTGGCAAAGAAACCGGTGGTAATTTGGAAGGACTAGCACTCGGGATGAAAGATGGTTCGCCATACTGAGGAGAGAGTTGGGTGTATCGGGATCGCGGAGCAGTAGGCAGAGGTTGTTGTACAAACAATTGAGCCGGATTGACAAACTGATGTTGCAGCTCTTCTTGTTGAATTTGAGGCGGAGGCGGAGGCGGGGGAGGAGGCGGCTGAGGTGGAGGGGGGATTGTAGTTGAGGGAGAAGCTGTGGTCCTGGTTGTGGCCCTGGCTGTGGTCGTGGTTGGAGAGTCTGTGGTAATTGAAGCGGCTGCTGCGGGGGAGTTTGCGGCGGAGGACGCGTCTGCTGCTGCTGCTGCTGCTGTGATTGTGGCTGTGGAGTATATGTCGATGGGTATGAAGGATATGGGATCAAAGCCGAAGGATACATTGCTGGCTTGCCATAGGCATCGTATGGGGGCGGCGGAGGAACGGCATTATTGTACAGTATCTGCGGGGGGATTTGCCCGTGTTGATACTGTGGCGGTGGTAGATAATGCGGGTATTGGCCGGGACCAGGTGGTGGGAAGCTCATCGCCCCGAGAAACAGACAATACTCGTATAAATCGAGTATGAAGTCGAACGCGCGAGATGGTGAGCGTGGATCCTCGTGTCGGTCCGGAGAAACCCCAGGGCGGTCAGCTGATAAGGGATGTTGTGATTACCTCGACTCTTCTCCATCGAGGTACATGTTCTACATCTGAAAAGTTATCTCGTCTTTGACAATTTACAATTTTGTTTTGAGTTTTGGGTGTGTTTTCGGTCAATGAGATACTTGGATAAGACAAAGAAGATATATATCCAAAAGACTTCAACAAAGGACCTTACGAAAGATGTTAAAAGAGGAGCCGTTTTATTAGTGGCCGTTACTTCTTGTCTGAATGATTGAATTATTGAATTATAGGGATCATGCCTAGATACATGATGCTAACCAAAAGATTAATCTAACGCGCTGAAACGATGCTCTCTATACAACATGTACTGACAAAATCCAGAAACGAGAGAAGAAATGAACCCCAATTGGTCCACCAACTCCTTACGATCTTGCCAAGGCCTCTCTTGCAGCTGAACAAATTGGTTAAACCATGTTGATGTATGTGTACAGTTGGTTGATGGGTTGGTTACCTATTCCAGAATCGATAATTTCCTGTTCTATACTCGGCGCAAATGAAAGCGCAGGATGTTCGCGCACTGTCCAAGGACACAACTCGTTGCAGTTTTCAACACTGACTGAAGGTTCGGCTGGATGGATTCTTTGTGCTCCCCAAGCCGGATCAGGAACTGGACCCGTCCCTCCGAGGCTTCTTTGCGTCCAGAATGAATATGTTGCTCTGCCAGACTTTTCAGAATGGAATGGTGATTTTCGTGGACAGGTCAGCGTCGTATCGCATGCGCTGCAGACCGATATACGTTTGCAGGATGAGCAGAGAGAGTCGAAAAGGCGGCATATAGTGGTTTGGTGAACACTCGAGAGCCACAGGTCGACCGATCGATGTGCACACCCGAAGCGTGGTGTCATATAATCTTCCTTGCCAACTTGGCCCGACTCGGTGGTGAGTTGGTATTCCGTGCGAATAACCAGCTGGTTGTCGGCATTGATTTCTGGAAACAAAGATGTCTGCAGCTCGGTTGGGCCATACTGCTCGGTGCATGTATGCCAGCAGTAGCGGTCATCAACGGCCTTCCCAAATTGTAATTTCAAGGGTTGCAGCGTCACCTGCCGCACTCGAACATGATCCGCGAGGTCAAGTTTGTCGCGGAAAGTTAATTTCTTGCATGGGCACAAATCGACAACCCCTGCTAACTCTCCAACATTGCATGTTCGATTCTCTGGCTTCCGCCTCAGCTCTCTGGAGGAGAATGCGGCTCGAGGGTGGAGTTTCAAGCACTTGGAGCATAGTTTCCAGCGGGAGTTTTCCAATAAGTTGAGGAATGACCACCGGGGTGTGACAAAGTTATGATCATTGCGGTAATGGTGGAAAAGCGGCGCAAAGTCCCGACTGAATCGAAGGGATTTCGAGAGCAGGATCTCTCCAGAGATTGCGAACATGCGCTTGTTGGTCAGTGCCAGCGCAGCCTCCGGCAGCACTGTCAGATGGGATATGATCTCCAGCAACAGCTCGGTGGGTAATTCCATTAGGTAGCAACGGCCTTGGCCATTTTCCTGTTGCTTCTTGGCTCGTTTCGGGGACCAGGTTCTCATCTTGATCATGGTTTTAAACTTCTTTGTGGCACGGTATAGACGATCAGACATGTCGGACGGGGACTCCCCTATTAAAGTCATGGGTGCTTGGATCAAAGGTCGTTCAAAAGATGTTTGGTGACCAGGCCTCATGAGAGATTGTGAATCAACAATATGGACAGTGGCGTTTCGACTGTTACTATCATGCTGTAGTAGAGAAGCGCATCGTGTGACGAACAGTGCTGCATCACCTTCAAAGGGAAAAGAGAAAAGGTATGGATCCTTTGACCTTGAAATAGTCTGCTGGAAAATAAAGATTCCCGGAAACGGACCATGGGACTGGGTCAGAAAAGATGGGAGTTAATGCTATCAGCATTACATATAAAGAATAAGAGGAACTGATCATTGGTGGCTCAGCCGTTCTTTGTCCGATGATCCATATGCAGAGCACCGGATATCTCAATATTTTAACCCTACATTTATCTTGATCAGTTTTAAGAAGGACATTGCTATTGTCGGAAGACATGGGGATTTCTCCCTGTGCTTCACGCCGGAAGTGCACTTAGGGCTTCCGCATGCGGAAAGCAAATTGCCGCATTGAGCATCATATCATTATCACTTCATATTCGGCGGAATGTCCCCAACATCTTCCTAACTACACCAGATAAGGATTCTTTCCTGCATCAAATCTGAGCTCAGGCCTTGTATGCGCTATGACATCGTCAACTGACTTCTGGCGTATGACAAAAACAAAAACGCCCGCATGTTGTCAGGTGTGCCCGTGCAACCCGGTGCAACCTTCCATAATCGTGACTAAGCCACCTTGAGGCTCAGATCACCTGACAACATGTATAACTATGTGTATCACGTGCAATGGGATAAAATTGGATTAGTCAGATCGAACCATGGGTAGAATACTGGGGCCTGGGCGGAAAATCTAAACATAACTTTTTGCCGAGGTCTGTCTGTTATCAATCGTCTTGGGCTGGATCCTGGATTTTTGCATCGTGCTTTTCAAGCCAGTTTTTTTTTCTTTGTCAAGAGCATATAGAAGTTGAACGACTTTCATTGCGATATCGATTTGTCTGTTTGCTTAATTTCAGCATTCTTTTGTGCTTGATACCCCTCATGCTCGACCTCATCTCAGCGCTTCTGAACTCATTTCCCCTATCGGTCCTCTTATCTGGGCTGATCGCTATGGGCTTGATTTCATGGCTTCGTCCCAAGGGCCGCATAGCTTTCCATCACGCCAAGGACAATAAGTTGACATTGACCAAAGTTTCTGGCGCCGCAGGTGCTAAGGAACAAACCACGTTCGTGGATGTCTGTCGGTCTGCAACACCAGAAACATGCAACCTAAACCCTTTCTTGTTCAATGGACACCTACAGACGTGCTGGACCACTCTGAAATATGACAATGTTCCCGTTTACTACAAACGTAAAATGTTCGAGTCAGATAGCCCCGCATTCACTGGCCATTATGCCATGGATTTTGTGGTTCAACCGTACGACATTCCTCAAGACCCGGAGCTTATTGATCGAGCGAGAAAGTATACGCAAAAGTCCGGTATGCCGCCACGCACTTCGTTTTTCTCTCAAGGCGAATTTGCTGCGTTGCCCTCGGATGACACCAAACCCATGCTTGTCGTTCTTCACGGTCTGAGTGGTGGCTCCCATGAAGTTTACTTGCGGGAAGTCCTCGCACCGCTTGTGAAAGATGGCGCTTGGGAAGCATGTGTTGTCAATTCGAGAGGATGTGCGGAGACAACCATCAGTACCGGTGTTCTCTACAACGCCCGAGCTACCTGGGATGTTCGCCAGTCTGTGAAGTGGCTCAGGAAGCAGTTCCCCAATCGCCCACTTTTTGGAATTGGCTTCTCACTTGGAGCCAACATCCTCACTAATGTATGGCCCCCCTGCAAAGCTGACTATCTACACCCCCACTGACAAACTGTGTAGTATCTAGGAGAGGAAGGTGATGCCTGTCAATTGAAGGCAGCCGTGATTTGTGCGAGCCCGTGGAACTTGGATGTTGGTTCTACGATTTTGCAAAGCACATGGATTGGCAAGGAAGTATACAGCAGAACCATGGGGACAAGTATGAAGAAGCTCTTTGAGGCGTAAGTACCTGTCTGTTCGGCTGATGTGAAATGTTAACTAACCCTCTGGAAAACAGACATGTTGATCAAGTCTCCAAAAACCCTCGCATCGATGTTGAGACGATAAGAAACATTACCTACCTCCATGAGTTCGACCGGTAAGAAGAATATGTTCTGAATCTCAAAACGAATACAATTCTAACATGCAACAGAGCTCTGCAATGCCCGACCTGGGGCTACCCCACCGAGGGAGCATATTACCGTGATGCCACCTCCACCGAGTCCATGCTTGCTATTAGGATTCCTTTCCTTAGCATTCAAGCAGAGGATGATCCTGTAAGTTTAAAGTCTTCCACGTCAACCGTGAAAATCTCGCTGACTTTATTAGATTGCTTGCCGAGAGGCTCTGCCCTACCAGGAAATGACCCAAACGCCATATGGAGTCATGTTGACTACCTCGTGGGGTGGCCATCTAGGCTGGTTCGAGCTTGGAGGATCCAGGTGGTTTGTCAAGCCGGTATGTAACTCGCAATTGACTACTGACATCGAAAATGAGCTTAATACTAACCCTTTTCTTCAGGTGGCGAACTTCTTGAACAAAATGGCAAGGGAAATTGACACTAATATCCCTGGTGTTGTCGAACACCCTGAAAGACTCCCTGGAAATATTGCCAGCCACACCGGCGCCAACAAAGAGCCCGACCTCGCACCTAAGCCTGAATTCGTCTCGATGCGACGCAAACTCGCACTACCTCTGGGGCAATAATTGGCTGCCCCTCAAACATTCTGCCCTCCCAACCAACTGCTACAATCGCCATATTCGAAAGCGACAGGTCTGGTTTACAATGGGGGAACCATTTTCGGTGTTTTTTTTGTAAATGATGTTTCTGTTCCGATAGACATAGATTGATAAACCGGTGAAAACGCCGAACCCCGACATCTAAATACATAATCAAAGTATAGACACAAATCTTCAGACTTTTTTTTCAAGCAAATGCAACGGTCTTCTTCTTTGATCGCCCGGGCTTCGAGATACTATCCTTGATACTCGTGGGCTCCGCAGACTTGTCACCACCCCTGCCCTTCTTCTTTTGACGGATGGAATCCTTGACGTCGTCGAATTTGTTCTTCCTATCCTTCATGCGGGCCTCGGCCTCGGCCCTCTTTGCCTCGCGGATCTCTTCTAATTGACGTGCCTTCATCATCTTGGACTCGATCTGGCCTTCCTTCTCGGCGTTCACAATGGCGAGAATTGTCATCATGCCCTCCTGTATATGATAGTATTAGTACCAGGCTTCCATAGAGTGCAATCAGGAGAACAGAGCATGAGAAACAAAACGTACCGCATCATCGACAAAAGTCTTGCCCTTCTTCTTGCCCTTGGGCTTGATCACTCCAACAGGTGTGATTTGGTTCAACTCGGGCAGATCCAGCTCCTTCTCGGTGTATACTCTCTTCTTCTTTTTCTTCAAGTTTTCGTTGGCAGTCCGGGACTTGGTCTTCTGTTCCTTAGGCGGGGGACGCTTGGGACCATCTTTCTTGGCCGATTTGCTGACGCGCGAGGCAGAGGACAGGCTGGAAGACTTGCCTCCCTTTGCACCTCCCTTTGCACCTCCCTTTGCGCCTCCCTTAGCACCTCCAACGTTAGGAGCCATTTCGTAGTGCTTGAGGAATTGAACGGTTGATTGAGTTGAGACGAGGCGGACTGAGAGTGGGAAGAATGCAAAGATTGATAGAGTGGCGAGAAATGAGTTGCAATTACTTCAACAACCCAAGGAGAATCGAATAACCCCGCGACAGAATCAGAGATATCGAAAAAAGATTCGACGGAAAAAAAACAAGAGCAGAGAAACGTCGCGCAGACGGTCCGATAATCCCCAAATTCGCAAAGATTTTTTTTGAAAAGGCAGGCGGTGAGCCCGGCCCATTCCACCACCAACCTCAGATCGAAACCTCCACCCTCATAGCTCAGGAACCCACGTTCAATTCCCTCCCGTCTTTCTGCACCCAGTGATTGAACCGCACTGGATTGAGTGGGCACTCAACTCTCCTCCAATATGACTATCAACCCTACTTATCTGGCGCAGCGCACGCGCTCCTGTACGTCTCTTCCACGCCCGATGCGTTCCGCCGTCCACCCGGCGGGATCGTCAATAGAGTCTATTCCACCTGCGAAAAGGTGCTAATATACATATTTGTCTTCTAGCTGTCAACTGGGGCGATGCGAAATACCGAGTCCTGAAGTCGTACCGCGAATGGCTCCGCGCGGTCAGTTTACCCCGAGATCCCAGCCCGATACACTTTCTCCCTTGATATGCTCTTTTCCTCCGTTCCAGGCGGATATCGCATGAGGGATTGATTAGTGACTCTTTTTTCTCTGGCTTAAAAGCTACAATTTGACCCCGCAACGGACTCAGCTAACGTGATACCACCAAATACAGTCCCCGGAGATCCAGACCATGTACTCCCTGGGCATGCCCGTATCCGCCATCCGCACGAAGATCCGCCAGGAGTTCGAGAAGCACCGCTACGTCAGCCAATTGTCCGTCGTGGATGTGCTGTTGTACCAGAGCCACGCCGAGTTCCAGGTTAGTCCAGGTCCACCTTTTCTGTCCGGATATATGATATGCCTTTTCGACATGCGGATTCTTTCATGAAGAGAATTATGAGAAGCAAATGCTGCTTCTGCTTTGTCTCTATTTGATTGTTCATTATTGCAGTCACCCCGCAATTCCAGGATCAAATACTGACATCATTTCAATGCAGGAAACCCTTAACTACTGGAAGCAGCTTTCTCATGTTATGAAGTACTTCCGCCCAGAAGAAGACCCTGGCGCGCGGCTACCCCGCAACTTCGTCTCCGGTTTCCTCGAGGGCCGCAATTAAACCCCTCTTTCTGCCCCTTCTTTCTCTCTCATTTCCTATCCTCTTCATCTCGTTTCTGGTCCGCGATGTGGCAGTTAAAGGAACTGCGCCATCGATAGACATGATGTGTATATATTGTCTGAATAAGCCATTCCATTATCTTATATCGTTCCTATCTAGTTTCTGCATACGCCTAGCTTCGAGACTTGATACTCGGCCTATGACAGCACAACCTTCGTAGCAATATTAGTTTCGTAGAACATCTCATATGAATAACTCCTCTATCTTCATCAAGTATTTCTTATAAATATATATACCAAAGAAACCAAAAACAAGCACTTCTCATGCCCGAGATAGGTAAATGTACTTTTCCCTCTACCCAGAACGCCAATTAAATAATACATATGCAAATAAACAACCTCATGCCTCCATACGGTTTCCACTCTCCGCATTGAACTGATCACGCGAAGCAGTGAACTTCTCCGTTACGACATCGCACAGGTCCATCAGATCATTGAAGCCCTTCTCCAGAGCCTCGAGAGCAGTAGTAGTATCTGAAGCCAGACAGTCAGTAAACATTCCTCCATTCCTCCAATAGACAAGACAGTAGCAAGACATACCGTTAGTCTGGATACGGACGTTCATCTTCGGATCCGAGGGGTGGGGGATAGTGTAACCGCAGAACTCAACGGCGGGGCTATTCAATAAGTCAGTGACGATGTTCTCCCCCAGACTAGATCGGGGATTTCAATGCCGAGAAAATATCCGGTACGGAAGCCGAATCTAGCCTCGCAATCACAGCAAGATACACTCACTTCTTCATAATTGCGTACCGCAGCGCATTGCCCATGGTGTGGCCTTCGCCTTCGAACTGGAATGAAGCGGCGGTGTCGGTGGCGCCGGGGAGCTGAGAAAGTATTGTATTAGCTTGGTGTTTTCTCTTTGAACATATCCAGAGATATATTAATCCTGAGATCAATTCGCATATCCGCAGATCGGATACATACCACGACAATCTGTCTCTCCTCGAGGATGGGGTCGTTGGACTGGGGGAGCTCGGTGGGCTGCTCTGCGTCGACCATGGACTGGTCCAGGTCTTGGGAGTGGACGGACTCAGGCATTGTGTTGGATTTGGTGAGAGGTGTGAGGTATGTAGGTGATTTAATAAGTTTGACGCTTCGTCGAGGGCTGTTCGAGTGGATGCGGGGATTAGGAGGGATGGTTGGTGGCTTGGCTGGGTCGGGATTTGCAAGACAGTAGGTTGATGTCCTTGCTGGCGTTTGGCTTAAGAAGTTCGGTCGGACTTTTAGCCTAAGAAATTTGCGCGATCTGGATCTGGATCTCCAAGTCGAAGATTATCGCGAAGAAAAAAAGGTGGGTTATCGATAGTCGGCTCTCACCGCCTGCTGTTTTTGTCATCTATAAAATTGTATTGTGTGTCGTCTTTTGTAGAAATAAAGGGTGTGATGATTCTTTCTAGAAGCTTGTGAAAATCAGATTTGTATGACAATGTATTTATGTATTCTTATGTGTCGAAAAAGTCCCCCAACCTATATATGTTCTCGCAATACAGTGATCGCTACAGCCTGTGCCTATTAACCATCGTCCATATAACCGTGCCAAGCGCCCAACACACTCCGCTATGTGGCTCTAGAACCGAATTTATAGCTATTAGTCTAATACTAACTGCGATAAAGTAACTAGATTATTAAATTAAATTTAAGAACAAGCACTAGTTAGCTAGGTTAGAATCCTAGATAACTTCCATACCTCGCTACCCCTAGATCTAGTTAAAAAGGCCGCTAATCGGCTTTTAAAAAAGGCTAGTTCGGATTAGGTTATTAGCTATAACTAGGCGTACCGCTTCCTTATAAGACTACCCTCTTGGCTTAATTATATTAACTAGAAACCAAAGAAAAATCGAGGGTTAATAACGAGAATTGCTGGTTTTAATCAGATTGCAAATGAAAATGACACGATCGATCAACCCCTGAGGCAGGACATCTTTCGGTGTACATAACTTGAGCTATAAGTACTCGTTACCTTGTTTCCATAGATAGTTGAATATCAATCCTTCTTCGCTTTACCTGCTTGACTGAGCTTCTCCTTGCGAGGCCTTGAAAATGGAGGGGACAAGCTCAAGAAACTGTGCCCAAGCGTTGGATTTCTTCCCACGACCTTCAAAGATTGACAGTTACTACTCATGTCAACGGGAGGACGAGGACTAGATTCCGCTTCCCCCCGCATTTCCCCACGATATTAGCCGTTCAACTTTCTACCACGTCAACTCTGAGCCATCATGGTCGAGGAACTTCCCGCTCATCTCCGCAGTCGCACCGTCAATCTGTTAAGTTATCAGTCAGTCGCTTCAATCACATTCACATCTCATTCTACACCCGATCACACATACCACGTTCTTGATTGCACGCGCACTTTCTTCGGGAGGGGTAAAGGACACTGAAGACAGATCCAACCCTAAACTCTTTGAGAGATCGAGACCATCTCGAGCCATATCAGTGTCCACATTTCTATCCACGGAATGTAATTAGCAGCTTTCACTCCTAAGAGGTGATGTTTGAAGTAAAAATACACACCCGGGATTTTGTGCCCAAATAATCACATCCTTATTTTCCAACGCCAGCCATTTGAAAAGGAAATTAGCTAGAGCCTTGCTCGCCCCGTACGCGGAGATAGGCACTTAATGTGGAGGTACAAAGTCAGCGTTCTACCTCAGAAGCAGTTAATCTGACAAGATACACCGACTTAACACTGGGACATCACCTACTGAAGTTGTACATAGCCGTCAAACTTCCGCCGGCGCTCGAGATCAAGACAAATTTCGCCTTGTTCTCTGCACCGGAAGAGCGTAGAAGAGAGAGCACAGCTTTGAATAGCTCGAACGGGCCGTATGCGTTCACATCAATGTACTTTTGGAGCTCAGAGACAGGTGCTTCAACCAGACTTTTGGTCGGCCCAGAGATTCCAGCATTTGCAATGACAACGTCGATAGCACCAATGTTGTGGGTCTTCAACGTGTCTATAGCGGTTGCTATAGAGTCTGCAGACGCTATCTCAAGCTTGACAATAAACAGGGTGGATCCCAAGGCCTTAGGAAGAGCAGACAGAGACTCGGACTTGGATAGGTCACGGACCGTCGCTATCACCGTGGTGTTTGGAGTAGATAGGTAAGTGGCTACGAGTCCCTTGCCAAGTCCTGTGGAAATGATGAGAAGGGCACAAGAAAGAGGGGCAAAGGTGCATACCGCGGTTCCCACCCGTGATCAGGATGGTGGTAGGCATGCCTGATTTGACGCTAGATAGAGAAGATGCTCGGTAGTGGGAAATATTATAGTCTGAAGCAGAAGTTTCTGAAGGTAGAAGACTTGGAGGTGAGACTTCAGTGTTGGGCAAGATGACGGCAATAAAAAGCTGTAGTGGCCTTTATAGACATCGACTCTATTTTAAATCCTTCCGCCTCCTTTACTTTCTCCCCTAAAAGCGCCGGCATCTCCGATCTCCGATTCAAACTATGCATTTATAAGCGCATATATGGATGTAGGCCAAGATATTCCGCTCGGAACGTTGAATTGCCGCATCAGGCGTCGGACCAATAGGCCTTGAGGACACCAGATATCTCGCTGTGTTTGTGCCAGCCCACTTTGTGACCAAGCTCCGACTGCTAGCGGTGGAAAGCTTAAATCCCGCGCCAAACTCCGCCAAACTCCGCAACATTACCTCATCAACCCTAACTACTCTGGAGCAACAAGTGCGGACTTCATCAACCCCCCCGCACTAATACTGATGGAAAAGTATTTGCTACGATGCTCCCGTCACGGCAGAAGTCTTGTCTTGCATGCGTTCAGTCCAAGCGAAAATGTGACAAAGGACTACCCAAATGCCAACGCTGCCTTGCAAAGAAGACTGACTGCGAATACCACGGCCAATATCCTGACCGACTGCGGCAAACTACGGGAAGAAATGTAGACGAAAATGTTGCCTTTGCGGAGCCCTTTGCGGAAGGACTATCCAGTGATTGGCAACTGCAGCGGAGTCCCGCGCTACCGTCGGCTGCAATACTCTCGCCCCGCACGAATGATGCATTCTTCAACTTCGGTAATGATCCATTCAATCTGGCAAGCATACCTCAAGATGATTTCTTTAGCTCTGCTGTCATCGAAGATATCGTCGCTCGGCAAAACTCGAACGGTATCGGGCAAATGATATCGGATACAACTTCACAAGCTCGCGTGGAGTTTGTAGCAAAGAGGTTAGCTGTGGTTCCGAAGACTTTTTCCGAATCAGGGCAAACGATGTTCATCCACCGTCTCTTGTTCCAAGAGAGAAGCCCTCCGGCTTTACAGGATGCGCTCAGCGCTTGCGCTTTGTATTGCATGAAAAACACGGAGAATCAGCTGCTAATATTTCGCAACTTGGAGCACAGACGGCAACAGCTGATCGCCAACACCGATCCGCTCCTCGCTTCCAAGATGAATCTCCTTGAGGCGCTGCAAGCGCTGATACTATACCAGATAATAAGACTGTTCGACGGTGACATTCGCCTTAGGGCCCAAGCGGAAGCGGACGAGCCAGTTCTCATAATGTGGGCGGCACAACTTAGGTTACGCACGCATCAAGTGCAGCTTTCTTCACCGGCTCCAGCGGAGGCGCGACTTCTGCCGGGAAGCACTTTTAGGGACTGGCAGCGCTGGCTGATCGAGGAGAGCTGCCGACGGACAGTAATAACAGCATTTATGTTGAAAGGAGTATACGAATTCTTGAAGCTCGGCTACGACACAGTTCCAGACTTGCGAATGAGCTTCACGGCCCAAGCGGCGCTTTGGAATTCGCAGTCAGAAATTAGCTGGCGGAAAGCATACAGCGAGAGGGAGCGGCTCGAAGTGCGGGTGACACATTGGGATGAGGCAATAGCAAAGGCGAAGCCAGGTGATTTAGAGGAGCTCGGTGTACTGATAATGGCCATGTTAAAGGGGATAGAGGCCACCGGGGAATGGTTGGGGCATACCCACTTTATTAGATATGGTTTAGAGGGAGCAGGGAACAGCTCGATTTGAAGTCCGAAAGAACGAAGTCAAATTCTCAGAACTGCCCAATGGTGATTTTCGAAACTCCGCAACTCCGCAAATCCGCAGACGCTGGCGGACCTTAGGGAACGGGAACGATTTCAGGTCAAAGCGACCCAGAGGAAAATGTTTAGGATTCTGGAAGCCGATGGGCATAAAATACGGCCTACCTCCACCTTGCAAACTTCAACCACGCTCTTCAGCCCTCCACTTCAGACACAATCATTTCCGTAGGTGTGCAACACAACTTTACCGTGGCGATGTGCTCACAACATCTAGCAACAGAAAATGTCGGCTCAACAGCAATCTCTCAGTCAGTGGGTGACACAGATCAACGATACTTTGTTCATCCAACCGAACGACGAGATTGCCCTCAAGGCTGTCCATGACCAAGTTGATCCAAGCCTAGAAGTCAGGTACACTGCCCTAGCTCCGTACATTTTGATAAACACATCTGACCCAGTCACATCGCCAGGATTAACCACAACGTCTACAGTTATGACCAATTTAAAGCAGGTCTCCAATACGCCCGCGGCTCAAGTACATCGATTCAAGACGAATTTTCTGTGATACTCCAATGGGAGAACCCGGAGAAACCAGACGGCGTGGTGGCGGTTCTTAGTAAATGGACGACCAAGGATAAGGCAACGGGCAAGAAGACCAAGAAGACCAATGTTATTCTCTGGGAGGTCAAGTGGATTGGTGGCAAGAGAAAGCTTACGGGGCAGACTGAGGTGGAAGCTATGTGAGAGCAAGTCTGGCGTTGGTCTGTTAGCTTCAAGAGCTTCATATGAGCTGCCATTGGCACAAGTGACCTTCGATTCTTTGTGCTAGTATCAGCCCGATGAGCTACAATTAGCTTTCGTCATATACCTCTTCCGTTTGTTAAACAATGGGGGCAGGCAGATACATCTAGGTAGTAGGAGTATGTAAACGTAGTAATATGTCGACGTAGTGAATTTGATGGGGTGGCCGCCTTCGGGTAAATTGCCATCGGAAAGCATACCGCCCTTATATAACTACCTAGGTAGTGGAGGGGATTACGTACTAAGCCGGGTTTCAGGAAGTACAGAGGAAGGAAGAGGAGGAAGAGGATACGATGCCCACTGGTAGTTCCAAGGTTGTTACACGAATATTCCAAGGTTCCTCTCAGATAGGTTGATAATATCCTGACTTGTATAAAAAGTTCGAATAGTCCCAATAGTAAGAGATTTATGAAACAAAAACAATATTGGGTTTCATACTTTAAGACCCAAAGGATTTCCAAGGCTGGGCGGAAGCCCAGGTGGATCTTTGGGGGAAATATAAGCCATTTGTCAAATATAAGCCATTTGTCATCTTTCATCTCATCCGGCCACCCGCACGGTATGTACTTTGTACCTAGATATCGGCAACACCTATTTAAGAACTGCACAGATGATATGCAACTCAAAGGCACGCACCCCTGGTCTGTGCATTCACACCGAACGTAGGGCCGTGGGAGAAAGGCCAAGTGGGCACCTCCAATTTCAGTGGCAGACCAGAGTCTATTGGATGGTGTTAGTGTATTACTCTATATGGAATAGTCATTCTCGAAATAGGGTAATCGAGCAACGTTTACTCAGTACTCCGTAGACTGAATCAAATGTTTTTTTTTGGGCTTTCAGTTTCAGTTTCATTGGTGTTTAGGGTGTCGCATGGGACAGGTGTTGACTTGTGTGGACGCCACTAGTGGCCCCTTTTGATATAAGCGCCCGCTGCGCCTTGTTTGACATATAACGCCGTGCGAGTGGATGGAGGTGATGTGACTTGTTTTTTTTTTTTCTTTGTGTGCCACGGGATTGTGTTGGGTGGGGGGATGTGATTCGATAAATTGGAACAGGAGCTAGTAATTATTTGCTTGTTATACTACTGTTAGAGAAGGGGATCCACAATTTCAATAGACGAATTATAGAAGTAAAAGTAAATGGGGCTGGAAATAATAACTATATTTCTTAGGTGTCAGTGTCAGAACTATTGAATGGGGAGTTAATAGTACGGAGATTTATATAAAAGATAATATACTTACTCTACTCCGTACTCTACACTATTCTACTCTATAAATATGTAGTTACTATGATGTACTCCATAAGTATACATCTTTTTACTAAGTACAATATATAAAATAATAAAATGAACGGTGGATCCCCCTGGAACACCCATCTCCCAGAAACACATCGTGTCTCAGTTAGGTCCACCGGGGCCGGGTATCTGGTACTTAGCTGGGGTGACTCGTGATACCTCTTTCCCCTCCTTGTACTTGTTGAGATCAACGTACTGTGTACTTTACCTTAACTCCGTACCCTTTTTGAACATCCCCCCTGGATAGCTTGGGCGATCTCATCTTCCTCTTTTTTTTTTTTTTTTTACCAGGGCCCAGACTGCTGAAACCCCCCTCTCTCCGACTTTCTCCATTTGTCGTCCATTTCTCTCGCTTGTAACTCTGGACTCTTGTCACACTGCCGCCTGACGCCTAACCGCCCTACTCTCCATCTCCTTTGTCTGGGAGATTCTCTGGTCTCCAACTTGGATATATCGAGGCCGATCCCACGTTTCGATCCGCTTTCCGGACCTTACCCGCATCAACTCCAGATGCCCTTGCATCCTGCGAAGGAGATTTATCAAGTCAATACACAGTGAAAGTACTTTGTACTTGCGCCATAATTTGCGTCGGGATACCCTAGAGGAACTCGAATCATCTCCGTCGACCATGTCCACCGCAGTTGCATCCGCAGCGGCGGCCCCCTTGTCGTCACCACACCCTACTCGCAACCCCAGCCCGAGAAACCTCCCGTCTTTGGCTCCTCCGAATAATACCCCGTCCAATTTCTCTCCGCCCCGGATGTCCAAAAGCCCCAAAAATGGATCCGCGGTACACGGTTCCCCGACCGAGGAGAGAGGTCCAGCGTCTCCGTAAGTCGAGAGATTCATGGAATCGGAGCTTGGAAAACTAACATTATCTTCAGATCCCAAGATGGCAGCGGAGGCCCACAAATTACTGTAAAGAAGGAACCGGGATCCTCCCCACGGATGCAGAGTCGGCCCCGGCCTCGGAAATTGGACCTTTCGACTAGTCTTCCATCCTCCAGTGGTTTGTCGGTCCGCGCTCCAGGAGGGCCTTTAACAGCTTCGATGCAACATGTAGGCCTGGCATGCCTCTCGCCTGGCTTCCAGACCCACGATCCGATCATGCGGGAACAGCTGCAGCGCAGCCTCTCCGTGCGGGATCAGCAGCGGTCGATCATTGAACAGCGCATGCAGAGATCCGCCAAGGATGATGGTCCGGACGGTATTAAACCTTCCGAGTCGAATTTGATGGGTATGCCCAAGACTGCAAAGCGCAGACCTCCTGCCGGCCTATCTATCATCCCCCCATCGGCCTCCCAGTTCGCAAACGAGCGAGTCATCCAATCTGCTCCGCTACACCAGACTTTCACTGGCAGGTACCAGCCACAGCCATTGACCCGCCATATTGTCAACCAGAGCCCGACCTTGGGCTCGACCTCCCACATGCATCAGATGCCGGCAACCCAAACAAACAATCGTCTTCCTCCCCTCTCCGACGTCTTCGGTTCCGATGCATTGGGTCGCGACCGGGATTCTGGCCTCGCTAATATCCACTTGAATGCATCGAGCACCAACTCCTCCCAATCCAACAACTTGGCGCCGATGCCTTCCCCTGGTCTGCCGGGTAGCGTGGCCCATACCCCCAACCGACCGCGCGAATACCACTCCGCCGAAGAGGCCGTGCAAGAGATGTCCGGTGGACGAGAGGAGCTGCTGCCTCGCATTGTCCACTATGGAGGTCACCAACCTCCCACTCCGCCATCCCCACAAATACTTCACGCCGGCTCCAAGACTGCGCCTCTTGCCCCAGAACCCCAAGCGCCCCACGGTCCGCCTCCTGCCTCCTTTGGTATGTTCGCCCCGTCTGATGTTACGGCACGTCGGCGCCCCCGGAGCGAGTATGAACGTGACAACGGAAGTCCGCCGCTGGGTCACGGCCCCGACTCTCAATACCGGCCCAACCCAGCTGCCATGCCCGGTCCACATGCTTCGTTCCCTGGACCTTTCGGTGCAGGAAGAGACTCGCCCGAGACGCAGCGGAGAAAGAAGGATGAGTTCCTGGGTCTCTGTGCACGGGCTTGGGATCTGTTCCACTCGTGATACGACATTGCTCTGTCAGGTTCAGAAACAATGCCTCTTGCAGAGGCCTAGAATCGGCTCTGCTTCGCAAGTTTCAAAGTAATGATGGAATTTGCTTGAACCTACTTCCTAGCAGACGTCCGACCCAACAGATCATCCCGATGCCATCATCTTATATATTATCACATCTGAGGAATTTGCTGCCTTGGAATGCAAATACCTTAATTTGATGCTATCAAGTCCCAGGCACTAATTTGGTCACATTGGCAAGTCCAACCCCAAACGATTCAATGCCTGGGCAAATGTGAATGTCCACTATCCCTCGACTCATCCTGGACGATCGAGTCGGGAAACCCTTCCCACGCCAATGATGCTTGCATCAATATCATGTTATCTATGCTACGACAGTATCGACAGGGCACCTTGGCACCCTGTAAAATTTTGTGTTCGGGTTATTTTCTGCATCAAGTTTGCTTTGGGCGTTGGGGGTTCCATACTTCGTACTATACCTTTTGAAATTGTTTTTGGGAGATAAAGCATTATGGTAATGAGTTCTCTGCCTCTTATTGGCCTGTTTCGAATGCCTTCTTTTCTTCTTTTCGCAGCATTTTGCTATTGCTGCCATATTGGTCCTCAGCTCCGAGACTGGTAATCCTAATGCACCTCACTCGAGATCATACATACAACATACCCATGGACATGTAGACAGATATTCAATATTCATATGTATAATACTATGTGCTTTTCATTCCCAGATAGATCAACGCCCTAACCCAATACAAAAAGGTCTATTCCATCCTCCGCCTCTTTCCTCCATTAGGCATGCCTCCATCCTCACCACCACCACCCTCCGCCCCTCTCCTCTCCCAAGGCATTTCCTTCCGCTCCTTAGAAGTCATCTTCTTGCGCCTCCTCTCAAGCGCCTTAGCACGCTCCCGCGATCCCATCTCCTCATACTTCCGCTCAAGAACCTGCTTCTGCAACTCCGAGTTCTTGAGATAGTACGGACTAGCCTTCTTACCCTCCCGAATCAGCTGCTTCTCCCGCTTCTTATGCTCAGCCTGCACATCCGCCTCACGCTTCTTATTCTGCGCAGACCGCAGCTTATCCTGCGCCCGTCGGATCTCCCCCTTAAGCTTCTCCTTCTGCTGGAGATTCTTCGTCTTCCTCATCTGCTCCTTCAAATCATTAAGCTCAGACGCCCGGTACTCATCCAGGAACGCATACGCCGTCCCGCCATGCGGGTGTTTCCCAACACCACTGTGGCCCATGACGGCCGCGTCGAAGCGCGGGTCTCGGGACCGCGGCGCGGGTGGGAGTTCCACTGCTGTGCGCTTGCGCGTCACGGCCCGTTTGGATGATTGCTCCATGGGCGCGTGCTTGGAGGATCGGCTTTTCTTTTCTTTGGATTTGGATTTCGCGGCCGCTTCGAGCTTTTGTTCGCGTGCTTCGCGGAGCTTCGCGCGGATGTCGTCTACCGTTGAGGCTGCCGCGGAGTCGTCTTTCGGTGTGCGCTTGTCTTTGCGGTTCTTCTCGCGCATGGAGGCTTGGGCTTTGGCGAGGGCGCCGAACGAAATGTCTGCTAGTGAGGCTTTGAAGTCGTCGCCGTCGTCGTGCTCGGATTCGGGCTCTTCTTCTATATCTGAGTTGCTGGCTTCGGAATCAGAGCCTGTGCCTGCGTCTTCGGCGTCGGAGTCATCTGGTGGCTGGATTGTTTGTTAGCTGTAATTCTAAAGTAAATGTATGGTTGGCTTACTGGTTGGGCGGAGCCGTTGGATTCGGCATCAGAGCCATCCTGTGAACCCTCGTCGGAACCTGATGCCTCGGAGTAGACCTCGTCATCTTCTGGCCGAGCTCGCACTCGGCGATTGAGCAGATCGGTAATAGCCATTTTGTTGTTGCTGTAGTTGGAAAACCCCGCGGAGGAAGAAGAAACCGTCAAAAAGAAAAATATTGCCGCTCAGGGCGGTCAACGCGATAAGAACTGATTAGATATTTTTCGCGATGCCCCGATGTTGGCGACGAACGTTCTTAACCAATTTGCGTTTGTTGTATAAATGTCCCTGCATTTTCCGCGTGGCCGAGCGTTCCTTCATTTCCCATTCATAAATTTCTCATCGCCTCACTCTCAGCTTCTTCCCAGAGCAGCCAATCAGGTATTGCCTCCACCACTATCCGCTACGTGGATAGCATGTTTGCCAATTGTTGATTTATTCTGACTTTGCCTTTAAATAGCTTCTCGCAGTGTCAAATTCTGGCACTCTGAAATCCCGACTGAGATTCTCCACTCTCCTCTCGTCACGGCCCACGTCCTTCAAGCTGTCTCGCGCATACAAAAGACCGAAGCGTGCGTCCAACGCCGCTGGTCTTCAAGACCAGTCGAATTCGATCCCACAGTATGCCAATTCAGCATATTATGTGGTGAACATGAACTCTGGATCAACACAGAATGGACGGGGGGCCAGCCGGCGGGCTCCCTCACACGGCTCTTGGGACCGCAATGCGCCCTCTCGGGATACACCTCGCAGTGTGGGATACGAGGACTATCCTGTGCAAGGCAATCCTCCACCGTCGCAGTACACTCCTATGCCGAACATGAACTCCAATTTTGGGTATCAGATTCCACAGGCCAATCAAACATCACAAGCCTATCAATCTCGGGGCCACGCTCCTGCCATGCAACAACACCAACCACCAATGCCTTCAGGACATGGCCAACAGCAATTTGGCGCTTTTAATACTTTTCCACAAGACCCGATGAGCATGGATCAAACTTTCTTCCAAATGGCACAGAATATGCCCTGGATGTATCCGGGCTTTGATAGCGGGATGCCATTTCCACCCCCATTTCCTCTCCTCCCTTTCGATATGAATACCCCACTACCCTTCCAAAACACCCGACCCATGAGCACGATGGCCCGTGGCGCAGGACAACGGTTCACACCCGATCTCCAGAGACAAAGATCGCCAACACCACCAGTCAAAGTCCCGCTTCCAACATTGCAATACACAAATCAAGCTTCACTGAAGCCAGAGAAGACAGAAAAGCGACCACTTCTCGTTATTCTCGATCTCAACGGCACCCTCATCTACCGCAAGCTTCGCAAATTTCCGCCAAAATTCGCCAGACGCACCGGTCTAGATCACTTCCTAGAGACGCTAATTAAAGACTACAAAGTTATGATCTGGTCCAGCTCCCAACCTCAGACCGTAAACGCAGTCTGCGAGCAGATCTTCCCAGGTCCCATGCACGACGCCATCGTCGCTCTATGGGGACGCGACAAATTCGGCCTCACCGCCGGCCAATACAACAAAAAGCTCCAGGTCTACAAGGAACTGCACAAAGTCTGGGCGGTGGCAGATATCCAAGGCGCATTCCCAGGCAACGAGCATCTACAAGACCCCCCGGCCTCATCACCAGGCACCAATCTACCACGCAAGAACCGCGAGCAAAGGCTTCGCGTATCTGAGGCTGCAAAGCTCCCTGCCGGACACCGCTGGGACCAGACCAACACTATCCTCATCGATGACAGCAAAATCAAGGCTTCCAGCGAGCCGTTCAATATCCTCGAGATCCCGGAGTTCAATGGCGACTCCAATATCGATGAGACGAAGCTCTTTGCTAAGGTCCTCAGCCGCCTCGATTATCTCGCCCACCATGACGACGTGAGCAAAGTCCTCCGCGTCTGGAACGAGCGCGTAGACAAGGGCGAGGGCACTATTCTTGAATTGGATATTGGGCTCCATGAGGATTCCGTCGACAATGAGGACGGCGGCACGAGTCTCCTCCCAAAGCAGTTGAATGCGGACTCTATTGGCGATCTTATAACGTTTGATGGTGCAGGGGATGTCCCTGCTCCTGCAACCGCGAAGTCCAAGCCCAAGAAAAATAAGAAGGCTAAGGCTAGAGCAAAAGCGGCAGCCGCGAATAATATAACCCCGAACACTGCAGCTACCAAGCCCGCAACTGCCAGTACTACAACTACCAATCCAAACCCGCCTGCCACAAAACCAACAGCGCAACCCCAACAAAAAACAGAAGAGCAAAGAACGGAAATCAGACTGTCCCGCAAGGCACGCAAAAGAGCCAAAGATGCCGCCGCTGTCGCCGCCGCCGCCACCGCTACAGCCACTGCGGAGGCCGAATACCGAAAGACCCACGGTATTCCCACACCGAGCTATGACAATGTAACGAGCAACCAAGTCGTCGCTAGTATCGAGCCAGACGTACACGGTCACGTTCACGCTCAAGTTGGCACAAGCGAGAAATCAATTCGCCGCAGACAGAAGGCCGCCAACAGAAGGGCTCAGTGGGAAGTTGATCCCCCCACGCCTCCCCCCGGGTCTGAGACTGCACAGCAAAGATATAACTTCCGGAAGAGGAGTATTGCTGCTCCTACTCCCAATCTTAATGCAGAATCTGCTTCTGCTTCTGGTCCCGGGGCGGTATTCGAGTCCGCCTCTGCAGCTGCCCACGCTGCCAATGCTGCTCACATCATCACAAGCGGATTATCACCCGAGTACCTCCCTCCAGATGCGGATGTAACTGTGGGTATGGAATTGGATGTTGATGCGTATGTTCCGCCGGATGTTGTGCCTGTGTCGGGAGCTAAGCACAACCGATCACCGTCGCCAGCTTCGTCGGTTGGGTCGAGGAATTCGTTGCTTGATCGTCTTGAGGAGGGGCTTGGGATGAAGCGTTGAGGCTTGAGGTGTGTTTAGCGTTTAGCTGTTACCAAGGTTGATGTGGATTCTGAGCGTAAGGATCTTTTTGTTCGGTCTTCCGTTGTTTTTGTTTCATAGATATCCCGTCCTTTGCATTGTTACCTTTTTTAGAGGTTTTGATTTGGTAGTTTGTCATGTTCGATGACTTTGTCGAGGAATACTACATGCATGTATAGTCAAGGCATTGGCTCTACCATACCATACCAGTCTCGTTTGTTTATTATGTAGAGTGAAGTAGACTAATTAATAAGCCTAAAAGAATAGTAGGTTACCTAGGTGCTATATATATATATATATATATAGTATTATAGTAAAGGAACATAGGAGACGAAAAGAAAAATCAATAAAATAACATAGTATATATCCTCCTATCATATATATATAGAGTTGAAGAACAGGATATTGAAACCGCACACAGCTTGAATTGTAGGGAGAGGGTCAGACCCCCATTCCCACCAGCAGCGATGGGCTTGTAGCGCATAGGGTTATCAGTTGCTCGATCTGTTCAAAATAGAACGTTGAGATTAGGAACACCCATGAAGTTCAATAAAAGATTGCCTTCACGATGTCTTGATTTGCACAAAACTTACCACTTTCATGAATATCTCGAAGAAGTACCACAGAGTTGTGTGGGTGAAGAATCGATTTTGTGAATCAGCGAACGGACTTGACTTACGTGGGTGCTCCTTTAAAGATACCCCCTGGTACAACGACCTCTGCCACAGCAATTCCCTGCACTCGATTCGTATCTGGATAGATAAGGAAGCGGTAACAAAATGAGAAATGAATGAAGTGGAAAGTCGAGATAATCAGTTTCCGGGAAGACTCTGAATCGGATGTCGAACCACTGGGCACGATGTGAGGGATATCCCTGATTTTATCCATACGATGCGTCGGCACATGACTGCAGCACCAGCGAGCCAACCCTGGTAATTAGGCAGAGGGAGATGATGCACAAGGCGATCCCCAGCATTCCTTTACCAAAAGTTCCTTGGGACCTTTTTTGTTTTCAATTCCCGGATGGTCCTGGCCGAACAGGAGCGGAAATTCTTGTCTCGTCAGAACATACCATATAAGCCAGGAAGAGCCGAACAATACGCCCCATATGAGAACAACAAAAGATAACGAGCCATGTACCTCCATGTTATCGGCCTCGAAGTGTTGTGGTCACGTTTTGGGCACGTTTTGAACAAAACAGTTGGAATCCAGCCCCTTTGCCCCCGGATGACTGGATGCTGCAACGTGTATGAGAAATTAGATACGCCTCCTCAATCTTTGCTTTCGGGGATTTTAGCTTGGGAGAAACACGTTTTTTAGCTTTTCTTTGGCCTTCTGGACTGTGTTGGCATGGTTAGCACGAACAGTGCTGTGAGGGTCGGCCCGTCTCTTTTCTAATGTTTATTCCGGGCCATACTTGTAGCTGTGTAGGGAGGAGCAGTTGAGTTTTGCAAGCCGCGCAGGATGTTGATCTGTCTAGAGGTCAGCTGACTTGTAGTGGACTTGGTGTGATACCTTTACTTATCATACTGATTTGAGGAACAGAGGATCAAGAGACTAATATGGGCAGAGTCAGGTTATGGCGAGGGGGCTTTTTAGAGCGGTTGAGTGCCGCGGAGGGTAGGTAGCTGGTTCTTGCGGTACTCTTCAGAATTTCGGTGGGCTGTTGTGTTTCCACCATAGAGACGTGCGAACAGTTTTGCTTGATTGACACCTGCCAGTCATATCTGGAGATTTGTCGCTCCCATAACCCTAACCAGGACCCATCATGCCGTGGCAGAAGTTGAACTTAGCACATCGATGGTTGCGAGAGACGAGAAAACCAGTAGTGAACGGGTATGTCTCTATGATCAATATGCATGTGGCTTCCCAAACTCTCTGGCCAGCGGACGGGTCCCGGGAGAATACTCTGCCGTCGATTTCGTATATGAAACTCGTGATGAAGATGAAGCTGTCACTTTCATGTCGCAAAGTCCTAACTCGCTTGTATATGTTGGATTGGAAGGGTTGATTTTGCGCTTCGATGTCTGGAACCTGAAAGCGTGCGAGGCCTAGGGCGCTGTAGCGGATGCATTGTGGCGAATGGTATGTGATCTCCAATGCATATATGGTTTGGGGTGCCTTTCAAATGATGCTGAGACGGAGCAGGTCAGGTCGGTGGGTCTACTTGCCAGTCAAAGCGAGCGATTTGTCTTTCCCATCAGACGAACCAGAACTCATGCCTTCGGGAAATTAAACTTGGCACAAAGACGTTTTGCGCAGGGGGTATATTATCTCGGATGCCTTTGAATGATGCTGAGAGGGGGCAGATGTGTGGGTCGGCCTTTCTCTTTGCCTGGGCTCTTGTACGATTTGCGAGGACCAGCTCGGTTGGTGGCCGTGGTTGTTTGCGGGTTTCCTGTGGACTTCCGTATGGCCTGCGTCCTTCTTCGTTTTCACGATATGGTTGTGCCATTTTCGAGCCTTATAGACGACCAGCTCGTGTTCGGTATTGGATTTGGCAGGTCTGCGGGTCCGCCTTGCGTTTGGCCTGGGCTCTTGGCTGCTTTGCAAGGACCAGCTCGATATCTGGCTGTAGTTGCCTGCGGGGCGTTTCGTGGATTTCCATGTGATCCTCGTCTTTCTTCTTTTTGGCTGTACTTCCGAACCCTGTAGAGGATCAGCTCGTGTTCGGTATTGGCTTTGGCAGGTCTGGAGATGGTTGTGGCAGTTTGGCTCAGCCAGCTTGTTGTGGAAGAGGTAGACAGGTAGACATGGGAATCGAGACTTGAAGTAAAAGAGGAGTGATACTCAAAGTGACATAACACTCATTCCTGCAACGTAGAATGATCAACGATCAAGCACCACGAACATGGAGGCCGGAGGTTGGTATATATTGGGAGGGTCTATCTCAGAAACCAGAAAGAGGAACCGGGGAACATGAATGCGGTTCATGTGCGCACTGCGCCAATTTGTTCGGGCCCACTTGCCCTGAGCCCATGGAGAAGGGTCGAGGGCAGAGCAGACAGCCTGCTCTTCCGTTTCTTGGGCCCCTCCGGTATTTCCAGTTGCCATCTCAACAATGTATATAACTATGGAGTCTGTAGTCTGTGATGTTGCAAGTTAGTCAAATATCATTGACTTTACTCTCAGATCTGACTCAACTCACCACAATACCTGTGCTCAGAACATCATCTGTTGCCAGCCAGCACCGAGAACAACTAGAGACGGTCTGCTAGATCTTTATATGTATCACCCATGAACAAGAAACATGAGACCACTTGTGGTTCCCATATATAGTGATGAAGACGGGGGATAGTACATGTGAAACCTGAGATCTGAAATGGAAGTAAGGAATGATGATGAAAGCTAAGTGAAATGTAAGAGAATATATACAGCTCGATGGAAGACCGCTTGATTGACAGATAGACGAGAAGAACGATGAAGACGATAAAGGTGCAAGAGGAGGATGGTTGTAGAAGGAAGAAGCAGCAAGTAGCCGTAGCCAGTATTTATACCCGTCGGTAGGCAAACAAATGTTAAGACTCATGTGTAGGCAAACAACAAAGGGAATGTGGAAAGGGAGAGGAAGAACATCAGGAGTCACGATGTGCACTGGGAAGTGTCACAACTTGGCCTGGCTTTGAGCAAGCTGGATAGTTCCATGACCTATTTCTACTACTACTACGTGATAAGTTAAGAGCTACATAGGAAAATTAATTTGTACTCAAGAAATCAGAGAACAGCCTCTGTTCTTCATTGCTAGAACTAAACTAGCAGCGACCTGGCCGGCTGGGATTGTCATAGTAGCAAAACCCAAACCAGCTCAGTCGATCATCATTCCGCGTCGCAACGTATTCATAAACGTGATTCAACATCAGCACGTAAGACCATAGGTCAAAGATATTTGGAAAATCCCAAAAGATTTCAGGCAGAGGAAAGAAGAGAATGGACGTGAGGCGTACGATGTCTTCAAGCACAGCACGTCCACTGGGGTATTGGGGGATGAAATTTTATAGGAGATGGGGAGGGTGGATAGGGGCGAACACGCTTATTTGAAGACGTGACCATCGGTCCACTCCTTGACCTGGCCGTCAACGGTGACGGGAACGTCCTGGGACCACATATCCTCAACGAGCTTGCGGTCAGCCTCGTTGGAGGGGTCGAGCTTGGTGAACTCGTAACCCTCGAAGTCGGGGCCGACAGTGAAAGCGGGCTCCCACTCCTGGCCGCGGGTCATGTAGGCACCGTAGACGACACAGTTGTAGTTCTCGCCGTAGACGGACTGGGCACCGAAGAGGTACTTGCGGGAAGCCTCAAGACGGGTCTGGAAGCCACCAATCAAGTTGTTGGCCATGAAGGTGAGCTTGAGCTCGTTGTTGTAACGGTAGTTGACCTTCCAGAGAGAGTACTCATCGGCCTTGAAATGCTCCCAGAACCAGGGCATGGCGACGGTGCGGGGGTCCTCGTTGGAGAACTTGCGCTTCCAGTCATCAAGGATGAGAGTGGGCTTGCCAAGAGCCTCAAGGGGGTGCTTGGCCTTGGGGGCCTCAGCGGCGGGGGCCTCGGCAGGGGCGGCAGCAGCAGGGGCAGCGGCCTTGGGCTTGGGCTCCTTCTTAGGGGCGACGTACTTGATCACCTCCTCAGCGAACTTGGGGCTGGGGACGACAGCCTTGAAGGCGTCCTGGTTGATAATGGTGTTGTACCACCGGGTGGTGGCGGGGTTGGCCTCGCGCCAGGTCTTGTCAAGGACAGTGGCGAAAGCGCGGGTAAGGAGGGAGGCAGCGAAGATATCGGCCAGAGTGATACGCTCACCAACAAGGTAGGTGTTGGCAGTGAGGTGGGTCTCGAAGGGAGCAATGGCCTTGAGGGCAACCTTGGCGGTCTCATCGACAGTCTTCTTGTTGTAGGGATCGAGACCGAGCAAGGGGCGGTACCAGCCACCGAACTTGGGCAGAACCTCGGTGTTGGTGAAGGACAACCAGCGGAGGATGGAAGCGTAGTCCTGCTTGGTCTTGCCGAGGAGGGTAGTCTTCTCGTTCTGGGAGGTGACTATGAACAGGACGTGTTAGTCAAGTTGCTTTGAAACTCAATTGGATCCAACAGTAGAGCAATCAGAGGTGCCAATGGCACAATGTGTCCATTTCAAAAAAGGGGGGGTTCGAGTCCAAATTTTTCCCGCAGAGCGGGGTAGCCAATATTTTTTTCAGAGTTGTTTTTTCTCAACAGTTGTTATAACAATAGTTATAATTCAGACAGGGATAACTAATGGTATCTCATCATAAAGAAGAGAGGCAAAAAGATGGAACGAGGGGTGTGGTGGAATGTATTTGAAGGGAATAAATTTTCACATACCATAGACGGCGATGGCAATCGCCTCAGACAGAGTGAAGCCATTGGCACCCTCGAAGGCAGGGATCTTGCCAGTGGGGTTGATCTTGAGGTACTCAGCGCTGGTGTTGAATTCAGCGGCAGAGTTAGCCTCAGTCTTAACCAGCTCCAAATCGAGGTCGTTGTGCTTAGCAGCGACCAGGATGGAGATGGTGCGACCGTTGTCCTAGAGAATGTTAGGTATTGAATCAAAGCAATAGAGACAAAGAGAGAAACATACAGGCAGACCGTAGAGCTTTCCGAAGGCCATCTTGAATGTAATGTGTGGAAGATGAAGAGAGAAAAAAGAAAGAAAGAAGAGAAAGGAGAGGGGCGAACAAGAATTTTGTGCTGGCGGGACGACTTCGGTGCTCGGAGGAACAGATATTGCCGGTGGTCACGTCACATGACCCAACAAAAAACATGACACTCGGAGACCATCAACGGCCTCCATTCAGGACCTCAAATCCGAGTTCCAGCCCCGAATTCCCCGCCAATTCTCCCAGCCATGGCGTGGCACAAACCAAAAAGCCTTGCACAGGCGATGCAATCCCTCCGCCTAACCTCCACCCTCACAAAACCCTCAACCCAAGCCTCCCGAACAACCCTCAACACCCTCCGCACGCGCACCTACGCAACAGAAGCCGAAACCGTCCCTGCGCGCGCAGCCCCCGAAATCAACTTTGGCTCATTCACCAAAAGCCCCGCCCGCATCATCCCCGCCTCCCCATCCTACTTCTCCGGCAGCCCGCGGTTCATCGACCACGTCCTTCGGCTGGAATCTCTGTTAGCGAAGCACGCCGCACTCCCTATAGTGGCCACCAGCGAGGCGCCACGCATGGCGTGGTTCAAGCTCGCACAGTTCCGCGACTACGTGGGCGAGCCCGTGCCCATGAAGAAATACAAGTCCCTGGTCAAGATCCTGCAGCGGCTGAACCGCATCCAGCCCGATATGGTTCCTGTCGAGGTGCGCGATACTCTCGCCGCGTTCTTGCGTCCTGGTAACCCGTATGCGGTGGAGAATGTACCCCGGACGGTGGATGAGAATGGGCGCGCTCGCGGGAAGGGAAAGAGGAAGGAGTCTACGGCTGTTGTACAGCTTGTTGAGGGTGAGGGTGAGGTGCTGGTTAACGGCAAGAGTCTGGTCGAGGCGTTTAAGCGGGTTCATGATCGTGAGAGTGCGCTTTGGGCGCTGCGGTGTACGCAGCGCTTGGATAAGTATAATGCTTGGATTCGGGTGCAGGGTGGTGGTGTTACTGGTCAGGCTGAGGCGATTACGTTGGCTCTTGGTCGGGCTTTGCTGTTGCATGAGCCTGGGTTGAAGGCGGTTCTGAGGAAGGGTATGTTCTCGTTTCCATTCTTATATCTTATTCCATTCCTGACACAGTTGCTAACTTGAATTTCTTTATAGCCGGTGCCATCACAGTCGACGCCCGTCGGGTCGAGAGAAAGAAGCCCGGTCACGTCAAGGCCCGCAAGATGCCTACCTGGGTCAAGCGTTAAAGTGGCGAGATCGTTCGAGCATTTCCTATTTCCTATTTGTTTCAATACTGTATTATTCCACAACGGCACCCCGAGTTCGCGACTTGTTTTATATCCTGTACTCTCAATGCATATGGGGCATCAATTCTAAGGTTTACATTGAATTTGAGTTGAATGATTAGATCAGCGTGCTGTGCATCCATTCGAGCTCCAGAGTTTTAATATCTCATTTAATACATGATAACAAGTATGAATCGTGAGTGATGGAGTCCACCTGGGTATTCTATAGCACAGATGTGGTGGCAGCAGGATGGATATGGTAACCGACTATTACGCACCAATTAGGGCATAAATTGAGCTTTATAGCCTACATTTTGAACCAGCACTACAAATCCCATCTCCAATGTAGCTCGTTACGACCCCAAATATCCAAACCCTGAACAGTGAAAATGATTGATATTTGATATCAAGTAGATCAACTCCGTCTCAAATCCAACTAATCCTTGGAAGGGTATGCTAGCGAGAGATAGAAATTCAAAATGCCGAAATCCACGATGAACCATTTATATCGCATACCGAAGCAACAAGCAGCATAGACTACTCAGCAGACCAAAGAGAAATGAAATGAAACGACCCCAAACCCCAAATCCAAGCCCAAGCCCAATTCCCAAACGGGAACACAAAGGTCCCGTTCCAATTTTGCGCCAGATGCCCTTCGCCCTTTTTTCGTTTTGCCCACGCTCCAATTGCAAAGCCAGTTCAGATCGATTCAATACAAAGAATAGAGATGGTGATAGAATATAGAAAAGGTGGAAATGAGATAGGAAAGAATAACAGAAGCCAAAGAGAACCACCCACAGACAGAAGATCATGAGACTATGTACAACTCGTCAAATTCGTCATTAGGTTATGGTAAGCGAGGAACTAGAAGATGTGTGATGATTGTGATAGTGGCCCTGGTGATGACGAGAATGCGAAAATGGATTTCGCACAGCCACCTCGTTAGCCCAGGTTAGATAGGCGATAGATATAATTTGAAAGGATCAAGCGCTGATGGCCAAGATAGAGGCAGCAAATGATCGCCCCTCTCAAGAGGGGAATTGAGGACCGATGACCGAAGACGGAAGGAGGGGGCTGGTCGATCTCTCATAAGAGCGAATGGGAGATTGAGTACTCCGTACTCCGTAGTGCCCAACGAGGTCAGAGGTGACAGGTTACCTCTT